TGTGTTCACTTGTCCAACACAAACTTTAACTTGTCCTGGACAAGCAAACAAGTGTTGTCTATTGAGTCCTGTCTATAATCTTTTCATGCTTCATAATTGCATTCTTTACGCATTTGCATGCACTATTGTTCATTGTTTGTTTGTGTGAATGTGTGTCAGATGGAAGAGACGGGACGTGTTCTGTCTAACCTGTGTAACGTGGTCCCAGGGGGTGTGGTCTGCTTCTTTCCCTCCTATGAGTATGAGAGGAGAATACTGGGACACTGGGAAAGTAACGGAGTCCTCCAGCGTCTTGCAGCCAAAAAGAAGGTAAATGCCTACACACAACAGTTGTCATCTTGCAGTTTTTAGTTAATATTCATGTTAATCAGAGTAAATCAGCAGTCTTTTTTTTTTTCATTGCACAAAAATGTTCAGAACAGTTTTTCATGCATTTCAGGTTTTCCAGGAACCAAAGAAAGCCAGTCAGGTAGAGCAGGTGCTGTCTGAGTACTCCAAGTGTATACAGGTTTGTTATTGATTGTGTATAGATTGTTTATGTCAGTGTGTTTATGCTTTAAAGATTGTGAAATGTAAAGAAATATAAAGAATACATAAATAATAAAGAATAATAAAGAAACATGTATTTGTTTTGTTTTGTTTTGTTTTTTTTCTGTAGCGCTGTAGCAGTATTGGAGGAGGCCAGTCAGGGGCGCTGTTATTTTCTGTGGTTGGAGGAAAGATGAGTGAAGGGATCAATTTCTCTGATGACTTGGGAAGGTGAGGTTTGTAAGGCAAAAACGTAGGGAGAACTCCAACTAAATGATGTCTTACGGTTTTTGTCAGATGCAGTCGTCTTTTTTTTTTTTTTTAACAGATGAATGCTCTCCTTTTCACAGAATAACGTAAAATATTTCAATACTGCTAATAGCAGTGTGCAATATGGCAAAAGTATCACATTAAATACTTCAATGTTTTCATGATGCACGATACATATTGCAAAGCACTAATAGTGCCACATTTAAAAACTGCCATTAAAACTCTAGGTACAATAATTTTTATTAAACATTTTGCATACTGTCCCGCACTGAATCCAGTTAAACAGGACTAATTGTGCTCTGTTTTTATGAAACATGGTCAGCATCCTTTAAGTAGGGATGATATCCAAGACTTGCTCAGAAAAACATTGTTTATCACGATAACAAAATGTATCACAATAACAATAAAATATTGCAGTACTTCCCACCTCCAACTTATATAATTGTTCATGCTTTTCACTTCCAGTTATAGGACTTTGTAATAGTGTTTATATTGGCACAATCGATGGATGTGAAACACTTTACTCAGCCAGTGAGCTGATGAGCTTGACAAACAATCAGCACTAAGTAGTAGTAATGTTGGTAGACGTGTCTCAAAGTCAAGTCAGTTGAGTTCTTTGATATCTCAGAAACGAAACACGTGTTTCTTGGCCACATTCGAGGGATCTTGCAAAACGAGACTTTAGTAACGTTACAGCCGAGAAATGCAGCATTCCTCCTCTGCATTCTTAGCTTTGAGACATGATTAGTTCTGTAGTGCCCGAAACCTGTTTGCTGTAGAGAAATTAGAAAGTAAAACCCTGATTATAAAAAAAAATGTCTGTCCTCTTTTTGCCTGAGGGGGTGGGTTTGAGTAACCTTCTGTCAGACCAAATCTGATGTCCTCATGGGTCAGTTTTGGCCTCCCTGATATATAGGGATGTATAGGAAGTTGGAGGGCTGCTGCACTCTAGCTGTATTTACCTTTAAGTACCTTTGTGTGTGTGTTTAGGTGTATTGTGATGGTTGGAATGCCATACCCCAACATCAAGTCCCCTGAGCTTCAGGAAAAGATGGCATATTTGGACAAAAACATGGTTGGTGAAGATCTTTCATAACATCTTAGTGAAAACAGCAGGATAATAATGAATGTTTAATATTGTTTTCTTTTTTCTTTCTCTTTCTTTCTCTCTCCCCCGTAGCCTCAGGTGGATGGCAGAAGTCCTGGGAAAGCTTTAGTTGAAAATCTGTGTATGAAGGCTGTCAATCAGTCAATAGGTATGACGAGTCTTGAATGACTGGCTTGGTTATGATGACTAATGCTTACACAAACTGAAGCTATGCAGTCACTGTCCCTGGTAGATTTTTAGTTTTTATTTTCTTTTGGAAGTAAATCTATGAATATTGCAGAGAACAAGCACAGCCCAAATGTGTATGTCATTTTTTTTTAAATTAGTTTCCTTTCTTGAGCCTCATCAATTCCTGTCCACCGCAGGCCGGGCAATTCGTCACCGGGGTGATTATGCTTGCATTGTGCTTTGTGATCGCCGCTACTCACGCACTGGCACACTGCAGAAGCTTCCGGAGTGGATCAGAAGCAGCACACACACTCACAGCAGCTTCGGCCCTGCCTTTGCCAGCATCAGGAGGGTAAGACGTGTGAGCGTGTGCGTCTTTTCATACAATCTAAGAACAAAGATGTCCTGTAAAACCTGAGTAAAACAGCTAATCTGCCTTACAAAGTGACAGTCAAGTTAAAGTGCTTTTTTGCAAAAGCTAAATGTTTATTTTTTTTTAACTGAATCAAAATATTTATAACAAACACACAGACTATATATATATATATATATACAACCGTTTCCAAAAATTCTTTGCTGTTCAAAATGTAAATAAAAACAGAATGCAATGATGTGCAAATCATTTATGCGTCAAGTCTATATTTAATTGAAAATAGTACAAAGACAATATATCAAATGTTGAAACAGAATTAATTCTATGTCCATTTTTAATTTGATGCCAGTAGCATGTTTCAAAAAAGTTGGCACAGGGGCATGTTTACCACTGTGTTGCATCACCTCTTGTAACAACACTGTAAGGTTTTCAGAGATGAGAAAACCAGTTGCTGTAGTTTTGAAATTGAAATGTTTTTCTTGCATCAAATTCAAAATTGGCATACAATGTCTCAGTTTCAACATTTGACAATTGAAGTGTTTAAATGATTTGCACATCACATTCTATATATAATATCACTGTTTGAACAAAACATTTATAATGTGTTCTAATTTCATGAAGAAAACAGAAACTGTCGAAAATGATAGAATAAAAATAAAATCTTGTTGTATTATCTTACATTGCAAGAATGTTTTTTCCGTCTCCTATAAAGTCACCTTTTTGGGCATACATTGTTTTGTACCAACAGCAATAATATAGAATGAGGGGAAACAAGTTTTGTTATTTAATATACTTTCAGTACATATAGCCCCTTCAAACATATCACTCGCACACATAAGCCATTATTCTTATTCATCAAAATTGCCTTTAATGACATAAAAACTGCAATGCGTCAGATTCAGTAATCTTTCGTACAATGTGGAAACAAGCAGAGATCTCAGTGCAAATTCAGCCTGTGTGAAATCAAGCGCCAGCCTACCAGTACCTCGTTTACATATCATTTACATGAAGCACGCCCTTATTCATGCCAACGAAACAACAGCCTTTAGTGCTTCTGCTCGGAGGCGGAGTTTGGGGTATAACAGTGAGTGTATTATTGCACTGTATGAGATGCTTCTGCACTAGCAGTATTTTGTTTTTTTTTATTTTTTGGGTGGTGTCAGTAGTATAAAAGAAAAGCAGTGTAATCTGACTCTAAATGGAAAATGTGTTTATATCAATGTGTATGTAAAACAAGTACATGTACTTTTGTGTTGGATTGCCATGTGCATAAAAGAGTATTATTGTTATTTTCTATTTTTTATAAGTAGTATAATAGACAGTTTAGTAGTATAATAAACCAGACGTGGGTTTGATCATACAGATACGTCAAAGATGAAACTGATAAATAACAAAACTGTAGGTGAAATTTGCACACACTAATTTTATGATCAATTTGGCTATACACAACTTTGATGACTAAGGGCCATTGTTCATACATTTGAAGTGGATATATGCACTGGAAGTACATTAAATAAAAAAACAAGTGTCTGAATACTTGTTTCCTCTCATTGTATGCTAAGAGTATGTCTGACTGTGTTTAACTGTGTATGTGTGTGAGAAGTCTGAAGTCTAAAGGAGGGAGAGGGAGAGGGAGAGGGAGGGGGGGGTGGAGATGGAGTTTGTATGTATCAAGGCTTTTCTGTCAGTAGGCTTCTCAACAAGCATGGCTGTGTGCATCTGTGTGTGAGAGCAATATGAACTGTCTCCCTGAATATTTGTCTGATTTTGCAGTTTTTCCTGGAGAAGCGGCAAACACAGCAGCTTTGAGCAGAACACCAGAAGACATCTCTCATCCAAGCGGGAGCTTTTCATGAGCATCTCACTGTGTGTATAAAGTGCATGTAGTTGTGTGATTATTTAAAGCCATGTAAATAATTGAGGGGTGCAGGTTTTTCCTCAGCGCCTTTGCTGTATTTCTGCACTGTACAAGTTCAGCGCTCTTGTTCAACTGAGAATATATTACATCTTATTTTGGTTAAATTTAATATAAAGAAAATGTATTTGACCACATATGCAATATAACTAATTCACATTATAAACTCACTGATAACAGATGCATTCTATAATAAACTGACAGTTGTGTAAGAGAGAGGCATTTATTTCTGTCTCTCGGAGCAGCTGCAGTACACAAAGAGTTAGTGCTTTAGACACATAGAACAAGGGCCTCATTTAAACCTGCATGCACACAAAAATGTGCCCAAACGATGTATGGCAGTTTTCCAACAGACAGTGTTACTTATCAAAATATGGCTGAACAATCCATTCAAGTACCCAGTGGGTGAAAAAAGCAATTACACAAATGCCACATTCAAGTGCTCTTCAGAAGCTTGGATTTCCCACTTACTGAGACTTACTGTGACAGGGTTGCTGCCTATGTCAGAAACATTGTTTTTTGGGGGGGTTTAATACATAGTATGAGTTATTTGATTGGCTCACAACTGCACAGTGCTGACAAATATGGGGAAAGAACATGTTGCCACTCTGTTATATTCATTGTATGAGTTTCACATATAATTTGAGCAATGTTTGTATTAAATGAGAGTCATTATACTGTATGTCACGACTAGGATTTCTTCATCCCTCATCAAGTAAGTGAGTGAACAAGTTTTCATCTATGAATATTCCATCATTATGCTCCCTTATCTGAAGATTTTAGGGATGGTTAAATTACTGCCTCTAAGCACTTCTAGTGTACACAGCTTTAGTCAGGCTGATTATCACTGAGTGTGAGGCATATTTCAAACCAGTAAATCCCAAGTTTGCTTACACATGTCACATTTCAGTGAAAGAGTTGTGAATTTTTGCTAAAATGAGGCCCCAGACTTTAAGGCTAAATGAGGACAGCCACATATTTTCAAAACTAAAATGTAATCTGATCTTTTTCAATTCTGATCTTGTACACTCTTTTTTTTTTTAAGCAAAACATAAGTTGATAGACAACACAAAATGTGATTAGGTTAAGAAAATGGGCATACTGAGCATTGAACTTTGATTTAGGTGACAGCCTGCTGTCTATGTGTAGCCTCCTTTTTAACGTCTTTTTCTCAATCTCTCTCCATCAAACACCACAGGCACAACAGTGCGTCATGATGAAATATGATTTTTTCACATTTCCAAACTGCTAGAAAAGCTTAGCCAACTTCAAGTGCTACTTCAGAACTTCAAACACTGGGTTCAGTTCTTAAAAAAACTACATTCAGAACTGTTCGTCTTCATCCGATATCCAGTCAGCACAGATCAGTGAAGTCACCGTCTTTTGACTATGCTTCCCAGTCATCTTCGTCATCTGCAGTTGGCTGCTGTGGTGCAGGAAGGGGTGGAATCACGTCCGACATCCTGGCAAATGCGCTGCCAGAACTGGCTGGTGCTTCTGTGGAATCTCCGCCCCCTGGACCTTTACCTGAGATTCCTACCAATCACACAGCAACACACAGTTGGCAAGAAAGTAACACAACAGTTCAGAATGAAGTGGTTTTTATAGCCACTTTTTAAGAGTTCTCTAATTAAGAGATGTAGACTCACCTTTCCTACGCATGGCCAATTTATTAAAGAGGTCAGACATGAAGTCTCCACCACTGGCTGCAGCACCAACTGTGGGGGGGTGGGATGGGGGTGGTTTAAGGAAACAGGTTAGCTTTACTGAATAAATTAAGCATAATAAATTTAGCATAACAATGAATAAATCCTACACAATATGGTGCATAATAAAAACATACAGATTAAAGTATAAAGCAAACACATACTGGTCACCTTGTTTTAAACACCTTGTTATGGTGTAAAGAAAACACTAAATTGCTTGACTACTTATTAGTGAATTTGAAATACCTGAAATATCCGTCATTACAACTAACCAGCTTTGTCAATACTCAAGCAAATGTCAAACAACTTAAGAGAAGGGCTTAAATTGGGCAGTTTCAATAAAAGTGGTATTTCTCACTTGACCTTTCTAAATGCCACTGAGCAGCAGTGTTAGTAACATTACAGCCCTGTTCAAAATAGCATTTTAAGCTGGTTTTACCAGTGCACCATCTCAAACCTGCACACCTTATTTATCCCTTGAGCTAATCATGTAAAAAGATGATTTAACTGACTTCTAAGAACTGATGCTGAGGCTCTTACAGAGACAACTGCATATAAAATCTTTCATATTGAAGTTAAAAACTTGTAAAAGTAGCCATTTTTATTTCTGAGGTTCATAACAATGATGTTCAATTGAAATCAGATTTTTTGTTCAAAACACAATCAGTCAATTTACTCTTTTTATTCTGGCAGTTTGTGTCTGTGTTTTTTAACACATAAATAACATCAAGTCCACTTGTGCTGCATTTCAGTGCTGCTGCTACATCTATGCCAAAATGTTATAGCGTAATTATACATGACTCCTTGTGTGTGTGTATATATATTATATATATTATATATATACACACACACACATACCCAGTTGCTTCTTTCAATATAGCACTTTATTTGATTCATGTTAGTTAAACGGGCAACTGATATAAAATTTAAAAATAATAGAAAACAAATGGCAGGTAATGTGCCACTGTGTTTCATGTGTTGATTTAATCCACATAGTGTGAGCTTTGGTTTAAATAAATAGGTTAATAAAAAATGGCCAAAAAACATCCACCATATAATGTGACTGTAAAGAAATCAGAATCTACCTTAAAAAAAAATCATGATCATAGTTTTAGTCTATTTTGCACTGAAGTAGGGACAGTTACTGGGAGGCCTGAGAGTCTTTCTGACGGCTCAAAAGAAAAAGGTCCTCAGATGCCAATGAAGATGTTATAATACAGAATGAACACCAAGGCATTAAGGTCTTGCATCGTCATACCTATATTTCCACCTTAAACAAGCTAAAGCTTTTTTTATTGACCAATACCAATTTTCGGCAGCTGCTACCACCATGGCAAATTTACATGGCTGTATGCTGCAAGTCATGAAATATCAAAGGTGCTGATAAACACAACATTACCCTGCTCCACTGTTTCTGCTGTTCTGCCCAAGCTACTTACTGAGCTTTAATAAGCTAGCTAAGCAGCATATTTGAGCAATGTCAAGAAAACAAAGTTGAATGTTGCAGAGAAAGTGATGAGAAAATTACAGTCTTTACTCATTCACCCTACACCATTCAGCTAGTGCTGTAAAAGGTAGGATTCTGGCTAATTACCTTTTTCCCGCTGTGGTATGCTGTCAACTATTATAGTAACTAGGCAGCTAAATGTAAGGTTAGCAATCCTGTGTTGTGTTTAAATATTTAATTTTATTTTTCTCTCTGATTACAGACACTACAATTAAATAGGCTAGTTGGTGGTTCAGAACTCTAGTGAGGTCTCTGAGGCATAGTGCCTCCTAAAAGGACCCCATAAACTATGGGAAGGTCCCCTACAAAATGAAATTCTTGCAATGTGTTTTGTGAACTGTATGCTTAGATCGGCTCTCTGACCTTGCTCTTGCTCCTTCTGTTTCTTCTTCTCCATCTTGCGTTCTTTAACATTCCGGAGTTTGGCTTTGCCGATGCCACCAGCATTACGAATGGACTCAAGCAAGCTAGCTCGCCCATCTGATGGCTGCAACACTTCTGTAGGCGCACCTTTCACTGCACCTAGGAAACACACATTTGCAAAATGTAGACATTAATGCACACATTAAAGCAAGACTTGCATTTGCAAGAATACTTATTTAGCTTCAGTTAGTCATTAGTGTGTCATACCTGTGGGCTGGGCTTGACTGGATGCATCTCCACCTCCTGCGCCATCTGTTACATCAGGAGGAGGTGGGGGAGGAGGGGGTGGAGCTGGAGGAGCTCCAGGAGGAGGTGCTGGAACATGAGCAGGCTCGGGAGGAGGAGGAGGAGGCGGAGGAGGAGGGGGAGGAGCTTCATGTCTAAACTGGGAGCCTGAAATATGGGGGGAACTATTAATAACTCAAAGATAAAACATCACATTACTTATGATTTAAAGTACTGACTACAAAGAAGCAGAAATTGTGGCTTAGTGCCTAAGGGCTCTTCTGTAGGTGGCCTCTGGTTCCACTCTGCAAACTCACCAGATCCGTTGGGTTCTTCATGATCTGTACCAAATGAGGGCAGCTCAGGGATGGCTGCATTGGCAGGAACAGAGGGAGCAAACCCTGGACCAAGATCAGCACTGTACATGAGGTCATCTGCGATGCCAGGCAGGTCAGGTAGGTAAGAGGGCACATCGATCTCTGGCACCTGGCCCAGGTCTGGCACATAAAAATAATTCTCTGCAGTCTAGCATGGGCAGAGAATGCAAATAAGTTGTGAATTATTTTAGTTGCAAATGTTCAACAATGTTTTTTAAGGGTTTAACAATGCATCCTGACACTATGATATCGTAATGCAAATCTGTGACAAAGAGTGTTGTGGAGAATGAAATTCTTGTGCCGATTTTTCATATGCAGCATCGAACTAGAGTTGGGCTTAAATTTGTATTCTAATGAGTGATGTTTTTGTGAATGAAAATTTTGATGAGGCCACAGTCTCCAGACCTTGCGTACAAAACAAGCCGTGAACCAGCTGATGGCTGTAAAACTGTATATCTCCTGTTGTGTCTGACAATCAGAGGCTTGAGTATATAGGAAGCATGTATGAGACAAATGACTTGAGAAATTCAACGAAGTTACATTATAATTCAAAATTGCCATTCTACCTTAAATTGTGCAGCAGTTACACTCAGGCACCTGTTCAGGTTCCAGAATGTAACTGATTTAAGGTGGAGTAGAAAATCAGAACAAAAAAGCCAATTTCACCTCTTTAGAAATTCAAATGTGATGCAACATTTAGCACTGTTTTGCCAGTTGCTGGTTCCTCATATTGTTCAAATTTTATTTAACATAATAAAAAAAATCACACGAATAACCTCTGACCCTCACCTGTCTCTCCAGTTGCTCTCGCTTAGTGATAGAGAGTGGAGCATCAAATGGCTTTTCCTCTTTCTCCGTCTCTAGCGTGGTGTGAGTTTTAGTGACAGCCCCTGCCAGAGGATCCAGGAACACATACTTCTTATACCTACACACAAAAGCCCAAACACAATCATAGGTAAGAAATAAGAAATGAGTTAGGTTGTTTATGGTATTCTGTGCTTGTATGTGAGTACACACAGGTTCTCGGTAGTGTTAAACAGCAGTAGGGAGCTGACTGAGCTGATGTTTCTGGGCAGGCTGCCCAGCCCCTCCTCCGTTTCATCTTCAGAGCGCTTCTTAGTGTTTACAAATACTGGAAAATACATCAGCTTCTCCTACAACACAGACAAACAAACATGGATAGGGATAAGACCGCTCTCAAAAGCCCACATAAATAAATAAAAAAAGGAAGAACTACATTCAAGAACTATGTATCAGTAAAGCACAACAGCATGTTTATGCATGCACTCGGATACTTTCCTACACTACTACTACTACAACTAATTACATTATATTCTATGTATAATGCACTTTTCATTTAAGTATAAACCACAACGTACAAAGATAAACTAAATAAAATATTAAAAACCATAACACTAAAAAACAATTTGTATGCAGGAGTGAAAGCCTTTACATACCAAACACAATTTGTTTATTTATTGTGTAATAAATTAATTCGAATACACGTAGATCTGATTTAACTTCATATTTATCAGAAAGTTAAAAAAAAAACTAAACATTCTTTTATTCTGTCTTTGTTCGGTTACTTGCTACCTTTTGCTGGCAACGTGAACATTGATTATTTGTGTTGCGTCTGGTGTGTAACGGTCTTAATTAAGGAAAAGAGTGTGGGGGTAACAGGGGACTGAAGGAGTAAGAGTAACACTTAAAAAAGATAAAAGACAGTACAATAAAGGTAACAGACAGAACAAGGAAGAGAGAGATGCCACTCACCTGCAAGGCCTTGTCATCCAGAGGGCGGAGCTTGCCCTGAACCTTGTAGCGAGGTCGTTTTTGGGACGCCGGATCAGCAGCACCCATGAAGATGGATGAGTAGTCTTCTAGTTTCTCTGGAGCAGGGTACTTAGCACTGGAAAAGACCTAAATGCATATGTACAATGTTCAGAACAGAAACAAAAGCAAATACACTTATTCTCTTCTATGCAGGCCAAATGCTGCCTGAGTATGCTCCAGATAAATAATTGAATTCTATACCATAAAAGAATAACACACTGACAACCACAGCTGTGTGTTTGTATATGTGTGAGGTGTGTATCACCTTGGTGGCTTTCTTGCTTCCTTTGATCTTGTGGACTCGAGCTTGAGCCAGTTTGATACGGTCTGTGACAGCCTGGAGGTAAGTGCGGTTCTTTTCCACACTCTGCGACACCCTGCAAAATCAAAGCCTTCATTGTGTCCATGTGCGTTTGTTCATGTAAACATGTGGTCGTCCTAAATTTTTCATTACAGCATGATACGGCAAAAACGATACAGAGTGCAGTCATTCTGTCACTGCTCAGTTACTGTACAAGCTATACGTAACACACACACACACACACACACACACACATACAATATGTAGCCTTGGGTACTCCCTACTGTCTAAAAAGGGAAAAAAGGACTGAAAAGAGGAGAAAAAGAAAAAAGGGAAGAATGAGAGTACATCCTAATGGAGCTGACCCAGAAAACCAGCGGTTATCTCCGCGCACACACACGCACACCAGGCGAACATGTTCCCTGGTCCCTCTTCCACTATGTTGTCATGGTAACGCTATGGCTGGTTTTTCGGTGCCTGCTACTGGAGCTGATATTAGCATATCTGAGCACTCTCTCAGACAGAGAGACAGGCACATGTGCACTGAGCAAACACAAAACCCTCACAGCTACACCCAACTTCATTTTATTTATAAAATGTACAGGCCATTTCCTCCCCTTTTCCCACTTTTCCGCTTTATAGGTTTATCTTTTCTGTTGTCCCTCAGGCCTGTACAAAGAGTAACTGATCCAAAAATATAAAAAAAACCTCTCATGATTAGTTAAAAAAACTGAAAAAATAATTTAAAGTGGCTTTGAAAGTCAAATCAATTAATCATGAAACAAATTAGGAAAAGTACTTGCGAATGCATAAAGATAAGCAAGTAATTTAAAAAACACCACACTGGTTAACAGGCCAAACTTCTGCCATCACAAACCCTTCAAACTACTCTTTATAGAACTAAATGTAGTCGTAATGAGCACAAGCGTCATCACATCAATGATGCAACAATTAAATAAACACACAAAATAATATTCTGAGTATTTACATACAACAATAGGTAGGATTTATCAACTTTTGCCTCCTTCATCACTAGAGTTTATTATATGTTAAAAGACTTATTAATACATTATAATGATACATTAAATCAGCTGCCAGAATCTACATTTTAAAATTGACCTTGATTAAATCTGACCTTAACATAGAGTGTGATTTAATGAAAGCTAATTCTACTCTATTCTGTTCCCCTTTCAATTCCATCGACATAGTAAGAACTTAATCCTGACAACTTGGAGAACTTAATTCTGACAGGCCATACGCTTACATTAATATTCTCATATTTCACATATTTAACTGCAAAAAGTTACCTGTGCAGAGCCACACTCAGATAATTATTAAAAAATGTAAAGGGTGTTGCATTCAAATACCTTGATTCATAGACGGATGGTATTCATTATTGTCAAGAACAAAATATTCAGATTTTCCTCAAGGCACACATCAACTAGCAATAGAAAAATATGCTAAAGCAGCAGGCATGTTTGATGATATGACATCGGAATCAACTCGCAATCAGCAAATAATGATTTAAAAAGTTATGGCACTGGATAAATGCTTATATATGATTGATACGCAAAACCAATATTTGATTTCGTCTTTATTTCATTTTGGAAGAGCAGAACATTTAGCTGACACTGTGCTTCTATGCTAAAATGTATGTAATTTCCTGCACTTCTCTATGAATACATTTTCTCTATGAATACACTTTCTCTGTAGTTAATACTGGATCTGTAAAACTCCAGGTAGATATTTGACAGATATGTACACAACAATAACATATCTGCATCAGCTCATAATTTCCACTTTAGAACATCCCTATAAATCAGAATAGTTAAGCACATTGCTATGGTCACTGAAATTCTTTTGAAATTGATTTTATTTGTTTGTTATTCCAAAATGTCACTTTTCTCTTACAAGAAAATGTAATTTTCATCCTACAGCAATATCATATGACTAGTGTCAAAATCCAGTATCAAAACAATGTCTATTCCCTCATTCAGGTATCTGTTGGGATGCACTGTTGTGCACCATACAAACAGAAACTAATAGTGATTACTAATAAGGCTAATGCCTGAGCATGGACTTCTTTTCTAACCTCAAACAAGGTGTCTTCCAGCAGTCTGTTACACTATGTCGTGCAGAATGATGTTGCTGATGGGTTTGCATACCTGGTGAAGATGTCTGTTGAGATGTTTTCCAGGTACTGCAGAGCATCAGTGATCTGGTGCACAGCCTCTTCCCTCCTCAGGTCCTGCTGTATCAGTGGGACAGAGTACACCTGCCCCTCTAAGTGAAACTTCTGAGTCATCCTACAAACACAACATCATCATCACTGAATCATCCCATATGTGAACATGAATAACTGCACAGCAATATACTCATGTAAAATACTGCCCAAAGGCAAACACAGTGTTACTAACACCTCAAGAACCTCGAGAAAGAAGAAATCATAACAGAATCAGGAGACAAGGTCTGAGTATTCTGAATCCTTTTGTCAAATTTAAGAATAATTCATAATTTTAAACTTGACATCAAGGAGTTTTGCTCTCTCTTTAGTAGTGCTGGGCAATATAACGATACTTATCGTTATTGTGATACATCACATGTCATAGTATGCCTTTCTGAGCATAGTCAGTATTTTAAGAATACAGCTTCATGTTTCATTACAAAAACAGCATAAACAGATTCAGTACAGAGCAGTAGGTGAAACGCTGAATGAAAATAATAATTAATTTTATTTAATAAAATTTGTACTTGTTTTTGATTGCTAGCATTTTTAAAATGTGGCATTTCAGGGTTTTTTTTCTGTTCTAACTCATTGAGCGTCAAAAACACAAAAATACTGTGACATATCGTGTATCATGAAAACGTTCCTGAAGGATCGCGATATGTTTGCCTCTTTAATCACTTTCTAACCCCTCGCTCTGGTGAACTGAAAGTCACATGACGGCGAGCCGAGCTTTGCCAGAAACGGCTCTCTATCCGTTCCTCTATCTGACTAACAAAACTACACTCAGTGCGAATACATTCACTCTGCGTTTCGATGAGAGTCACGTCTTCGTTTTATAGAAAACAATGTCAGCTACGCTCCATAACCAGCCGACGTTTCTTCTCCTCTTCAAGCACATAAAGCAGGCCAGAGGAGGGATAGCGGTTCTGTCTCATTGCGAAACCAAACGTTTTGATACCCAGAGCGAAAGATAATGACAAACGATAAGGCAGGACCACTTTACCTGACCATTTACAGCGCAGAGATCCGAACAGTTAAAGCAGGAAAATCTCTCTGCATCTGCCATAAACACAAATCTGCTGCACGGAGTTTCGTCATCAAAACTTCCGCATCGACTGGTCACGTGATCTGAGGACTCACCCCGCTCTGAAGGTTCTTCCTCTCTCTCTGGCGGAAAGATACTCTAATGTTTGATGTCCAAAACTTTGTGGACCCCTGCTCGTCCGACTGTTACCCGAAGCCTATTAACGGGTGGTTTGTCTGTCTCCCCTTTACTTCAGTAACAGGTTCTGCTCTTCTGGAAAAGCTTTAGGCTGCTACTTTACCTCTACACTCTTAAAGAACATGGTTCTGTTGTAAAGGCAATGTTTCTATTTAGAATCATGAGTTCTAAATAGAACCATTTCATGCTTATATAGTTCTTTGCATGGTGAAAGTGTTCTTCAGATTGATGGAGAATGTGTTTTATATGGTTCTATATAGAACCCTTTTTGGTGCCCTTTTAAGAAGGTTCTATATAGAACCATATACAGCACATTCTCTATCAATCTGAAGAACCCTTTAAAGATGCAGAAAACCCTTTTCATCATGCAAAGGGTTCTTTAAGTGTTCTTGGTTCTGTATTGAACCATTTTCTTTACTAAAGAACAGTTAAAGAACCATTATTTTTAAGAGTGTATACTTTACCTAGACATTTCTTAAAAACAGGGTTGTCTAGTAAAGGCTTGGTTCTATTTAGAATTATGAGTTCTTAATAGAGCCATTTCATACATATAGTATATTTCATACATATAGTTGTATTCATGGTGAAATCGTTCTTCAGATTGATGGAGAATGTGTTGTATATGGTTCTATATAGAAACCTTTTGAAACTGGTTCTGTATAGCACCATTTCACCATGCAAAGAACTATGTTTCTATTTAAAACAAATGGTTCCAAATAGAAGTCCTGGTTCTAAATAGAATTATTGCTTTTACTAATGAACCCTTGAAGAACCATTTTTTAAGTGTGTACTATTATGAAAAAAGCTTTACTACTTTCCCTCTACTCTTCAGGGAAAACTGGGAAGCTTTTAAATGTTGTTACATTGCTGTGAGAATTTGATTGCATTTAATTGCATACAGCCAGCATTAGTGAGGTCAGGTACTGACAAATGGTGCTCCAACTCAATTTCAATATATTGAAATATATTTCCTTTGCAAACACAGATCTTCATGCAGTGGTGTAGTGGTGGGTATACTGTGCCTTCTTAGGGGCTCCCATCCCACAATCTGTGCACCTTCTGTCTACATACCGTGAACCTATAGCATTTTCCCATATACTCTATAACTGTCAATATAAAATGAATACAGTATGCTATAAGTCAATATAATACTATGAAAAATACATTCTGTTTTTGTACATAAGTGAATTTATCAGTTACACATACAACACATTCTCAAAACACACTAATTTGAAAGGAGAATTTCACCAATTTTTCAAAATTTCTGCATAATTGAATGGTTGAGATGAGTAAACAAAGTGTTGTCTGATTAGGAATGCACTGTTCTAGAGAAACACAGAGAGCCGTAATGGTTCACAGTGGTGGTGATAGGAATCTGAAGCATTTAATGCCTTCAAAAGATACCTCATAGGAAATTATTATATGAAATGCTGCCTGAGTCCTGAGGCATTGTTTTGAGGTAGAGTTTTGGCCTGAAACATATTTTAAAAATAAATTCCTGGGAGAGAGATACATGGGCATTGTAAGGCAAAATAGTTCCCAAGAAACATGCATTTGTTCATAGTAAATAAAATGGCTATATTTGTAATACAGACATTGCAATCCCTGGTTCCTGTTATCACAATGGTAAAGAGATCTGAGTCAGTAAGTTTACAGTGCACATTAAACCACTCGCAATGACATTACTTACATCTCAACAATTCAATTTAGTAGAAATTATTGAAATTCCTCTTTAATCTTCAAAATAATTTGAGCTTGTTCTCAGAGTACAGCTCACTAAAATAGTTTTACCCCAGCATGTTTACAGTATGTCTCAAATAACCTAACCATCCATGAAAAAAGCTGTTTTAAAGCTGTGTTTAAAGTATGTATGTGCACAGGTTTAAGTGTGATCACTGAGAAGTGGTTCTGTATTAAGTACAATTTTAAACTATTGAAGAGAAAAGAAGGATGATGTGTTACTGTGGTTCTCAGTTTTTTCTCAGATGCTGTTTTCATGTGTTTTTAAATTCCTGCTAAAGCTTTTATTAAGCCATTTCACATTTAGCATAAAAATGTACACATCTTCTCAGTTTCAGAGACTCTCAACTCATCATATCAAGGCACACATTCTGAAAACTCATTTTAACATGCATGTAAAATGCAATATAAACTATTGTGAAACTGAATAAAAGGAAAGACATCAATGTTCTCAGGTTTTCAGTCCTTTATAGAGGTCATGAGTCAGCAACAGCATACAGAGCTATATCTCGGAGGCCCTTTAGCCCTGTGTGGCTCATGAATACTAATTGATCATTTTAGTTACATTATGTTTTTAACACATCAGAATCAACAGTACAGATGAAACAAATATTTTAAGTTACAGAGCAAATCTTAAAGGGGAATTTCACTGATTTTTCAAAATGTCTGTATAATTCATAATAATAAAAATAAAAAATACAATGTGAACAAAGTTATTCAGAGTGGTTTGATGTGAAATCCTCCATTAGAGAAACTCACTGAGTCAGAATTCGAACCAGATGACTAAAAATTGTAATGCCTCTAAAAGCAACGTCACAGAAAGCTATTACACAAATAATAACAAGTTGCCTGATGCCTGTTTTACAATAGTCTTAAAACATTTTTTTAAAAATCCATTCATAGTTTAGGGGTGCATGCTGGGCAAAATAGGATCCAAAAACGTTTTTTTTCAGTTTTTACAATTTACCATCATCAACATTGCATATAAAACCCAGATTACATGTGTAGGTTCACTGATGGTTTTGGATAGTAAATAAAATGGCTATATTTGCATTGTAGACATCACAACCCCTGGTTCCTAACACCACCACGGTAAAATTCAGAGTTGGTAAGTTTCTCTAGATAAAGGATTTCACATCAAACCACTCTGAATGACTTTACATCTCAGTGACTAAATTATTCAGCATTTTTTGTCTTGAAATTCTACAAGTAGTGGAAAAACCTTAAGCCATTCTTGTTTAAATAAAATATTGAAATAATATTAATGAAATGAACATTAGGGTTGTGGACTGGCCAAGCCTGTATTTCCTAAATGTGCTTGGTTTTGGGTATTGTGATTTTTAATTTTAAAATTCAGCTTTGCTCTGGGTTTTGAATAAATAAGGATTTAACTGTTTTAATATTCAGTAAATGTGCAAACTATGGATTTTAGGCCTCAGGATATATGACGGGTGAATGCTAGGATGCCCACCAAATATTAATGAATCAAGAAGTTAGTTTGAAATGTGAGTACAAAATTATGGGACAAAATAATGGTTAACAGTATTAAAGTTATTAGTGGAGAACAGACTTGCATATCATTGCTGCCCAAAAAAAGTGACTTAATTTTTTTCCTACATTGTTTGAACACAGCATTTTTACATCATGTGAACATTTCACTATGAATGGACCAAGAGAAATGATCCAAAATGGAACTTGGAATAAAATCTCTTCATATTAATTTACATTCTAACTACATGACATTGCGACATCTCATCTGGACCACACCTGAACTTTCTCACAGCAGTATTTGTGAAGATGGATCAGTCATTATTTTAGCAGTGTGCATAATGTTATTAATAAACAAACTATGACACCTTATTAACTGATGTACTGCGTGTAATCAGCATTTTTAGAATTGGTGTGAATATGACATTATGAATCAGAACGGTCTCTGCTCCTGAAGCAGGGGGTTTGATCCTTTAACTTTCAACATACTGACCTAAAAAACTTCACTGAATTCAGTGGAAAGCTGCAGTGAGTGCTGCCCACTTCTGCTGACTTGTACTTGACAACTTCTGGTTCATTTACAAGAAAGTTGATTTTTTGAATACATGCTTAATAATGTCATTATTTTTTGCAAACGTAATATAAACTACTCAAGGATTATGTCCATTTTGAAATATTTGTGAATTCAGTCATCTTAAACGTAAACACGCAAAAAACTATATAAAAACATTACATTAAAAATTAATATTATATTAAAAATTAAATTATATATATCAGAATTAATGTTAAAGAAATATTACATTAATATACCTCACAGACAAGTAGAAGTAACTGAAAGAATGAACATTATCATTATTATTATTAGTACTAGTAGTAGTAGTAGTTTCATATATATATATATATATATATATATATATATATATATATATATATATATAATTTTTATCCTCCAGAATATTTTGCTTTCCTTTCTATGCGCCACTGTGTGCGTCGTGACGTCACGTCATAAACGACTCCTCCCCCTTATTCCTCTGTTTTGACATCTTCGCGTCAGCTGCGTTAGCGCGCGCTTCGAGAACCGAGGAGGAGGAGAAGGAGGAGGGGGAGGGAGGCTCTCTCTCCATCATCATCCTCTCTCTCTCTCTCTCTCTCTCTCTCTCTTCATCTCTCTCGGCTGAGCGCATCACTCGGTGCCTCTTGCCTCCGCCGCCGCGCTCTCGCTCTCCGCTCGGTTTTCCCGCGGTTCGGTTCGCGCGCCCCCGCCATGTCGAGCCTGCTGGAGAACCCCCTGCAGGCCGTGCTGTACCTCAAGGAGCTCACGGCGATCGTGCAGAACCAGCAGAGCCTCATCCAGACGCAGCGGCACCGGATCGACGCGCTCGAGCGCAGGCTCGGGGATCTGCTCGTGGAGAACCGGCAGCTCCGGGACGCGACGCACCGACACCCCGCGCGACACCACCCTCCCCCGCCCCCCCGTACCTCCAGCCTGCCCCGCGCGCCCCAGCAGCACGGGACGGGTCCGGCTCAGGCCCCCTCCGCCGCGGTGCAGCAGCACCACTCTCCGCAGGACATGCAGCTCGTGCCCGCTGGCGGCAGCCCGGACTCCAGCCCCGAGGACGCGCGAGAGCCGTGCTGCCGCTCGCTCGTCCCACAGAGCGCGGGCACTCTGTGCCGAACCGTGGGCATCCCGCGGAGCTCCGAGTAAGTCTCGCGCTTTAATGGCACTCAGAGCTAAAGTGTGCACATTAGTCACCTTTTTAAAACCACAACAGCCGTGCAGAGTTGAGGCAGATCACGCGCCGCTGAGATTACATAACAGACCCGTTACCGTGTGCGCGCGCTGATGTGGAACTACTAATCAATAATTTAATCAGCAGTGAATTTTTCCTCCTGCGCAGCTCTTCTGGCGTTAAAGCTCTACAGAGGGAGCGCAGAGTCCAGATGGTCGCCCACTAAAGCCTCACTGCCTCCTCTCTACACGGTGTGCTTTAGACTAGAGCTGCAGCGATACAGCAGTGCCGGGCGGTAATGGACTCTAAAGGTGAAACGGTTTTCAGGTATAATCAGGTGATGGAGGGCACTTAAAGGGACAAAATCAATCAGAATGTTTCAAGGTGAAGTGGTTCATCGTAGAGAAACTTACTGACTCTGATTTCTTTACAGTGGTGGTGACCAGGGGTCACAATGTCTACAACTCAAATATAGCCATTTTCTTTGCTTTCCAATACAAACTGAAGTTTATCTATGTAATGTTGATAATGATTAAATAAAGGTAAATCTGGAAAAATATATATATATTTTCTTTGGGGACTATTTTGCCTCACAATGCCCTGCAAGTACCTCTCCACCATGAACAGATTTTAAAAATATGGTTTATTCAAACGCCTTTTCTAAAAACTATCACTATCATCAGGCGGCGTATTTGTAAACATTTCATATATTAGCTTTCTGTGAGGGGGCTTTTAGAGGCATTAAACTCTTCAGACCACAAGCCTTTATCACCACCACGCTGAATCTGGCTTGGTTAAGTTTTTTTAGAACAGAGCATTTGCCATCAAACCACTCTGAATGACTTTTATTTTCCTCTTAATGATTTATTTAAAGGCATTAAAAACTTCAGATGTCTGGTTCCTAAAGCCACCACTGTGATCAGTTCTAACTCTGTACATTTCTTTAAAAGGGAGCATTGCATATCAAACCACTCGGAACAACTTTGCTTATATGTTGACGATTTTATTATGCAGAACTTTTGAAATATCGGTGGAATTCCCTTTTAAGTGCCTCTTGTTTCTTCTGATTTCAGTCATCAGTCACTAATGTGTGCATAAAATCAGCACTAAAGTACAAAATTCTTTTAGTTGGAAACTCAAACTTAAAGAATGGCTTTATGTGCCAGATGTGCATACAGCTCAGTGTCTCAGAAGACCATAACACACTGCCCCATTTGAATATCTGAATATACCCTACATACTATACTAGTACTGTGCACCTGAGAAAAGCTACTTATCTGGCCAGTAAGCACTTATTTATTCAGAAAAAGTCATAATATATGATTAAATAAACATCAATATAAGATTAGTCAAGGAAGTAGTGATTTTATGTATCAGTTTCAGAGTGTTCTCTCCTTGTGGCGACCCAGTATTATTTTGGGTTATGATTTGGCTAATTAATACTTCATTATGTTAAATCAGGTGTGCTGGTAATGGAATCAAACATTGTTCACCAGAGTAGCTCACAAGATATCCAACTGTTAGTATATATTGTAATGTTAAATGTTTTTTACATGCAAAAATACACTAAATGCCAAGATAAATGGGTTTAATTAATGCGCTTAGGTGTTTGAGACTTTTTACAATATGTTGCTTTGCTTTTTAAAGGATAAAGACAAATAATAACACAAAGAACAGAATAATTAAAAAGGGGACAGAAAAAAAGAGCTACAGATACACGGTATCTTTAATATATATTCTACAATATGACCTGGTCTCTTAAGTGCTTAAGACTTTTGCACAGTACTGTGCATAAAACCACATCATGATAATAAGTTGTTTTTTACAGCACTTTGCAAAGTGCCATTTTTTTCCAGTAGAAAAAAAACTAGTTTAGTGGTTAGTTGAAAATGAAAATAATTATTTTAGGATTTTCATTCAAGTCGAACTTCATAAATGTTTTTGCTGTCAGCATAATTTTGTGGCAAGTTTGTTGTGCATTGAAAATATAATGTGGGACAGTCTTGATTTGACCCATATTGGTCATATATTGATGAGAGAAATCATAATTTGGCAGCAATTTAAGTTCTGACACAATTTTTATGGTAGCATTTGAATTACTGCCAATAATAAAACTGTTACTTTACACATCAGAATCCTCTTGTGAAGTCTAAGGTTTACTCCCCTGCCTTTGACTGTGGCACTATGTGTGGTTGCGCACGAGAGTGTTTCTGTGTGTCTTCAGTGCTGTTAGCTCTTGTGTTGCCCTGCAGGTTGGTAACCTGTCGACCGGATAAATGCTTAGAGGAAGATGTAAGCATGTAAGCTCCGCTGGCTTTGATGCTGCATCATGAGTTATGAATGCACATAAAAATCTCTAAGTAAACCTCTTATTAATCTCTTTATACAACAAGCATCGTTGCTCTGTGTGCTCTTTCCCTCATGTTTTCTGTTGCCTCCTTCCAGGTCATTACTGCTGGATGCTGCTCTTACACTGACTGCATATCATCTCAGTTTGTAGCTATTTTACTTTAATCCCAGTCAGGAGCTGCCAGACCCATACTGCAGTCTCTTTAGTTTGAGTTTAGAACCAGAAAGGATGCCTTACCGCATGTTTTAGTGAGGTGTTGATGTGACTGGAGAGCCATGTTTGTTGCAGTAGTGAAAAATCAGCCTGCCAGATGGAGTGACTCCTGATTAGGGCTTTAATGCAGCACGACCCTGAGCTTCAAAGGCAGTCACGTTAATGTGAAGCAGCAGTAGGAAAAGAGCACTTCCTAATACTGCTGAGACATGACCAAGTGCACGTGCAGGCACATAAAAATGCACCCCCACACACACACACACATATATAGACTCACAAACAGACACATACAAACATACAGCATACACTGCAGCACATTGTGCATAAAGTGGAGCATTAAGTGAAATTCCCATAGAGCATGTAGAGCTGATCCGCCAGCTGCATCCTAATCCACTCTACAGATAGAGATTGTGTATCTGTGAGTCTCTGTGTTTATGTGTATTCAGCTATTTGTGGGGACCAGATGTCCCCATGATGATTAAAAACATGTTCATTTTGACATTTGTGTGGGGACATTTGGCTGGTCACCACAAGGTAGGTATTTATTTATTTATTTAAAAAAGTACAAATTTAATTTGGAAAAGTAAAAAAAAAATCCTTTTGGTTGCTGAGGTTAAAAGGCCCATTTCCTACATTTTCTCATATTTGCTAAAGTTGTATGCAAATACCTCACATCAAATTAGTAAAGTGAAAATAAGTTAATACATCCTTTTCAGAGAACAGCTTAAGTGTGGCATTTTTCTGCAATTTTTTCTGCACAATTTCACAATTTATTTGCTGAGTTTAACATATTCAAAAAAATAAAAATTTAAAACAACTTTTGTACAGGCTACATTTTCATGTGCAGAAGTGTGTTCTCTGTAAAAGATATGTACTTATTCTCACTTAGGAAATTAACCTGCAATTTTACATAGTACATTTTTTCATTTTCCATAGGTGGCAACCATTTTTTTCACAATTTTGAGGTATCCAGCTGTGTAACTTTTTAACATCAATAATTCTGTCATGCTCAGATTTGTTTTTCCATTCTGCTTCACTGCACTTACCAGCCAAAGTCACATGAATTTTGTCGTGGCGCACACTGTACACAGACAAAACATACATCACCACATATGAGGAACAAGCCAAGCCATCAGAGCATTACTCACCAGAATTAAAAGTGTTGTACTGCAATAAATAGATCATCACTCAGGGGACCAGAGTTTAATTTCTGTGCTCCTTGTAGAGGGAAAAAACGTTATAGTTGATGCACCAGGAGTATTACTTACTTAAATATGCACTCCAGCATGCGGCACATCAGCGGAGGCACAAAAATGCATTAGCAAGGACACGTTTGCTGTTCCATCTCACCTTACAGATGATGATAGATCATCAGAGACTTTTTGTTCTGTCAGCTTATCGCAGAACACAACCTAACTTGACTCTGCTCTCTCTCTTTCTCCCCCTCTCTCTCTCTCTCTCTCCCTCTCTCTTTCTCCCTCTCTCTCTTTCTCTCTCTCTTTATCTCTCTCTCTTTCTCTTTGTCTCTATCTCTCTCTCTCTCCCTCTCTTGGACTATCTTTGTGTTTATGTGTAATTAAATGCAAGAGAAAGTTTAGTTGTTTAACTGTTCAAGTAAAAATACAAATTCTAAATCTATGTGAAGTAGTTAGTATGATTACCAAATGAATTAGTTTCTAAAATCAAAATTGTTGTTGTTTCTAATGATTTTAAGGACTTCCAGGAGGCCTAAAGTGACATTTTCCCTCATGCAATTAGTTCCACACATTGGAAATCAAAACATGATCGCTTGATTGCTCTGTCACTTTCTAATTATGTTGGTAGTTAATCTGACACATTAGGGCTTCAGTTCAACTACTGAAGGCCTAACCAATGGAAGGGCTGTCTTACCAGTATCCACCCAGAAACCATGGTTGAACGACTTTGGACATTTCAAGAATTTAACCCTAAGAGCAGTGTTTTAATGCAGACGTTCTAATTGAATAAAAATGAATAAAAACTGAAAAATACAGACATGACTTTTTAAATTCCCAGATCATTAGGCCATCTCTGAAGGCCTAGAAGGCCCTGAGGGTTTCCCTTTGATGTTTACATACTGCATCACACTCTTTTATTTCAAAAATATGAGAAAAATTCATTTGGCCATGAGATGGGGTCCTTAAGGTTAGGGCTGGATTAGACAAGGAAATATCAGTGGAGGTCAATGAAATTACCCCACAAAGACAGGAATACAAACTTGCGTGTGTGTCCATGTGCGCGCTTGTAAGCGAGAGAGAATTGCTACTTCTTTTAGAGCCACTCATCTGCTCCAGTGCACCTCTCACACTGCATTTATACTGTGCTCTGAGTGTGTGTCAGCGTCTGTGTGTAAATAGTTTCCTTTCTAACTGGAAAAATGTGTTTTGCTTTATTAAGTCCCATAGTAACATTACATTTCCCTCAGGGAAGGAAAATGCTCGATGTGAGTGTATGCGCATGTTTCCCTGTAGGATTTGCGCTGTAGTGAAATTAGGACTGTGCCAAGCCTGCAGTCTGTCAGGCTGATGTTTAAGTCATGGTCTTACAGTTCAGCCGTCTTAATCATAATGAATCTCTCAATAACAGCTTTGGGCTGCTTGTTTGTCTGTGCTTTTCATGAACAAAAATCAACACTGCAGCTTTTTCAGAATGATTTCTAATCTTTATTTAAACAAGAAATATCGACCAGGGCTTCACACAACATGGCTTTGTGGGACAAACAAAATATACCACCTTAAAAAACGATGTTCAGTTTTTCAAACATTCTTATATAATGAATTTGCAACCTTATTTTCAGTGCTAGCAATATTTTATAACAAATACGCAATGAGAGTATCGAAAGCATTCAGAGGTGGAGCCACCTAGGGGGTAGATCAGTGCACTTGAGGGGGCACATAGACGTAGCCAAAATGAAATAAATAATAGTAATGAAATATATAGAACATTCATAACAGACTTCTGTTAGAGTTATTATAAGTGACAGAATATAGTATTTACTGAACAAATTTGAGGTCCAGTACAGAACATAGGGCTGCATATTGAGGAAATCAGGGTGTCATGCACAAAACAGTAGCACTGAAGAGAAAAAAGCACACTTTAGCTTAGCCTTGGTTTCATTTACTCTTTTTTAGGTGTGAATCATCTTCTAACTCACTCACTCACTCACTCACATGTAGCATTAAATGTCCACCACAAGAGGGCACTATCACCTGTCAAACAGCTTTTGATGCTTCCTCAGAGCAGTGCTTCACATCAATGACACTGCATGCTTTTGTTCTTCTTTGAATCAACCAATAACTTAAGCTTCAAACTCCAGTGACCAAAAGGAAAATGACCATCAAAACGAAGGAGAGAGACAGTTCTACAAATGAGAAAATGGCCACGAATAAAGTAAAAAAACAGGAGAGGGAAATTCACAGATCAGATAATGAGGTAGCAGAAAACAAAATGAAAGGCAACACAATGGTAGGCAATAATAGTGGAAATGGAATTTACAATTAAATATCTCTTACCACAAATATTTGTCCAGCAGAGAAATATGAAGATTTATTTTCAATGAGAGAGATGAAATTTGTTCTTCATTTTTGTGCACAAGGTGTCTTCCATTGTTTTTTGTGCTCTGGGCGTTAATCTATCTGCTCAGCATGCTCAGTTTAAGAAAATCAGGCAAGCATCGTACAGGGCAGTGCACCTTGCATTTTTAACCTCCAAAAACTCAATGTGATTCTCTACTTAGCTGTTATAAATTTAGCTTATTGTCTACATTTGTGATTCTGTATAGACCAGAAAAGGGTTATTTTATTGTAAGCTGATATTCTGCTATTTTCAAATGAGTGCACCCCCTAGCCCACCCAGGGCCCACTACCATAATTTGCTCCCCTTGTGTAACAGCGTAGCGCTGCTGCTGAAAGTGTTGTATTTTCTAAATGGATAAAGTAAGATAAGTAAAAGTATTGCAGTTAAAGACATTCAGATACATTTGAAATGTAATTCAGTTCTATCATTGCGTGCGAATCTTCTTTTAAATGCAAAAGAGAAATAACGTAGGAGGGTCCTCTCTGCAGTATGGGTTTGTAGAAATGTAAAAAGCATTGCTCTTTTCTGCAGGGTTAATCATGTTGGTCAGTGTAATTTATAGTAATGTGTTTGAAAAGGATCACCAGAAACAAATCAAGGTGGCCTCTGTGAAGATGTTTCAATATTTTAACATAAAATGTTTCTGAACAACGAATCAGTCAGTGAATAAAGAATTAGAATGGTACTGCTTGGTAGAATGAAACACTGTGCTGGTGTAGTTAATGTACTGTAAATTGCCCAGATCAATTTGCATATTCTTTTTTCTTTCACAGGAGCCAAACTGTCCTGCACCAGTTTTGCTGCCCCGCCCCCGAAGCTCCTGAGGGAGATTCCGTTGGCTGCTCCAGGTGAGGGTGTGGCGCGATGCTTTTCTTTATGATGTGATTCAAGTTAGCAGGGGACTTTATTAAAAAGGAAGAGAAAGCGAGGGGGGATGGGGCATAGCAGAGAGGAAGGGAGGCAAGGATGAGGGTCAGTTGAGGATGTGAATGTGGTATAATGCAGCCCGTCTGGCAGCCTCTGTCTGACAGACTGTAACAGCCTCTGAGGCGAAGGAACAGCAGTAGTACTCAGGTGAAGAGCGGGAGATAGAAGTGCATGCTAAGGTGAGAGAATATTAGGAGGAGAGAAGGAGAGACAGAGAGAGAGAGAGTTGTATGAGTGAGTGTGTGAATGTACTAGGGAGAGAACATTACTCAAGTGTAGAGAAAGACAGAGTGAAGCACTCAGGCGCTGAATGTTGAGTGAGTCTCTTGGGATGGTGTCAGACTGATGTTAAAGTCATGGTGGTATGGAACATTACTGGAATATATAAGCTATTTTTATAGATGCTGGCTTTTTGGATCCTCTGCTGCTTCTTAAACGCTTTACATAGTGTCAGAAATAACCATGGGAAAAGGGCAGAAATGCCCCATATGCACCCCTTTGCAAGTTCTGACTCTCTCCAGCGGTCCTCCTAGAGTGGGTTGTTTAAGAATGTGCATAGCCACAGGTCTACAAACGTCAGTCCGTGCCTTATAGTGGTGCAGCATGAAGCCACTTAAATGGCAAGGGGACTGCGTTACCAGTGACAATGTGTGATTATCAGAGGACAGCTTTAACAGAGTATATTGTTTATTTAGGGTGGAAAAAGGCAGGAGTACACTCTTTTGTGTTGTATAATATTGGGTTTGTTTGGAATTCAACAACGAGACGTTTGACATTCATGGCTCCCAAAAAATCAACATCAGGTTTTTTTCATTGCTGCGGTCGTCTGCAATAGTTGGGGAAAAAAAACTCTTGATCGATTGCCCTGCTTACTGCTGAAATTCACAAAATGGATTATGTAAATCCATTGCTGTGTTAAAGCTTCTGAATCCCAATGTTTTTTTCTCTTCTTTTGATATGTGAATGTTGAACTTTTGTGTATCCTACTGTTATTCTGTTCTAGTATAAATGGTTTCCATGGAGTTAATTTTGTGCCAAAAATTTCAAATAAAATTATAAAATCCACAAGCAAAATGTGGAGTACTTTAAAATAATTGCTCAAAATGTTAAGCAATATAAAAAACTGCGTCACCAGTGTAACTGCATAGTTACTTACGTCTACGACGTTACGACAGCAATCCATGCAGTTGGGTTGGTGTCTGGATACGCATCTGACTTGATCATTTGCAAATAACAGTGCAGACAGTCGTCTAAAAAGATCTGATTGAGAAGCAAATCTGATTTGCCTGCAGTTTGAATGTAGCTTTACTGCCCCACAATGTGACTCACCCTTTTTTTTGACACACAACAAGTGGAGCTTTTCAGCTGAAGTTAAACATTTTTTAACTTGATCTGTGATGATCCTTGGAAAAGTGAGTCGTGCCTGTGGAATTTGTGTCCTGCTGTAGGATATAATGGCGCTTTGAGTAGAATACACTCCGCTGACAGAACGCAGCAAGTTTATTTGTATAGCACCTTTCCTACACAAAGGCAATTCAAAGTGTTTTACATCAATAAAAGAACAGAGAACTTAAGTAGGAAATAAAAAACAACAGTGCTAATTAAAATTCAACTAAAACAAGAGATCAAAATTATAAAAACTTCATGAGAAAGGGAATGTAGAGTAAATAGTAAAGTGCTAAAATAATGCAAAGTGCAATGGTGTAAGGAGTCTAAAAGGCACAAGTAAACAGATATGTTTCAGTCAGCTTTTAAAAATGATAATTAAAAATCTTGAAATATTGAATTAAATATCTTAAGATACTATTTAGTGTCTAGCTTATAAGTCTTAAGTCTACATTGTATAGATTGTTATTGTATATAAATTGTTAATATCATTATAATAGTTCAAATGTTATTTTTTTATATTTTGCAGTGTCACCATTTGTGTATAAAATGCCTCTGAATCTCAGTCAGTGAGGGCAGAAATTGTTCCTTAAAAAGTCTTGTCTTCATAAGAGTGAAGGAACATGCTGTTTCTGTACTATGTAAAGTTGTCTATTCTGAGTAGCTACATCACAGTGATTCTCACCAAACAATCCACTGCTCTGTCTGACAACGATAAGAGAAATAGTTCAGCTCCTGAAATAGAACAAGGAATATCATAAAAGACATTTCAAAGTGAGTGAGTTATTGCTTTATACATTCAAGGCCAATCTCTTTCTCTTTCTTCACTCTGTTATTAGAGATAACTGCTCTTTCATGTGAAATGCCCATCTATTTAACCCTTACACTCACTTTCTGATTTGACAGTTCATTTTGATTCATTGTTTACCTGTAGGGATGGATGAAATAATGACATGATGTCTTTATCACGATAAAATACATCATGATAAGCTTTTTGGAGCTTAGCATGGATGTTGTCAGTACTTAAAGAACATTGAACAACTGCGTGTTCATTAACCCCTTAAAATCCCAGGCTTATTACACACTAAGGCTTATTATTCAGTAACTACAAGGAGTTCATTGCAAACTGATTGAGCTAGTTATAGAAGTGAGGTTATAGAAGTGTGTAATAAAACTTGGTGGCTTGAATGTCCAGCTGGTAGGCCCTGGCCATTTAAGGGGTTTAAAAAAAGTAATTTAGAGGCCGTGCTGAACTGGATGTATTAATTCACAGTAAAAGTAAATAACAAGATCCTTGTATTTACGGTTTTTGGTAGATTTTTTAAATTGTGACACTAGTGTTGCACCAAAACAAAAATTGCTTCTATTTTGCTGTATTCTGTAAATAAAGCAGGATATCATGTTTTCAAATGGTATCAAACATGTAATGGAGAAGTTGTTGGGGTTTGTTCTACCTCTTGATGTTTGACATGACACAGATATCTGCTTGTCTAATGTCCCTCATAGAAACTGTGGGCAACACTTTATTTGGAGTGGTCCTTTGTAGATTATTAATAAACCCTTAACAGATTATCAGTAACACATCAACAACATATCAGTGAAGTAGCAGTAGTGAAGCATCTGAATACATTGAAGTAAAATATCTTGTAGATGTTCTGTTGATATACCTACATTAAGTAGATGTATTGTTAATGTTATTTCCATTACGCAAAACTTAACCTTACCCAACTTTACCCAAAACCTAACCCTAACCCTGGCCCTAATCCTAACCCTAATCCTAACCTCTAACCACAACCTAATTCTAACCCTCATATGTTTTTGACATTTTACTGACAGTCCGTTAAGTGTTTGTTTTATCTAAAAGGGTCACTCAAAAAAGTGTCACCAAACTGTGAAATGATTTCAAGTGGCCAGCAGTATCACTGTTCATTTGCTGCCGCTCCAACTGTTTGAATGTGTTTGTGCTGACTGTTGATGGAGAGCCAGTGAAACTAACAACGTTTCAATCAGTCAATTTTTAGTACCATTGAAATTATTTGTAAAGTGTTCATGTTTGACATTGTGTTGTAGGCCTGTAATTGTTGTCTTTTTTTATTTTAGAACAGAAGTACCACATAGGCATCAGGATCAAACATTTTTGTCTGAAAATGGTGAAGAATGGCACATGGCTTTTGGCCGAAAAGTTTGGTGGCTGAAATTTTGGTGTGTCTCTATTTGGTACTGCTGTTTTGCTGGTGCATTGCATCTGTCCAGCTTATCAAACCTCTTTCTAGAGAACTGGAGGGCTGTTAGTTTGAATCCTGAACAGAATGTCAGGAAGCTTGGCTTAGTTTTATAAGAATGCATGTTTTTACCTTGAATCTAAATGCTGCTGCCTTTATGCTCTAGCTGTAATTCTTTCTCCATTTCCTCCATATGGCAGCCTTGGAAAAGCCTGTTTTACGGTCCTACTGTAGTTTTTTTTTTTTAATAAATGCATTTAGGACAGTGTCCTTCGTGGACCTTATGGATGGCAATAACATATAGCTTATAATTTATAGCTATGGCCTATTAGTTTTATATGGTATGCTGCAGTATCAGTCTGCTGCCAGGGAGGAGGCGGTGTGTGAAGGGCAGTTTGTGCTGTGTTCCATTCTCCACCTCGTCTGACAGAGTTTAAGGTATTAGAGTGACCCGCTTACTGACTATTTCGCTGACTGAGTGCCCAGTCAGCACAGTGTGTGTGTGTTTCTGTGTTATAAAAAAGTCTCCTTGCACTTTCTTTCACAGAGAGCGTGAGACTGGATGAAAAGTGGTGTGTTTAGGAGGTTGTTTTGTTGAGAAAAGTGTGCAGAGATAATCTCTTATGATTTAAACATGCATTCTCAACTTAGCACTGAGGCCTTCGCTCTCATGACACTCACACAATGGCTTTGTAATGTAGGGAATTATGTAAGTATGTGTGTGTGGGGAAGGAAGAGTGTGTGTGCGTGAAAAGAATTGTGATGTTCTGTTTCTAGTTTGGGGGATTTTGTCAGTGAACAGTGCTCTAGCTCAGCTTGCTCCTGTCTTTATAGAACACGAACAGACACTTTAGATGCTCGTTATGCAGTCACACTGCCTTTGGCAATAAAACGCTACTGTTACCCAGAAAAGACACAGGCATATTTTTGCTGCCATGAGGCATCGGCTGATAATGACTCAAATAGAAGTAATTATTGTTAAGTAGGTTTTATTATTATTAGTATTGTTATTATTATTAGTATTATTATTATTATTATTATTGTGTTGCTTATGGTAATATTGGGGGTGTGACAATTCACAACATTCATAAATTGGTTTGATGCCGTATTGCAGGGGTACTCAACTGTGGTCCTGCAGGGCTAGTGTCCAGCACTGTTTGGTGAACCACAACTGATTCAACTTATCTCTTAATTGCCAGATTAATTAGGTATGTTTGAGCAGAAGAATAAGCAAATTGTGCTGGACACTGGCCCTCCAGGATGGGAGCTGAATATCCCTGCATTACATATAAAGTTGCTAATGTCATTGTCCAAAAAGAAAACATATATATATATATATATATATATATATATATATATATATATATATATATTCAGCTAATTTGGCCACCTTGGACTTGTACAAAAAACACAAGTACATCGTTAATTGCAATTTGGCATCATCATCTAATATGTTATGATCATGACAGACCTAATTATTTCAGATGGCCTATATGCCAGTACACAGTAACTTTTAAAGCTTTTAAAGCCGATGATCTTAATGCATAGTTTCAGAAAACAGCTCTTCTAGTGCTTTTGGCTGATTTGGTCAAGCCAACTCAAACTAAATTTGTTCACAAACTTTACCCTTCTAGTTATTATTATTATTAGTAGTAGTAGTTGTAGCATTATTAGACATGCATCAAAACCATTTTTTCAGACCAAGTATAAGTACATGCCAATGCTGATTCCTATACCATAGTGAGAATTAAGAGAATTTAAGAAGTAGTTGTTAGTGTAAATAAGTGCAGTGTACCTTTAACAGTTAAATCTTTAAAATTAAGCTGAAGTGCATTACCTAACTATGTTACATTTATTACCTTGGATCAAGTAGCACTGCGGTGGAGAAGAGTGTGTTTTGTTGCACATCAGAAAAGCGCTTTTGTACAGCTGTAAGTAAAGTACATTTCATAGTTTTGAACCTCATCTGTCTCTTTTAGTGACAGTCTCTGTAGCACAGTGACAGCATATCCAAGGAGCTCTCCTGTTGAGTTCTACGTCTTGTTGGAGTCTTTTAATTGGCTGGTTGAGCTGTAGTTGAATGTCCTCTAAAGGCAGGCGTACACTGTAGGATTTTTGAAATCTTGCTCTTTGGTGGCTCACATTGTATGATTAAACAGACACCGTTTACGGACAAAGCCTATGATTTATATGCTCACACTGTACAAAAATACTCAACCTGATTGACATGCAACATGATACAGCCTCTACAGACAGCTCTGTCTACAGATAATTTCTAATATAGCTTCTTTCAAAATAACATGCTGAGAGTACTGAGTAAACACGCTGAGAAACTGTGCTACAGCAGCCTTGCTAACCTGTAACACACTGTGCATTGAAACTAAAAGGTGGTGATGATGTAGATGGGTAGGACAGTACAGTCTCTGTACAGCCTATTTTACTATGCCTGTTTAGAATATGCCAAGGTGGGATGTTTAAAGTGACCTTTGTGTCTGACAGTCATGGCGTCAGCAGCACTTCTCTGTGTGAGCAGATGCTCATTCACTGCCAGCTTCATTTGTTTATTAGCATGGCAACAAACACTAGGCTTCTGTCACATGGTATTAGGTGGTATTGGATGTTGGTATTAGTGCATTTTTATAAGTACAAGTAAATAAGCACGGTGTCTGCCCAATACCTGATAACATGATCAGTATGGATGAATCTCTTATTATTATTATTATTATTATTATTGCACTTATTCCCTTTTGCACTTTGAAATTTCACAGAAAGCTCCAGTTGGGGAAGTATTTTTGCGGCGATCTTGTTGAACCAACAGCAGAGTTGCACAGTATGGCATGCAGTAATTAAGCAGTGTTAATTAGCTCTGAGGACGCATAGGGTTCTGATTCAGTTTAGATTAAAAGACTGTAAATGTAGGTCAGTCACTTCTCAGATGTGAAGTGTGGCACTGCCGCTGAGAATCTGTGGTGGTGGGTTGTTCTGGAACAGACTAGATTAACTCTAATTAACTTTAGTAGGGGTTTCTAGGCTCGGTGGCGGCAGGTTATTCCACGCCTTTATGGCTAATAGTGCCTCTGTGTGTACCTTGAGGAGGAGGGCCTGGTTTTAAGCAGCACTTTAACAGCTGGAGCAGGCAAGCTCAGCACAGCCAGCAGAGTTTATTGCAGCTCGAGGAGTGATTACAGTCCATACATTTGTAGAGTTTACTAACAGGCTCTCACTTCACTGTGAAGTACTCCACTGCATATTCATCTGAACACAATCTGAGGGAAGGGCTCATGTTATATCTGCAAGTCTGCAAGAGAACGTACACCGATCAGGCGTAACATTATGACCACCTCCTTGTTTCTACGCTCATTGTCCATTTTATCAGCTCCACTTACTATATAGGTGCACTTTGTAGTTCTACTATTACAGACTGTAGTCCATCTGTTTCTCTGCACACTTTGTTAGCCTCCTTTTACCCTGTTCTTCAGTGGTCAGGACCCCCTATGGACCCTCGCAGAGCAGATATTATTTGGGTGGTGGATCATTCTCAGCACTGTAGTAACACTGACGTGGTGGTGGTGTGTTACTGTGTGTTGCGCTGGTCTGAGTGGATCAGACACAGCAGTGCTGCTGGAATTTTTAAACATTGTGTCCACTCACTGTCCACACTATTAGACACTCCTACCTTGTCAGTCTACCTTGTAGATATAAAGTCAGAGACGATAGCTCATCTGCTGCTGTGCAGTTTGTGTTGGTCATCCTCTAGTCCTTCATCAGTGGTCACAGGATGCTGCCCACAGGACACTGTTGGCTGGATATTTTTGGTTGGTGGACTATTCTAAGTCCAGCAGTGACACTGAGGTGTTTGAGCATAGTACCCTACTTTTAAATGGACATCTTATGTGAAGTGCTTCAATTAAAAAATTAGTGTATAGTTTAGTAGGTTTTAGAGAAAAAAAAAACAGGTGATCAAGGTGTCAGTATTCGTAACAGAATTGGGTAAGAAAAAATAGTACCACCGCCTCTAATCACAATGCTGTAAAATTTCTATAACTTAAGAATAACCCAGTTTGCATTGTAGTAGGATATGATAAGCCTGGAATGGGTAAATTAGGGGTAAATTAACGTTTAAACAAGCAGGGGGCTCCTTAGAGGTACAGCCACGTAAGTGTTGGCCTTATTGTTGGGAGATTATAAGTTCAGTTCCCAGTGATCCTGTAGCCAACCATGACCAGGAGTTCAAGAGAGCGCATTGTCCTGTCTTCCCCGATCCGCCAGCATGGCTCTAGCCAACATGGCCGTCTGTTAGCTGGTGCAACAGAAGTGGCAGTTATGCAGCATTTACATTACAGTGAAGCAAGGTGATTTTTCTTTTGCTTCTCATTCATTTCTGTGGGGACAGATTGTGTGTGGGCGATAGGCGCAAAGCAGGTGGACAGAGTGATAAAAAGTTGAGCTGTTCTCAAATGAAGAAGCAAATGAGATGCAAGTTTTGCCAGCTGGCAGCCAGTCAGCTTGTAAAAAAAGTGCCACGGTGCGTTACGTCATGGGTCACATCCACATAAACACTGACTTCATACATGCTGAAATCAGTGTTGATGTTGATTTTTACAGTAGTTCACTTTTTTAAAAAGAATATTAGACCTTTTGTCACTTGTGTTTCATCAGAGCACATAACTAGCCTAGACCTCTGCTTGGACAGCTAAACTTGCTTAAATGTTAGTAACATGCCCACAAAGCAGCCAACAGCTGCGAGATAAGCATTTTGGTTTGCTGTAAAACAAATGCAGTGTGCAAGTGTTCTCCTCCAAGTGTGTTGAGCTGTCCAGTGACATTGCATTAGCAGCAAGAGATGTGGTGGCTGGCATCATGAGTCTTGTAGGAAGCACGTGATAGCCTTTATTCTCCCAGCTTGGTTGTGCTGTGTGATAAGGGGAGACCCAGCTAGCTGGTATGAATTGGCCATGACTAAATTAATTGGTAAGAAAATTGAGTAAAACACCAAAACAAAACATTGACCAAGCAGCAACAGTGAAGTATAGCACAGATGCAGTGTTTGAGATGTGGTGTAGTCAAGTTCTGGCTTGGTTCTGTTCTTGGAGTGCTGTTATAAGCTAACCATGCTTCATAAGGCCCAATTCACTAGCATGCTGAACAGTTGGGAGAAGGCAGTGTGGGTTGAAGGCTTTATTTGGCTTTCTCAAAACATATCCTGATATAGAAAGAGGATTAATAGACAGCTCATCAGAGCTTATTACTTTCCTCCTCTGCACTACACTTGTGCGTTTTCTGTTCATTGATATGGGCCGTGTGTTTTTTTAAGGGTGGCTTTGCTTACAAATGGTTTCTAAATCTAGATAAAGTCAATGATGCACAGATTTGGTTGCGACTGCGTCAGCTCATTGTGAGCTATTTTTTATGCTGTTGCTTAGTTGGGCAATTATCTTTTTTAGGTGTCAACTTTCAACCACTAGGCTTCTTCCTAGATGCAGTTTCTCCTTATTTAAAATATGCTGTCAGCATTTTTAACAACATAGTCACCTCTGCAACCAAGACAGCCAACTAGAGCTAATTTTACATAAACCACGTCAGGTTTCAGGAGAAATGTATGAAAGGTATCATTAATTGGTAATTGGTAATCAAACATTAGGTTTGGCTTTACCTGGGATTTAGTCTCTTATAGTGAAGCTATTTTGCTGCGGATCCTGGCTGAGGTTTTCTGGACCTCTGGCAAAACATGAGAGAATATACATCCTCCCACAGGACAGGATAGTGTGGAAAATAACAAGAGGAGAAAAAATGTAGCCTGCAGGAAAATGTAAGAACAAAATTATTAACAAGTAATTGATGATTCCATTCAAGTTATGCTTTATATTTTATTGCATTTGTGAACTCTATTGCACAGCATGTTCTCTTTACAAAGAGCATTTTCACAATGTTACAGAAAAAGACTAAACAGAAAATAAAGAAATTTGATTCAGTAGTTACAGGAGTGCATTCGCCCTTCAGGCTTTGACCCTGTTGTCATCTGATCAGTTCACTGTCTTCTCTGCCTCCTGTATTATTCTGCATAAACATATTTTTATCCCTTCTGCAGTTCAGTCCATGCAATAGAAGGAGAGACAGAGAAAGATGAGAAGAAAGCTGCTCAGCTAAGCCCTCCTCCGTGCTCCCACACTCCGGACTACGAGCTCTCTCCTGACCTCAAACAAAAACAGGTCCTCATCAACAACCATCAACAACTGTGTGTTTGTGCATAAGTGTATGTGTGTGTTTTTGTGTGTATGTATGCATGCATATGAAAATTGAATGTAACCATTAAGAGAGGTTGGTAATAACGTATGTTTCCATGGTAACAGATGGAAATGAAGAGTAAATAACCTTTTGCTGTAGCACTGTGAATATATTATTATGTTTCACTAAACCATTCCTACCACTTTCTACCATCTTTCCTTTTATCTCTGAATCTGTTCTTCTCTATCTCTCTCTCCCTCTCTCTCTCTCTCTCTCTCTCATTCTCTCTCTCTCTCTCTCTCTCTCTCTCTCTCTCTGCAGATAGAGGAATTGGAGCAGAAGTATGGTGGTCCGCTTATCTCTCGCCGTGCTGCTTGTAAGATCCAGACAGCATTCCGACAGTATCAGCTCAGTAAGAACTTCCAAAAGATACGGAATTCTGTGCTGGAAAGTGGAATTCCGCGCCGCATGTCTGTGCGCAGGGTGCGGGTGCAGAGGGACGGCTTCTCTGCTGAACGTGCACTGATGGAGGGGTGCTCTCTTATGGGCATCCCACTCACACACTCCACCTCACTGCCCACAGGCACTTCAAACACACTCACACACCTGGAGGACACCTTCAACGAACAGGTACAGCTTCAGCGCTCATATGATCTTATCTATTCTGTTCTGTTGAATTCTAAATGCAATTATAATGTCAAATTCAAGATTAAGAGAAGATATTTATATTACGTTATAGAGCACATAATGGATTTCCATTAAAAAAGTTCAAGCAAAAACTTCTATTTACTTTCTGCAACCATGCACAATTTCAAAACTGTGGTTCAGTTTTTTCTTTTATTTTTTAGGTTTTAGTTATGTATTTTCAAGACTGGACGCTAAATCTCGGCTCCAAACATTTGGAGGACTTATTCACATTTATAAGCAGCGCGGTTGGTTAAATCTGCAACGAAAGACTGTCTTTCTCTAAAAAGTTGCGAAAATGAACTCGCTTCACTTTCGTATTTTCCCGTTCCACCTTAAATTAGGGAAAATTAGAACGAGAAGCTGGCGAATAAGAAGCGACTTCAGCCTCGCAAAACAGCCGGACGCTGAGACATTTTACAAGAAACTCTTCTAGTTTTGAAGAAAAGTTTTCTGCCGGAGATGGGAGGAAAGCGGCTATAGCTAAAGCTTAAAGCAGAGCGAAGTAAATCTGCGCTCTCGTTTATATTGTTTAGCCTATGTTAGGACATTATCACATACTGACACATACTGGACATTAAATGTTGCGGCTCCCAAGGTGGTTTGACTTTGTTAAAAGGCAAAATGGCTCTTCTTATCATTTGTGTTGTGACTCCTGATCTAACCTGGCTTTTAATGCAGAGGGAGCCGGTCGGATTTCTCGCTCATCCAGTGGTGTTTTTGTTATGTGCCGCCACAGACTGTCCGGGAGCTGCACTTCCGCACTTCCAGTTCCGTCTTTTGTGTTCCGTCAACATTACGTTATAAATGAAATATTTAGAAAATCGATTTTTGACATTTGTGAATTGATTCAGAATTGTTCACGTCCGCATCGCGATGCATCTAAGAATCGATTTTTTCCTGCACCCCTACTACACAAATTACATACCCTAATAAAGTCATTTCATTTCAGCTTTATCATTTTGTTTAAACTGAGAGTTTGGCACAGGCGTCAAACATGAAGCAATGACATTACGTAGCAGTGTTTAATGTGCACAGATTTCAACAATAACAATATAACACTGCTTTTTCAAGCAGTGATTATGGAGCCACATTTTCCTCTGAAGCACTGCGCTTTCTTGAGAGGTCAATACATATAACATTGCTTTCAGCTTCACTCAGCTGTTGTGACAGTCACAAACTGAATATTGTCATAGAAATGGCTCAGAGTCATGTAGCGTCATAAAATATGTCATAAAATAACAAGTAAGCACCTGTTCCTTGATGGAGCTAAAACAGTAATGATCCACTCTTCCATTCAACCAGATATTTTGGCCATAATCTCCAAACACAGCAGTGATGTGAAAAATAAGGTGGATTCTATTTTATTCTGTGTTGTTCTGTTCTAGGTGCAGTCTTTAGCACGATCCATAGATGAGGCCTTGAGCAGTTGGAGTTCTGTGCGTGATGGGGAAGCGGAGGGGGCTTCAGGGGCTCCGCCCCCAGGTCCTGCTTCAGAGGGGCTGCTGATGGACCGCACTACCCTTCAGGAGACCACGCAGAACGCCTGTGCAGAAGGCATTCCTCGCAGTGCCAGCAAGCTCATGATGGCCTTCAGAGATGTGACCGTCCAAATTGACAACCACAACTTCCGCCTGTCCTCCTCCGTGCTAGAGTCCGTTTCCCTAGGCAACGGCATCTCCAAGGAAACCGGCTCGGAGCCTCCAGCAGGAGGGCAGAATGTCAGCCAATCAGAATCCTCCGTTATGGCCGAGCCTGAGTTCCCTGCCCCACCCCCTAGCGAGGAGATAGGGCTGGACCAGCGGCCAGCGGGAGATGAAGTGGAACCTGCTCAGGCCGGCCAGGAGAAACCACAGGCCAATCAGAGTGTGTCCGAGGGGGCAGAAAACAGCTCAGAGCCAATCAGCAGCAGCAGCACGTCAACCTCAGCATGCGAGACCATGATCCTCTCACTGCCACGCACACACTGCCAGGACATGCACTGTGGGACCCTCTCCACAGACATTGCACGCAAGCGCCTGTACCGCATCGGACTCAACCTCTTTAACATGTGAGTAGTGGGTGAAAAAGGCAAGTCGTACGCCAAGGCAGCACCACTGAATGACTGAATTGTTTTTACGGCTCCTTGTGCCGTTTCACAGCGTTTGTTTGTGTGCCACGCTCACGGCCGATAAAAATATCTCACCCGTTCCATCCTCCCACTCATCTGTGAAGCTGCTTCCTCCGCTCAGGTTTATCTTCCTTCACCAAGACTAAAGAGCTGAGTGCCTTTACGCTCTGCTCACTCATGGAGCACTAACAGAGATACACACACATACACACACATGCGCAAAGGCAAGTGGATAAGGGTAATATTTCCCTGAGGGTGTGCACGTGTATGTGTCTGTATGTGTGTGTGTGTGTGCCTGAGTACGTCTTCTTTCTCTCATGCTCTAGACACACAGACCCCCTCACACAAAGACCAATCATTGTGTTTTAGCACTCATATGAAAGCTCTGATCAAACTCCCTTTGACATGGTTGACGTGAGCAGCTCTTTGGTTGCCATGGTAACCAGGTGAGCCCTCTAGTCGTAGTCACATGTTTTCACTCAGGCTGTGTGTTGTTGGGGGGATGGGGTTCATGTTGAACTCCATGGTTAAAAGTAAGAGGTGAGATGTTCGAGTGTCCACTGTAATGGAAGTAACAATGCACATGGCAAGGTGACTGCATTTTAAAGCCACTGACCAAAGGCAGATAGAATGCACATATTGTACACATATCATACCGTCAGATTATTTCAGGGCCCATATCATGGAAAACCACCTCTTCCATGTTTTTAATAAATGAGTTTGACATACAGTGTAAACTTTGTATGTTTCAAAGTGTACTATTTATTCCGTACAGTCCATATGTGGAAACTAAACTGTAAAAACAGCTTTGTCATGGTAGTGATGTCACAGCCACAAATGATATCAAAGTTTTTAACCCGTTAAATTATTGATGCCACTAATTATTTGGTAACACTTTACTTGAACTGCATAGCACTGAGAAACTATGCCACAAACATCTATGCCACATAAGTGATTATGACAGATTTTGTTCGGACTTTTTGATCTTACAGTGACATGTTACTATTACCGTTAATTGCCATGATGCTGTATTTGATGTCATGACGGCTTACTAGAGTACGCTATGAAAAATTAGCATGTGACATAAGATGTTATCACATCAAACATTATGGCAGGCATGTCAAACTGGGGACTTCCCAGGTCAAAGTGCTGTGGAGATTAGCATTTACCCTCATCTAACGCTCTGGATTTAGTTCAAGAAAGCTTTGTTAGCTGATGAGCTGAATCAGATGTGTTTAATGAGGCAGTGTGCTGAGGTCTGCAGTGTTTTGGCCCATGAAGACTGAAGCCTGACACATGTGCATTATGGCATTGGTCATGACAATTACTGGTAATGATAACACTATTATGTTACTGAATATAATTTTTCATGACATATTTATGGGATGGTTATGTCACTGTCATGTAGCCATGTAGCTTTGTACTGGTCTTACTGCTGGTAAGCAAGTCTTCGAAAGGATCCAGACATCCCAAAGGAGCATCAATAGTTTATTTTTTACAACATCCCTTAGGATTTCGGCCCAGACTTCCCTTGGTCTCGGGGGTAAAGAGATGCTGAAAAATGGTCACATGAAACTGTGTTTTAAATGGACTTCAGGGGGAAAAATAAAATGAAATAAAAAGAAAAATAGTACATAGGCCCTTTAAATATGCTGTAAAGAGTTGGAATGTGAAAATTCTTTTAAGTGAGGTCAGTATTACAGGTCAGTGGGCAAAGTTAGATAGCTGCACTGAGTCAGTGATGGGGCTCTAAAGCAGGAGTCTGTACTGTACTAAATTTGTGTGAGGGGTCAGTTGGGTTTGGAGAGTAAAGGAACCATGTTGCACTGTGGTTATGGAGTTGTACGCAACAGGGGGCTGTGATGAATGTTGTGGCGCGGGTGCAGTCAGGAGAGACGTGGGCATGTGTGTGGAACTGTGCTTAGGGACACTGTAGAGTTGTGGCAGGGTGCTGAGAGAGGCAGATGTTTCTCAGCAGTGTCCAGATGTTTGGGGACATTAGAGACTACGGCACTCTGTAGGCCAGCTGATCCTTCCGCCGTGTCCTTTTAAACCTGACGCAACTTACATAAGCTCACTGCTAGTGTGTGTGTGTGTTATATAAAGCCTTTGCTAATGGGTGCTGTGTTGGGAGTCGACATCATCATGCTTGCATAGTTTTTGTAGAACTATAAATAACAGACGAATTGAGTAGAGGCATATAAATATATTCATTAGCTTTTGCTGAGCATGTGTTGATGGGATAGAGAATTACAAGGATTTGTTTTTATGTGTGTCCGAGTTTGTCTTAAAACACTGGAAACTTGAAGTGTGAGGAATCATATTGTTATCTCTGTGTACATGTGACCTCACTTAAATATGATGTCTATTTCTGTATACATGTGTGGTATATGTCTTTAGGTGGTGTGTTGCCCCTGTGCTGCATTCTCATGTAAGGTTAATGATGAAAGCTGCACATGAGGCTTTCTTGCCTCACTGGTGGAACAGAAATGCTAAGTAATGTTGACAGAATATTCCGGAATATTCATGAAGCATGTTTGCAGCCTAAATCTTGTTTCACACACACACACACACACACACACACACACACACACACACACACACACGCACAGAAACCTTTCAGACAGCCAAAGGTCTGTGGTTTTCAGTTCAAGCATGACCTGCTATGCAACAGTGCTCACAGTGATGTGACCCACTTTTCCTCCTGTGCAGAAACCCAGACAAAGGCATCCAGTTCCTCATCTCCCGCGGTTTCATTCCGGACACACCCATAGGCGTGGCTCACTTCCTGCTGCAGAGGAAGGGCTTAAGCCGACAGATGATTGGAGAGTTTCTGGGCAACAGTAAGAGGCAATTCAACAGAGACGTCCTAGAGTGAGTCATATGTTTATTTTTCAGCTTTCTTGAAGAAATAATTTCTTTCTCAAATCTACATTTTCTTTCCTCACTTTCTTGACACAGCGCCCCAACATTCTCCAACAAATGGCAGCATTCTGATATTGGTAGTCAGCCTTATACTGTTCCAGGAGAGGAACTGACAAGGCCAATGAACCAGAGTCAATGAGGTAGAACTTTCTAAACCAGTGGGAATGAAGGAGAATGTTCTAGAACAATGTGAATAGAGGAGAACATTCTAGAACAGTTTTACTAGGGGAAGGCAATCTAGAAAAATGTGAATGGATGATAACATTCTAACGTTCTAACATTCTAACATTCTAACCCTAACCCTAATCCAAGAAACGTGAATGAGGGAAAACGCTGTAGGGGAACATTCTAGAACAGTACAGATGGAGAGAAAATCTTAGAGTAATATAAATGGAGAATAACATGTTAGAACAGTGTTTAACACACCAGCATGTTTGGGTGGGATGTTTGGGTCAGTTTGCAGTGGACTTTATGAACCTCTGCTAATTATTAGTAGATTAGCTCTGCCACCCCACAGTGCTCTGACCGATGGCCTGGTCTTTTGAAGCAGAAAGATGATGTGACCTGTGTATTTTTAGGGACCTCCAAACCCAGTCCACATACACTAGGTGGCACAGCTGAGATTCAAACCTGAACCCTAGTTATAGAACTGACAGCTGTACTGCAAATCAATGCCTAAGAGCATTGATGGGGTCACTCTCGTCCTAGAGAGAAAGAGTCCTGCACAGTTTGGTGATTTCCCTGCTCTAACATACCTGATGCAGCTCTTCAGTTTGTAGGTCTTAGAGCTGGCACACAATCCGCTTTTTCTTTTCCAATACCGATACTGATGTTAAAACTTCAGTATCAGTTGATAGTAATCTTGCACCAATATCACTAATACTGTATCAACCAATTTAAATGATATGAAATTGACATACAGATAATGCAACATACATACAGTGCAAAACACAATAACGCTAGTCACTTTAGCTGCCTGGCTAAGTTGGGCATGTTTCAGCAATCCCTCATCTCCATTTTTGCTATTTGGCACAATAAAATATTTAAAATTTACTTCAGTTGTTAAGTATGGCTCTTATTAAAAGTATCAGAACATTCCAGAATAATGAGCCACTGTTAACTTACAAAAATATTAATAACATTTTTATTAAAATGTTTATATGTATAAAACTTTAGTGTTTAAAATTAGTTAAAATGAGTTGAAAATGAGCTATAAGTGAAGGACTTCACTCCCAATGAGCATCTAAAAGTAGACTATCATGTTCTAACTACTCAAACACTCTACTATCCCACAGGAAGAAGTGCCATACATATTGACAATCCCAGTGACAGTTATGCCAAAGAACTTGCCAAATTGCACTCTTTTGGACTGTCATGGTCACACTCAGGATGTGGTTATCTCAAAGGGTGTCAGCATATCAGAAACTGTTAAGGATGCTGCTTTGTCAGATTATTACTGTGTTTTCTTTAAACCTCACTAGACATCAAGACCAGACATGTTTGCTTTAAGAAAAGGTTTATAAATGACAGCACAGTTACACTTTTCATGAGCAAAATGTGCTCTGCACCGTGCAAACAATCTGATTCTGTTGCTTTGCTGGACAGCTTCAACTCAAAAATTGTCAGTGTTATGGGTGAGATTGCACCAGTTAAAGAAGAAAACATGTCATGCCAACAGAAAGTGTCTTGGAGAAATTTTACTGCAGTTCAACTCCAAAAGAGAGAATATGGGAAGACTGAACAGAGATGACGTAAAACCAAGCTTCAGATCCACAAAGAAAGTCTACGAAGATAGGCAGCGTGATTACAAAACAATAATGTGCAAGGCTTGACAATCCTTTTTCTCCAGTGTTACCAACAATAATATTAATAGCAAAATACACTTAATGAAATTTTAATCAATACAGTGAGTCATTACAAATCATCCACTTGTAGTCTTGACACATAACCAACATTCTATTCATTATTTTTTTTCCAATATCCAGACCAACATTTTGTGCCAATGTTACTCCAATACTGATACTCAGTGATAGCAATATGCTTTCTCTAGTAGGTGTGCTAGAGCAAGGAACTCACCAAACCTCAAGGACTGGAATCACCGTGCTTGCCTTAGAGAATGCCTTTGGGGCAAGAGGCTAATTTCGCTGTAAACTGCGTTGGTACACAAAGCGAATCATGCAGGAATAATAAAGCACTCATAATATTTCTTTCTCTCAGCTGTGTGGTGGATGAGATGGATTTCTCCATGCTGGAGCTGGATGAAGCTCTGCGGAAGTTTCAGGCTCACGTGCGCTGTGCAGGGAGAGGCTCAGAAGGTGGAGAGACTCATTGAAGCATTCAGGTGAGACACATGTGTACTTACAGTATATCCACATGATTACACACTCTCTTTTAAATAGCTGTCTTCTACTGTTCTATCTGATGTCTTTATGTAGGTTATATAAAGGTTCTATATTATGCCTCCTGACAAAACTGCCATGAGCTGAAGAAGTTTGTTTTTGTCTTGACTGCTGCTGTTTAATCAGACATGACAAAGCTTGACCATGTATATTATATTCTTTAATTAGCGCTGGACTCCATATAGTTCATTATTCATCCCTATAGACCAAGATATAGTGGTTGCTTCTGTGAGACTTAGTTGGAAAAAATGTGTCTATCACAGACGAACATACTTTTTGCTTGAGAGCAGAATTTTTGAGCTGTTTACTTTTTGACCTCCAAAACGTATGCGTGTGTGTGTGTGTGTGTGTGTGTGTGTGTGTGTGTGTGTGTGTGTGTGCGTGTGTGTATGCATACGTTTGAGAGTTAATGGTCTCCTTGGGCTATTCTGAACCACAGACTCTTAATGGAAAAAATTCATGAAATACAAACCCTCAGGCAAGAGGCAGACTAAGTGCACTATTACTTTCCCTCTCCCTCGTTTATTTTCTCTGTTCTCTCATTCTCTCTGTCTCCATCTCTTCCATCTCTTACCTTTCATCTTTCATTTCAACTTTTTCTTTTCCTCTCTCATTGTTTGTCTATCTGCCTCTCCCTCCCCCTCTCTCTCTGTCTCTCTCTCTCTCTCTCTCTCTCTCTCTCTGTCTCGCTCAGTCAGCGCTACTGTATGTGTAATCCAGATGTTGTCCAGCAGTTCCATAACCCCGACACCATCTTCATCCTGGCCTTCGCCATCGTCCTGCTCAACACTGACATGTACAGCCCCAACATCAAACCCGAGCGCAAGATGCTCCTGGAGGACTTCATCCGCAACCTCCGAGGTAAGGTCTATATGTATTTCAGTGTGATTCAGTGTTATTATAGATGTGATATGTGTAAGGTTGCACACTCTCTCCCCCCTCATCACTGAGCATGATGCTAGACAAAGCATCTGTTGCTGATGCAATAGAATTGGCAGTTAGCGTTCCATGGCATCTTAAATGCACACTGACCCACCATTCTCCAACAAACACCAGCATTCTGATGTTGGCAATCAGCGTTATATTTTTCCAGAAGAACTGACAAGCCAAATGCACAAATGCCAATGGATGGAGAACATTCTAGAACAGTGTCAATGGGAAAGAACATTGAAGGAGAACATTCTAGAACAGCGTTAATGAAGGAGAACATTCTAGAACAATATGCTGCCCCAACTGACAACTGTTTATGTTGTCATCTATTGACACTGTTCTAGAACAGTTTGAATAGAGGAGAACATTTTGGAATGGCGTGAATGGAGGAGAACATTCTAAAGCAGTATGAGTAGGTGACATCATTCTAGAACAGTATGAGACACCATCCTAGAACAATTTGTTAGTGGAGAAAATTGGGTTAGAAAATTCTAGAAAAACGTGAATGAAAGAGAGCATTCTAGAACAGAATGAATGGTGAGAACATTCCAGAACGGTGTTAATGAGTGAGAACATTCTAGAGCGGTTTGAGTGGAGGCAAAGAACAGTTTAGAACGAGTTTGAATGAGGAGAACATTAAGGGGGGAACATTCTAGAACAATGTGAATGCAGGACAGCATTTTAGAGCAATGTGAATGGAATCAAACATTTTAGAACATTGAGGGAGAACATTCTAGAAAAGTGTGAATGAGAGAGAGCATTCCAGCAGAATGCAAATGGGGAGAGGGTGGTCTTCACCCTGTCCCACATTGCTCAGCGTGAGGTTAGTCTGTTGGTGGCTGATGGAACAGAATCGACAGTTAGCACACTGAACTGGTCAGTGATGTTGAGTGGCTGGTTTGTGTGACTTGGAGGAATCTAAACCAAACTGGGGAGAAAATTGGGTAAAAACTGAAAATAACAGTAATAAATAAATAAAACCTAGATGTAGTGTCACTATCATAATAAACTCTACTATCTCTAAAATAGAGAGCAGGGTTTATTTTTTAAGAGGGATAAAAAAGGTAGTTATGAGGTTTTTATAAGACAGTTGCAATACAATGAATTTACAAAAAAACTCTTTTTCCATCTTTTCTGTGAAACTCATAAGCTGACAGAACATCTTGTATGTCTCTAAGGAGTAAATCAAAGACAGTCTGTGTGTGTGTGTGTGTGTGTGTGTGTATATATGTGTGTATGTGTATGTGTATATGCATTTCTGATTCTGATTTTGAATAAATTCCTTTTATCTAATGAAACTTCGTTTGTCAGTAGATGCACCAAATCAGTCTGGGTCTGCAGTTCAGTAATAATTCATAATGGGACCCACATTTACATTTGTTCTGTGATGGCTATAATGCGTTCATTAGAAAAAACAGCAGAAACACTTTTTTAGAGTTTAAGGATACACATAGTAGCGCCTTCTCCACATAAACAAACTGGCGCTGAGCAGAATATAAACAGCTATTTGACAATCCTTTTAGATGCACCTGCAGTCTGTAATCCTCCAGCTCCTGCTTCACAAAATGCCCTTGACTTTCAGATATTAACACTGAAAATTTACATTTGTGGCTTGAAAGTAAAACAGGTTCCATCGATGCATGAAAGTTTAGTATTTTTGTCAAATAAACTTCTTTCAAATATATAAAATGTGCACATCCATTACAATTAACAGTACAAAATCCTAATCTCTCAGTGATTATAAACATTATATGACGCTTGAACATTAAGAGTTTAACAGATATCTGTTTTACTGCTGCAACTATTTCATCTTGTCAATCATATAGTAAGAAAGGGGGACAGCAAAGAGAACAAAAGAGAAAATTATGAAGTGTGATTGAAAGACGACATTCTAGAACAGTATGAATGGTAGAGAACACTGGGGGAGAACATTTTAGAAAAGTGTGGATGAAAGACAGCATTCTAGAACAGTGTTTATCATGTTAATCAACTTTTTGTCAGAAGGTGTAAAAGAAGAACACAGTTTCATCTGACAGAGTTCAGACTCAGCTCTAAACTAAATAGAGATACTGAACTGGCAGGCTTGTGCTGTAGAGCTTTAGTTCCTAAAATGTAGATCTTTCAGGAATGCATGCTAATCACTGTGTGGCCTTGTTAGAGCCTGATTATCAGAATTGTGAACTTCCTTAACCTTAAATACATGGGCCTTTTGATAGCTGCACATACTAATTGGGTCATTAGTGATGGATGTGCTATTTTTTTATTTGCAACTTACGTGTAACACAAATTGATCTACACAGCGCAGTGATTCTGCAAAACATTTTATTGTCATTGACAGAATCACAAATTTTATTTTATTGTACTTTGATATTTTAGGGTAGACAGGGGAAATGAGGTCACAGGTTGCTACTAGTGACCTAAGGTATACAGTTCAATTACACACTAATTGCTCATAAATGCCCCGGTTTCCCTCAGGAGTGGACGATGGTGCGGATATTCCGCGGGAGATGGTGGCTGGAATCTATGAACGCATCCAGCAGAGGGAGCTGCGCTCCAATGAGGATCATGTGACTTACGTCACCAGGGTGGAGCAGAGCATTCAGGGAATGAAGACAGTGAGTCAACTGCCATCCAATCAGAAACAAAATTTATGGAAATTGAAACACTTGCCTGTAGAGGGTAATTTGTGACTGATTACATTAGACAGCACAAGTTTGAGAAGGTAATTAGCAGAGCTGCATAGTAATATCATGAAAAAACTCCTTAAAAGATTATATCAGTACTAATCCCTTTAAACTGCAAGGGTCTGGATGTGAGCTCACATTTCCATTCCTCATTCTTATAACAATATACATCACATGTTAGTTTGATAGTAGTTACTGAAGAATTCATAGTAGTTACTGAGTAACAAGTCTTCAGTTAGTGAATGAATTGTAATCTTGCAGTTAAAGGGGTTAATCCAGTTAGACTGAATGATATTAACATTAGACCAATGGTTACTTAGAGACTCTCTCAACTAGATATCCTATTTATTAGTTAAATGGTAGTTACAGTATAATTCATAGTAGATACTGAATAATAAGTCTTAAAAATTAGTAAACAATAAGTTTTCAGTTAAAAGGGTTAATCCAGTAGGATATTAGTTACTGTATAATTCATTGTAGTTACTAAATAATTTATAGTAGTTGCTGAATAATAAGTCTTAAAATTAGTAACCAAATAATAAGCCTTTAGTTTAAAGGTTTAATCCAGTATGATATTAGTTACAACATAATTCATAGTAGTTATTGAATAATAAGTCTTAAAATCCATGTCCAGATAATAAGCCTTCAGTTTAAGAAAAAAATGAATGATATTCAGTTCATTAATTGATTAATTAGCATGCACTCTCAAAACTATTTCACTTACAAATTATTTACATAGTAATGACTGTGTAATACATAGTAATTACTGAATAATTCATAGCAGTTACTGAATGATAGGTCCTAAACCTATTAAACTAGTATCCAAATAATAAGCCTTCAATTTAAGGGGTTAATCCAGTAAGACACAATGATATTTATTTCAGGCCAGTGATTACTTAGCATGCACTCTTAAACTATTTAACTTATGTATTAGGTATATAGTAGTTACTGTGTACTTTATAGTAGTTACAGGATAATAAGTTTTAAGATAAGTTTTAAGTAATTAAATAAAAAGCCTGCAGTTCTGCAGTTAAGAAGGTTTAAAAATGATCATATGTTTTTTTCAGAGCAGTTGTCTTCTTTCATGTAAAAAATTCTTCAATGTAAAAAATGTTAAATATTAATATCACTGGGAACTATAACAGCAGGTAGTTTTCAGTCTCAGATAACCCCTGATTTAACACATCTGTGGATTCTCTTGCTGTGGAAAGATGCATTTTTGCTGATTTTGCTGTCTGCTGTGGGACTGGAGAAGACTGGAGTAAACACATTAAGTAGCTTTGCGCAGCACAAACAATGAATAGGTACAGTACATGTCAACTGAGATTACAACTCCTGCTCATAAACTATTCATGCCTCTGCTTTCTCAGCGGCTGTGTGTGTGAGAGAAAGATACCGTGTTCATGGAAGTTTGTGTGAGCGAGAGAGAAAAAGAGAGACAGACAGATTGATGATTGAGAATATGTTTTATTCATCAGGCTTAATTTTAGTTTTCAGGTGACACAAATGCAAAAGAGCGTACTTCCTTCAGCATGAAATATTTATACTTTCATGGCATCACTGCATCTCCAAATCCATTCTGGAGTAATCCCCACACTATCTTTATAACCATGTATTCTGCTGATGATGCAGGCTACAGTTTAAAGTTTCTGAGCCACAATCAGTTTAGACATGGATGAGTTCTAAAGTGAACTATTGCCACTCTTTCCTTCTTTCTCTCTTTATCTCTCTTTCTCTCAGATCCTATCTGTGCCTCACCGGAGGCTGGTGTGCTGCAGTCGTCTCTATGAAGTTACTGACGTAAATAAACCCCAGAAACAAGCAGCACATCAGAGAGAAGTGTTCCTCTTCAATGACCTTATAGTGGTGAGAAATGCGCCCACATATACATACACATTGAAAGGTAAACATGGAGGTGTTGAGTGAGAATGTGTTCTTTTTGTTTTTAGATACTGAAGCTGTGTCCCAAGAAGAAAAGTGCAGCCACATACACGTTCTGTAAGGCCATGGGTCTGCTAGGGATGCAGTTCCATCTGTTTGAAAATGAGTGTAAGCATGGACACATCAAGTATATGAAAAACAATGGAAATTGATTGAAGTAAATTTCATCTAAGAAAACAAAAACCCTTATCAAATATTCTGTATAAAAAGTGTCATAATAATTTGCTTATTTGTTGTTATGATTGAATAATTTGCACCCCTGCATTTTCAAACCTCAAATCCAAAAACATTGGGACAGTATATGAAATACTAATAAAAACAGAAAGCTGCCATTAGTAGATTCTGTTCAATCTGTAATTGATGCCTGCAGCACATTCCAAAAAAGTTGAGACAGGAGCGTGTTTACCACTGTGGTATGTCATCTTTCTTTTTAACAGCACTAATAATCATTTGGGGACTGAAGACACCAATGAAACCAATTCTGAAAGAGGATTTTCTTGGCATTCTTCCTTCAAACGTTCAAGTGTTCAGCTGCAAATCTGTATGGGGCCTTCATTGTCACACATTATAAGGCAACAATGGGATACTTCAGGCAGGCCAGTCTAGCACCTGCACTCTGTCATTATGCAGCCATGCTGCTGTGAAAACATGCAGAATGTGGCTTAGCATTGTCATGTTGAAGTAAGCATGGATGTCCCTGAAAAAGATGTCATCTAGATGGCAGATGTTGTTCCAAAATGTGTGTATATATTGGCTTGTCATACCACAATACACGTTTCCAGTGTGCATAAGTCTATTTCAGTTGAGCCCAGAGAAGACAGACTTCTCTGCCACAAATCACTGTTTTCTGTTTTTATTTGCATTTCACATACTCTCACAACTTTTTTTGCAACTGAGGTTCACCATACTTTGTGCAACCTCCCTTTGCCAATATAACAAGACGTTTTCTCCTATAATGCTTGATCAAAATACAGAGCAAGGAATCTGAGACCACCCATACAGAATCATACAAATGTCCTCTCTTTTGGACTTTCCTCTTTAGCGCATCCGACAGGTTTTCAAAGGGGGTTAGGTAGGGGAACTGGGATAGCCTTTATTCTGGCCCTGGGATGGCCTTGAAAAGCTTAATTCTGTGGTCACTGAACCAGTTTAGGTGAATTTGGACATATGTTTTGCTGGATGATGCGTATCTAACATTCTTCACAGTGTGCATGGAGCAAAATACACTTGCATCATCTTCCAGGCAGGTTCACTAAAGCACTGTTGGTTTTAAGCTTCTTAATTATTGCCCTAAAGTGAATATGGCATGTCTGGGTGTGTGGCTATTTTCATAGCCAGTAGTTGATTTATGAATGTCAGCACACTTTTGTGTGATTTTATTTGTGTGTTCTCTGATATCACCATGTTGATGAATGACTCAGAGAACTTACGATGCCTCTCTGGATGACAATTTGAGCTCCTGAACACTCAGGTGGAAAGTTAAATATAAATGCAAACTTGTTTCAGTTACGTTTTGTTCATAAGAATATCAAGTGATGCCAAGAATTGTGGCACACATGGTTTTGTAAAAAAAGATAAGGGTTTATGTTTTCTTAGACTGAATTTACTTCAATTTAAGGTTAAAGTTCTCTCGTATTTCCTATGTGATATACACGACTACAGACAGACAGACAGATAGATAGATTACCATATAGATGCACTTTGTAGTTCTACATTCAGACACAGCGGTGTTACTGGAGTTTTTAAACACTGTGTCCACTCATTGTCCACACTATTAGACACTCCTAATAGGTACACCTTGTAGATGTAAAGTTAGAGATGATAGCTCATCTGTTGCTGCACAGTTTGTTTTGGTCATCCTCTAGCCCTTCGTCAGTGGTTACAGGATGCTGCCCACAGGAAGCTGTTGGCTGGATATTTTTGGTTGGTGGACTATTCTCACTGAGTGTTTAAAAACTCCAGCAGCACTCTGTGTCTGATTTACCCAACCAGCCCAACACACCCTAACCCACCACCACCATGTCAGTGTCACTGCAGTGCTGAGAATGATCCACCACCCAAATAATATCTGCTCTGTGGTGGTCCTGTGGGAGTCCTGACCACTGAAGAACAGGGTGAAAGGGGGTAACAAAGTATGCAGAGAAACAGATGGACCACAGTCTGTAATTGTAAAACTACAATGGTCACTTATATAGCAAGTGGAGCTGGACATGCGGAAACAAAACTAAAGTTACATAATCACGTTTTGCACCCATCATTCTAAAACTGTTAGTTAAAACCTGTTTGGTTAAGGTTAACAAGAGCTTGATTTATATCCAGTCAAACTGTAAAATTTTACAGAGCAACAAATGAGGATAAGATTTTACTGCCTACTTACCCCCCTTCCCAAATTAAAAACTCTTTAAATCTACATGACTCATATGACAATTATCATCAAAATGACATATTTCTGCGAAAGCCAATGACTTTGTGTTTAAATGTAATCCTGCTGGTAATCAATCTATTATGTACCTGTGATCTGATTACTGTCTTTTTTGCTGTAACTGTAATGGAATACAGTTACCTTTTTTGTATCCTGATTACGTAATGCTGTTACATGTATTCTGTTACTACCCAACCCTGTATATATATTAGTTATATTATGCTGTGATGCTCTGTATATGGGGAAAATGTATTGTTGACAATGAAAAAAGATGAAGTTGATGACTTAATTGCATCTATATTCAGTATTTTACCTCACCTTGCTTTTTGTTTGTCAATTACAATACCTGTCTGTATCTGTGCGTCTTTCCTTTCTCTCAGATTACCCTCATGGCATTACGATCTTGTCTCCATTCTCATCTGAGAAGAAGCAGGTGGTGAGCTTTTGTTCTCAGAGCTCTGAAGAGCTGCTGAAGTTTGTAGAGGACCTGAGAGAGAGCATCGCCGAGGTAGCAGAGATGGAGCACATACGCATCGAATGTGAGTCTCATTAAGTGGCTGTTAGCGGGATTGTTTGGAAGTGCTTTCAGGAATATCGCTGCCTTGACTGACATGTGTTTGGTATCTCACAGGGGAATTAGAGAGGCAGCAGGCAGCAAGAAATCAGTCTGCTAAGAACAATGGTACACAGCTGGAGATCCACAGACCAATCTCTCCTGCAGGTACAAACACGCATACATACTAAGTGCGGTAATCAGACTATTCAAACTGTACTGATGAACACCCGCTCTTCTGATTATGTGTAATGGTACAATGCAATTTTCAGGGGACCATGACTTTTTTGAGAAGACAGGAAGCAACGCAGTTGAGGTTTGTATCAAGAGTTGGTAGCGTATGCAGTTATAAAACCATAGTGTATGAGAGTTGTTTGTCTTTGTTTGTCTGTGTTTGTTGAAAAAGTGCTATTAGCATGAAATCTTATGAATTTTAAAGCTTATTTAGGTCCTATTGTTTCCCTCTTGTGGAGTTAGAGATACCCCACTGCCCCTTTACCTCAATCTTCTTTGACCTCTTGACCTCCAAACATGATCTGTCTGTCTGTACCTTATCAGTATAGAGACACCAGGCCCTCGGTGTCCTTTTCCCAGCCAAACACCCCCCACCTCCCCCAAGAAAAAGTAATATAGACACTTAAAAAACCCAATAGCTAACTCCAACACCTGCTGTTCCCTTAAACTAGTAGTTCTGAACTCAGGTCCTGAAGTAGCCCTGTCCTGCATGTTGTAGCTTTTTCCCTGTTCTACCATTCCTGAACTAATCAGCTATTTAGCAAATAAAAAAAAAATGTGCAGGGCAGCGGGTACTCTTGCGGGGCCAGACATGATGTTGTAATGAAAATGTCTGAGGACAATCATGACAAACTTTGGTCTAAGTGTGGGTGGGAGTAAACCAATCCGGCACCTCTTGAAGGCAGAGCTCAAAGTAAGGGGTGATGGTGTGCATGTCAACTCTGTCTGACAAACCGATTATTAGCTCATGGATGTAAAGTAAGTTAGCATAGCTGAAAAGTTTCCCCAGAGCACTCCTATTAAACGTGTAGATCAGTGTTGTGCGGGCATAGAACACATTACACGTGGTAAAAATAAAGCAATAAACCGTTCTGTTACCCAATGATAATATTTCGCTAGCTTGTTTTGCTTGTGATATTGATTGCATTCCAGACATTAAAGGTGCATTAGTTGATTTATTTGTTTTGTTACTCATATAAATGACCTGCAAAATATGTGGAACATGATAAAGAGCAGAGCGGAAGGCTTTTCTGTTTTTACACTGACTTTGTGTTAGTCATTTTATAACACCCTCCCCAGCACCACATTACTCTGCCCCCATCTCCATCTGCTCGGCTAGGAAAACATGGCAGAATCCAGTTAGCGAGCTGCGCCAGCAGGTTCTAGTGCTGTGGGGAAAAACACACTGTGCTGCCAAAAAAAAATTACGACAAGAAACGTGCTGTTTAAATGGATGACTTTACATAACAAATCAAGCAGATAACTTTTTACTGAAACAGTCTGGTAAAGTAACGCTGAGGTAATGTCAAAGATGAACCACCTTCATAGAGATTTATGTACTAGTCAGCTGTATGAAACTCATGCAGGTAAAAAAGCTAAGCTAACTACTTAATGCTGAAGTTGGCTTCTTATTCCAACTTTCTGTTCCACCTCAAATGCTGCTGTAGAGGCTATATTTGTCTGTAAGTGACAGTGCACTGAAACAAATGGAAGCTTATTACAAAGAAAAGCAGGACAGCTATGACACTCTTGACTGTTCTTGTGCAGCAAATCAGAATGAACCAAATGTGTGTTACTTCGCTATCCCCCTGGACAAAAGAGACACAGGAGTTTGATGCTAATTCTGGTCAGACACCACTGTTATACAACAAGCAAGCGAACCACTCTGAGATAAATTAGCTGATAGCCATGGTATTCACTATTATTAACATCTTGTGAAATTGTTGTTTTAGCTGTGAAAAGGACAGCACTTTGTTTGCTGTACTGAGATGTAGGCTATATAGTGTATATATATATATTTCGGTCTCCTAAGCAACGTTAGCATAATGCCATGCTTTTATCATCTGTATCTAAATAAAGAAGTTAGGCAGTACACTTAATAAACAGCCAACTTCATCTCTAGAAAGTGAAGTCATGACAATGCTTGTTAGCGCTGGCAAACTCTAAATGAACTCCGATGGGCACGACTGGGCGGGAATGGGAGGTTGATCCAAAGAGTAAAAAACATTGTTTTGTCTTGTAGTTGACCTATTTAACCGCTAGATTAACCATCTATTTACCATCTGTCTTTAATTTTGACTCACACACCTTTAAATGAGAATGGAATTTAGGTCATTTAGAGGAATTAGATGAATTTAGGTTAAGTTTTAAAAGGGGTATACTCTCATTGGGATTTTCCCATAATCCAGCAACAAAAGTTTAACAAGCTGTCCCAATACATGTATTCTCTTTACGGCATCACGTCTGGCCCCATGACACTAGGCAGAAGGAACCACTCCTTACACCACTAACCAAGCTCTTGCAAGATTTGAAGTATAGGGCCTTCCTGCTATGGCTTTCGCTAACTGCTGGTGCCTGGATGCTTACTCTTACATACAGATGCTGTTATTGGTTTAAATTCATAATTACACAAAATTACATTACAACAGCTACTAAATTCATAACAGGAAAAGCATTAGCAGTTAACTCAGTAACTCAATAGGGGTAAAACAGCTGTTGGTAAATAAGGGACTGTATGTGAGAGTGCGTGTGCAGTGTGAGTCTGTGCTCCTGCATGCTCTGTGGCATGGCCTTTTCTTTGTCTCGTCCGCACCGGAGGGCCGTGAGAGTGCTGCAGGCCAGGCTGATAACGCTTCCTGCTTCTGGCTGTTTTCTAAACTAGGTGTCAATTCACAACAGGCTCCAAACGTACCAACTCAGCTCCCTGTTGGCTCCGCCCAGCGCTCAGCCCCAGCTGGCCATCCTGCCTAGTCCCGCCCCTGGCCCCACCCTCACCATCTCCCCCAGCACGCTCATCCAGTGCCAGCAGATCGTCAAGGTGATCGCGGTGGACTCGGCGGGCCGTGGGCGCGTGGAGGCCTTCCTCAGTCAAAACCCCACCCATCGTTTAATACAATCAGCCGTCTCCACGCCGACCAGGTCACGGGAAGGTGGGGCCCAGCAGCCTCCTCTTCCCCCTCCCCCGCCTCCATATCACCACAAACACCAGTTCTGCCCTCCGACTCCACCCCCTCCACAGCATGTGCTCAGCCAGCGCAGGTACTCCAGTGGGACACGCAGTCTGGTCTGAGTGCGCACACACACACACATACAGTGCAGGGCTGGGCAAAAGTCAGAAATGACCCTTCTTTATTTATTTATTTAATTTTCAGTTCTTTGTTTTTCAGCATCAGGAAAAAAGCAGAAAATGACACAGAAGCCTCAACAACTAAATATATCAACTTTTTCAGTTAGTGTGTCCACCTTTTGCCTTTATTATGGCTTCCATTCTTTTGGGAAGCTTTTTTCAGTTTTTTGAAGAAATCTGCAGGGATATTTTTCCAGACCTCCAAGGTTCAGTTTCTTTTCTCTCTAAAAGCTTTAAATGCTGTTTATCTGATGGTGACTGTTGTGGTGGTCTTGGTTGTTAGGAGTCCCATTTTCTTTATTGCTTTTAATAATTTCTTGAACTCCAGTTTTGGAAACTTCTGTTTTTTCACCTATTCTCCTGTTTATGCAAGTGGATTATCTCATATCTAATCTCTTCAGAAATATCTTCTGAAAAATGACCAACTTGCACATAATGGCCATTTTGACTGAACATTAAATAAATGAAGGGTGGTCTCTGACTTTTGTACAGTATTGTCCACACAGCTGAATTAATACTCCCAAGTTAACTGACTCATAATTTTCCCACCTTTTCAATTCACAAATGCGATGAAGTCCAGTATATATTCATTCCCCTGACACAGACACACCTTTTATACTCCTTAAACACTCGCTGAGAGGCTCACTTCTATATAAATAAGCTAGTCACAGAATTGTTTATCAGGGCCTCATGGTCTGAAAAAATGTGTATTTTAGATACAGAGTAGTTAGTTTTATCAGATGTTCTTTTTCCCTGAACTTTTATCTCTTTATGAGTTTCTACAGCAATTTTTGTTGCAGTGCTGCAGTTGGACTTTATAACCTTCAGTGTACAGTGTGACAACCACAAGCAATGTTAGTGTAGTCGCAGGGTTCAGAACTTTGGTCTAATAAGCCAAACTCTTTAATCTAGTCTTTGATAAAAGTTTAAATGACAGAACGTGCTGGTAGTTTTCAGTGCTATCCTACAGCGCATTTATACAGAGTTATGTACAGGCTTAAAGGGTTGTATAATTCATGGGCCATAGTGACGGTTGGAGGCTTCCCTCACCCATCCCCACCCCCCACATTCTAGCATGAAAAGACTTCTTGACTACACTGCAGCTGTCATTGCAAGCTCCTGTAATGTTCCGACACCTCTGTAAAATATCAGTAATCACCTTATGTTCCATAAACTCTGCCAGGCACTGGAGAGAGCTCCTCTCTAGTGTCAGTTTCTGTACGGCGTCTATGTAGCGTTTACTGTGATCGGGACTGGAATAGACCCACTCAGTGGAAACCAGGCCTCTGAAAGATTATCTGAGATCAACATGTGTGTTTTGAAACCTTTCCAGTTTGAACTGTTTATGATTTTTAATTTTGAACGAAAATGTTTTTACTTTCACACTGCAAATATCTTTGTGTTTGGAATTTTTCTTGTGGATCATGTTTGTGTTTGCCTCTTGACATTCATGTTTTTCTGTATTGCATGTCATATAAGAGTTGCATATGAATATGCATATATCTATAATAAGCACATGATTCAACCGAGAGTACAGAGTATATTTTAGAAGCATTACAATAATAATTGTTTTTATTTTGTTTGGTGGGGGTCAGGGATAATTTATCAGGACTCATTATATATTATATATTTAATTATAAATTGCTATCAAAATATTTTGTTTATTTGTACAAGGGAGATTAGCAATGATGTCATCCTGTGCATAGACACAGAAATTACATAGAGCAAAAAAAGAAAACCTTGATAAACATTCTATTTATTCTTATGGATGAGGGGGATGGATGAATAGCTTTACTGTGATGTTTTTTGCACAGCTGAGTTTATTGATGGGGTTATAAATTTATCTGATTTATATGGACCTGCTATCTTCTGTTTGGACTTTTTGCCCTTCTTGGTTCAAAACAACAGGAGTCTGGGGCTACATTGTTGCTTTTAGAGAATCAGCATAGCAACATTATTTTGTCTTCTAACAACTCAGAGCTGTAGATTTTCAGGCCCTCAGGTGTCCCGGGTGAATCTTACACAGATGCTAGCTAAGTACCATGAGAATCCCAGGATCATTCCAACACTCCTGGACCATATCCTGACTGAAGGCACACAAACTTTCCCTCCTTTATTTGTGCCCATGTTTCTGTGGCAACCTTTCTGAACATGAAACTTTCAGATATTAAACTGCATGTTGAGTCAGAATATGGCCTTCAGTCGATCAAATCAATGCTGTCATCTGTTATTTGTTTTTGAAAAAAAAAAGATATATTTGTATTGAGCACTGTCATGAAATTTTATATTGTATGGACACTTGATAAAAAAACAATTCATGCACAAACTGTAAATGCAATGCCACTGAATTTAGAGCTCAGTATCCATTAAAAGTGGAAAAAATGAAAGCGTGTGTTGTAGATTTGGCAGAATGGAAGGGTCCATATGCTTCATTTGTCTTACATTTTATATGTGTGGGTTTATGAAAAACAATCTTAGCTCATTTTCACATGAACATTTTTCAACCTTTTAAGTGCTTTTAAGACTGGTATTTCGCTGTAAAAAAAAAAAAAAAGTATCTCCAAAATTGTAACTTTTACAGGAGAAGGCAGAAGCACTTTTAATGTCAGTTAATTTAAAGAGATTTTATCTCGAGTAGTTTTGGACCATGTCTATTAGTCCATTCCCAATTTAATTGAAATTAATGTAAAGAGCAGCGGCTGTGCTCAAATAATGTAGAAAAAATAAAAATGGGAAAAAATGATTATACATATTTTTGCACGGCAATGATATGAAAATATCTCTTGTTCTGATTGGCTGCCCTGTATTGTGCCTCATTCAAAAAGCAAGGCAGAAACACACCTTGTAATTTCAGTATGAACTGGCGTGGCTAAATGTCTGGAAGTGGACTGGGCTAAACTGCTGTATGCTAAATAAGCTGATACATGCAAATGTGTTGGTTTTTGTCACATTACAGAAACAGTGAATTCAGAACAGGCTGTTTTTGAGCAAATGGTGCATTTTAAAACTTTAACAGTGTTCACATACTACATCGAATTCTTTTTGTTTAAAAAAAAGTAAGGAAACATGCCAACATTCTGCATGTAGGCAGAGCTTTTTGATGCTACATAACTGAGTAAAGTAAGAGTAGAAAGCTGTTAATAAGACCAAAACTTTTAGAGATTAAGTCGACTAAAACAGAAAAGGTAAGAAAGTGTACAGCCATGCAGGCAGTGCTTTAACTATAGTTTGTATGCAGATGGATTTAGAGACAAAATAGTTTCTGTCCCTCTAGATGGATGAAAAATGCAGTTTATAACTTTTTATAAAATGCAGTTTGTAACTTTTTATAAAATAAATAAATAAGTAATAGATAAAACATTATTTCTGGGAGGGTGCCAAAATGAAAAACAACTGGAAAACTGCATCTGCCTAATAAAAGAATTCTTTTTTTTTTTCAATACAGACATGAGCTTTGACTTTTTGCTTATTTACAGCTTCAACCTTTCTAAGCCTGAACGAGGCAGGTTACAAAACACAAAAGACAAAAAGAATATGCAATGTATTTTAACCATTATTACTCTTATATCAGAAATCTTGATGTCTTCAGCTTGGGGTCTGTGGTAAATGCACAGTTTAGGCTCTCTGCTTTCTGACTCTGGAGACTTCACAGAGTAGAGTGAAGAAGCTGAGACTCTTCCGGTTGTATGCTTTGGTGTGTGTATCTGCTTGTGTGCATCAGAATGAATGTTATGACTGAATGGGTGTGAATTTGACTATATGAGTTTTGATCCATCCTTATTCAGAACATAACTTCTATAAACTAGAAGACAACTATGATGATTAACCCGATAAACTGCAAGAGCATTTCTGTCTTTCTGAGTCTTTTTCATGATATTAAGGTTGTGCAAACTTGAATGGTTCTTTAAATGTTCAGTGAAATTGATACAATGGCAAATGAATAGAAAGAAAAAAATCCCCTGCTGGATTGCTGTACATTGTATCATGTGGGTAAACTGAAATGGAGAGTGGGAACAGCATACCTATCAGCACTTCTAGCCAGTTTGTGTTTGAAAATGTGCAGACTAATAAATTACATTGCACCTCTTTCACCAACATCTTCCTAAGTTTTTTCTTAAATTTGTTCTTGAGAAAGGTCCTAAGAAAAAGACTAGATCAGATTCATGATGTGTTCTTAAACCACAGAATTGTATGCACCTTCGTGCTCTTGAGTGTGCTTAGATTCTTTTCCTACCAAAGAACAAATCCCTAATAAGAAACACTGCTGATGTAAGAATCTTGATGAAAAATGCATAAATGGGTATTAAGAAGAAATTTCTTCTTAAGAATGGTTGGTCCAATGAGGCCCAATGATAATAAACAATGAATAAAGTGAGTTAATAATAAGCATACAGTCTAAAGCAACATGCATCTCAATCTCAAAGCAGGAGGGAAAAAAATATATATATACATTACACGCATCTCTCACTACAGCTGTTGCACATCATAGTTACATAGTCAACCTATGTGCTTTTTCAGGCACTAATGCAATTAAATAAGGGATTATCACAAAGTGAAGAGCAGTTTTACACCGGCTTGACTGGATTACTCACATGAAATGCCACGCCTGTGCCAGGCTCTAAGTGATTTTCTTCAAAGAATGAAGCTGTGCAGCTCTAGCATCAGCCCTGACAGAGCTGGCCCTGAGTAATAACCTGCAAGATGCTGGAAACTCTCTGTGGGATTAAGGAATCTGCATGGTACACTTGGCAAACTGAGGCAGTGTAATATCTAAAAGGCTCACATGCAGTTCTATACTGCAGCAGCAACAAAGGCTGAGCTCTCTGGCTTCATCTCTGTCATCCTCACTTATATCTGACGAAGCTGCATGAGAGCTGCAAAATAGCAGAAGACTCACAGAAAGGATCTGCTTTTTGGCTTTGCTTTGAGACTCAAAGCACAAACGAGAAAACAGCGAGTGCTTGATGTACTAAGACATTTATGCCAGTTTCAAGAGGAAATGAAACACATTCTGCCATCCTGTTCTGTGCAAAACTGGTGCACAACACAAGCCTAAAAGCGCAGTTTATGGGTTCACAAAAGGAAAAACGATCAATTTCTCTCCCTCACATATACACATTTAAAGGGAGGATTGTGCAAAGAGTTTGTTGACTTATTGGAAGTGTGGCTCATTATATTGTGGCCTCAGTAGGAGACACGAGAGAGGCCATAATTCTGCTGTGAGTAGTGCTCTTGAAACACCAGCAGAAAGGCATTTAACGTTGCACTAAGGGAGGGAGGAGGGAAGTCACCATTAGCCACAGGCTTCCACAAAACGCCCCCAGACACAATAAAACACAAAGAGCAAACTACATATCTTTACACTAAGAAACAATGACAATAACAGCATAAATGTCCCTTATTATGGGGAGTGGGTGTGTCCCATGAGCCTTTTTGCATGGTCCTCTACAGAAGTGAGCCAGTAGCAGGACGCTATAATATGTCCAGTTTGATTTACGGTTTGAGCAACTAGTGACTTTGTGTGTCATTTTCCTCTTAAACCAGGAGAAAATGAGCACCGTTACAGTTTTGTGTATTTGTGTAAATGTTCATGTGCAGAGACAACAGAGACAAGCAAGCTTGCACGGGTGGGGGTGGCCAAAGTCATGCAAATGACAACAGGCACAATTTTGGATTATAGGACCAACGCAGTTTAAATGCTTAGTTAGACTTGTTAAAATAATGACTCATTTTTCTTAAGATTGACTAATGAGTTATTACTCTTTGTTTTAAGATACTGAGTGAAAATATCCAGAAAATAAGTCATTATTTCGTAACAAACATTTTGAGAGGCCAAACAGGGGCACTAAAAAACACCCTCTATTTGCCTTATTGCTGAAGACTGCATCAAAAAAGGGACTCAGCAGCAGCCTCTTATCCAAAATTGTTTGAGATACAAGAGAGAGCCAGTCAGAGTGGAGGAGTTTGTTTACAGTGTGACCAATATACTGAAGACGAAGGTATTCAGGTGTGAGCTACAACCCATGCTTATTAATTTCACATATTATTGAGCAGCATCATGCTTGTAATCAGTGTTAAGCTATTGTAACAAATGAGCTACAATGAAGTATGACCAATAACTTAATTGCTCTTGATACATTCCATGTACAGCCTATGCGATGCACAAATCTGTCCCAAATACACACTTTTTAACCTAGCTTTCTAGGTGTCTTGCCCTCCACATACAGACTTTGAGGAGGACCACAGGGCTTAGGCCGCCTCTGGGGACAAGCCCTTAGTAAAGTGAACGTTTATTTCAGGTGCATTACAAGCACATATTCTTCAGTCACATGCTTTGAACATGCACAAACAACTGGGCTAAATGAAAGGTTTTTATTAAAAGTTAAGTCATATAAAGTTAAATGAATAAATCTAAAGTTGGGAGTTGTACAGCTGCAATTGCAGCAGCACCTATGCAAATATTGTGATTGGCACTACTGAATTAATTCAATTATAAATAGTACATAAACAAACATATGGCATTAAATCTCTGTGATTGTGAAAGCCCACACATCTGGTGTGTTTTAGCTTTTCTGTTGCAGATGGTTCTTCATTGATGCAACACTGCTCAGCTGGATCAAAGGTAGCAGGTGTACACAAACCTTGTGTTGCATGGGATTTGACAGATTCTACCTAAATTGGCTACAGCTTAATAACACATTAACTCAGAGTAACAGCAACCTGCTTTAGCAAGTTAGCTAATATATAGACCAGAAATACTGGCAACATGAAGCCTACATTTAATGTCATTTAAATAAATATATATATATATATATATATATATATATATATATATATATATATATATATATATATATATACACTGTTTTCATGACATTCTAAGGTCTTAATGCCATAAAAACAGAATAATAAGGAAAAAAGCAGCTGTGTGACTACACGTTTGTATTTTTAGTATTGTATGAAAAGACTGAAACTTTCAGAAGAAAAAAACAATTTTATTTCAAAACACAAATACTGCTTTATCTGAAAATATACACTCAGAAAAAAGTACATTACCAGCTCCTGACAAACACTTATTTGGCTTAATAATTTATGACAAAAACTTAATAAATGCATAAAGAAGTAAAAATAGTGAGGTGACAAGTGCTAGGTCCTTCCTTAGCTGATGTGTATGATGTACTCAATGAATGAATAAATAAATGAATGATGTAATACACTGCAACATGCTGTTTTATAGGAAGGCTATGAGGAGGGAAGGTAGCGAAGAGCAGTGCTCCCAGACAGGCTGTGAGCGAGTATCATGGCTATGATGTCATGCTATAAAGTGTTTTTTGCTATTTCTGACTATGGCTTCAACACATGGTCGTGGAATGAGATGAAACTGTATGACTGTAGGAGGGGAGAGATCTCTGAGAACTTGGGCTGGAGTTCCAGGCGTTCTCTGCTTTAAACTACAAGGCTTGACCCCCCCGCCCCCCCCGACCTTGTTGAACAGAGGTAAACGTAAGGCAGAGATGGAAATTTATATGAAGTTAGATGGAGTTGGACTGAGAAGCTTCAGCCATGGTCCTCCTATTTCTTAACTCCATTTTATGAGACAAAGGATAATGTATATCAGTGCAATTGTTGTGAAATAGGTACAATCTTTTACATGACTCAGAAGGGATATACTTAGTATAACAGATACAGAACAGGAGAAATATGGAAATATAATTGCATGTTGTGATCAAATGATAAACTTTCTATTGATATACCATGGCTGTAGAACTATAGGTTTGAGGGAAACCTGTTGAGAAACCTGTTGAATGACTGTAATTCACCAAACATTCCCAGGGAACAGCATTCTTAATAGGAAAAAATCTTGATTGAAATACAGTACTGGGCAAAAGTCAGAAAACACCCTTCATTCATTTAATTTACAGTGAAAGGTACAAAATACTCATTTTTCAGGAGATACTTCTGAGGAGATTAGATATAAGACAACTCACCTACATAAGGAAGGGGAAAGTCAAAGGAAAATAAGTGAAAAACAGGATATTCCAAAACTGAAGTTCAAAAAATTATTAGAATATACAGAGAAAATGGTGCTACTAAGTGCAAGACCTGGTAGACCACTAAAACTGTCACCATCAAATAAACAGCACTTAAATCTTTCAACTTTGAGAGACAGAAGAACATCAAGCTCCACTCTTCAGATCTAAAACAGTCCACAGGTGGACATCTTCCACTGTGAGAAGACACTATGAGTCTGACAGAATGTGTAGCTGTCAAGAAGCTTTTACTGATAAAGGGAAACAGACAAAAATAAAAAAATAGCAAATCAAATGAAGAAGCTGCTGGTGTTCTCAGAACAATTGGCGGTTCACCCCAGAGTCCAGACCTCAACATCACTGAATGTGTTTGGGATTACTTGGATGGTGAGAAACAGAAAATGCAACCAAGACTGAACTTCCAAGACTGAGCTTCTTTTCTTGTCACTGAACAATGAATTGCTTGTAATTATACTGGAAGGATATGTGGTCTCTAATTTGTGCACAGTACTGTACTAATAATGTGATCATCCTATTTCATTTTGTATTGTATTGCAATTGTATTGTAAAGAGGAAGTTTTGGTGAAGGTATGAAATGAGTATACAACACACACACTCACACACAGTCTATATGTGTGCAAACCGTCAGTTACAGGATTTGTGTCCTCTGTGTTTGGCCACAGTGTCCCAGTAGTCTACATTCAGGGTTCATCCCTTTGTTCTGTGTCTCTCAGCTGTCAGTGAAGTCAGCACAGACAAAGTTCATAAGAATCAATGTCAACCTTTACATTGTTGTCTCTTCCCACTCCAACTCAACATCACCTGGGAACAGAAGCAAAGCCGAGTAAAATGAAAGCCTGTAATGCATTTACTCATATGAGAAACATTTCTCATCTATTTTCCCTTTCTTTTGTTTCAGTAGTACATTGATGTGACATTATTTTACCTTCCATAGCATCCAGTGAGTCCATTTTCTCCAGAGCTGAGTAGTTGACAAACCAGATTGACTGACTGTTACCTTTGCTGGTCAACAGATCTAGAGTGCTCTGATGCAGAAACATATACTGAGCCTGTGTGACAGAAGATAAAATTGAGATTAACATCACGTTGTTTTATTTACAATTTACAGTATTTAGGATTTTTTTCAGTTAATGGTGTGAAATAGCAAATGTACATAGTGTGGCTGAGTGTGAATGATTTACCAGGTTCTGCACCATGCACATCCTCTCACTGCGCAGCTCCGCCACCAACCCATACACATCCACAAAGTCGTGGTCTCTCACATGCTGAATCAGGTGATCTAGAGCTATAAACACTCCAGTTCTGCCCACACCAGCACTGCACACACATAAAAAGCCACTATAGCCATGAAGTAAAACTTCAGAATGTCATGTTTACTTTAAGGATACTTATGTATAAATGTATATGCTAAAGCATTTAGGAATTAAAATCTTCCTAGTTCAAGAGATCATGTTTACATGGACAAATTAGCCTAAACAATATTACAGTTCTAATAAAACTACCAAAATGGTTCCAAATTTTTTAACTTTCAATACATTCAATTTTTCATTTAAATAAGCTGGCATCAGGTTGACATTATATTTTCCTACATTAAAAAAAAAAAACAAAGTTCTAAAAAGAGTTCTTAATTTAAGATAATAGAAGAATAATTTTTGCTTTTCTACAGAACCTTTCAAAGAATGATCTTTAGAGAACCATTACTGTAAATGAGATGAGTGTAATATAATGTAATATGAATGTAATATACCAATTCTGTACCAAACCAAGGTTTTCCCTGGAACTATTGTACAGAAAAATCAAATTGAAGCTAATTAAATATTGCCAAATCAACATTAATTACAATTAATTTTGTATTTGTTTTAAACACAGTGTGCTGAATATGTGTTGTATATTCTTCCTGACTGCAATTGGTCCACATGTCACATGGTTGCCTGTGGGTGGGCCTGTGGTGGTGTGGAAAGACGTTCTTTTGAGTGCACTTATAACAGCATGTTTAGTGGTAGTTCAGTTTCATTTAGTTCTTTCTTCATTGTAAACAACATTAACATAAAATGCCAATGAGAGACGATAAACTATTATTAAAATAGTGTGCCTCTGACTGGTTGTGATGCAAGTACAAACTTTTTTTTTGGATGTGTAAACAGAAATCTAACTAATCTCCTTTAAGAATAGAAAAATTATATTTTAATAGAAACATATAAAATTACAAAAGCACCACTTACTATGGTGCAAAAAAGAAAAGGAAAAACAAGCATCTACTTACATCAGAACTGCAAGCACATTTTTTGTGCACCGGAATGCTGAGAAACAGTCAGCATTACCTCAACAGATTATTTTTTTTATAAAGACTACATAAACAAACACATATTTATATAGGCACGCAAGAATGGCCATTTTTATTATTTGTTTGTGTGTTTGTTTGTTTATGAAAGTATAAATTACTGCCTGGCACACTTAAAACATAATACTATGTGAGAACAATCTTAATGTTTGATGCGTTTTTACAGGCTTGTAGTTCAGGATGGAGGAGCATTTAAACCAGGGGTCCAGCACAGTTTGGTGATTTACTTACTCAAACACACCTGGTTACACTTATCTGTTAATTGCCAGGCTTAGTGGGTGCGTTTGAGTGGGGAAACCTCCAAACTGTTCTGGACAGGGGCCTTCTAGGACCAGAGTTGTGCAACCCTGGTTTAAACCGTGCAGGTGTATGTTTTGCTATTGGTCGTTTAGCCTAATGGTTAAGTTACTTGTGCAATTCAAGCACAGAGATGCTTCTGACAGTTTGTGCCATCTATGTAGTGAGGTCTCTCTGGCACTGTGTGTATGAGGTAGCCTGGTCTGTTCTGTCATCGCAGCTCTTAACAATGTTTATTATGGAAACTATATAATAATAATACCGTATGTGACTGAAGTGCCCTTGAGCAAGGCACATAACCCCCCCAGCTGCTCCCCGGGCACCGTGGTTAGGGCTGCCCATCGCTCCAGTCAAGTGTGTTCACTGCCCCCTAGTGTGTGTGGATTCACTAGTGTGTATGTGGGTGTTTCACTGCACATATGGGTTAAAATGCGGAAGTGAAATTTCCCCGTTGTGGGACTAATAAGGGTAACTTAAAAATTAATTAAGCTGCAACAACTGGAATATCCAAGAAACATCTGGTGTTCAGACAGTGATGAATGCTTTTCATTTTTTGCCATGATATTCTTTGGTATCTTCCCTGTTGATGTGCTTCCAGGCCTGTGTGGTTCACCCAGTGAAGATGCAAATACCTTCAAATTAAATCCAATGTGCTGGGTTATCCACCTTACAATGTCAACACCTACCTTTGTTATGGTTGACCATTGTGTGTCCATACACTAACAACTCCACTAGATGCAAACATGAAACACTCTTCTCCAGTTAATGTCAATGCATTACACACTGCACTGACATTAACTATGGCTTGATGTCTGATGGCTGACCTGCAGTGCACTACGATGGTTGTGTTGTCGTGGCCTCTGTTTGACCTGACAGCTTTGACAAACTGGATGAGTGTGGAGCTGGATTCTGGAACGCCATGCTCTGGCCAGGAAGTGTAGTTGAAGTGATGCACTACCATGTAGTCTCCATGCTGGAAAGAAAGAGAAAGAGTGTCTGTGAGCAGGAGACTGCCTGAGTATTTAACTGTCTGTGTGTGCCTGTCTGTGTAATTAACTGTAATATTACTGTTTGTTTATTTACCCTCTCCACTCTGAGTGCTCTGACCGTCCAGTCAGGATGCACATCCTCTGTTAGCTTTGTGATGATGATATCCCCAAATACAGTGACTGGCTTATTGTCCTCTGGCCAGTACTGATGACAGCGAATCTGCAACAAGGGGCCAGATGTTTGATCAGTTTTTTACCAACACTTTACCGTAACCACTTTTGCGTTCACAGTCAAAACCATATGTACCTACCCGACCCTTTTCAAAGCACTGTGTAAGCATGGCAATAGTTTTGGTCCTGGTCTCCCAAATCATTCTCCAGAAATCAGCCACTGTGCCTGGCAGAGGACCCTGAGTGGCTATAAACTCATTAGGACACAGGTAGCCCTGCACAGGGAGGAAAAAACAGGGACAAGAAAGAAAATGTGAGAGACTACAGATTAATGGTAAACGACACTGCAACAATATAACATCTTGATACTTGAAGACATAATATGTATCACATTTTGTTTTTTATTATGTTTGCAAACAAGTAACAACAAGCAATACAAGCAAAACAGTAATGCATCTTTTTGTTTCTTGTTTTAATAAAGGGTTGAAAAACTACAGGCGTATGCAAAAATTTTGGCGTCCGTGGTCAAATAGCATGTTTTGGTGATTTTCTAAGTGAAAATAAGACTACCGCACATTTTAATTACTGTTTATTTGCTGAATTTAATATTTTGGGACAAAAAGTAAAACATAAAATGTGGCCTGTGCAAAAGTTATGGCACACTTTACATTTTATACTTTATTTTTTCCTAATAAAGCGTGTTCTCTGTAGAAGATGTGTTAACTTATTTTCACTAAGAATTCAACAAAATTTGTCATTTGACCAGACTTTTGCAAACCACTGTATGCGTACAATAATTTTTATTAAACATTTCTAAAAATAAACTACTTAAAAATGAACAAGAAGAAAAAAATGTTGAAAAAAACTTAATAAAACAATAAGGACATATTGGACTAACATTCAATCAGCTATTGTTTCTATGCAGTAACTATTCACTGATTGTTTTGTATTATTTCTACAATTGGTCTAAATCTGCCTTTTTTCTGATACATGCAGCTGTTCAGTGTTCTAGAAGTACTGATGATACTAATGATATAATTAGAAAGGTCTAATTTATTACTATTAACAATAATATAATCACAATATTGCCCACAATATAGCTATCACTACATAGATACACATATAGAGGGATAAATGCGGAAGTATAAGTAGACAGATTTAGACAGTTCATAGTTCTGAGACTCTTACTGAGACAAAACTAGCGTTGATATAGTCGGAACCTGGAATGCCCGGCTCAGACAACAGCTTCACCCTGTTATTGTTATCTGGGGAAAAAAAAACATTTTAACTGAAGAGGCACTGCATGTTAAAAAAACATTTCAAAGTGAAGAGTGGATCAAAGTATGTGTGTATCATACAGGGTTTGATGTTTGTGAAGCGGTTTTTTGAACGGTTCCATGGCAGGTCAGCGTCTGACGTAGCCAGATCGTGCAGCAGCTTCGGCAGCTCCTGCAACACAGGCACCGACCAATCACAAATCACGTGAATCATGTCTAGTCACATATGGATGATTTTATCGAATTGGTTCAAAGTCACATGTTGGACTTATAATTAACTTTAGACTGAAATCATTTGAAGTGAACCTTAATTTTGTTTATTTTATTAAAACAAATGACTGTACATTTCATTGTGTCGATACCAAAACAATCATAACACTACTGAAACTTTACCAGATGTTTTGGTAGTGACTGTTTATGCTGTGACAACTTCAGCTAATTTTGAGCAGGGGTGTGGCTAAAATAAGGCTCCGCCAATGGAATAAAATTGTGTTTTGGTAGTGACATGAAAATATGCGATGGCATTTTTTAAGTTTTAATAATTTAAAAAATTCATGATAATGAATTTTCATGATATTCATGTACATATTCATATACATATTCATGATAACTCTAAACCTTTCAATTTCACTTTGAAAGAAATGAAAAAGATCTTTTAAAAACAACACTAAAAAATTATGTAAGTATTATTTTCACAAGTTGAAATTTAGGGGTTAGTGTTTGGGAAAGACAACTCCCAAAAGAAAGTACCTTATGAATGGTAATTTTGTATATATTTAGCTTATTAATATCTAATTAATGTCTTGGGTTTAAATAGATCACAATTCTTGCAATTCTTGTAAGTATCTAAGATCTGAATACTTTTGTATTTGTGTTTTTAAATATGTTTTATTACTGGGGGACCTCAGTTTGAACTAATTTGGTGGTCCATATAGTTATTGAAACTTGTTAGTAGTCTCTTTTTGATACAAACAAATCTATAACAGAACACTTAATAGACTTTACAGCAAACTCCTCCTGAAACTTGGCGTTGTCGTTGGCACAAAGGTCCTCCACATGCTGAAGGAAAGCCTTCTTACTGACTGGCCTAAAATTGGGCACAACAGAGAGAAAAATAAATAGTGGGATCAAGAAGATTAATAGCAGCATTACAGATTATCATCTTCATTATCATAATCGTAAACAAGCAATTTTCCACACACCCTTTCCACCAAAGTTAACGTGTCTATTTAAATCAGAAGTATAAAAGCACAAACATGTTTAATGATGGAGATTCAAAACATAAAGGAGCCAATTACCTCTCTTATTTACAGTACTCTGTAAAAGTCTTCTGAGAAAATAAGTAAAGTTGTTTATTTAGGCAGTAAGAGTTTACTTGATAACACTTACATTATTATATTATTATAGTATTAAAAAATTATAGTAAATAGAAATAAAGAAATACACAGACAGTGTTTCTCCAGAATGAACTGTCTTCTGTTCGGGTCTTTAGGCTTTTTAATGGCTTGTTCATGATTCCTCAAGTTATATCTACCCATCTTGCTGCTGGTTCTCCTCTTCCTCTTTTATGTTCAACTATTCTAAGCATACCTGTCTTTCCAATAAATTGGTTCTTCTCATATGATTCAGTTTTATCTCAGCTTTGAGCAACAGGAGAGGCTTGATTTTGTCAAGGATCCATTTGTTTGTTTTTATTGCCATTCAAAGTACTCCATCCAAGTTCAAAGGCATTAATATCTTTTCTGTCCTGCCTTGGTATCGGTAGAATTTGCTCTAAAAAAGAGGCATCAGACAGATGTTTAGATTTAACTGATGTTTCAAATCCGTTCTACTGCATTTGTAACACTATAAAAGGGTTTATATTTCTCTGTTTATGCCTCTACATCGGTATGAGCATCTGTACATATGTAGATAAAACAAATACTGGATATTGGCATCAGCCCAAAATTCCAAAATGATGCTGATATCCTGTATTTTGGCCAAAATGACCATATTTTGGTTATGGTCCCTAGACTGATCTTTGTCTGCAGAGAGACCATTACATTTGAAGATCTTTTCAGGCTCCTTTATCCCTGTTCTGCCGAGTGGCAATCTGTGTCATATTTCTTGACTGCTGGATCCTTTGTTTTCCATTACTGATCCAAGAAAAAGCTGTCCAAAAGCTGTCCACCACGTCTGCATCTTCACCATCAAGGTTAACGTTAGCAGTCCTCTGTGTTGACATAACCTTCGTTTTCACATTGAGATGAAGTTCCATCTTCTCGTTCTGTTCAACTTTCCTTGTAAGAGACTTCAGGTATGAGTGTTGTCACCAGTATATCGAAGGTTATCGATGTTTCTTCTACCAATCTTCAATCGTTGATCATCCTCGTCTAGTCCTGCTTCTCCTAGCATATATGCTGCATACAGGTTAAACAAGCATGATGATAGTATGCAGCCTTGTCTAACACCTTTCTGTCCATTTTAACTCAGTCTGTCCATTTTCTGTCATGACTGTGGTTCCTCATAAGAACAGTGAGATGCTATTGTCTCCTGGGGACATTCCATAATTTTACATGGTCGACACAGTCAAAGGCTTTGCTTAGCCATTTCCAAAGCTCTCCTCATGGAAACCCAATATTTACAGCTACTGTCTAATACCTGCTTTAACTAACCAATCCTTCATTATATTAAAGGGTGTAAATCACATGTGCTGATCCATATAATAGCTGGAGTGCAGTGAGAAGCTAGGAACCAAACTTGTTTTCTGTATTCTTCTAACCAACATATGAATAACCATTTTTTTTTAACAAAAAAATCTTGTTACATTGTATTTATTTTTGTTTATTCAAATGTTATATAGATGTTTACAGGCAAAAAACACTGCCTGCCTAGGACTTTTGCACAGCACTGTATAAAACACATGATTTAAAAAATCTACTTTAACAATAAAAATACTGATCTACGTATCACTTACTTGAGGGATTTCCTATAACTGAGCAGCCTGAAATGTTAATAAAAGAGACCATGTGAAACTGTGCCACAAATGTGTGATGCTTTCTATTAGCAGTTAGTAAAAAAGAAGCTACTTGAGCTAAATGAGGTTCACAACATCTATTTGTCTATTTAGAGTAAGATTCTAGTCCTGGAATGTTAAACTACTGCACAGGAAACAATGCACACATCTAATATTCATTCAGAGATTACAGACTAAAACATGAAGATTAAAGTGAGTCACTGAACAGTCATCACTGATATAATTCCTAATAAACCAAATGAAACAATGAAAACAAAATGAAACTCAATCACACCTGGAAGCTCAATCAGATAAATGAGGTGACAGTTATGAAAACATGAGAGAGGACACGGAAGATGCAGAAACCAGAGCATGCAACTGGAGACATGCTGACAGAGCACAGACACGACTGCACCATTTCAACCACTTACTGGATGACAAATATATCCTTCCTCCTAAAGAAAAAGGAGGAGTACCTGAGAAAAAAGGGCATGGAGTGAACGAGGGAGGCAGGGAAACTATGCATGTTTGATCATGAGGCAAATCTGAAACATTCCAGTTCTTGAGGAGCATTGTTATGAAGAAAACTGACTCCAAGATGTCACAGGTTGAAACATGTTACTCTCAACCAGAGCCCAGCCAGTATATCAGGTGGCAGATAATATCGGCCGATATTGACAACCCATCAGTATCTGCGAAAATATTAGGTATAATTACCAACTTTTTTGGTCGTGGCATCGATTTGACACCATGGGCTCCCAGTGACAGGGCAAAACGCCACTGAGGAACACCACAGTACAGGCTGGACTTGTGAATTTGAATACAAATAATCATTTTAATATTTTATGGCAACTGTTTTATTTGATGTTAATTCTGTTCTATTGTAGTAATTTTTCCTAAAATTGTACTTTTCTCATTACCTAAGTTGGTTCTTTTAGTTAATTTTAATGTTTTTATGCCTGTTTCCTATTTGAGCTGTTATTTAAAATATATATATATTATTTTTTTAAATAAACCTTTTTGTCTTGATGATTTTCATCCATTTTAGTTGGTAAATTTCATTTCATTTTTTCAACCTCTTGTAATTTGCTCGGCTACATTGTAAATGAGGGTCACCCTAAATGTACTTCTGAGTCGAAATAAAGGTTGATTGACTGATTGAAATAATCATCATGGTTAGAACAACAAAAACATGTAATATGTATACAAACCTAACCATTAGAATGAGAATAACACACACCAAACACGCAAATAATTCTGGGTAGCCCTGCCTCAAATGCTACAAAATCTTCTGTTCTTTCTTACATTTTAAGTTTGATAATTGACAGTCTCTGTCAGAGATGTTTACCTAAACTTATTAGAGTATAACATTAAAATCTAAAATAGAAATATAGAATTATATCAGCCAATATTATCAGTCATTGAAATTTTAAACCCTATAAAAATAGTATCTGCCACCACGTTTTCACATCAGTCAGGCCCTACTCTCAACATAGCTATTTTAACAGTTAATTATAAATGCAATACTTTAATCATGAAGCGATAACACATTTATGCAAGGATATCATATGTAAGCATTTCAGCTGGCTCACCGGTTGATTTTTTCCTCTTTTAGCTCCATGTCAGCCACTGCAATTAGCTGATCCAGCTTCAGCTTCGTCTCAATAATCTCTGCCTCCCGTGGGGAATAGGTCCCACCCTCCTTCTGTCTCTGATGGATCCTGCAGTTGAACAAAAAAACATCTCTTCAACCATCATCAATGAATTGCATTATTAGAATAGTTTTCTCTATCAAGTTTTTACAGAGGAGTGATTTTTTTACTCAAATGTTTTGCTACAACTACGTACCGCACAGATGCATATATAATCAAGATTAAAAATAACGCCAGAAAAAAAGACAAAAGCACTCCCAGGATGATCTGCTCATCTCGAGTCAAAAGGTGGTCATCTGTGAGAGAGCAGCAAAGAGGGACAGGAACACGATGAAGAATGAAAATGAAAAAATGATTAGAATGGCATTTCATGCTCTCTTCATTTCATCCTGTAATGGAGTTCCTCCAGATTTACCTGCAGTTCTAACCCGCTCTGAGTACACCGAGTCTGTGTACTGGCCAAGGATATTGGTTGCACGAAATTTGAATCTATAAAACCAGCAAAAAATGAATTCACAGCATTAATTGCACAGCTATTGTATTACTTCGGGAGGCATGGCAGTCAGTGTGCGTGTGTATCTTTCTGTAAGCACAAGTTACAATTGTCTGTGAATGTTCTCAATGCATTGCGTGTCTGATGAAGGTACTTTATGGATATGGCTTCAAAAAGTATAAGAATGTATATGTCTGTATCGTACACATAGTAAGTTTTGGGTTTGAGGGGTCCATTGCAGAGTGTCTGTGCATCCTCAGAGAAGCAGTCTTCCTCTGCCCCTATAACATAAGTGCTGCTGTCTGCGCCCATGCGGCCCAGAATCTCAGGGCATTCCGGGTTAGGAAAGCCATCATCAGTCACGTACGGGGCAGGAGAACGGAGAAATACGCTCTTCCAGTTAGACACATTACTGTAGTCCATCACTGAGAATAGACACAGGCAGAATAGTCTTACTAGAAGCTCATTCAACACAAACATATTCTTTAAAGACATTTTTAACACAAGTAATTCGATTAAAGAGAATCAACACTACATACATGATTCTATATCACTATTAGTTACACTGCACAACTTTTGTGTTTTATGCAGTTGTATAATGCAATGTAACTACAATGTATGACACCTTTGCCAGACGGGTGTAGCATTATAGTACCCATTATTTAAATATTGTATAAACAAAGAATGTAGTAAATATTATTTGAACATTCTAATATCTAGCACAGATTAGTATTATTAGTATTAAGTATTATTCTTAGAAAAACATAATATAGAATAAGAAAGCACAGAAATTTAACCCCTTAACCCCTAAAGGCCTGTATGTAGACCCACCACTAAGTATCTCACCTTCTTAAGAAGATAACAGATACTAAATAATTCATATTGGATATTATAAATAACAATAATATGTATTAGATTAATATAAGTCTTAAGCTTAATAATTGATTAATTAGATAAATAAGCCTAGGCTCCAAAACTGTGGAGAGTCAACTTTCTACTTTACAATACAATCGCATTTTGAAAAAGTTTATCACTTTGCTTGGTATATATCAGTAGGTTTCGTGGTGTTGTGAGGTTGTGTCATTGGTGTTATGAAGGTTTAACAGAGACCTGCGGGCTCAGAGATGATGACCTGAATTTTCTGAATAGGACCGTTGTCATCAGAGAAGAAACACTCAGGCATCTCGATGGTGATGGTTTTAGATGTTGCCATGACAACACCTGCACTGTTCAGAGCCACCATTGGCCTTTTAGATGGCGTAGGTGGGGCTGAAATGAAATAATCAGAATACAAACACAATGTTAGGAATTTTCACCCTGTCTATGCAGTCTCTCCAGCCATCCTTCCTTCAATGCTAGAATTAAAAACAACAGTGAGGAAATTCTTCACAGCATAAACACTCAAAAGAAGGGTTAAATATGCATAGACAACACATTCTTAATGGCACAAGAGCACAGACCAGATCATCTCTAAAACCCCCACAGTACATGACGTCTGGGCTATGACTCAAGATATCAGTCAACTGGCTCCCAACTGTTGCCATTGTCTAGCCAGGCTATTTTTATAATTCAGACACATGTTTGAGCAAATGTCTGATTGACGCATTACAGCCTAATTATTTTAAAAAATAGAAATGAGCAAATAGTTAATTATAAAAAATCATGCTGATGTATTAATCCTTTTCGTGCCAGTTTTAGGCACAAATCAAATGCTTTCTGCTTCCATATGTGTAATGGATGAAACTGGTGTATGAGCCTAAATGTGCAGTTTATGGCCCACATGCACAGTAAAACACTAAATGTGCATCTCTTCTTCATGCGCATGTATTTCAGGGAGGGCTTTGAAAAACATTGGAGGATCGCACAAAAAAGTGGTTGGAGATATTATCTGTCTGGCTGATTATATATTCTGCTCAGTTTACTAAACTTCACCTTTTAAAATCAGGAGTAAAATTTGTATTTGGGTCTTAAAAAACTTCTTTTAACAATAGCAGCAGACAAGGCATACAGAGACACAAACTTCAAATAGATGCTGACAGAATGCTTTCCACCAGAATAAACCTTAGGCTCTCCGGACAAGACGTATGTATGTGCCTGCAATTGTATGCTCATTCTGTTTTTTTAGCCAGAGTAAAATAAACACCCCTGTAGAATATTTTGGTGGTAATTACATTTATTTATTAATACCAGTATTTATTAATACCAGTCTTCAATGTTATTTCCTGTCTTGTCCTAAGCTTATTGATAGCTTCATTATTTCACTGTGCTTTTGAAACCCTGTGCCTCTCAAGTGAGCTGTAAGTGGTTGGGACTGCGTGCAGTTTGTATGATCAGCTGCAGTCTTAACAAAACTAAATGTTACATTCAGGCACGTTGTGGGTGAATACGGCCCATTTTGGGGCTGTGTTTGTGCTTGTACATACATTTGTCCCACGACATACCCCCTAGTGCTAGAGTAACAATTAGCCAACCAACAGAATTAAACTAAAATCATTACACTTTCCCAAATATAATTTAACAAAATGACCATCATGCTGATCCTGATCATTATGTTAAAACAGTGCTCAAGGCTTGCTCTTGCAATAACTGTGCAAAGAAGCTTCTTGAAAGCCTGTCTGGTCTGTAACAGATGAATTCTGACTCATGAGCAAAGGACAGTCACCAAGGGAGGAAAATATACAAATACATTTTGTCTCTGAAAATCAAGTGATACTCAATAATCAAACACGACAGCCTCTCAGATCACAATCACAAATGCTTTCAAACGCTAATAAGCTTTATATTATGGGAAGGTTTTCTCATATGTTACGTAAGAATCAGTTTCCTGAACACTGATTAGGCCCAGCCTTGGGTTAAATTATATTCCTCAAATCTCTTTCAGGAAATCTCTGTTAGCCCTACAGGCTTTGACAGTGTTTACCAGTGGATAAAGAAGTGCAAACAATAACACACAAAGACAAATACAGGGACTGTATATAGACAGACACTGATTATACAACAAATACAAAGACTGTATACAGACAGACACTGATTACACAGATAACAAATTAAAGGTTAATTGATTAAGAGGAGGCGGAGTGAAGCAGTCTGTGGTCATGGCAACTGTGACAATTCCACTTAAGGGTGAATCTCAGGGCCTTGCATTAGTTGATAATTATAGCCTTTTATTATTTAGTCCTTGGCACGCTTCTAAGTCTCAGCAGCCGTGTACTGTACTGATGTTGAATTGACCAATAGAGATGCTCCAAAACTGCTTGGAATAAAATCTCTTTACATTAACTTACATTGAAAATAAAGAACTTTTTGCCCTCTCTTGTAATGTTACCATCTTGAAGATACAGTGACGATACTAAAGTTTGAATGTATTTGATAATATGAAACAATTAAACAGTAAAATTCCTTTAAAATAAAGCCTAATAGTATCCAAACTTTACCTTCACTAGACAATATCTATTTTAATACTGCCATTTTCATATTATTAATGCAGCATTTGTGTTCCTACACAGATTTCACTGTATAATGCCTATCATGGAAAAAAAAACAGTTGTACAAAGTACAGTTGTAGGACTTACTGCCCATACTAGAATGAAAACGCTGCTTAAAGATGTTTTAAATATGTGTTACACTTATGTAGTCAGTGCTTTCAGTTGTAAACAGAGGCCTACATTATGACCACTTAATGAAACAAGCTTGATGACACTCTTGTTTTCAAAATATGAGTCCTTGCATGCCCATCTTTTGGCCAGGGGATTCTGTTGGTTAAGGCTAAGAGTGTGCAATGTGTAACTGTCATCAGTGTAACTTCTCACTCTTTTTAAGAAATCATTTTCCAGGACTTTTCCAAGACAAATTTCTGAACAGTTTCCCCGACTTCTATACACGCTCAAGAAACTGGCGACATCCGTAACATTAAAGTCAACAATGCAACCCACAACATCCCCTCACTGATTGTGATATACTGATACACTCACACAAACCATTCCTCAACTGATCATCATTTGATCACAAGTCCTACTAAAATATTAGAAGTAAACGTTAAACGCTGTGAGAAGCTGCCATGTGTTATAGAATGTGCCCTTAAATGTCCAGGTTACATTCTATAACCTAAGAACAGCTCAGACAGTTTGCACTGAAGTCCCTATAGTTACTGAATAATAAGCCTTAGTATGTATTAAGCCTGGAATTTTGAGAGGTTCAATGTCTTCTAGGCATTCCGACATAGTGACTACGTATCTGTCTACATGCAACACTGTAACATTTCAAACTACAATAGGTATAAACAAACTAAAAAAAAAGCAACAAAAAGATGCTAAAATATATCATTTTCAGGACTTCACTAATACTTCCAGGACATTTTTTTATCAATTTTGTTATGTTTTCCACATGGGAACCATGAACAATGCGTTAAATAGAAATAATTACAACTGCAGAACGACATACAGACACAGAGTTGATGTTACCTTTCATCTCTGTGGTGACCCGAACTTCTGAGCTAGGCCCTGAACCTGCTCCATTTACTGCAGCTATCTGTAAATATACAAAAACAAATACATCACGTAGTTGTGTTTCATGATTCAAGTTGTTGTAACATGTTTATTAAATGTTCTGAAGTGGTGTTTTTAATCTGTCCACTGTACTTTTGTATTTATATGTTTCTGAAGTGCTTGCTGTATTGATATAAAACAGGGTCAAACTGAAAATAAGATTCTTATTGGATTGGTTTTCACTACATATGGTAATAATAAACAAAATAGACATCTGTCTGGAAATATAACATACACATTCACTGGTCAGTTCATTAGACACAACTACCGTAGTAGTCTATCAAACAAGTGTACAGTTTGAGACTGTAGCTCAGCTAATGTCACAGTTTATTTTAGCCATGCTTTGGTCATTCATCAGTGGTGAGTTTCTGAACCTGACCTATGATGAATGGTTAATTTGCATATGACAACAAACAGGCTACAGTCTGTAACTGTAGTTCAAGATAGTGGTCTTCTAAGGTAGGTGGGCCTTATATCTGCACTTCTGCATGTGTCGGAGGGTGTGAGGTTCTTTACCCGTATGCTGTAGTTGAAGCCCCCCTTAAGCCCCTCTATAACAGCAGTCATGGTCTTGTTTGGGTTGCTAATCACATGCACGCTGTCAATGTGGAAGTCAAGCTGTCCATCACGGTAGATGGAAACACGGTAGGCACTGATATTCCCATTAGGCTCATCTGGCGGAAGGAATGTTATGTATACTCGAGTCACCTCCTCCGGAATCACCGTCAGGGTCACATTTTTGGGTGGATCTTTTGGCTCTGACAAAACAGAAAAAACACTTAGGAGTTAACATTGTCATGCCAAGCAAAGTAAAACGCGAAGTAAAAAGCAAAGCATGATTAATGACTGCATGCTCTCATTTCTGTGTTAACAAAGTCACACGAATTGATGATCATTTAGTACGTCAAGTATGAGTATGATCCTCTTGGATCCCTTACAGTTTGCACAAAAATCCAGTAGATTTAGTAGATCTAGTAGACGACACTATAAGTAGTAGGCACAGGTCGTCTCCACTTCCAATAATTAACCTTTTGTACACCTTGAAAGGGTTTCTAAAGTTCCTTTGGCCAAAACATAAATATTTGCAGATGACAGACCCCTGAAGGCCTGATCTCATACAATGGTGCGTCATTCTATATGAGGGAGGTGCGATGCCTCACATAATGCATTAAAAATAATCTGTAGCTCATCAGCAAGACAGTGAAAATGACAACTGACTTTCTTAAACACCCCCTGTGTCACTCCCCACAGAAATCAATGCCACAGCTGTCACTGTGAAGTCTTTCAACATTAAGGCCATCATGATGAAAGAAACTCAGCCCATCCTCAAACACTCCTACGCAGTCATTAGTCAAAGTGTCATCACATATGTGTCACAGCATCTGTGATTATGTGGCTCAACTGCAAAAGTCTACACGTCAAGGACAAAATAACTGACTGTAACCTCCTACCCACTGAACACCTGCACAAAAGTAAAGACCATACTGCCAAGATCACTACCTGTTGCTTCCACTCAGCAAACCTCCTGATCCAAAAAATCCTCCATGGAAAACGTTCATTCTAAACCAGAACAAGCAGGTTTGTCCTCCAGCACTCCAACATTGGCAGACAAGCAATGTACAAGTCAGACCCCTCTACAGTAAAAAATGTTCAGTCATTAGAAGGCTGTGCCATTGAACAGCCCAACATAAGGCACTCCTGTTTTAACTATATGACATCAACACAGGCTAAACTGGTCAATCTGAACACAACACACCACCATGATTTAAAAAAAAACAAAAACAAATGCATCTAAACCTAACCTTTACCATGAGAACAGCCATTTTCTATAAAGAAAACTGAGAAGTAAATAAAAGAAGCCTGGGTAAGCCTGGGAATTCTGGGTAACTCCACCACTAGTGCTACAATATTTATATTATTTAAGACCATGAGTTTCTGCTGTTTATCTGAGTTTAAAAAATATGACCACTGAGAACTGGAGATGATCTTTTACAATTCAGAGTGGAATATAAAATTTAAATGCAAAATATACATATAAAATTCTATCAGCTGATATTATTCTTTCAACTTTGCACATATAACTGTATGTGTTTACTTTTTTGTTCTTAGTGTATTTATACTTATTCAGTGTATTTAATATATTCTTATACTTTATATATTTTTTTCTAAGACTATATTGGTGAATGGAGGAACAGCAAAGTAAGAATTTCACTGTACAGTGTAACTGCCTTTTTCTGCTGTGCATATGACAATAAAACTCTTGAATCTTGAATTACCATTTTCAGAAATTTTTGCCTCTCAAAATCGGTATCAGCATTGGAAAAACTGCCATTACCAGCCACAGTATTTTCATGTATGCCAACCCCACTCATTCCCATGTTCCTGATCAAATCTTTATTTAGACGAAATCTACTTTTCATACCAAGGAGGACACCTGAATAAAAATGAGGATAGATTACAGGTATTTTTCTTTCTTCTGCCAAATGATATTCACACTGTCTACAGATGAGGTGAGGAGAGCCCTGTTAAGAATGCACACATGCAAAGTTGCCAAACCCGATGGCATCTCAGGACAGGTCCTGAAAGCGTGTACAAGCCAGCTGGCTGTCACTTTCACAGATATCTTTAACTCTTCCTGGCACAGTCTACTGTTCCCACCTGCTTCGAAACCACAATCATCATACTCATACCAAAGAAACCGAACATCACCTGCCTCAATGACTATTGCCCAATTGCACTCACACCCATCATAATGAAGTGCTTTGAAAGCCTGTTTTTGATTCCTTTTAAGAACTGCCTCCCAACAACTTTGGATCTTCATCAGTTTATGTACTGTACAAACAGATTCTCAGAAGATGCAGTATCCCTGGCAATGCACACTGCACTGAACCATCTGGAGGGCAAGAACACCTACGTAAGAATGCTGTTCATAGATTTCAGTTCAGCATTTAGCACAATTATCCAGTCTAGACTGATCTCCAAGCTCAAGACCATAGAAATCTGTCACACAGTCTGCAGCTGGATTCTGGATTTCCTCACAGGCAGGCCTCAGTCTGTTAGGATGGGCAGCCACATTTCTTTCACCTTCTCTCTCAGCACGGGCTGTCCACAAAGCTGTGTCTTATCACCCATGATCTACACCCTGTGTACCCACAACTGCATCACCAAGCACAACTTGAGTTCGCTGACGATACGATACTGGGCCTTATTACTAACAACAACGAGGAAGCGTATAGAGAGAAGGTGAAACTTCTCACAGAGTGGTGCACAGACAACAATCTCTCCCTCAATGTCAATTATACGAAGGTGAGCAGAGTGCACACTAAGTATTGGGGGACCATGGAGGAAAGAGTGAACTGTCAAAAAGGCCCAATAACACCTTTATTTCCTCAGGAGGCTGAGGAGAGTCAATCTCCCACATCAGCTTCTCTGCAACTTGTACAGGTCCACAGTGGAGAGCATCCTGACCAGCTGCATCACAGTCTGGTATAGCAGCTCCACTGCTGGGAAACGGAAGGTCCTGCAAAAGGTGATGACAACTGCCCAGCACATCACTGCAGCTGCCCTTCCACCCATACAGGTCATTTACAAGAAAAGATGTGTAAGGAAAGCCAGCGTTATCACCTCAGGCCCCACACACCCCAGCCACTTCCTGTATCTCCTGCTGCCATCTAGGAGGAGAAATCAGAACATTTGAGCCAGAACCACCAGGTTCAAGAACAGTTTCTACCCTTGAGCTGTTAAACTGCTCACACCCACAGCACCCACCAGATCATGAAAACAAACACAACTTGAACTATTATAACACTACACTTTAATGTTATTCCGAGCTGCTGTCTGACTTTCTATCTACTTGTACTGAACATTTGCCTTGACTTACATTCATACTGTTTACTGAACACTACCACTAAAATTGCTGTACATATTTTGCAAATGTTCACACTTCTATGCACCAGTACACTTCTGTGTCCTTAGTTTATTTTGCATTTTGCATTTACTGTCTAATGTGTAATTTATTGTGGGTTGTTACAATACTAGTACTGTCATCCTACTGGTACACGTGCACTTTTGTCCTTGTCTCAATGTTTACGCATCAGGGAAGTAGCCGAAATATGCTTTGTTATACTGTACCCCCATATATATAATGACAAAACTGAATTGAATTCTAACGTCAAAAGAAGGCAAGACACCCTCAAACTTTTGACTGCAGTGCATATTTTCTCAACATAATTCAATTCTAACATACAGTCCCAATCACATAGACTAATGTATTTTTAGGTTCTCTGATCAGTAGCAATAAGTGTATCAAGACAAGACAAATGTATGTGACAAAAGTGATTCTTATTATGATTCTGAAACATGCATGAACTAAACTGCACGGGCAACTCCTTGGGAAATCAACACACACACACCCTTATAAAGCACACTCTCTCACCCTCCTCCAGTGTTCTGATGAGAACAGGCTCAGAGGCCATGCCATCTCTGTGAGCATCAGCCACATCTCCAGTAAAGGCAGTGACAGTAACTGAATACTGGGTAAACGCAGTCAAATTTCCAATAACCACTGTCCTCATTTCTCCTGACTGTCTCACGATACTCATATTGCGACCCGAACCATCCAACTGAAAGAGAAGAGGAATGGGAGAGAGTAAGCTAAACTGAATTAAAAGTTAAATTGAGTTTCTTCACAAAGTAATTGATATGGGTCAATCTAGTTTATGCCAATCACTCTGACTCACAGCAACAACGTCAACGAGGTAGGAGGTGGGCCCTGAAATGATTGTTGGTTCACTCCACTCGATTTTCATTCCAGAGGAGGAAGGAACTACTGAGATAGCGCGAGGAGGGGCATCAGGGTCTGAGAGAAAGAGTGAGACAAACAGAAAGGGGAAAGCATCAGTTGTTACCTGCACATGTAAGTGCATCATAAAGGTCAGATGAGTGTGTGTGTGTGTGTTTGTTTTTGTAAATTTTCAGGACAAAAATGGCTGAGCTAAATATGATATAGTGAGAGTTTTATCCACATTGCAAAAGGCATGCTTCACAGCATCAGTATTTATCTTGGACTTTGAACAGGGCTCTTAACGAGCCTCCATTTAATTGTTCCTGGTATTTAAAGCTGAGCTGAGAGCTACATATTTGGTGGAAGGAAGAGCAAATATTAAAGCACATGTGTTACAATGTTTGGGCTATTTTCTATATTTTGCAGAACTGCTGTAAAAAAACAATTGTAACACTTTACTTGAGTCCTGCTACACTGACATAACCTTGCCATCAACATATCATGGGAGATGTCATATGCTTTCATGAGTTGTCATAACTGATAATGGCCAGTAATATTACAGTGTCATATTACCATTAAAATTAATTGTTATGACATGCATCATAATATCTGATGTCATGACATCTAACTAGAGTAGTGCTATAAATTGCCATAACATCAAATATTACAGCATCTTTCATGATTACTATGAATACCATAACATGACATTGTTATATTACTGAATAAAATCTGTCACCTCATAACAGCGTATGATATTTATCATAACATGTTTAAGGCATGGTTAGGATAATGTTATGAAGAGGGGTTCAAGTAAAGTGTTAGTAAAGCAATAGATTGCTATTGCTTAAATATCATGTATACAGTTAATGGTTCCAACTCCTTTACAATTGTAACCTTTGAATAGAAGCTTTCTAGAGTCGAGGATGGCACTGTGAAAGCAGCTGGGCTTCAGCCTTGACTACTAAAGAGGGTTTGAAGGGTCAAACTACGAAAATACGTTAATGCCTCAATACTTAGGTTGTACATATGACCCCATTTCCTAATAAGGTATAAAAACAAATGTGTATGTATGTACACACGTGTGTGTGTGTGTGTGTGTTAGACATACTGCCTGCAAGTGTTTGTATGTAGATCCATCCGGTAGGCTCTCCTGTTCCAGCACTGGTGAGTGCTACCACTCTGATGCGATAGCGTCTGTATTTAAGCAGAGACTGCAGCGTGACTCTCTCCTCATCTCCTGTCCCCTTTACAGACAGCACAACCTCACTCTCCACACAGGATGGATACTCCTCCGCCTCACATGACTGTCCCAAACGCTGCCTCTGCACACTGTAACCCTGCAAAAGCCCAGGAACTCTAACAGGACGGAGCCAGCGCAGAGTCACAGTATTAGAGCTAATATTCACCACAGAGAGGAACTGTGGAGGACCAGGAACTACAGCAGAAAGAGTGAGAGAGTGAGAGAGAGATATTTAGAAAGAGAGTGAGAGAAGAGGGAACAGAGAGGGAAACACAAAGGAAAAAGACAGGCACAAAGGGAGAGATTAAATGAGAGATAATGAGAGAGAGAGAAATAGGGAGAGAGAGAGAAGGGAGAGAGAGATATTGTAATTTATAATTCATAATGAGTCCACAAGGCATTTATCCATAATAAAACATTAGACTGCTCTAGGATTGACATGCACAGTACAAAAGAAACAAAGGAGAAGACTAAAATGTTCTGGTGTATTGTACCTGATTCTGGGAGTGTGTGAGCTGAGCAGTTAGCGTCCTCTCCTGGTCCGGCTGAGTTAACTGCAGCCACAGAGATCACATAGAATGAATTGGGCTGCAGGCTGCTGAACGTGTGTGTGAGTGTGTGCGTGGGTGTTAAAGGATACACCTCCTCCTTCCGATCTGCTGAGCTAATGAGGTACAGTAGGATCTCTCCATTGGGATTAACTGGAGGCTCCCATTCCATATACACTGAATCCCAATCCAAGCCTGTACAGGTCAGATTCCCAACCGCCTCGGACACTGCAACACACATATTGCTCACACACTCAGATATTTTGAAACATCTGCCTGGGCAAATGCTCTTTACTCTTGCTCAGCCAAGTCAGGTGTTTTAAATGGCTCAAATTAGGGATATAAATGATAAACCTATTAACCACAAACCAACATATAAACAATTGTTTGACCAATCCTATCAGTTTAATCTAATTTCATTTTCAATAAACAACAGCTCCTATTTGAATAGGCAGGTTTATTGTTCAAGTTTTAAATTCAACATTTTTGAATTGTATGCATGACTTTCAAAAGGACAACAGATATTTAGAGCATGGCTCAGCAAATTAGATTTCAGAACAAGAAATTTCCATTTTATAATTGATGTTTTTAGGGACTGTATCCTTGATTTCGGCTTTGCCAGTTAACAGTTGCCAACCAGCCAATCACAGCATTTACATAAGTCATTTACATACAACAGCCTGTTTTATTTAACATAAAGCCACACAAAAGCACAAAAAATGTATGATATGGGCCCTTTAACAGAGCTGATGATTCCCAGTGTATTATATCAAATGTACGTGTGTGTGTATTTGTATAATGTCTGTGGGTTTTACCTGACTCATTGGTAGTGAAGGTAACTGGAAGACTGTACAAATCTCCATTGCCTGCTCTTGTGTAAGTACAAACACTTATCTCATATGAGCTATGAGGTTTGAAGCCACTTAATTCTGCCTGAGTGGAGGCATCCGAGGAATTCTACAGCAAACACAGAGGTCAGACATAAATACTGTGCATTTTACATGCATGCAGTCACACAAATAGGCCATACAAGACATACACATCCTAAGCCACGCACATACACAGTGCAAAAAATGGTATCTTCAAACATTATTTACTTGTTTTAAGTGATTTTATTAAGTAAAATGATCTCACTATAGTGGCAGATAATTTTGCTTGTTTTAAGAAATGTGTTTGATATCAGCAAAATTATCTGCCACTATAGTGAGATAATTTTACTTGATGAAAATATCTAAAACTAGTAAAAAATGTCTAGAAGAAGCTAGAATAATCTTATAATAAGTGCATAACCATATTAAAATAAGAAAAAGATTGAAGATCATGTCACTTGACAAGATACTATTTTTTGCAGTGCACACATCCACATACGGAAGCACAGTGTTTAAGCACCTGGTATGTAATGGTGTTCGTGTTCAGCTCCACTATTTTGAATCCGTAATGTTGAATCAGGCCATTGGGCTCCAGACTAGGATCCCAGTGGAGCCACACTGAGTCAGAAGAGTGGTTAAAGATACTCAGATTTCGTGGTGGAGACATTGGACCTACACACACACACAAACACACAAACAAAAACAGAGTCACACGAGATGCCATCTTTACGTGCCTCAGTCACCCATAATAGGCTCTTTCATGGGTCAACAAAAGACATTTAAGGGTCCACTGGTCTTTTTAAGTTCGGTAATGCTGGCAGAGTAATATTATATCCTGAGAGGCTAATCGAGACAGTTCACAGGTAATAACTTAAAGCTAGATAGACAAATGAGCTGCTCTGAGAAGATAATAACTCACTTGCTTCATCAGTGTGCAGAGCCAGAGTGAGGGAAGGGCCCATGCCCCTGCGATTCACTGCGGAGATTGAGAGGTTGTAGGGCGTATATGGGACAAGGTATGTGAGAATGAGCTGGGTATCAGGTGTGTATGAGCTGTTGGAACCTCTAGGACCATTTAGAACTACAGCGTATTCTGTTATCTCCCCATTGGGCTCAATAGGGGCATACCACGACACCAGCATAGAGGTGGCAGAGAGGTTCCTGCTCATACCCAGCAATGGAGCAGAACTAGGAACTAAAAGAAAGAGAAAAGCAATTCTTTACATTTTAAAAACACACACACATAAATGTAAGTTTTTTTACACTTTAAAAACAGGTCTGAAAAATTGGATGCTTAAATTAGTGCAAACTGCTCATTATCATCATATGTCCTCAGATGCAGCAAAGAGTTATGAGTGTATGTGAATGTGTTTGTGTATGTGGATTTTAAAGTGTCAACATCCTACATTTTCTTGTATTTAACTTTTTGTCCACTTACAACATTTTGTGGTTTTAAAAGACAAAAGAAATGGCCATAATTCATAATACAGCATGAACATCTTCCACCCTCCCTTTATTCCTTAGTATTAAACAGAATCATTTTTTACTGCCTGTGAGACTTATTTATGTAAATGACCTTTTCATCTAATTGGCTGAAATAGCATGTTAAAAAACAGCCCAGGCTAAAATGTATGGCATAAATTTTCGGACTCCGAAAAACATTAGACATCAGAAAAAAGTTTTCCATGATGTTGACCCTTTAAGAGTGTGTGTGTGTGTGTGTGTGTGTGTGTGTGAATATGCAAAAATTAGTGCATACTGCTTACTGTCATCATCTGTTCTCAGGTGCAGGACAGAGGTGTGGTTTAGAGCGGAGCCTGCACTGGTTGCTGGGATCACATGGAGAACATAAGGGAAATACTTCCTGAGTTTGGTGAAGAGGAAGACTGTGTCGGTGGTGGTCTTGGTGATGGTGCGGTTGTCTGTGCGGTTGATGGAGGGATGGGTAACGCCCACCTCCTGCAAGCTCAGCTGGTAGAAGACTCTACCATTGGGCTCCAGAGGGGGATCCCAACTAATCACTACAGCTGTAGAGCCATAGAGCTGAGCTGAGAGATTATGGACTGGACCATTTGGCACTGCAGAGGGGAGAGATAGCCACTATCAGTCCACTGTTATACAGGAGTAATAATTAGTTTAGAAACACTTTAGAAAAGGGAACAAGTAAATCACCTCAGAAGAAGTGCCTGGATATAACTCACTTTTAGAAGTCAGTTTAAAAAACATGCATCACATTTTGTTCCCTATTCTGAAGTGTGGTCATTAATATTGCTATTCTGTTTAATACAAATGCTGCACATGTGCAAGGCTTTTAAATCATACGAAAAAGCTCACTGTGTTACATTCAAAACAGCAACAAGTTCACACCAGGCAACAGACAAATTAATATAATCAGTGTAGGTATTCAAATTCATAACTAGTCAACCACTCCATTACTGCAACTACATCATTATATTTCAAATATCACACTCCATGCAATGCATGAATATAAATTAAGGAAAAGAAAGGAGGTTATCTTCATTTTGACAACTGAAAAAGCTTGTTTTCCTTCAGTTTTGACCTGCAAAATGACTTAAAGGGTGACTGATAAACAGAAAAAAGAAACAAAGTGAATATCAGTTGGTATATTTGCATAGTGTGTCATGGAAATGTGCAGAACATAAGAACATATAGATATGCCCTATATAGACATACGTATAGATTAAGTCCTGGCAACATAGGACCATAACAAACCAGACAAATGGAGTGAAGCTGCAGAAACCAAACAATCATAGAAACAGAGAGAGGGAGAGAGAGGGAGTGAGAGAGAGAGAGAGAGAGAGAGAGAGAGAGGGAGGGATTATTATTATGTAACGATGTGAAACACTTCATCAGCCTCACACACCAGGGGAGAATCTCCGTTCTCTCTCAGGGTCAGCTCTGCACCGTTTTTCCCAAAATCACACCAAAACTGGTAATAATCTGGTTTCCAAGGTCTCATACTTGCTATAGTATTGCAGAAATGTTAGTATTCTGTCCTGATTGTCACAGCATAATGATATATTATCTAATATTATGCAATTATGTATAATAATGTAAATATTTTTCCATAATGTAAACATTGCCAACAGTGACATAGTTCTCTCTACATCAGCACAGCCAGTGAAAGAAAACACAAGCTGGGACAGTCTGGAGTCTGACAATAAAACCCACACATCCACAAACACGTACACAGAGACATAAACACTCCTGCTCTCTCCCTCTGTCTTCTACTCTAGAAGACCTGACAATCACAGTTTGCAGCTCAGAGAGAGCTGTCCCCTTTCACAGAGCTGCTGAGCATGTATGTGTGTGTTGTATGGGCATGTGAGTCTGTACTGCTGTTTTAGTGTGATTTTTGGGGGGACTGAAGAGTGAAAGTGCTTGGAAAAGCGGTGCAGAGCTGCTGTCCTGCTCCCTGCCTGTGTGAGGAGACTGACCGTCCTCCAGGGTGGTGAAGTTAAGGGGAGTGCTGCTCACCCCCCCGTCACCCAGGGAGGTGCTAGAGCTCAGCCACACCCTGTACTCCTGCCCCGCTCTCAGCCCAGTCAGCACTGCCCACTGCACTGAACCCAGCACTTGCTACACAGGGAGAGACACAGAGAGAGTTACATTCTGCCCTTAATGTATGAGTGTATGTGCATCGCACGTGTACAAGATGATTCTCATTAATGGATTTTTACATTCTTTTTATATAAATGCTGACATTGTACATAAGAAAACATCAATGAAAAAGCCAGAAATAAAAAACATTTCAATCCATTAATCAATTTATTTATCCTAGGCTAACTAGTCAGGACAAATAAAGAAATTAGTTTTTAATCTGAGATTTAAATGACAAAAGCGACATAAATACAATCCTGGATGGACAACAAAGAAGTGCCTACATGATTCAGGAATTTCAATAAGACCTTCTGCACTTCACATGAATCAAATAAAGAGCTTCATCAAAGTCAGTGGCAAGTGGCTATATACCACAATGACTTATGCATAATTATGCCACCAAATTTTGGTACAGGTGTAGCAACAATCAAATGAAATATAACCAGCCAAAATAAAAATGACAAATTGTTTGATTGCCTATCCCTGTTCGGAGCTAGAATATTACATTTTGCTGCATGTTTAAATATGGGTATTTTGTGTGTGCACCTGGGTAGAGACAGTGATGTTGTCACTGTAGTAGATAGTGTAGTATTGTATAACACCATTGGGCTGAGTGGGGGGGCTCCAACTCAATCTTACTGTCGTAGTGGACAGGACTGTGTACGACACATTTTGTGGAGGGTCGGAGGGGGCTGCAACAGAGAGAAACACAGACACACTAAACAAACAGACAAACGCTTTCAGATATCTGTGCAAATACTACAGTTTATATAAAAAGATGACATTTTTGTGTGTGCAAGAATGCGCAGTGTATTTGTACATGGAAAGGGTGAGAGGGTGAATGGAGGTGCAAGTATGTCTATGTGTGTAGGAGTGTGTGTGAGTGTTTACCAGACTCTGATGTCCTGAAGGTGATGTAGATCAGTACTCCCCCATCTCCAAGGCGAGTCCAGCTGCTCACAGAGGCGTTATACTGCCCCGGCCCATCCACATTTACCACCACTGACGTTACAGTTAGATTTGCTACAAATTCAGAGCTCAAGTTCCTAACAAACACAAATTAATATACACATATGTTTAGCACAACTGAAATTACACCAACAGTTAAAAGAATTGCTCACATGCATGTATGTCCTGCATGTTTAGTAAGTTTTTGATGTGTTTATCCTGTCTGACTACTTAAAGAAGGAAAACGTATTATGCATATTCCAACAAGACTATGCAAGATGCCCAATGTGATATTACAAGTCTACTTTGGGAAATCTGTGGAATAGAAAAAGCCAATGCTATTGATGGTCTGAGAACAGCAGTGAAGAATGTTGTGGGAAGTCCCAGTGTAAAATATTAAAAAGTATTTGTAGGATACTAAAATTTAGTGTTATATTACACATCCAGTAAAGTTTGAAAAAGCACAAGAAATATAATCAAACACCGCTTAAAAATCTTATTAACCAATCTGAGAACTGTCAGTGGTGTGGTCCTTATACCCCCCACACACCTTTTATGTGGAATTGTAAAGAAGGTAAGATGCTTTTTCACTTTACTGCTGGATGTGCATCTAGGCAATGCTGGCACGGCTGGTCGATCAAACAAACAGATACACATCAGCCTTACTACTTACATACGTGACCCAATATTAGAACTGCCTAGCTTATTCTGGCAAAATACAACAGCTATTTATTTAGTGGGCCTTAGAAAGTTATTCACACTTTGTACATACAAACATACTTTGTATGTGTATATCATGTGCCCACAAGATTAACCCACTTTGAAAAAAAAACAAAGATTTTGGTTTCCTGGGGCTTCAAATCTTTTTAATATAGTTACAGAATAACTGGACTGAGTTCTTTCTCTTCCTATAGTTATACAATCTCTTCTCATACTATGACCATATGTTGAAGGCATGGATCATTACAAACAAACAGTGCATGTACAATTCCTTTCAGTGTTTAATTTCTTTTTCTCTTCACATGTCCCAGTGCCTCCCCACAAGATCTCAATGGGTTTTAAATTGTGCCTAAATTTTACTTTCTGAATTTGGTGGTTGAAATATCTGTCAATTGTTGTGGCTTCCCTTCTTAAACAAATAATATAAACACATCAAAAACAGTTGCTAAACATCAGTGTATGACATATGTGCATGTGAACAATTCTTTTTGACTATCAGTGTATAAGCTCTCTTAAATGTCTGATTTGACAGAGCAAGAGTAAAGAGCACTTACCACACTCTCACTATGTAGTACAGAATTTCTGAGTTGGCTTCCAGAGGGGGTTGCCATGACAACTCTACTTGGTTATCTGACAACTTCCTGGCACGCAACAACTGTGGGGGGGAACTTGGTACTGCCATTCAGGGAAAAAAAGTTCTTATGGGTTACCAATCACAAAAATCATATACCAGCTGCTCCCAGAGACCAGCTGTTAAAGAAATGGTGCAGATTGAAATGATTTGTACTTCCCACTTTTCAAACCTTACACATACAAAAGCAAAACATCTTTGTGCATACATCACCTTTCAGAAAGTAAATGCCCTTTAAGGTCAAATAACGCTAACGGTATTTGATGTGTGGGAGCTGTAGAAAAGAACTGAGCATTAGTGTGTAACATGTTATGTGTGACAGGTCAGCAACTGCCTTGGCTGTGAAGAAAAACAGCAGGTTAGCTCCATTACTGTTCCTGAGGCTTCTGCCACCTCTTGTCAACAGCAAAGACACATGCACACTCACCGTCCTCCAGGGTGGTGATGTTGAGGATCTCGCTGCTGTGGTTGCCCAAGCCAACCCGGGTGGCTGCCTGAACACTGAGGCGGTAGTGTGCGTACTTGCGCAGGTTGGTCAGGAGAGTGAACGGAAAGTGTGTGGTGACGTTAAGGGTGTGTGTGGTGTTCCAGTACTCCACGATGTAGTACAATATGAGGCCGTTGGGTACAACAGGGGCTGACCATGACACATTCACCTCACTGGAGCTGATGCTCTCATAGGCCAGTCCGTATGAAGGACTGCCAGGGACTGAAAATCATATAGAATATATGATATATATAAGAAATTTGTAATGAAGGTATTTCAAGCAGAGGAACAACCTGCAAAAATTTCAATGAATCAAATTTAGATAGAAATCGAAGTGTTACAGTAGCTAGACATATAATTGCACATAAACTTACATATATTAGGCAGAAATAAAATAGGAATAAAAACAGATGTAGACAGACATAGACAGAAATAGAAAAATAGACATAAATTAAGTAAACTATGAGAGAGCAGGAATAAAGTATATAAATATTTAATTAAGCCTTTAAAGATAAACTATGGCAAAGAGCACAGCAAGTTTTCGTAGCTCTGAAACCATTCAAGTGTGAAGCTACCCAACAAGTTAATGCCATTCAATTAAGCTTAGTTTGTTTTATTTGTGGCACAGAACACAGAACTATTACCAAAATAAAATATTTAAAAAGTGGAACTGTATAAATATCAGGATTTACGGTAGTTTCAAGTTAGGAACAGTATCAGCACATACTGCAGATACTGAGGCAGATAGTTCTTATAACTTCCATTTTAATAAATGGGGCTTAAGTGAAGACGTGAGAAGTGATAAATTACAATCTAAATATCCTGTACGATTTGGAAGAGCTTAGGAGATAATGTAAAAAATTTAGGAATTTTTTCATTCATTTTATCTCTTACTGGCTTCATGCTGACTGTTATTTTTATAAGACTCATTTCTGCAATTATTTTAATTAGTCAAATGGACATTAGTATTTTCTTTTATTTACAGTGGTTTAAAATCAACTGAAATTATTAGATAAAGCTGAGTGTTATCTACTATTGGTTAATTGGTTTATCTGGTCTGCGCAGCTGAAACAGCTACAGAAAAAGCCTGGGAGTCGAACTGTGGCTGACTCTAACCTGACGTCCTCCCACTCCACACACATGCATTTTGAAACAATGCTGAACTTTCTCCAAAAAAAAAAGCTCTGGAAAAGCAATCACACACAAAAAGTGAGAGACCCACCATCCTCTCCAGACAGCATCTGCAAGGTTTCTGAGGTCTGGTTTCCATGGCCGAGCTGTGTGTACGCTCGTACAGTCACGCTGTAGTAAGTGTAAGGCTTCAGGTTGCGGAGTGTGATGCTGGGTACGGTGCTGTTGACTACATGGCTGTAGGTGGCATTGCCGTATGAGACTTCGTACTGGCGAATGATGCCATTCGGTTTGTCAGGAGGAGACCAGGTGATTGTGGCAGTAGAAGAGGTGGTGTTCACTACAGCCAGATCATGCGGAGGAGAGTCCGGCACTAACAGAGACACAGAGTAATACAGCATAATGTAATGTTTATGAGAGAGAGTGTGTTTCTGAGAGACATAGAATAAATCATCAGCATCATACCATCCTCAGGTGTCAATACGTAGACATCATCCTCAGCAGACAGAGGGCTCTCCCCTACTGCAGTAGACGCAGCCACACGCAGCTTGTATTGTGTGTATTTGTTCAAACCTGCAGAGGATATCAACACCTACAGCTTATCAAACCCAAAAAAACTTATTTCACATTGTGTAAACTGCTCATAATGCTGCTCTCATATGCTATTGTCATTACGTTTTCATTATGGCAGAGAAATGGGCAGCACTTCATTTTTAGAAAAATTCATTTTTCTAAATGCAATTTTGGAAGTCACGAATAAGGCCATAGACATTTGATTATATGTGTTGGTTGCATTATGTACAGTCACATTTAAAAGTTTGGAATCAATCTAAATAATTAATAGGAAACTAGAAAGCTAGGAATGATGAAGAAAGAACTAGAACATTCTATGACTGAGGAAGTTATATAACCAACAAAAATAATGTATGTAAATAAATAATTACAGTTTACTTAGCTTTACTTAACATCAGCAAAATAAGGGCCTCATTTCAATACTTTGCCAATATGCCCCCATCAACTTCAACCCATGTTACAAAGTATGTCATACAAACATTACACAGTGGCCACTCGAAGTGCAGGTGGAAGAGTGGACAGTGGGGAGCAAATTATTCAAGTAGAATGCACTCACCCTCAGCTAGATTAGTGTACTAGCTAGCCATGCAAATAATTGTTTATTTTGTAACATAAACAATTGTTTTGTGAAGAATTGCATTGGTTTAAAACCATGCTCATCGCCTTTATTTTTATTGGTGTTAGTTGTGTAGTCTTTAGCTTCCTAACTAGCAAGCTAGTAGATGAAGTCAGAAGTCATGTATAAAAGGTGGAAAACAGCTCACAGACAGCTTTGTCTGAAATTTTAGGTGTTTGAAAAGGGATATGTATTAGGCAGTTATGGTTTCTGGGCAAGTTCTGCCGCTGAAGTTGACTCTTGCGTTCACTTGGACCCAAAACATCATTTGAGCTAATAAAGTAATGGAAGAGCAAAGTTGACATGTTAAAATAAACATTAAAATTGGCTGATGCACAGCTACCTGATATCCTCCATATTTCTGACAACAAAGCATTTAACACAAAAACACTGAAATCCTAATTTTTCTGCATTTGGGAAATACGACCATCTAATCAGTGCATGACTGCAGCAAAAATGTACCACCTACCTATGAGGACTATGCTAGTGGCATTTGTGAGCTTCTGTTGGGCTTCATGGCTGTGCAGGTTGAGCAAATAGATCGTGTAATGTGTGATCTTCCCATTGGGGTTCAGAGGTGGACTCCAGCTCACGAGAACAGAAGTGGAACTAATGTTCTGATAGGACACGTCTTGAACAGAACTGGGAACTGAAGGAAGAACACAAAGTTTTACACCAGTGTACAACAATTTTCAGCAAAACCCGGGACGAGGGTGGAATCCTATTTTACCCTGTTCTGTGGTTTTCTCTCTGATTACTGTGGCAGGTCCCTCTCCAATGATAGTGTAGGCAGCCACACTGAAGTCATACTCAGTGAAAGGACTCAGTCTCCTCACCACATAGGAGATGTGATCAGATGACAGATCAACTACTTCTTCAGTGGGTGGAAGAACTGCCCAGAACAAACAAACACAATCAGGGAGCATCATATGAAGAAGCAACAATAAAGTGACTATACAGAAATAAATACTGTGATTTCAAATGCAAGTAAAGAGGCTACAGTGTGTTGGTGGGCTTCTAACTCCCTCATGGTAGATTACTGGATAAAATCAAAGAAATGCATGTAATGTAAAAAAAAAAAATCTTCAGATAGACTGAAAGGTGGATAAATTTGTACACCGTAATAATTATATATCTTGTCAAATTAAGACATCTTAAATGCAGCAAATAAATCTAATATTGTAAAATAATTTAAAGTTTATTCTACTATTTTTTTTTTTTAGTAGTAGTCATGTCAGGTCAAATTATCTTACTGTTATTTTACTGTACTGGCAGATATGTGTACATTATTTCTTGAAATAAACAAAATAATTTGCTAGTCAATTAAGATAATTTCACTTGATATTAAAACTTGAAATAGGTAAAAATGTCAACAAATATGTTGAGTAATTTTATACTATTCTTGAGTAATGGTCAAAATGGGTTAATTATGTAAAGCTCGCAAGATCAGATTTCTTTTACATACTGTAAAAATGAGTATTCTGCCCTACTCTCTGTCCTTCATTTCCTAATTTCTTAGGATTTCTCTCCCTTCTACGAAATTATTATCTTTCTTATAATACATTTCAAATAGATTTTTTTTTTGGAACATGTGTGTTCCTAGGTAAAAAAGTTTATCGTTATAAAAATGGAAAATAAGATTTAAAAGAAGTTAAACAAAAGGGCAATGTACCAGCTATGTATCTATCAATAGTCAATATAAGAATAGAGCAGTTTGAAATCAGTACTGTAAAAGAAATATGCAGTAGTGACTTAAGTTCTGGAAGTGCTGTTACCCTCAATCCAGCTGGTTACAGCTGTTTGTGTGGATGGGCGGGGCTGGTAGGTTATACCGCTGACCGCTGCCCTGGTGGAGGGCTGTGGCTGGGCAGAGCTGGGAGGGGGTGGATGTGCAGAGCCTGAGGTCACAAATGAAAGATCAGTCGCTGTCACAGTGATAGACTCATGGGGTGTAGCAGTGCGCTGGTCAGAGGTAACAGTGAGCCAGGGAGGAGGTGTGGCTGGGGGACTAGGAGTCAGGGGCTGGCCGGGTATCCCGGCAGTACGTGAGATAGCAGGGAGTGAGTTGGTTGTGTCAGTGTTGAGCTCGCCAGTGCTGGCTGAGCCAGGGTGGCTGGGGCTCCAAGTGGGATGGAAACCGGGGGAGGCAAGAGTGATAGCAGACTGTGCAGTCGCCGTGGTGATATTAGTCGATCTTGCATAGCGACGCAGCACTCGAGAGCTGCTGTCATAGTAACTTCCTGGCAACATACCACCACTTTCTCCAGTCTTGTTTGCATCCTACAAAAACACAAACACAGCACAGCATCCTTAGTCACATATTAGCATAAAGCTAAAAAGGTTTTATGACAGCAAAATCATCTATTCTGTTTGTATATTGACCTTTAGTCTTCGCAGGGTGATGTCCTGCACAAGTATCTCATGGTACAGGACTTGTATGCGATAACGAGTGATGAGTCCGTTAGGTTGGCTGGGGATTCCCCAGGACAGACGCACAGACGTGGAGTCTACCGCTGCTGCTCTCAGATCTGATACTGCACCAGGAGCTAACAGACATGCACAAACACACAAACAGTTATATGCTGATGGATACTTGTAAGATACTGTGGTGGTAAGATTGCAGTGCAACAATGTGCTTTTACGACTTTCTCCAGTAGGAGGCAGCACATGCCAGACAGAAACATAGCCACACTGATTACACTGGTTGGTTTTCACATGAAACTAATTTGTGGTTTATACAGGCTTTTGCTGAATTAAAATACGCAACATCCATATTTTACACATTTATTTAAAGTGTATATAGAGCTGTATGCAAATTACATGATCAAATCACATGTTTTGTTGATTTTGAAAATAAGTATACATCCTCTACAGAGAACACACTTCTGAACATTTTAATGCACAATGACTGTTTATTACATAATAAAACATAAAATGAGGCCAAGGCAAAAGTTATGGCACATTTTATATTTTATTTTTGCCATGTATGTTAAACAGAAAATAGAAATTGTGCACTAAAATTTGCAGTAAAAATGCAACATTTAAGTGTGTTCTGCGTAGTAGACGTGATAACATTTCTTCACTTGGAAAATCAACAAAACACATAATCTGACTGAGGCTGTCGTTAAAATCAGAGATATATGTAGGTCCTTAAATTAGAGAAGTAACACGAGAGGTGGAGTTTGTAAGCAACTTGAGTCAAGATGAAAAAAAAGGATGGCTGTTCTTCAAGAATATTACTATGAACTTTTTGAGATACCATAAAACTGAAAACTACTGTTACATAGGGAGAGATGTATTAGCATACAGAGCAGCTGGGTGTAAAAGTCATTAAAATTAAATTTTCTGGACTCATCAGTGATGACTATGGCATAAAAATGTCATCAAGACATTTTCCAACATGGAAAAGCAGTACCAAGGGAGATTAAACTCTAGCATATTTGCTGACAACTGTTGAGTTTTCCAGTTGCAAATACAGCAGAAACATTTTCTTTCAATTTTCAATTTGCAATAGTGGGTCACATACAATCCCTCTGTGATAGAAAAAAAATTAAAAGCAGGTCTGAATTCAGTGCAAAAATACTGAAGAATCACCTTCTTTAATGCATGTGACAAAAAATGTAACTGAATGGCAGAGGAACACTTTGCAACTCTAACATCTGCTGGTGTGTGCATGTGTATGAGTGATTGGTGCACTGGAGACTGCGATGTGTATCTTACTCTCTGGAGGCGTTGAGATGCTGGTCTCTGCTGCTGGTCCTGTGGCTCCAGCTGATTTGGCCATAACACTGACACGGTAGGCTGTGTACGGAGTTAATCCCATGTACACGAATGTCTGCTCACTTGTATTGTTTTCACTAATAAAACCTAAAGCATACACACATATACAAATACAAAATGTGATTCTTATAAAATATTGGCTTGTACTGCTAAAATTTAAAGAAGAAATGTCCTTTATAGAACAGTTTGACCCTTAACTGTTTTAATAAAGACTCCCTCTTACATTTTAAGGGTTAATCTTAAATGTTAAGGTAGAAATGTTGCCAATGTGGTGCTTGATAGTAAAGAGGTAAAAGTTAGAGTCTAGTGTGATGTGTGGCATTTAGTTGATGTGATTTGGCTAAATTTAGCTACCTGCTGGCCCGTAGAGCTGGATGACATAACTGAAGCGCCCAGTGATAATGGTTGGAGGCTCCCAGGACAAAGATAGAGATTTAGAGGTGATGTTCCACACTGACAAATTCTGTGGTGAATCCTCAGGGGCTGCAAAAACACCACACACACACTTACACAGGCAAGAGCTGATCACTGGTTGGATAGAAGATTAGTGAGGACTGAATGCCGGCTGAGTGTTGCGCTACTGTTACATAAGACACACATGCCTTGTTTCAACTTGAGTAGATTTATTCAGGCCAATCAGAGATTCTGTTACAGGTTGTTTAGATTTATCTCAATTGGACCAATATAAAGTTACGGGAACAGTGGAAAGAGAAAAACATAGCGACGTGTGTGTACACGTGAGTACAGAGAGTGTGTGTGTGTCCACATGTCTGCATGTGACCATGGCATTAATGCATGTGCACATTGATTATAAACACAGAAATGTATTTTCCATTCAGCATATAAGTGTGTGTGTATTTACCTTTTTGCTAGCGTACTACAACATGTGCTACATGCATGCATATGTTCAAGTATATACCTGTTACTACGTACTAGGGATGATCCAATCATATACAGTTCTATGTAAGTCATAGACCACCCTGCATTTTTTTACATTTCCCGTCAAAATTGCCATTAAGTAAAAGTTATTCATTTATTTATTTATTTCATTTTTTTTTATTAATCTGCATGGATAATTTTCCATATCTCCAAAGTCTTGGAAGTTGCATTTTCTACTAGTCACAATCCAAATAATCCCAAACACATTGAATGATGTTAAGGTCTGGGATGGTCAGTCCATTGTTCTGACTGATTTGCAATTTTTTTATTTATCAGTAAGGGCTTCTTGACAGTTATGCATACTTGCAGACTCATAGTGTTGAGTTGTCTTCTCACAGTGGACCTTCAGCTTTGAAACGTCCTATTTTTTCACTTATTTTCTTTTGAGCTTCCTCTTCCTTATGGAAGTGGATTATCTTATATCTAATCCAGAAATATTTCCTGAAAAAAAGCTTGTACTGAATGGCCAGGTTGACTGGAAATTAAATAAATGAAGAATGGTCTCTGACTTTTGAAAAGTACTGTGTGTGTGAGTGCATGTGTGTGTGATATATATCCCAGGTGCTTTCACATTGAGTATCAGCTGATCTTGAGTTCCTGAGTGCTGATTTTTGTAGATAATACACTACAAGTATGTTAAAGTTAGGGAAAACAAACTGAATTTAGGTAAGGTATGCAAGGCTGTGGTGAAATCCCTTCTTTTTTTAGTATGTGCATGGTGTAACACAGATAGTCCAAGTGATTGTTGGAGTTTTTTTCAACATCAAAATAGTCCCACACTGCTGACGGGTACACCACATGTTAACTTCCTACAATGTGCCTCAATTGTGAATCGTGTCAGTCTAAGTCACTTCGAAGACAGTGGCATAAATAAAGTGCAGAGTGAAATAGCCTTAAGAGTTGATTATAATTTGATTAGACTTAATACAGTCAATAGTCAATAGTCATTTATTAAAATATCTTTAAATTGGATCATGACACCCTTTGTGTACAGTGTGTACAATTTTTATTTGTGTGTTCATGCGTATGTGTGTGTGTGTGTGTGTGTGCACATACCGGCCTCTGGCATGCGGACCATAGTGCTGGCAATCTGACCCTCTCCATCACTGGTGAAGGCAGAGACTTCAAACACATAAGCTGTGTAGGGGCGGAGTTTGTCCATTCTCACACTGATCGGCACACTCCAGGTGGAGGCCGGAGGAATGGCTGACAGCGTGACTGGGGGCAGTGCTGCAGAAGTCATCAGGGAGGACTCAGATGGGCTGGGAGTTCCTCGAGACAAAATATCTGCAGCATCCTAGACAACACACATGTAGACAGACATTAATGCACTGAAGTACAAGTTATCCATTTTTCAGGAGATTTTTTAGGAGATTATATATGAGATATTATATATAAGAGTTTCCAAAATTGGAATTAAAATATATAGAGAAAATGTGAAAAATGTGAATAGTAAGAGGGTTAATTTGCATATTGTGGCCATCTGTGATAAAAGTATTCATTTGTGAAATAACTGCAAATTGAAGTATTGTACTGCCTTATTTAAAGTACACAAACATTTGTGCAGATACAAATACTGTTGTACATTGCAATGAGGAAGAGCTCCGTTCATGATGTCTTCGGCGTTGAGCTCCAGGGTCCGGACTGTCTGCCCTGTTCGGGCATGTTTGGCTTTGACTGCAAACTTGGTGATGAGTCCATTTATTCGTACAGGCAGAAACCATGTCACAAGCACTGACGAGTGATTCTGAGCATAGGCTGTGAGGTTCGTCACCAGACCAGGAGCTGCAGGAGAGGACATACACACACACATAAAACAGATTCTGCACTGTATGAACTCAATGAATTCAAATGATAAACATAAACAGCATTTCTTACGGGCCTCTGCAGTTTTGAAGTAAAGTGACTGGCTAAAAGGTCCAGTCCCTGCTTTGTTTACTGCTGCAACCTAAAGGGTGGGTGGGGGGTGGGGGGGTGAACAACAAACAATTAGAACACACTCGAGCAACCCACACACAGAGGCACACGCACGCTCACACACAATCAGCGTCAAATACTGAACCCTGTGAAATCCGATCTACACATGACAGATGACCCCACTACACAATACAACACACACACATTTCTATCCTTCAGACCTATCAAAAACACACACAATGCTTGGACAGTGAATTGAAAGGACGTCGCCTAAGAGAGTAATGGATTCACAAGACAAATAACGGAAAACAGAGATCCATCGTAGATCCATAGATCTCTTTACCAGATAAATAATTAAGCACAGGTGAATAATTTATTGAGATCAATGGAATGGATGTCATTGGCAACTTTCCTACAGATCGTTCATGTCCCTCAGCATTTCCATTCTACATAGCATTTTTCAATCTTTAATTTATAGATGCCAATAACAAAAATTACAATTATAAGTCTACAGCAAATGAGGAACAGCTTGTATTTTTTCTAAGTGAGCAGATGGTCAGATATCAGATACAACATTCAAACAGCTTCAAATATCTGTGTAGAACACAAATACTGTTATTTTGTTTTTAACATTCTTCTTACAATTATGTTACCATATACTTATATGTATAGCACTGTACAAAAGTCAGAGACCACCCTTTAACTTCAGTATTTAATTGAGTATTTATCGTTTGCTTTAATGACAGCTTTCATACTTCTGGAAGACTTGCATTCTGCTGCAGGGATATTTTTCCATACCTCCAAAGTTCAGTCTTAGAAGTTGGTTGCACTTTATGCTTCTCACAATCCAAGAAATCCCAGACACATTCGGGTGAGGTCAGGATTATGGGATGGACAGTCCATTGTTCTGAGAACACCAGCACCTTCTTTGTTTGATTTGCACATTTTATGCTTTTCTCAGTAACGGTCTCTTGACAGCAACACACCCTTTCAGGCCCATAGTGTTGATTTGTCTTCTCACAATGGAAGGATGGCCAGAAATATCTGTGGATGTTTTTTCAGACCTGAAGTAAGAATGGAGCTTGATTTTCTCCTCTCTTTCAAAGATGAATGTTTTAAGTACTGTTTATCTGATGGTGATAGTTTTGGTAGTCTACCAGGTCTTGCTGAGTTCAATTTTACCTATATCTTTCAATCATTTTTTGAACTCCAGTTCTGGAAACTCTTGTTTTTCATTAATTTTCCTTTGGCGTTCCCCTTGCCAGTGCCGGTGGGTTATCTTACATCTAATGCCTTCTGAAATATCTGCTTAAAAATGAATAACTTGTACCTATTGGTAATTATGACTGGAAATTAAATAAAAAAGGGTGATCAACAATAAATAAATAACACTATACTATGGTCAAAAGCTGCTGACACATTCAGCATCTGTCTGACTCTAGTGTGGTGCAGTTTGTAATAGTTGTATCATGATCTAGTGTTTCACAGCAAAATTATAAGGAAATATGAATATGAAATCCTTACACCAATGGCAGTGTAATGAGAACATCAGGTCTTTGGAAGAGATAGTAATGCTGTTCAGTTTCACTGTATGTGTGTGTGTGTACCTGAATGTTATAAGTGGCTCCAGGTGAGAGTGTGTTCAGCAGTGTTTCTGGAATGTCCAGGTTTTTAGCGACCTCAGTAAAGGAGGGGTCAGGGTGTGGACACACCTCCTTGTATCTGATGATGAACGAATTGATAGTAGGATCAGGAGGCAGCGGCATCCGCCAGGAGAGCAGGATTCCATTGGACCCCACTCGCTCTCCCTCTGGTTTGGAGGGAGCAGGAGGAACTACGCGCACACACAGGTATATACAAATCAAATACTTATCACCAGTGAGGCATACACAGACATTTAGTGTTACCAAAAATATATCTGAAAAACAAAAAAGGGGCTGTTTACACCTTGCATTGGCATGTGTTTCATGTCCGGATTGTATCTGGATATACTTTGGCCTGTTCCTTGTCACACTTTTCACTAAAATGCAGACGAAACACACTACTTGTCTAACTGCGACTGTGAGTTTGATAGGCATAAGTTTCTCTGATGTGTACTGCAAGGATCTGTACTTGGTCTCCTGTTTTTCTCAGTGCACACACTGCTATTGCATCATATTATTAGTGAACATGAAGTCAACTTTCACAGCTATACACAAAATACAGGCTGACATATTAGTGGTGCCAGATGACTGATATCCAAAGTGCCAAAAATGTATACAAATACATCAAATATCTTTTTTTACAAAAAGAAAAAAACTATATAGTAGAGTTTTCTGTTAAAAACCGATGTGTGTCTACAGTTTTCTGTCTGGTCTTGAGCTGAACAACACAAAAATATGTGCTGCTCTGTGTAGCTTAATAGTATATCACTGTTTGTGGAGCAAAACCTTGTGTCCCCATTTTTTGACGTTTTTCACTTTTTGATGTAACTTGAAAACACTGTGGGAAAACTGAATGACAAATGGACAAATAGAAATGTTCCAAAATTACTTCGAATAAAATCTTTTAAGATTAAATTCTATTATAAGATACAGACATTTTGTTACTTCTCCTGTAAAGTTGCGATTTTGAAGATCAGAGTTCTGACAGTGACAAAACCTTCAATAATGGTAACATCTGAAAAAATCCTGCTGAAAACATATAGAAAACATGTTCATTCACACTTGTGCTAAATGTGGTTAAGTTCCATCTCTGACCACCTCTGAATGTGGTCTGAGTGATCAGTGATCTGATTGTCATCCAATCACAATGTGTCCTGGGTATGGGATTTATAACTGGCTTTTCATGAGGCCAGGTAAGTGCAGTTAAAGTGCAAAGAATTTTCCAGATATAAAACGCAATGGAACAAATTATGTAATCTACTGCACATAAACATTCTGGATGCTTTTAATAAATATTATTTATAATATTTCTTTTTTTTAAGAGTGATATAATATCACGCACCATAACATCAGGCATGGCAATGCAAAAAACGTGACATTGTTGAAAATGGACTTTCTAATAATTATGCTATTAAATGAAACTGCATTGCTTGAGCACCAAAGTTTGCAAACAATTAGCACCAATCAAAAACTCACCCACCAATCAGTCATCCTGCCTCCCAGTTTTACTGTCTTTAGTAAGTTGTTCAACAACATTATTTTAGTTATCTTTTTTGTTCATTCAAATTCTGTTTCAAATATCAAGAGAATGCCGAATCATGAGCCCAGTATCGTGAAGTGAATAGAATCACGGGTTGAGTGCATCATTACACCTCTATTTGATAGCCTTGTTTACGATGTGTTGGAAATGGCTCTTAGGAACTAGAATTGTCAGTGAATGATAATATCTGTGGAAATCGTGTTTCAGGAAGGGTCACAAAACTGGTCTCCGTAGATCATAGATCAGAACTATAGCCTTAAATAGGCTTCAAAATGGACTGAACTTTCTGAGACTGTTTTAAAATGGTTTGCCCCATTTACCTGAAGGACAATACTTGGCTAATTGTGACTGTGTCTAATGAGTTTATCTGTGATGTACTGCAATGATCTGAACTCCTCTAAATTTTTTTTTGCCCATGCATTACCCATATCATCAGTGAACATGAAGTCAACGTCCATAGCTATGTACACAATGTAGTTATTCATATCTGTGATGACTGATATTGAAAGCGCAAAAATGTATACAAATAGGTGAAGACTCACTTTAACAAAAACTTCCATATAGTTTTCTGTAATAAACTGACACGTCAGTCTGGACTGAGCTGAACTAGAACAAGTACTTGCTGCTTTGTGTAGTTTAAGTGTAGTGTATGTTCAGTATTGATGACATCTTATTATTATTATTATTAATAGGGGTGCGGGAAAAACTTGATTCTTAGATGCATTGCGATGCGGACGTGAACGATTCTGAATCGATTCACAAATGTCAAAAATCGATTTTCTAAATATTTCATTTATAACGTAATGTTGACGGAACGCAAAAGGCGGAACTTGGAAGTGTGGAAGTGCAGCGCCCGGAAAGTCTGTGGCGGCACATAACAAAAACACAAGTGGATAGCGAGAAATCCGACCGGCTCCCACTGCATTAAAGCCAGGTTAGATCAGGAGTCACAACCCAAATGATAAGAAGAGCCATTTGACCTTTCAACAAAAATCAAATCACCTTTGGAGCCACAACATTTAATGTCCAGTATGTCTCAGTATGTGATGATGTCCTAGTATAGACTAAACAATATAAACGAGAGCGCAGATTTACTTTGCTGTGCTTTAAGCTTCGCCTATAGCCGCTTTCCTCCCATCTCCGCCAGAAAACTTTTCCTCAGAAGTAGTTCAGTTAAATGTCTCTCAGCGTTTGACTGTTTTACGAGGCTGAAGTCGCTTCTTATTCTCCAGCTTCTTGTTCGAATTTACCCGTTCCACCTTAAATTCTGACTGAGGCACCAAATGTAAATGCAGCACCATTTAAGGTGGAATGGGAGAATTCGAAAGAGAAGCTGACTTCAGCTTCGCCACTTTTTAGTGTGTGACAGTCTCTCGTTGCAGATTTAACGTATCAGGAAACCAACTGCAGTGCTTATAAATGCGAATAACGCATCGCTGCTATGTGACCTGCAGTCTGCACGGCGGTTCTCAGTCGTTGCGAAACAGGGCTTTCGTGCTATGCTGCACACGTCACGTCTCAAAGATACTTTACTGACACAGCAACCCCCCCCCGTCTCTACAACGAGACCAAAACCGAAGTTAGAAAATCACTAAAGAAAACGGGTAGAATAGCTGTAACATGTGCTGCGTGGACATCCATTACCACTGGATCTTATTTCACCGTAACTGTGCATTTTTTCGCAGATGAGTAGCAGCAGCTTCTCGTGCTCCAAACAAGAGCACTGAATGAAAGCCTTCCAGTTCACTTGGCACAACACTTCCATTTGTTTTATTAAAAAAGATATTGGAAGTAAATTCATTATGGATCATTACAAATACTTTGCTTTAAAAGTACCAAGTCACTTTAAATAACAATACCACCGAGTCACTTAGTCACTTTAAAATGTATACTGTCTCTATACTCTGTGTATATTTTGTGTATATTTTGTGTATATTTAATATATTTCAGTTGTTTTTTCTTGTATTTTTATTTTTACTTATTTACTTTCTGTAGAGTGATTAGCTGAGCCTCACCACAAGCATTTCAATGCATAAATGTCCTGACATGTTGTGTAAGAGACAAATAAAATTGAAACTTGAACTCGAAATTTGAGCTCACACAGTGAGAAAAAATAAATGCCATATAGAAAAAAAAGATGCATCGAGATGCATCGATAATCATTTTATAATCGCATCACAGCCCTCTGAATCATAATCGAATCGAATCGTGAGGTGCCTAGACATTCCCACCCCTATTAATATAAAGCTCAATATTTTTAATTCTTGCTATTTTATTTGATTTTTTTTTTCGTCCCTTTTTGCCATTTGCATTAATTGCAAGAAAGATGTTATATAAACAGAGATTATTATGATTATTATTATAATAATAATTATTATTATTATTATTATAGTTTCTTTTCTGAGCTTTTGTGTGACTCTGCACTGTCTTGATGACTGTCCTGAGTCATAGTGTCTAGTAGGTGTCTCAGTTCTTAAGGGAGTGTCGTAAGAGAGATGTGCTGTGATGGAGCACAGTCTACTAATGCAGCACTGATAAACTCCAGAGTCTATGACTGAGAGGTAGAACAAGTATTACACAGTGAAACTGAAACTGATATCACAGCGTTGAAAAAGTACTCAATCAGTAATATATGTGCTCTCTAATCTCTAAAATCACATGTACACCAGCATGACCTCTACATATCTCTCTTGGTTGCAGCAGCAGTTCACTACATTACATTTCACTAAACTACATATAAGTGCTTAAGCTTTATGTACAATACAATTCAAAAGTTTGGAATTGCTGTTCAAAGTTTGGAATCAAAATTTCTAACAATATAGAATGAATCTGTTTGCAAACAAACGTGTAAAATGCTTTTAATATGCTAGTCCTGTACAACTTCACTGTTTCAAATAATTAGCAGGACACCTGAAAGCTGTCAACAAAAATGGAAAGAAATTGTAGATGTGTCCAGAATTATTAACAGAGCTATTGTTGATTCTAAAATGATATCAAGAATTAGGTTATAATAAAGTTAATATCCAGAATTCTTCATTTTTCAAAAGTGGAGATCAATTCTCAAGGCTGAAAACTTTACAAAAGAATGTTAATAGATTCTTATTTTCTTATTTACAGAATTCTTGAAATACTGAATATAATATCTAAAATATCTTTCGGCAAATAGATTGTTATATTTAAATCCACATTGAGAGATTCCAAACTTTTGAATGCTAGCTACATCTATTTTCTATGTTTAACATTTTAATGTTAGGAAGTTAACAAAATAGATCAGCCTTTCTTCCTATTTAACTTGCTCAAAGTTCCTTTTCCCAAACATGCATAACTACCTAACATCCTCCAAGTTTCTACAAAGCTACAAAGCACTTGAGCACAAAGATGTAATTGTGATGTCTTTGATGTCTTTTGAACAGCAAACAACATGCACCACACTCACCAGATTCACTGGTGGTAACTATCCGGCTGACAGGAGAGCTTAGACCTGAGGAGGCAACTGCACTGACTGTTACAGTGTATGACGTTCCTGGACTCACACTGGACACATTGGCCTATAACACACAGATAAACATACATGAACACACAACTGATTAAAAATATTGGATAAAATGGTCATTAATGGCCTTTTCTGGGGCATACAGCCAATGGGCATATCAGGTGTGTGGTACTGATATCAGTAAGGATGACATCACTCTACCGAGTCATCCTTTTAATTCAGCTTAATTCAACTGAAGAAACACCACACAAACTGACCTGTAATGGAACTAAATTTACCTCAGCCCAACAACAAACAGTCTGCTTCGAATATAAAGGCTCAAACCCTCAACCAGTTCAACATCAAAACCTCCACCTTCATCTCAGACAAAAAGACACAGCCTAATACTGAAGGAAAACACTGAAGAAGATAATGAATGTAAACATTTAGCATCAAATTGTTCAATAATTCTGATCACACTATAGAAGTGACAGACAGGAATGGCTGGAAACAAAGCTGTTTTAAGTATGCACATAATCTTTATTATATTCCATAAATGTACAATATTTACAAACATTTTTATCTTTAAAGCTTATTATTGGACTCAATATGAGCACCCTACTATTGCTTCAACTACGAATTACATGATAAAAGTTAATTATACATATAACAAGCTTCCATAAATATCTTATGACAACTTTTTTCACAGCTATAACAAACTTCAAAATATCTTCACATTATATCGATCCAACAGATGGACAGGAGGACTGAAACTCAAGATTTGGGCTAAAGCTCTTAGCTGGACTGGAACAACAAGTAATATATATAATATTGGCATGGACTGATCATGTTCTACCAAACAGTTCACAAAATAAGAGTGCACTCCATCACTGTCATATAACACATTCCAACACATGCTACTATTCAAGCACATTTAAAAGCCGTCATTTTCTGTCAGTGCTGTATAACCCTAAAAAACCCTATAAGCCTAAAAAAGAATCCTCTGCTACCAGCTACAGGTGAGCAAGCTAGTGTGTGTGGGTATGTGTGACTAGAGAGAGGATAGGCATCTGGAATGAGTTTGCATCTCTGAACAAAACTGCTTCACCAAGCACACAGTGAATAGTCTCAGGAGAGAAAGCATACGCGTGTCACTTCTGTACCTGTGTCACTCAGAGGCAGAGATGAAGAGGCCTACCTGAACGCTGGTGAAGGACACACACAGGCCAAGCAGCAGGGGCAGGCAGAGTAGCATGCTGACCCCTCAGAGAGAGAGAGACTGGCCGGCTGAGGGAATGGCTGAACAGTGGAGGACAAATGTTCCAGGTTTGAAACAACTCGTACCCTACTGCATCTAAAAGTCATTAAAACTTAATGGTATTCTCTCTCTCTTTATCTCTCTCTCTCTCTTTCTCTCTCCCTCACTCTGTCTCTGCCTACCCTGCATTCTCCAGCCTTCCTTCACACACTCCGCCCAGCCGATACAGATACCCCACCACCTGACACCTGGCACTCGAAAACAGGGAAGCTGCAAGAACGAGCGTGTGCGACAGTTTGTGTTTTTCAGTGTTTGATGAAAGAAAGAAAGAAAGAAAGAAAGAAAGAAAGAAAAATAAATACAAATGAAAGAAACAGAGAGATAGAAATATTCAAGAAGGAAAAATAAATACAAATGAAAGAAATACATATATAAAGAAAGAAAGAAAATAGAAAGAGTAAAGAAAGAGAATGGAGAAAGGAAAGATGGAATGAAAGAAGAAATTAAGAAATGACATGAAAAATTTGAAGAAATTTGTTACACATCATTACACCGGATATCATCTTTCATCATCTCAACATGAAACACACACACATCTGTGCATGTATAGCAGCATGTGAAAATGCAGTCTGAGGTCTCTGGTCAGCTCTGTACCTGTAAATGACCGTCTGCTGTGGTTGTCATGGTGACATTGCCATGGTCTGGGATGAGCTGTACCAAATACTGCTGATCACATCCAGAGGATGGCAGCCAGCAGATGGAGAATGAATGAGGAGACACACTGACCACACACACATCCTGAGGACCAGCAGGAACTAAAAGACACACACACAGACACACACACACATCTATATACACACAAATGTACATCAACACATAAGCTAAAACAGGAAATGCTACAATATGGGCATAACAATTTTGATACAGCATTGAGAAACGTTCAAAACAGTGCATCCACTGTCAATGACCAAACTCTGTGTGCATCATGTTTATTTCTGTATCATTAGTAGCTCAGTTTCACCATTTTATAGGATCACTATTTTGCACTAGAACATACTACTTTGTGATATTTTAACTCTGTAGAATCAAAACAATTCTAAGATTCTAATTAAATCTTTAGCTCAGAATCATATTAAATGTAAGAAAAAGTCAGAAACCACCCTTGTTTAATTTAGTCAAAACAGCCGTTAGGTACAAGTTATTCATTTTTCAGCATCAGAACAAAAGCAGAAAACTTGTATTTTACAGAAAATTAAACAAAAGCCTCAACAACTAAACATGATATCATTTTTGAAGTATATAGTGTGTCCACCTTTGCCTTTATGACAGCTTCCATTCTTTTCAGGAGACTTGCTTTCTGCTGCAGGCATATTTTTCTACACTTCCAAAGTTCAGTCGGAAAAATTGGTTGTACTTTCTGCTTCTCATGATCCAAATAAACCCATTCAGTGATGTTGAGGTCTGGACTCTGGGGTGGTCGGTCCATTGTTCTAAGAACACCAGCAGCTTCTTTGTTTGATTTGCAAATGTTCTTCCTTTTTGTGTTTCCTTTTCTCACTAAGGGCTTCTTGACAGCTACACGTCCTTTCAGTCTCATGGTGTTGAGTTATCTTCTCACAGTGGAAAGATGGACAGAAATACCTGTGATTTATTTTCAGATTTTTTTTCAAAAGTGGAGTTTGATTTTCTCCTGTCTTTTAAGGATTAAGTACTGTTTATCTGATATTGACAGTTTTGCCAGGTCCTGCACAGGTGTTAGTTTTTCTGTATCTTGTAATCATTTCTAAACTCCTGAAATTGCTTTTTCATGTATTTTCCTTTGATCTCCCCTTTACTTAAGCAAACTGATTACCATGTGTCTCTTTAGATATGTTTTTTGAAAAATTAATAACTTGTACTTGGCTATTTTGGCTGAAAATTAAATAAATGAAGGATGTTGTCTGACCTGTGCTCAGTACTGTATGTGTATTGTTTCCCCCCTTGTTGCAGAAAAACAAAGCCTTACATGGGGCTTATTTTTAACAGCCTTCAAGACTTATTAATCAAGTTCCACATAAAGCTACCGTAGTTACTGCACTGCAAAAGATGGCATCTTGTCAAGTGAAATTATCTTACATCTAGTCAATCTTTCTCAGATTATTTAACTTTAAAATTATCTGCCAACATAGTGAGATAATTTGACTAAAATCACTTAACACAAGTAAAAACATTTAGAAATTAGTTAAGCAATCTTATTATAAGCTTACAACAATCAAATCGAAATGAAACAATCAAAATAAGAAATCTTAGATATATCGACTAGATTCAAGATAGTTTCACTTGACAAGATATCATTTACTGCACTGTAGGGTGGGTGATGGAGAGCTGTGCATGCAGGTGTGCTATCCAAAACCCATTTTCTTTGCAGCTCTGAGATGATTTTTGAGAAACTAAGTGGACTCATCAGTAAGTGCTTTACAAGTTGATGCTTTTTAAAAAGTTCCAGGAGAAGTGTAACCTGTGTGTATGGTGAGAGTGGCAGCTGCCCCTCTAAGTGCGTTTCTGACCCGCTCCACCGTGGCATTGTAGGAGCATCCATCCCGCAGGCTGCTCAGCGTGTACTCCTGAGTGTGTGTGCTCACGTTGAATGTCCAGTGGTGTGAGATGTTACTGACCGTCACCTTGTGGAAGTCAAACTGGCCAGCAGCAGTGTCCCAGACCAGTGTGGCAGACGAGGAGTTGATGTGTGATAGAGTGAGTGAACACAAGCCTGCAGGCCCTAAATGAGGGGTCAGTCAAAGGACAAAGACATTATAACCAAACTGAATTGAGTTATTCGTTAGTTATGGCAGTGAGGAATGGAAGCTGGGACCCCCTGACGCCTCCTGGTTGTTTAAGGGGTTAATAGAGATGGAACGATAACACTTTCTGTTATGAATACAGATACTGAAACCTTTAGTATTGATTAACATTAAGCCAATATTTTTTCTCTGTGGCTGTGACCCACATGGATCCTTATTTGTGGTTTAGTACATACTGCTGAGTATGTCTGCCTTTTTTCTTAGTGTCCAAACCATAAAAAGGTACTGCACAGTGATTTTGAGGGAACTATAATCTCCCACATACACTCATAGTTCATAGTGAACACCACAAATCACTACATTACCTGAATGTATACCAAAATGCGTTGTGAGTCTACTGCCACGACACAGCACAGAGAAACATTATGTTAATGATGGCTGCTGAGCCACTGACTACAAAACTTCCAGACTCTTGAATCAAACGTGAAGCCAAACAAAGTTCTTCTAGTGCCCATGTCTACAGCTACAAATAAGAAGCCGACAATGTGTCCCAAAGTCTATAATTGGTTATAATATAATATAATAGTTTGTGATTTTGCTTAAGTGCACAGTAACGTGAGGTATTAAGTACACAAAACCGCAAGTGCGAACTTTAGGACAGGACGCAACTTCAGCCTTGCAACCAACTAATGCTGGTTTGTAGGGGTGCGGGAAAAACTCGATTCTTAGATGCATCGCGATGCGGACGTGAACGATTCTGAATCGATTCACAAGTGTCAAAAATCGATTTTCTAAATATTTCATTTATAACGTAATGTTGACGGAACGCAAAAGGCGGAACTGGAAGTGCGGAAGTGCAGCGCCCGGACAGTCTGTGGCGGCACAACAAAAACACAACTGGATGAGCGAGAAATCCGAACGACAGCCTCTGCATTAAAGCCAGGTTAGATCAGGAGTCACAACACAAATATTAAGAAGAGACATTTTGCCTTTCAACAAAGTCAAACCACCTTGGGAGCCGCAACATTTAATGTCCAGTATGTGTTAATGTCGTAGTATGGGCTAAAAATATAAACGAGAGCGCAGATTTACTTCGCTCTGCTTTAAGCTTTAGCTATAGCCGCTTTCCTCCCATCTCAGCCAGAAAACTTTTCTTCAAAACTAGAAGAGTTTCTTGTAAAATGTCTCAGCATCCGGCTGTTTTACGAGGCTGAAGTCGCTTCTTATTCGCCAGCTTCTTGTTCTAATTTTCACCTTAAATTCTGCCTTACGCGCCGAATGTAACTGCCGCACCATTTAAGGTGGAATGGGAAATTTCGAAAGAGAAGCGAGTTCATTTTCGCAACTTTTTTTAAACTCTCGTTGCAGATTTTTTTTCGTTCGCCACTGGCGAGGCCTCGGTGCTGTGTGACCTGCTGTCTGCTCACTGTTCTCGGTCGTTGAGAACCAGGCCTTTCGCGCTATGCTGCACACTTTGGAGCCGAGATTCAGCGTCCAGTCTCGAAAATACCCCTTTAACTACAACGAAATATAATAATTTTTATAAGATCACTAAAGAAAACAGGAAGGATGGCTGTAACGTGCTGCGTGGACACCCATCACCACTGGATCTTATTTCAGGGCAACAGCGCATTTTATCGCAGATGAGTGGCAGCAGCGTCTCTGAATGAGAGCCTTCTAGTTCACTTGCCACATCACTTCCATTTGATTTATTAATAAAAGATATTTTAGATATTTAAAGCAAAGTATTTGTAATGATCCATAATGCATTTACATTATGGATCATTACAAATACTTTGCTTTAAAACTACCAAGTCCTCAGACAGTAGGAAGATAGAAATCCTGTATAGAGAAAAAAAGATGCATCGAGATGCATCGATAATCGTTTTATAATCGCATCGCAGCCTTCTGAATCGTAATCAAATCGAATCGTGAGGTGCCTAAAGATTCCCACCCCTACATAGTGCAGTACCAAAAAGGCAAGGAGTTGGTCAAAGCCTCTGGGACTATGATGACAGAATCTCTCAGATTCTTACTAGTGGAGGTGTTTTTGGTAACACTCTGGCTGAAATCAGATCCTAGAAAGGACTGGATCTCAAACTTGTAATCAGTTCCTGGGGTCAGGTCATTTATCCTCAGACTGTTGCCATAGACATCGACCTGGTGAAGAAGAGGAATATCTGTAGCAGGGCCATATCGCATCTAAAGGGAAAAAGCAAATGGAAGAGAGAAAGAAAGTAATAGAGCAATGAGCATTCAGAAGGAAATAGAGCAATGAGCAATGGTGATAGTGAGGGAGGAGAAAGAAACACAGAGAAACTCTGACATCTATGAATGTAAATTGTATGGGAAAGTCCATCCAGATACTTTCCCAACTAAAGAGTCTGACAGCACACACACTTCCTCACTCACACACTCTCTTGCTCTTTCTCTCTCTCGTGGTGGGGTATAATGCGGGATTTGGGTTCGTGTATTATTGAGAGAGTCAGTAACCTGAGCAGGTCAGACTTAGGGGCGTCGCTAGGCAACGTCTCAGGTGAGGCAGTCAGTATGAAAGTTTAAACAGGTGTCCTGCTTCCCCCCAGCTGCCTCAATGTAACCCACACACACACACACATTACTACGTGATACATTCTTTCACAGCAAAACATTACAGTAACATCAAAATACTTAATATCAATTCATAACTTCACTGTACATCTATCCATTGCTGTTAGTGTAAACTATAGAACAAGAAACAGTACATTTTCCCTGCAAACTGGACTATAAATATAATTGTATTTATTGCTGAGGCAGAGTGACTATGTATGGCCTACCCTGTAACCATCCACTCTGCCATGTGGGCGTGTCCAGGTGATGTACATGGCATTTAGGTCTTGTTCAATAAAGATGATGTCATCAGGAGGGGCTGGAACTGCAGTATAAAAACTGATAAGAAGGAAGGACAAATACAAATCACCTAGCTAAACAAGTGAGTGTCACTGTTAAGGTATTGGTCTTAAAGGGGAATTTTCACAAATTAAGATGTAAACAAAGTTTTTCGGAGTGATTTGATGTGAAAAGCTTACGGAGACTCAGAATTGCGAGAGTCAGAATTGTTCACAGTGGTGGGAATAGGAACTATAAAGCTGAAGCTTGTAGCTTGTAATTTTTGTTCATTTTTTGTTTATTTTCAATAATGCTAACTGAGCCTTAACAATGATACAAAAGAACAGCATTTTTTACAATTAGGTAGGTCTATATCTCTGGTGCCAGTGTTTTTCCAGACTGCTCAAGACTGTAGCTATATTCCTACAGTTAGCAATGCAGGCAAATTAAATTTCTTGACCAAAAACAAAACCAATAACCAAAAGAAATTGTACTTTTATATATAATTTGCCTTTTTTATTCATGCTTTTAAAATAAAGTGATAATGCTGATGTTGCTTCAAAGACCATAATTGCCGACAAATTTAATTTTAAACTGCCTTTTTAACATGTAAAGCACAAGGATGTGGATTTGGAACTACCATCAAAATTTCTGTGCATTCCTAATTAGAACAGCCGCACTGATCTGGGCAAAAACTGGATAACATAATTTTCGTAACACACCCAGTCTGAAATGGCCCACTTTCATAAATGTTTACTAATACCAGTTTTGTCTCATATTATAAGTACAACTACAACACCAAAACAAAGAATAGAAAGTACAATTTAATGATTAATCTCAATTTTTCCAGAGACAATCATGTACCAAATGAATGGCACTGGTTTACTGAGGACATCTAGGAGCATGAAATGACACTTGTGGTGGCTGGCAGTCCGGGAGACTGACAAACCACTAATGTATGTGTGTGAGAATGAGCGCTACATCTAATACTGACAGCAGATGTACAGCAGGGGGCACTATAGTGCAACAGCAGACATCAATTAGTCTGTAATGATTAATGTCTTTGTGTTGAACTAGCAGATTCTGTGCCTGTAAAAGTGACTATGAAACTGGCCACTGTCCCATTAGACATTAGAGTGTGTATATGCATGTTCATATATGTGTACTTACATGTGTTAACAGTAACAGCTGTAGGAATGCTGTGTCTCTCTCCACTAACACTCATCACCTCAATGGTATAAAAACTCCCAGGTGGAACATGTTCAAAATGATAAATTCTGGTGAGACAAACAATGGCAGCAGTTATTCATGCAGTGGACCAGATTCAGTTAATGAGAAATAAAATTAATAGTTCAGGATGATGTGATTTAAAAGCTGATGTGAGGTCAGGTCGCACCTCTCTTCAGAGACACTTAGGCTGGTCTGCAGGTTGTAAGTGGAGTTTCTGATTGACAGGATGAATGAGTCACACACTCCTGGACCCTCTTTCCAGCTGACAGTAAGAGATGCTGCTGTCCTCTGAGGTGGTAGCAGAGTAACTGAACTGGGGGCTACAAACATACACACAGATGTATATCTGTGTATATCTGATATCTACACATTATATATGTTACTGTTCAAAAGTTTGGAATCATTACCATATTAACAATTGATGTTACTTGATATACAATAATAGCATATAGAATGTGAACTTAAATATTACAAACTATAGGTATTTTTCCCATGGTTTATTCAGTATTTCTGTGAACAAGAAGTTAAATAATATACTGTAATTAAGTATTTAAATTATTTTTTGTTAACTTTCTTGAGATTTGATCTCCACTTTTGAAGTATGATGAATTCTGGATATTAATTTTATTATAACCTCATTCTCAATGTTATGCAGCTTTCTCAGTCATTTTAGAATAGCCTATGGCTTCATTCATCATTATGCACACATCTAAAATTTTTTTCATTTTTATTTACAGCGTTGCTAGAGTCCTACTAATGATCTAAAACCTGTCGCACCTGTGTTGAATGGGAGTGCACAATACCTTAGTACTGATTTTCACAACATGAAATGGCTATTTACCAACACTGACACTGAACAACACTCAGCATCATGTTTATCAAAGTGTATTCTTTGAATTTTTGCCTAAATAACAGTTTCCTCCCCAAAACTGTTAAAAACACATATTAAAAATCTTTTGCTCCAAAGGTAGTTTAATAAGTGCTGATATCACAAGTGGATAAAAAGAGAAGATCTGAATAGATCTCTTTAATATGTTAAATAATCAAAACCTAACAAACTAATCAAAACTAATGAAATATTTATTTGACATTTATAAACATATAAAAACAGCTAGACGTCTCCTAGTCTCAAACACTCTGTCATATGTAGATGAAGAGTCTGATCCATTGCACAATAAATTGGTCACAACTACCAGGGTATGTTTTGGTTTCAGCCCCATTTTGAAAAATTGCCCTTCATGTCACACCAAAACAGTGGTCTGTTATTTTGTTATGTTAGTCCTTCTTAACAAATTAGGCGTTTCTTTGCCATGTTAAGCAACAAAATGCTCCACAAGTCTGGCTTGTGAGACTAGGCGCCCCACAGCCTAGTGCATAATGTACAGCAATGTTCTTCGGTCCTAAAAGTATGATGTGTGTATGTGCATGCATGGTTTATGTATAAATGTCTGTGCACATACATGCTCTGATGGTGAGAAACACAGCAGTACTGTCTCTGAAAGACTCCTTCTCTGTGCGCACTGAGATGTTACACAGCTTGCCTGGGATCACATCCTTAAACACTGCTCTAGTCTGCAGCACCTTCTGCACCTGCAAGGTCACAAGTATATCTGATTGAAGCAATGTGATGCTGGAACACAAGGACCATGAAACGGTATCTTGTCTACAGATGGCAAGATACCACTTTGTCTATTCTGTTACCAATACTGTAGCCTTAAGTTTTGGCCCATCTCAGTACTGATCCAATATAAAAAAAAGTTTTACAATGAGTATTTCACTTAAGATGAGCACCTAAAAGTAGATGATCATGCTTAAACCCAAACACTATCTTATCTCATAGCCAGAAATACACGGCTAACAACATCACATCAAGCAATGCGAGTGTAAAGTATTTCACAATACATTTGTTAGAGGATTATATCAGATTAATCATTTTTTCCCTCCGATATCTGATCCAGCATTTCCAACTGATATCTGCCCGAAACCAATACTTATTATCTGGTGAGCGCCATCTTTAATCCTGGCCATTAAGGGGTGGGCCATTTGGCATAAATTTCACAAAACTTAAAGACATGATATATGATATATACTACAATATTCAGTTTTTCAGCAGTTTGATAAGTTGGAAAAAACGGGATTAAATTAAATCTAAAATTTCACATATTGAACTGCACTAAATCCAATTAAACAAGAGTAATTACATTTTTAACGTACAGATGATGTCCATGATATGCTCAGAAACAAGAACTGTGGCATTACTTATCACATTAATATCACCATGTTGCCCACCTCTAAGTCATTAAAGTCAGAGGTACCATTGCTGGTGAGGCCAAACAGCATCTAATACATGTCTTTATGTTTTTACGTTCAAAATTTTAGCTCTAATCAACACACATATTGTCTCACACAGAGTATCATACCATAGCAGTGTCAGCACAATCCAAACAGAGTGCTTCATAAGAATGACCATGGCCCTCTGCTCTGTCCCACAGAACCTCTACTGAACTGTCTGTCACAACACCAGCACGCACACACACAGGAGGAGCAAGACCTGTACACACACACACACACACACATATTACACAAAACATACATGTAACTCACATGAACACAAATGCACGAATACTAACAAAACAACTATGTACACTGTACTGTATCAGTGTGGTAACACTTTATTTGGATGGTCCAGATACCCTGCAAATGCTTAACTTTTCCTTAAGCCCTTAAATTTTCATTACATTCTAACAACATGGAATACAGCAAACTTATTTAGTTAATCAACTGAGTTTATTAGTTTGTAACTAAATCATAGAATTTTATATTAATTACATTTCACTAGTAGTGCACTAAAACAAGTGTAAAGGTTTTAATTACTTAATCTTTGGATCAGTTCCCCAGAAAAGACCCACCTAAGCTCAGACATTAGCCAGCACTCTACAGCCTACTTAAACCAGCATTCTGGCCTTAAACAAGGTTTTAATATGTTATTTGTTGATTATGCAGTATTTTGTAGAGCAGCATTGTATCTCTTAGCAGCATGGATTTCAGAATTCATAATTTTAGATCTGTTTTATGTTTTCACTTAGCACTACCATAACCAGTGTTCTCTCACTACAACACCCAACATACATTGCGCAAATACTTCATACAACCACTGGGAATTACTGCTGTGCTCAACCAATTCTGACTGACAGCCTAGCCACTGCACAGGCTAATAAATAAAACCATGCTAGTATTACCATTTCAAGCAGCACAACCCTGAAAATTTATCCAAAGAAACTGTAGTTCCACTTTCAAGATATGTCATCAGAAGGGAGTTTTCAAAGTCTTTAAAATGGAATGTCTTGCTCTAACGGCTTCTGAGGCACCACTGTAGGATGTAGCGATAGTTACATTTTACATTTTGGCCAGCATGCCACTTTAAAAGGACCCAAGGAACCACAAGATAGACTGGCTTTGGCCACAGAGTAGTGATAAGCAAACTCTATAGCCAGCCAGTGGGTAAGTGCTGAACTAGTGCTACAAACCATTTGTTTGTAGAGGATGGGCTCACTATACTAGAGAAGAACTGTGGAATGCCAGCAGGGCCAACCTGACCAGACTGCAGGTCACTGGAAAGGAGACAGAAGACCCTGCTTTAGTTAAACAAAGAATGATCTCTCTCTCTCTATCTCAAGAAAAGGCCATAGAGTTATACTGGGGCCCACCCCACCACCACAAGGAATCTTATCATTTTCTCCTCCTGCCCCTTTTCCCTCACTTCATTAATAAACTTTGGAGTTTTTTGTGCATCATATTCCTGTCACTAGCTGCTTTATCTCAGTAGACCGACCCACGCTTACCGGCCTTGTTTGAAACAGATTGAAGAAAGTAGATCATGCAAACTCAAACCTGACTGTAAAAAGTGTAAATCAAATGCAAACTGAAGAAAGTGTAATTACATAAATTGCATAAAGAGCACAGCAAAATGGCAGTAATTACTCTAGACTCCTAAAGGTTAATAATTAGATCATCAGTAGGAAATCTATCCAAGGACTATCCAAATAAAGTGGGATCCCGCCAGCTTTAATTCTAACGTAGCTCTAACTGCTGTACAGAACAATGAGTTACTCTTTCCTCACTGAAGCAAAATCAAAGCAAGGCTGTCACTCACAGGTTCTGACTGGGAGCATACTGAAGCCATCACTGTTCATGCCTCTGCTGGTGGCAAACAGCTGGAACTTATACAGTGTTCCTGGACTCAGGTCACCCACCAGAACCTTGCTGCTCCCTCCAGACATGGGGATCCAGGTTCTGTTCCTCTGGTAAGCTACAGTGAGGCCATCATACAGACCGCTGCTGGGCATCTGCACAAACAGCACCATGCTGTTTGTGTCTACTGCATACGTAACAGCGTCACTGATCCTCTCTGGTTCTAAAAACATGCATAAACAACCACACATGGACACAAACAATCAAAAATAATGTATACACCTAAAAACAATTGCAAAACAGATACATAACATGAAAAAATAAAGTGTTTATTTTTACTGAGTGTCTGTTGAATGGTTATCTCCTTGCTCCTATTCCCACCCTTTTCTGCAGCCACACCCACTTCATACGTCTCACCGGGCACAAGCATACCCAGTGTTATACAGTCTGAGCTGTTCTCCCAGAATTCTCTGGCACGTGCCTGACTTGTGTGTGGGCGAAGCTGAACACGGTACCCATCAATGTTATCATCCTGAAAAGGTTCCCAGCACACAGTCATGTTGTTCTGCCCCACAGCCAATGCTGATACACTGCATGGGGGACTGACCTCTGCCAAACACATGAACAGTGTTAAAGTGACAGTTTGGTAAAATGACATTTAAATAATTTTGTTCTTGCTCTAAATTAGTCGTGTTTGGTGGTCAAATTTAGCTTCTTTAGTTTTGCACCTGAGCTATAAGGCTAATATAGCAAAAAATTGTGATAAAGCTTATGTACACCAGTTAGCATAGTGCAAGCTGCATGCCTAAATCATCACAATCTGGCCTCAAATTGCACTGATTTGTTAACAATTTAAAACAGACTCTTATGTATTTCTTGAAGCTGTATGACATAGTTATCTATAAAAACTGACAAACATTTAGACAGAATTCCAGCTGTAAGATGAGTGTGAGACAACTGTTTTTCAAAGATTCTGCATAATCCAATTGTTAAGATGTAAATAGTTATTTAAAGTGATTTGATGTAAAAAGTTCCTTTCTAGAGAACTTAGAGTCAGAATTGTTCACAGTGGTGGTGATAGGAACCAGGCATCTTAAGAGTTTAATGCCTCTAAAACTACCTCACAGAAAGTTGTTACACAATATGTTTGCAAATATGCTGCCTGATGCCTGAGACATTGTTTTACAACAGTTTTGCGATAACTGGCCTAAAATGTGTGTTTTTTTTTATCCATGGCAGAGACGGCCATGCAGGACACTGTATGACAAACTAATCCTGAAAGATAACTTTTTGAGATTTACCACTATTTGATGATGAGTTTTATTCATTGATATATTAATATTATCATCATTACATATAAAACTCAGAAGAGACATGTAGCTACACTTAATTAATTAACAAAACTTAATTAGTAAAGTGGCAACATTTGTGTTGTTGACACTGTAACCTATGGTTCCTACCACAACCACTATAAAGAAATTTGAGCCAGTAAGTCTACAGTGCTTTATGTCGCAACAAACCACTCTGAACTACTTCTTACTTACATCTCCACAACCGAATTAACAGATATTTGGAAAAATTGGTGTAATTCCCCTACATTAGCCTCATCACTCCACTAAACAGATGCTAAACAACCAGTCTTCAGACACGAAACACACCTTGGCTGGGGAAAACAGTATAAATTGGATTTTTTGTCAACTATCTATTATCAAGTAAAATAAGTGCAGCAGTGGGGATAGAAGTATCAATAAAAAGTCAATAAAAAGTGATAATACAGAAGGCTATTGAAGAATTTACCTGTGATGACAGTCAGGGGCATGGCCTCAGAGCTCTCTACCCCCTCTGCTGTGACTGACTGCACAGTAATCTTGTACTCATGATACGCCTCCAACCCAGAAATCACAGCACTGAGATTCCCTCTGTTCAGCCACAAGCCCCTCACCCTGCCAGAGGATACATCCGTCCAGCGCAAGACATACTGTTCAAACACAGCATTCTGGGTGGAGTCAGGGGCAACCCAAGACAGTGCAATCTGACTTGATGTGACATCTGTCACTGTGATATTTTGTGGAGAGTTTGGCCCTGAAAGAATACAGTAAAAAAGTACTCTCAGTATTATTGTGTTACTGTGTGATATGCTGTGAGTCTATGAGGCTCTGTGGGGGGACTCACTGGTTTTAGCAATGAAAATGGGGCCGAGTGTTTGAGATGCTCCACTGGGGTTTTTGAGACTGAGTGAGAAGTAATAGACGTGTCCGGGGGAGAGTCCATGCACACCCACTCTATCTTGTGTGTGCATGAGTGCTGTATGTGTGAGTGCTCGCCTCCCAGACCACTCCTCAAAGCGCAGACTGAGCTGTGATCTGGCAGCCGAGCTCAGGAGCTGAGAGAGATTTAACCAGCGGAAAACTGCTTCTGTCTCACATATACTATCCAACTGCAGTCCAGAGAAGGAGCCCTGCAGCACTGAAAGACACAAATTACACACACGCTATAATGGGAGCAGACACTCAGACACATACAGTACTGCAAATGTCAGAGTCAATTCTTCATTTACTGAATTTCTTGTCAAAACGGCCATTAAGCACAGGTTCTTCATTTTTCAGGACATATTTCAGGAGGTTAGATATAAGATTATTTACTTGCATAATGAAGGCGAATTTCAAAGGAAAATAAGTGAAAAAACATGAGTTTCCAAAACTGGAGTTCAGAGAATGATTAAAAGATACAGAGAAAATGGGACTGAAAAACTGTGCAAAACCTGATAAACCACCAAAACAGAGCCCTATCAAATAAACAGTACTATAAGCTTTCATCTTTGGGAAAATCAAGCCCCATTCCTGCTTTACAGTAGTGAAAATCAAACAAGAAGAGGTACAAGAAGGCAAGGTATCCTCAGTCTTTTGAAAGGCAGTATACCTACACATAGTTATGGAGGAAATAGCAATGACAAGCACTCTCTCATTCTCTCACTCACAATCTGTTTGGCAGATGTAGGGGAGCCGCAAGTAACACAAGAGAGAGGTCAGGAAGTAGCCAGGTCCAGTGGCGTTCTTCTGAAGCGCAAAACAGTCTGTCTGATTGGCTGAGAGAGATGACATCACATCAACACTGAGGTTGTATGTGGATTCATCAGACCAGCGTAAGTCACCCTCTTCCTGCAAAAAGAGCAGAAAAGAGAGTGTAATGAAATGTATACTTATAGCAGCGTTCAGTTAAAGAGCAACCTACTTGAGTTCAGTTCAGGTCTACATAACTCATCAGATCAACATAACTATACACATATATATACATATATATGCATGTGAAGGCTTGAACACCCCCAGTCAAATAACAAGTAAACAAGTTGTGATTACAAGTTGCACGGAAACAAATTTAAATATGGTGTTCTTATGCACATTTTAATTGCTGTTTAACATCCTTGAAAATGATAAAACATAAAAAAATTTAAATGTGCCATAACTTTTGCACAGGCCACATTTTATTGTTTTATTGGCTGACTGTACACTAATACACACAGACAAACTCCGATGTTCTTACTTTTTTCTCCAGGTTTTTAGTGTCCCGTTCCCATTAAACTGAGCTTTAGGTCACTGAGACTTACTAAAACTCTATTTTCAGTATTGGAATGAGGACTGATAAAAAAGTATATGTTTAATAACACTGACACTGTGCGCATGGTTATTGCCATTTTACATGATAAGCGACTTAAGATCTCCCTATCTGACATGGATGATGACTGGACTGTTTATGATCTTATATATAAAAATTCAGTACACTGTCAACTATTATAGCTTTTTAATTTATTTTTGCTTTATCATTAAAGGAAAAATGCAGAAAACCAGCATGTCTTGGACTGACATGTAAGAACAGTTTGTTTCGTTCCTTGTTTCTGCAAGTGTCAAAAACATAATTTTCAAGAGCAATACTGTAAATCTGTTGTTGTGGAATTGATAAACAATCCCCTTTTAGAAATATGAATTAGAGGTTTTTTAAAGGGAGTATAATCCTTGGATTTTTAATTTGTTGAATGAAACATCATGCCATCACATGTCATTGTCTGCAGGTTTTTGTGTGTATGTAAGAGTGTGCATGTGCACTTTCAATGTGTGATACCTGTCGGTCATTCAGAGCTGTCCACAGGAGCAGCAGGTGGTTATGGTTTTGTAGATGGGATGAAACAGACAAAAACTCAGCATCTGTCTTTAGATTAGCCAGATGGACTCCAGGGGCTGTCCTCCCACATGTCTGCTGGGCCTCAGCCCAGGCCAGGCCTCCACCAGCTTTCACCTGGAAGCAGCTCCAGCCTACAGCAATCCAGCCCACAGGACACTGGCCTGTACGAGACACAAATCATGCAGTTAGTATGAATCAGGGCATGAATGTGTGCTGGACAGAGTGTGTCAGCCTGTGTACCTGTCTTTATAGCCAGCTGCAGTTTCTGTGTGATGGTCATATTGAGATGTGGAATTTGTGTTGTCTTCCTCACAGTGACACCATAATGAGTTCCAGGCTGTAGTCCTGTTACCAGACGGGATGGCCGAAAGGAGGAGAGGACCCAACACTGCTGATCTACACATATCCACAGTGCTTGGCCTTTACTCCAGCCAGTCCAGCTCAACAGAGCGCTGGTAGAAGAAACTTCCACCTTCAGAAAGGAGCTCTTCAGAGGAACTGACAAGATAACCAAACAGAGCAAATTAGCTTCATAAAAACTCACAGCTACAAAAAAGCAAAACCCCAGTGGTTTTCAACCAAATCTCTATCTGCTGTATCTGTAGTATACATTCAAATGTTATTATTATTATTTAGATAAGTGTTGTCAAGTCAATTTAAATTGACTGGCCACCATACACATGTTTCTCTAGATCATCCTGTCTTCTGTCATGGTCTTTAGGCTTCTTAATAGACTAGCTTATTACTAGCTTGTTCCTGTATCATCTGATTGTTATTACTTGATTATCAGTCTTATTGTTGTTAATTGTGTTTTCCAATAAAATGTTTACAGACAAAAATTTAGAATTTTCGAAAAGTACTTAGAAAAGAAAACCCAGGGACTCAAAACATGGTTAACAAAAAAAAAGAAATAATAATAATAACAATAAATAATAATAATAATAACAGAAGCCATTGGGCAGTTGGACAACACTGCTTTTTTACTGTATCTAGTGCCTGAAAGTTATCTAAAGTGTTGTAAGCTGCGATGAGACCTAAGAACTGTTGTATCAAATTTGTGTAATCCTTATTTTGAACATGTATACACAGTATCTGCCCAGTAACTTCTATTAAAAGTGAGTTTTGAGGCAACAGGTTTTCTGTTCTTCCTAAGTGAATATCAAAGTTATCATCTGTGCTAACTGACGGTAGGCTACAGATCCAGCAAACAGAGATGAGGATGAAAAATGCTGCAGCGTTAAGGGAGTCATCACAACAGAAACATCGGAAACCCAAAATCTGCACAGTTCCTCTCACCCAGCTGGAATGATCTGCTGTCCAGCAGCTGCATGTGTCTGTATGACTGCAGATTCAGACTCAGCTCCTTGGCCCCCTGTGGCACACTTACATCTATAACACACCCACATACACTTTCACACACTGCACTGCTGCTCAGCACCTGCCAGAGAGACGATACTCTTTAATGTCCAGCTGTACACTCTCAAAACATATGTGTTAAAGGGGTATGCTCTCAATCTCTCAAAATTTGGCAAATTAAGTGTTTTGATGTGAAATTCTCCTCTCTAGAGAGTCAGAGTTGTTCATAGTGGTGGTGTTAGGAATCACATGTCTAAGGCATTTAATGTCTCTGGTCCCTCACAGAAAGATATAACATGAAATGCTTATAAATACATTGCCTGATGTCTGAGACATTATTTTATGATAGTTCTGCGATAATAATTTGGCCTAAAACAAAAAAATATATATACATGGCAAAGAGCTATATGGAGAGAGCTATAAGGAAAAATAGCCCCTAAAGAAAACATATTTTATGGATTTAAAACTATTTTACCACTTTGAACATTACATTTAAAAACTCAGAAAACATCCAGGTTCACTGATCATTTTTGGATAGTAAATGTGTCGTAGACATTGCAACTGCTGGTTTTTATCACCACCAGTGAAAAGAGAGAGTTTAAAAGTTTCCCTTCAATGCACCATTTCACACCAAACCACTCTGAATGACTTTGCATCTCAGTGGTTGAATTATGGAGAAACTTTGGTGGAGTTCCCCTTTAAACAATGCATTATGTTTTTAAATAAACATGTATGTGCATTAGACAACATATAACAATGCGACACAAAATGTGTTAAAACAGATTGCAGAAGTTGTGTTGGAAACATACCTTGCTACCTAATAATAATGTGTAAGTATGAGGCTCAAAACTTGGAGGAAAAGAGCAAAACTCCACCTGTAGATAGACAGAGGACTGACTGCTCAGGCCAGGGACATTTAACACCTGAGGAAAAAGACAGATAAATGTGATACCTCTAGAAGTGACTTAGATTATGCCACAATAATAATAATAATAATAATAATAATAATAATTTTAACAGTTTCATTTCATTTTGGGCATCCAAAGCTGGTACCATTCCCTAGACCACACAATAGACCCTCCAAATAAATTTTCCACTCAACATTTATTTTAAGCCATGCTTTATCATTTACTGAAGCTGCATCTGTACTTTACTGTTGGCTCGAATCTAAAGTATTTATGAATTATGAGTCAGCTGTTGATTTAAAGCCATGCACTTTGGGGTTTAACCCTTTAAATGCCCAGGGTCCCTCGGCAGGCCCAAAGTCTTATCACACACTTCTATGACCTAAGAACAGCTTAAAAAGTGTGCACTGAAGTCCCTGTAGTAACTGAAAAATAAGCCTTAGTATTTAATAAGCTTGTGATTTTAAGGGGTTAAATACAGTCTCTTTTTAACGTTGTGGCCTATAATATATCTAGACACCTTGGGATTTCAGAAAAACCTTCTTACCCTAAATCAATTCCACATTCACTGTCAATAAGGCAATTGCTGTCTTAAAAAAAAAAAAAAATGCTTCTTTTTGCATTTTGATCCTATATGGATTTCCACAAACACTCAAAAATTTAAGTGTTGTATGATCGTAATTCAATTATGCCACACATTTCCATCCATTCACATTGAATAGAATCAGTATACACAGACTTTATCTCGTCACAAAGTTCGGCTGTTGATTGAACAAAATTTAAACATTTCAGTGCTATTTATTTGGGTTTCACTGGAATGAAAATCCCCTTCAATCAGCGTCAACAGTTTTCATTAACGGAAATGTACTTTTGTTAATTTTTAGTCTAGTTTACGTAAACCAGATACTTAAAGACAATATAACTTATTTATTTCATGTCAACGTGTTTTCCGTTGTTTTTTTTTGAGTGTTCCTTCAGTATCTTCCTTCAGGTTACAGCAAATTAAACCGCATCATCACCACCTCTTGTATTTTAACCTGTAAATAAACAGCTTTCATTACCTGAATCAGGAGCCCCGATATCCACAGAGGAGCCAAGGTATCCATTAGCCACATTAGACTGTGGTGTCTGTGAAAACTCGGAGACGCCCAGTATCAGCCAGTCACACTACTAACAGCTTTAAACAGTCCTGTTCAGCGCTGGGAGATTTGCTCATGAACACACTTAAAGGCGGTGAGGCACAAACATGAAATTTTACATTCCATTTACCTCAAACTGAAAAATTCTTCGCAAAGGGCTACGCCTTTCCTACCATTAAACAAACCCATGGTCACGAACACTAATCCAAACATCGGAATGATAATAAGTCGCTGACGGAGAAAAACAACAACCAGTTTATGTCTGTTTTGAATTTGCCGCGCTGGGTCTCCATTCCGTTTCCCAGTCCGCCGCTCTCACCACATGAGCCTTCACCGCAGTCGCCGGCGTTATTATTTTGTTTAACACCCGTATTCAAGCAAACCCCGCCTGCTGTGCTTGGATTGGCTCGTAGTCCCACCGCGTCGTTAAATACAATTAGCCACAGTTCATACGCAGAACCCGCTAGTAAAACAGTATTAGCCAATCCCGACGCAGGGATTGTCGGAATATAGGTGGGGAAAAAACGCAGTTTGTCCTCTTTCCCGAGTGCCACAGGCATTCCATGACCACAGAGGCAGCCCACCCGCCCTAAATCGTACTCAGAGTCTTTTAAGGTCAGTGCATGAAGGGTTCACCGTGACAAAATGCACGGCTGGACGCCACACAACAACCCCACAAAAGTACTTTTATGTCGAATAGTGAACACACCTAGTAAAATGCCATTTAATTTGATAAACTGAACTCACAGCATTGGTTTTAAGAAAAAGTCGTGAAAAAAGATGTTTTCCCCTTGTTGATCTCTATGACGGTTTGTTTTTTATCAGAAGCTCAAAGTGAGCTTAAGAACTGCTCACTTTGAACTGGGAAAGTCAGATGAGAAGTTTTTTTCAGTGGTTATTGGTTGGCAACCTTGGTGAAGATGAACAAAATGCTCAAATTTATCATTTCACAAAGATGTTACGTTTTGGCAAAAAAAAACGTGTATTTTATTTATCATTTCGAACTGAAATGTTAGATTTTTCACATATTTACAGTATAATTTATTCAGTATGATAAACTGAGATTTCATGTCATAGCATGTTAGCTCAGCTTCACCAAAGGTACCGAAAATTCTGGAGGCCACTGTATGATTTACAAATATGTAACTGCGTGTTCATTCTCTGTGGCTGTTTTGTGTGGATGCAAAACTTTAACAAAAAAGTTATTAATGTATGCGCAATACAGCATAGAGTCTTTCACAGATGTGGTGAAAGTGACCGAATCCAAAAAAGGCTGTTGACCTACACTGGTGTCATCATAAGTCACGATTCAGCAGATTCACACAAAGAGGAGGTGAACTCCTCCAACATTTTAATTACTCAGCTATTAAACCATAACACAACTCAGCAAGACAGGGGCTGACCACAGCGTGGGATGCATTGATGGATAAACATGAAAGCTGACAATGACAAGCAAGGCAGCCCAATCTTTCACAAGAGTGTAGCCTGGTGTACATCCACATCCACAGCTTTTGATTTTTTTGCTTATAACTCCTGCATAATGCTTGATCGCACATTGCCTGCTGATTTTTTGCATTTTTGCTTTATCTACATTTACTCTTCCAAACACTTGTAATTTGTAATATAGCTAGTAGTGTAAAGTCCAGATGTTTCAGGGGTAAATATTATCTTCTCTCATTTTTATTTATAAAGCTCTCCCCTTATCTTTCCTGATTTTCTGTAGTATAAGCAACTGTTCTGGCATTATAAATTAACATCCATCTATGAGCCACTAAAGCCTAGAAGATCCTTTGTACATATCTTCTTCACCATAATTCACATGATTTTTCTTTACCACTGGCGTCTCTGGTTTACTTAGTTTTAGGCCCAGATCGCTGTGAAGATTATGTTACAATAGCTACTGGCAAAGGTAAAATAATAAAAATAATGGAATGGAATTTTCCAAACACAGCATCAAATAAATGCATTATCTATTAAGTAGCACCTGGGAGATCTTGATATCCATATCTGAAATGATATCTGCGTCTTGTTTCATTTTTCTTCCCAAAGGAGCAGATCTAAATTCCCCTAATTTTCCAGAAATTCAGCCATTGACTAATTACCAAGGGGATTTCTGTCCTCTATCAATACCAGTGGTCATAGGGAAATGTTTTTCCCCCAAAGAATTCGGATGCATTTTCAGTTTGAATAGAAATGCTACTCAAAGACCTGCTCAGAACTGGCTTATTTATTTCTCCCTGTAGGGTAGTTTAAGTCTTTAAAAAAAATTGATGGTTCAAAAAAGTACAAAGTTACCACTTAAATAAAACATGAGGTTAAAAAGATACAAAAATCGATAGACTACGTAATAAAATTAAATATGCAAGAATCAATTTTGCTCCAACATATTTCTTAGCAAAAAACTGCATGATATATTGATACTGACAAACTACATCTGTGCACATATATTATTCTTTTGACATGTTATTACATCTAGAAGTCTAGCTGATTCAACAGTAGTTATTGGTTATGTTCTCATCTATGTGATTAACATACATAATACTCTCAGATAAATCACAGACTTGAATGTCCCTAAAACTACAAGATGGTGTTAGTAGTTTGTAGTTTTACTGATCTGTGCAGTAAAAACTGAACATGGCCACTGAGAGAGTATACAGGCTATGTACCACTAGCTGTTAACAGTTATTAGTTCCACTGGCATGAGCAGTCCATAGGCTCTTGGTAGCTGTAGTCCACAGTAGTAGAATTGCGTGTGCAGTAAAGCTGGATGATGCGATTTTGTAGGCCATTTTCACGACAACACTTGCAAAAGCGCGCATGGCTGTTTATGTTGAAATTAAAGATGGTGGCAGACGGGCACTTCCCATCACATGAGTATACTGTGACCTGACAGAGAGAGGAACGGAGACAAAGAGTTGGAGTTGATGGTGAGGTAGTTATTCAGGATGCTTCGGAGAAACTTTAAATGGCATGAATGTAGCTGATGCGATGTAAATCTCACTCACTGGTGCGTTACTTCTGCAGTCATCTTTCCTGATGGTTGTCCTAATTGCGACTCTTTTACATGTTTTACCATCCTCTTTACCTAAACACATGGAGGAAGAGCAGTGTAACATTTTTTTCCACACATTTATTATCAACATATATTGCTTGTGTAATACTTTAACACACACTCAGCTCCATATTTATTGGCAATTTTGGTAAAGATGAGTAAAAAAGGTTACATCAAACTTTTTGGAATCGTGTCACAATTATTAGCACCTTGGTATTTACTCTTTGTGCAAAGTACCTTTGTCAACCTAAAAGTCTTCTCCTATAATACTTTATAAGATTAGAGAATACTGAGACAACTCTTCTATACATAAACTCTCTAGATCCACCAGGGTCCTAGGCCTTTTCTTTTGGACACTCCACTTTAGCTCATCCCACAGGTTTTCAATGGAGTTAAGGTCAGGGGACTGAGAATGGCATGTCAACAGCTCAATTCTTTCACTGAAACATTAGATTTGGATGATTTGGATGTATGTTCTTTATCAGTCTCCTGGTACTTCATCCATGATGCCACATGCCTTGACAAGGTTCCCAAGACCCCTGGAGAAAAAAGCCTCATACTAGGTTCTTCTCTGTATAACCATCCTTCGTTTTACACAAATTCCACTTGGATTGTTTCTTGCTAAAAAAAAAAGAAAACTATATTTTTCCAGTCAAAGTTCCAGTAGTATCTAGTGAACTTCAGGCAAGTATGTTTATGATCAGATGAAAGTAGAGGCTTTCTTCTGGCATGCCTTTCAAATAGTTTGTTGGCATGGGAGTAGCATCTAATTGCAATTTTGCAGACTTGGTAACCTCAAAATACATCCAGCTTCTGCAAATTTCAATCCATCAGAGAAACTGGAGAACTTTTTGCCATTCTTACAATCCCTGCATGCACTAAAGCTCCAGCTGTTTTAAACTTCTTAATTATTGCCTTAAAATGCATGAAACTACAGTTTTTATAGTCATTGCTTGATTTACGAAGGTCAACACACTTTTGGTTCATTTTTATTACTGTATTCTCTAATCTTTCCCATGTTGATGAATGAAGGACTTCAGTATAACCACATATTTATACCCAAGGAAGTGAAAAACTAAGTCAGGAAAGTATTGCTTAAGAGTTTCTAAACAATCAGGTGGATTTTAAATATAAAATATAAATGGGAGCATTTTGTTCCTAAGAATTTTAAGGTGTGCCAATAAATGTGATACATCAATTTACATTCATTAAAGATTTTTCTAATATTTGCAGAGTGAGACTGAGATAACTAACCACAAAGCCAATTTTTTCATGACTTTTTTTTACCCATAATTACCGTATGTGCCAATAGTTGTGGAGATGACTGTATGTATAATCGTCTTTTCTTTCTGATACCTACCTTGTTTCTAATTTTGTCAGTGGAATATTTGAGATTTAATTAACGTACCCAGAGATCACTTTAAAGCATTACTTCATTTTTTTTTTAACTGAGAATAACGGTGCTTGTCAAATGTTATTACACTGTGTTTTGGCAGGTTAAATAAACGAATGTGTCCTTCACACTGAGCAAGTGCACTTAAACACACATATACACACATCTCTCTCTATCACACACATACGAACAGACACAAAAAGAGAGCTCAGTGCCTACTGAGCCTCCACTATTGTAGTTTTCCTTGGGGAATGCATTTGATTGACAAGTCTGTGTTCATGGTGATGTTCCACATGCCACAATGTAGCTGTTAGCTGTAGAGCTTCATTAAGGCCAGTAGCTTTAAAAAGGAAACTGGAGCTATTTTCAAATCCAGTCATATGTAAAAGGGAATTTTATCCAGAGGCTTTTCTGTTTAGAGAGAAGTCCCTGTATCCTGCTAGAAATTTCCGGATCATGAATTAAACTTTGACGCTAAAATTCCTGGGATGTTAGGTCCATACATCAGAAGTCAAGTTGCTGGACTTATCAGCATGTTTCAACAGAAGATAAATCATCACTCCACATCTGTGCTGAGAGGGAGTGACAAGTGGTGAAGTGTTTGGTATGCAGGGGTGCTGGTCTCTGTGTGTTTGGGTAGGGGGGTGCGGGAGGAGGGTGTGTGTAGATAAATGAAGCTGTCACCTGTAATATAGAGTGTGTGGGTAAGAACAGACAAAGAGACAACAAGTCATGTGGCACTTACCCACATTCATACATACTAGAGAAGTGGAATAGAAAATGATGGTAATGTGGAAAGTAATGGACACACACACAAACATAGACGCACGTACACACACACACACACACACACACACACACACACTCTTAAAAGAATACTGCAGCATTTTTATATAGTAGGCAGATAATCTCTATCTGCTGCATCTGTAGTATATAAGTGATTATCACAGAGATTTCAACAATGTGTTTCTCTGTACTTAGACAAGAAACGGAAACCTGTTGATTCAAAACTCACTTATATTGGAAGCCAATGGGCAGCTGCTGAATTCTGTTATTGCTCGTACTTGTAAAAAATGCACCGACACCAACAACTGATACCACTTGATACTAAGTGGCATAAGCCCATTGTACGCTGATGCGCTAATGAACAAACGACTAGCTGGCAGCGATCGTGGGGTGTGCTCACACAGTAAAGTGTTGCTGATGCCCTGTCAGTCAGACGCAAAGTTGCTGGTCACTTTAAACAGCCTGCCTTGGCATATTCCCACCAGGCATACACTGTGCAATTTTATCTTGTTTTTAAGCACACACAAACACAATCACAATCTTTTCTCCTACACATAGTGTTTAGGGCAGTTGCAGTGGCAAAGTTTTATAAATGATACTACTGTAGACGTGCATGCTTGGGTGGAAGGCGGGGATGTTAATTTTAAAAAGAATAGCTCTTTATCATATATTTTTATTAGGCCATAAAATACCACAAAATAAAATATCAACAGCAAGCTTGTTTTATACAGACGCAAGACAGCCAAATAATTCTCAAACAGTATTTTTTTGTCGCTTGCCGCATGTGGCTGGTAGGAAAAGCTTCACTAATACAAGGGCCTACAGCAAGTTTCACAGCCCTTGTGGTCTAAAATGCACATCACTTTTCATAGATGTGCTCTCAAGGAAAAAGAAAAGGAAATATGCAGTTATGGTGGTCACAACATTGCAACTGGCATGCTACCATCTTGGTGTTGTGGTGAATGTTGCAGCCTGAGTAGTCATATGGGTGTTTTTTATAGGTTCCTGACTTGGGAAAACCTTGGGAAAAATTAATGAAACCAGAACTGCTTTTCTGCTACTTTCATAAGAATAGGCTGGTGTGACATTTTCTCATGTCTGTTTTTATTATAAAACCTGCACTGTTATAGATGGCTGTAGTTTGAATTTGCATTATAGAGACACTTATTTCAAATATTTGTTCACATAATTCAGCAACTGCCCAATGGTTTGTTTTAAGTTAATGAGTTTTCAGTTATTTTCTAAGAACAAGGAATCACATCAAAATTACTGACCATGGTAACTAATGGTACAATACAGATGCTGCAGATACTAGGTGGGCAAACACTGGAGTATTCCTTTATGGTGGAGTAAACAGAAGAAGAGGATGGGAGAGTACCTGTGTCACAGTTAGTACTAGCAGTGGGAGTTACTGGACTAACGGAAAAAGGCAACAAACCAAGTCCAGCACCTGAGAAACACACAGGGGCATGTTCACAATCACACACACTGTCCAGAGGTCACAAACTCGCTCTACCAGCATGCACATCGCGCAACTGGAAAGAACCGCATGGCTTATTCCTCACCTCAGATACTTAAAGCATACCAGCCACCCCACAGGCAAAAGCCCCGACCACTATAACCACATGCCTTCACACTGGATAGCATGCATATACAACTCTGGTAATATAAGCAATAATTTACATTAACATATAGATTAACAAACATATATTGACATGTGAAAAATTACATTCAGACTCACTTTTCGAATTATTTTTTAAAGACACTCACCCACACACACCTACACAAACACAGAAGGCACATGCCAGTTTTTCCTTAAACCACCTCTGAGTTTCCCAAGCATGCACTTCCAGTCTAATTAAAACATTAGATTATGAACAGATGATTGAGGCTAGCTTCATGCAAACTGCTATTGAGTCAAGCTCATCGATATGATTAAGCATATTGAATTAAGGCAGTATCCTCAAAAAATAACCCCTAAATTTGTCTATAACTGATGTTCTTTTTAAAATTTCATTCTGGTTTTCAAGTAAAGGAACAATCAAGTTACAACAGTAATAAGTAAGGAGAAATTTAAAAAAATTAACACCAGTATCACAGCACAAGACCCAGCTAGCTCAAAAGCTAACACACACACCAAACACAAACACAGGCCTTGGAGGAACAGAAAGACTGTCCAAGAAGAAGTTATAGACAGTAGTAAAATATCTTGCAAGCGTAAACTATCCTAAACTATTCACTGCTCAGCTTAACACTACTAGAAACTAAACCTTATAAAAATATAGGCTAAAAATATCAGTGCTAGCAGTATAAAAGTTACTTATTGTCAATTTTGTAAAATACAGTGGATCATTTTTTTTATCCCTTCAAACCACTCTGTGGATGTTAAATTGAGAGAATGCAAGTGAAAAAAAATATTTAGAGATAAAGGAAAAGGAAATAATCAAATACAGATCGAGAGACAAAGGGAAAGAGAGGCCTGTAAGAGGTGTACAGTATGTGCTTTACTTCCTCCAGGGCAGAAGGGGGGCAGTTTAACCACAGGCAAAACCAACAGCCATTAAGCCCAGCACTGCCACTCCCTCATGCTGCTGCAATTAGCACTCACCAACCCCAGAAAGCACAAAAAGCCACGTCCCCTGTCTACTTACATGTCTTACAGCAGCCATCCACATATGTCTGCACCACACCTCCATTCTGAAAAGAAATCATAGAGGTTATAGAGGAGGACAAATTGCCACAACAGTCTCAGAACAACAAAATTTGGCAGTGTTGACTACAGACCTGAATACACTCAGTGTCATTGAAAGGGGGGCAGACAACTCCGGAGGCGAGAATCACTGCTCCCACTGCAGTCTCCATACAGTCAAATCGTGTGCAGTTAGCCACCCAAGAGCTGCCCGCCTATAATCATACAACCCATGCACACACTCAGACAGTTAAATTTGATTTCATTGCAACTATTCACCGACTGGCCACTACAAGTACAACTACTCTGTATCTACACTCTTTGTCCATTTGATCTGGTCCCTTTGAAATAGGTCACACATTTGTGTATTTGCTTCTTCAATGTTTAATACATTTAGAGTTTTTAATCTTTCAAATTATTATCTATTTTGAATATTTAATCACTGCCTTAATTTGTTAATAACTGTGCTCAGTTGTCTTAGTTTCCAGTCTAAATGACCTTAACTTTTCTCTGTAGATGCTGAGAAAATGGCAACCAGACACTGAGCTGAACTGCAGCAGCTGGATAAGCAGATCAGGGCTTCTCTGGAGCAGCAGACCGAGCTCCACAAGTGGGAAACACATTTGGAAGCAGAGCAGAATGCCTTGTATAAATTAATATCAGGTCCACCAAGTCTTGTGACGATATTGACTTCTCCAGCCTCAGCACTATGTCCACGGCTAACACTGGGATTCCTCAACCTCATTCCTACACCGGAGCGGGTCTGGGGATGCTGGGAACGCCAGCATGGCTGGGAAAAGTGAAGGCTTCCACCACCTCCTTCTCCTCCAGTAACCAGTTCGAAGCCCTCAGCTCTCTGCCTGCCTCAGCGCCTTGGATAACTACTCAGGATGATGTTTTAGTGATCAGGGACTCCAGGATCAGACATCTGAAAGTATCTGCCTTTCGATGTAATGGTGTTATCCTAAATTTTCCAAGTGCCCAGGTCTTGGATATATCAGTGTTTTACTGTGGCTCAGAGTAAACACGAGGACATCAGAACTATGGACATTCACGCGGGGGTGAATGTCATCCCATCTTGTCAGTCCTAAAGGAGCATTTCCATGCAAAATAATTTTAGACCAATTTCTAACCTTCATTTTTAAGTCTTAGAAAAAGTTATTTTTCCAGTTTTAGTTCTCTAGGTGATATCATTAACAAATCATTATCAATTTTCATACTTATGCTGATGGCACACAACTATACATTTCAATTCCTTCTGAAAATCAAGACTCTGTCTTACCAGCTGTGTGTGCTGTCACAAAATTTTCAACAACTACATGAAAAATCTGAAACACTGATCCTTGGTACTCAAAATGCTTTATGAGCTCTATTTTATCAAGCATGTAAACACAGTCATTAAAGTAGCTTTTTATCATTTAGTGCTAAAGTTCTGCCTTTTCTATCCCAGAATGATGCAGAAACGTTTTCATGCATTCGTTACAAGCGGATTTGATTACTGCAACACTCTTTTTACTGGGCTTCTTGAGAAAATCTATCCTCTGCAACTCATACAAAATGCAGCAGCACAGATCCTAAAGAAAACAAAAAAGAGAGCTCGTATCACCCCCGTTTAGAAAGAACTGCACTGGCTACCTGCATCTTTTAGGCTTACATTACAGGATGTCTGTCTGTTTATGTTCCAACATGTGATCTTTGATCTGCAGATACTGGCCTTCTGCAAATACCTTCCATAAAATACAGAAAACGTGGAGAGGCCTCTTTCGGTTATGATGCTTCTAAACTGTGGAACTCAAATCCATTTTTTATTAGACAGTCAAGCTCAGTGCACATTTTTAAGAAACATTTACAATGTATCTACTTAACTTAGCGTTTAATTAAAACTCTTTGTCTCTTTGGTATTTATCTTTTTAGTTTGATCTGTCATTGTTTTATATAATTTTAAATGAATACTCATAGTTTCTTCTATCACTGTTAGCTTTATCCCCTGTCTGTAAAGCACTTTGAGCTGCCACCAGTATGAAAAGTGCTCTCTATATAAAATTGTTATTATTATTATTATTATTATTATTAACAACCAAGTAGGTACACTTTGTAGTTCTACGATTACAGATTGCAGTCCATCTGTTTCTCTGCATAATGTGTTAGCTCTCTTTTACCCTGTTCTTCAATGGCCAGGACCCCCACAGGACACAGAGCAGGTATTATTTGGGTGGTGGATCTTCTCACTGCACTCAGTGACAAATGGTAACCCAAATAATACCTGCTCCATGGTGGTCCTAACCATTGATGAACAGGGTTAAATGGGGCTAACAAAGTATGCAGTAAAACAGATGGACTACAGTTATTGTAGAACTACAAAGTGCACCTATATGGTAAGTGGACCTGATAAAATAGACAATAAGTGTAGAAACAAGGAGGTGTATTTAATGAAGTGACTAGTGGACCTATGTAATTTGTTATATACCTGAATGTGTGCAATATGTTTAACAAAATCAGACATACCATAAATACTTCTGTAGTTCCATTTTCACTGGAAAATGAGCATGAGATGTTTTTACAGGAGCCACAACACACATGGGGGTCAGAAGATGGGACATACACCTGATGCTTTAGAAACAAAAGACAAGATAAGGTGAGCTGAAACTGCACACAAGACCACCTTCTCAAAAGGCAACAGTGTATTTACAAAACTCATTTATGGTTCAGGACTAATTTTGTTTATTTTTAAAGCCAAATATGCCTCTTCAGCTTAATGTTTCTTAAAGTTTCTCAGAAACCCATTACAATATCCCCAGCACACTCTCTTCACTCTACACTAAATTGGGAGTACTGTATTTTATATGTTTAAAACTGATTCTTCTTATTGCCTTTAGTTTAGGGTTGCATATTTGATACACTGGCAGTTGTATTAGAGTGTTTTCTGAATCAATCAGTGGCTGCAGTAATCTCTCAATTTGCCTGAACAAGCCTTTAGAATACAGCACTGGTTATCCCATATTCTTTTCCATATGCAAGATCATGGCCATTTTCTAAATAATTTTTCTCTAACAGGTCCTGGATGTACATGAGCTACAATTAAATAAATGACCACTCTGTTGTATAGTGGACAGTTTGCTGTTTCAGCAGGACTTACGGGCTCACACTTTTCGGAGCAGTTGGCAGTTGTCACGTCCATAGCATAGAAGCCTGTGCTGGGGTCTTTGTGTGTGAGGCACTGCACAGTGTAGCACAGCTCACCCTCAAAATACTGTACCATAGACTGGCCTGGGCTAAGCACAGTCACACCCTGAAACAAACACACATCTGCCTTCTCTACACACACACACACACACACACACACACACACACATATATATATATATATATATATATATATTTACACATTTGATAAATATATCATATATATATATATATATATTTCATATGAGATCAGTAGAGATCAGTAGATGTATGTCTATGTGTGTTGTCTTACTGCAGGAGTACTGAGTGCAGCCACAGGTACCAGTGTAATCTGGCTCCTCAACTTGAATTTCTCCCTAAATACCAAAATAGGTCAAAGATCATTTAGAGAAATGAGATGATGTCTGATGAAGTCTACAAATAGGCTTCTGAAAAGAATTTCAAAAAAGTAATTTACAGTTTAATGCTACTGACTCATAAGACCAGATATTCTACAGCTTTTGTAAAAGGTTTTAAATAGTACGTGTTATGTACAAAACTCTAGTCTAAATGTGCCATATATGCACCATTTACAGAGCAAAACGCAAAATGGGTTTTTCTCCATCATGCTTATGCATTTGAAGCCCAATCAGGAAAAAAATTTATGGAGATGTTGGAAATGCAGCTGATTACACATTCCGTTCAATTTATAAAATTTTGAGCTTTCCAGTTTTGCATGGAATTTTGACCATTTCTTAAAACCAGTAGAAAATGTTGCACTTCTTTTAAAAACAGTAGCAGATTATGTTAAAGCTAGACTGTGGCCTTGGAGACATGCTGAAAGGCCTTGGAGACATGCTGAAAGAGTATTTGCCAAAAGAAAAACTCAACACCTCAAACACCTCAAGAGTTTGTCTAGTGATTCAGATGGTACTGGCTTTCCATGCTATTGTCTCTTAAACAATTTCCGTGATATTGTTTATATTTTTTGAAACTGCAAAGAATTACGCACTCAGATTTTTTGCTAAGAATGACCTTAATTTATTAACACTGCTATTTCTTCATCAAGGTTCCCAGAGCTTGTTGGCAGCTCCACTGTTTCTCTGCACCTTTTAAACTCTGTGCCTCACAAGCGTAATGCAATTAGCAGGCAATTCTACATGCAGTTTGATTATCTATAGAAAAGGCTGCATCAAGGCTAGTTCTGCAGTGTGCCTTCCCATGAAGGCTGGTCCAGAATGTGGAACAGAGAATGAAGGACTCACCGCGGTGCACTGAGGCCGTATGATGTTTTGACACTGACACTCTGAGGAAGAGACAACAGTTCTGAACAAATCAGCTCATCGTATTTGTACATAGTTTTGCGTGTGTGAGTGTTTGTGTGAGAAAGTACACTACCACAGTGGATCTCTGGGCAGCAGCTGCCAGGTACAGGCCTTCTAACCAATGCAGCACCAGGGGCACAGCTAATACTGGGCTCAGGACACAGGCTCATGTCACACACTACCAAAAAAAAGCAGTGACCATTTACTTGTAACCCTTAATAACCTTTGATTAAAAAATGGATAATGACATGTTTACCGCACTGTAGGGTTTCTCTACTTGATTATGCAATAATAGAAATCTTTAATATTTCAGTTTTAGTTATTACCATTTGTGCATTTCTATGTGCATAAGTGCTGTGTACCACCATTTTTTGCTACATGTGTGTGTGCTGAATTACCACAGTGATATTGGGGACAGCAGTGATTTGTAGTGTTTATGTCCACTGCCAGAATCTCTCCCGGCAAACACACTGGGATGGGATCCATACAGGACTCACACACTGCAAAACATACACATTGTCAGAATGCAGTAATCTAAAAATTCTAATTATCACAGAGACCTTCACAGCCATAGAAAAGAGAATTATCTTATGTAGTGTGTTTTGTCACAGAAATAGGTTACAATAAGAGTTAAGCACTTAAACTGTAGGTCTATTATTCAGTTATTATTCTAAAGGCTATTTCCTCATAATTACTATGAATTATTTAGTATCTACTATGAAACCACTAAGTAAGCTATGTAAGTACAAGAATGAGGAAGACAAGTTCTTAGCATTTAAGAGGTTAAAGTGAGGTGTGTTTATCAATTACCAATCTGTAGCAGTAATTCTGAAGTTTTGTAGATGTTAAGATAAGATCATTCAGAAAGCTGTCTTACCACACAAATAAGTGTAACAGCAGTCATGCTGTCCTCTGACCTCCACCAGGAACTGGTCCTCTCTGCACTCGGGGGTAGGGACACTGGGACAGGCCTGAGGGTCACATTCTACAAAAGGACATCTACCTTAGATTGATTGTTTCCACAAACAGGAGCAAGCCAGTGTATTCATGAAAGTGGCATCAACAAGGAATAAAGAATACATAAAAATCTATCTGACCACAACGGTACTCTGGACAGCAGGAGAGGGTGCTGTAGCCAATCACCAGCTTATTTCCATTCTCACAGGTAGGAACATCATTCTGGCAAATGGTTAGATTACATTCTTCACACACACACACAAACACACAGACAAACAAATAAGAACACATTAGCTCAACTCTATACTTGTTCAAAGAATTTCACATGCATTAAGTTTCTTACCTGCTGCACCCTTACCACCCTGCACCCTGAAGAGGTAAGTATACATACCACAGATTTTTTTGGGGCAGCAGGCTCCTTCCTCAAGCACATCAATGGCATACTCTCCCTCACGCTCACACAGTGGAGCTGGCTCGGGGGGACATTCAGGCTCCACTGGCACCACACTGCCATTCTCCAGACAGCTGAACAGACAGCAGCCTCGAAGCGAGCCATTCCACACCTCCCCCGGAGCCCGTGGAGAGCCTTCATTATCCGTACAAACTGACAGCAACAGATTAAACAAAAACATACAGACACACACATTAATAGCATTTAATAATAAAATACAAACACACAAGTCATATTAATATAATAAGTAATATTAATAATTGCTATTTTAAAGTAGATTTTTTAAATGTTTTATTCAATATTTCAAGTATTCTGAGGACAACAAAAAGTTGCCAAATGATAATGTACTATCTTGTCAAATTACGTCTTTGATATTACCTGATATACATTGCATTCAGAATGTTTAATTTCATATAATTTTATTATGTGTGTGAGTTGGACTTTGGTTGATGGTAACCTGACAACATTCCCCCTCCCCCTCCCCTGCTCCTCTCCATACACACATGCACACCTATGCTTTCCAAACCAGATTACTCACTGATATCTTCTCACAGAACGCTGCTGAGCACCACTAATTTCGAAAGTGTAAAAGTTCCCAATTGTTGTGACAATGTAATTTCTGAATTATTAAACTGAAAAGATAGGGTGGAAAAAATGCTGGCAAAATGTGCTACTGGACTCAAAGTGTTAATGATGGTGTTGCTTGGCTGTCCTCCTCCTTTGGGTTTGTTGCTCTCTGCCTCTCTTTTTTACACTTTAATTAAATCACCCGCCCATGCACACATGTCTATGGCGTAAATGGTGTTGGCTGTTCTCTTATCTCAGGCCTTTGCAATGTGTTTATCGTGGAAACTCATGGTTTGATGAAGATAAAAAATCTATTTGTCATGCAGCACTTACACACACACACACACACACACAAAGACTGTGATGCTCACCACACTGGTCCTCAGTGACACAGAATGCTGAGTCAGCTCGGTGCAGGATAGTGCCACTCTTACATACACACTCCTCCCGAATGGAGGAACAGGTGCTCTCCTCATAGTAATCTCTATTCTGACATGTCCTGGTCTTACATGTGTTCACACATGGCTTGTACTCTTTCCCAGGAGGACACTTCAAAGCTGCCACAAGCAAGAAAACACAGTAACACAGTAAGTAACTAAAAACACACACACTAAATAACAAAAATGTAGATATACACGTCACGTATACACTGCATTTAGAACTGTGAGTCTGTGTTCTGTTTTATTCTCATTGTAATATTGTTTTGTTGGTCTTTTATTTGACAAAAAAACCCTGAGTGCCCAAATGCTTTTCATTGCTGAGGTTTACGTTTCAGTTAGGTGTACAGTGGCCCCCAAAACAAACCATTTATCTACCATTTAACTGTAAACTTAAATCATGCTCTTTAGATTACTTCACAAAATTTTGACTAAAATGATATTTGTTTCACAGTATTCAAACAGTTCGCTCTTTGTGTGGAGAAAGAAGATGCTCAAACACCCCAGCCAACTTTTGAAAGGACACTTTGCCAAATTTATAGTCTTGGAAGGGTCTGTTAATAAATGCCACTTGGTTTGATTTCTCTCTTTCCTATCACAATAAACTTAATGCATTTTTAAGTATGACACAAATGTCCGAACACTTTTCAGGACCACTGTAAATGAAGGCACAGCGGTATAAGAAACCACTCACGGCAAAAGTTGTTTTTCCTCCAGCTGAAGCAGATTTGGTGAGTATAGCAGATGGCCACATAAGCAGCCAGAAAATCACACTCATGCTCCTTATAGTGAAGGTCACCTGCCCAGATCTTATCACAGAACTGCTCCGGTGAAACCTAAACAAGGTATCAATCGCACATTTCAACATGAGCTGCTACAAAAAGACAATGTATGTTTAAGTGTATGAAATACCTTGTGGTGACACTTGGAGAATGGCCTCTGGTTGAGCATTTGGAAACATTTAGTGCAGTTGCCTGTGGTGCAGTTGTCTCCAACTCGGCGGAAGTAATCCGTCTCCTCTGAAGTGTCCACCATCCAGCTGTGGAGAAATACAGGGATGTCCTCTACATCACGCATTACTGTCCCATTGGGCAGACGCAGGTCATCGGCAGGGTTTCCATCACAGCAGCCTAATATTGAAAAATTAGCATTATTCACAAGGAAGTACAGTCACAAATGTTATCACATATGTTATAATGCGTTTTACTGTTCTCCTCAAAATAAGTCAGTTTTAATATGTTGAGGTAATGAAAACTGACAAAGAAAACATATCCATTTATTAAAAACATTTTGAAGTTGCTAAATAGTGTATACACACAAATTACCCTTTCAGTAACAAACCACATTAATTACACATTTATATACACATATACATACAGTCATGTGAAGAAGTATGTCCCATAAAAAGTTTACTTTTTCAACATATGTGGAGATACAGATACCGAGTCTTCATTTAAAAGTGTTGATAGATAAAACTGATATAATTTAAAAGTTGTCACTTTTAACATTTTTGTCATCCTTTATACAACTCAAATAAACTGTAAGGCAATTTTCTTATGTGGAAAAGTACACCCTTACATATATTACTTCAAACGTGTAAAATTGAAATCAGGTCCAAGTGCTAATGATTAGAACACCATTACAGAATATCTTGGAGGAACCTGTTTTACTTAAACCTCAGATATCTGGTCTGGTTTGCTCTTTGTTTTTGGAGTGTATAGTATCAACATGCCTAGACAAAAAGAGTTCTATAAAGCCTTCAGAAAGAACGTTGTAGATACCTATTATTTTGGGATGGGGTTTAAGAAGATATCCAAAATATTGGAAATCAATCATTCCATTGTCCAGAAGATCATCTCCAAGCAAATTCAACCCACGGGCAGACCGTAAGATGCTAAAAGAAGTCTCTGAGAACCCCAAAATTTCATTACAGGATCTGCAGGTAACTCTTGCCAATGTTGATGTAAAAATACATGCATCTACCATTAGAAAAAGACTGCACAAATGCCAGAAGGAAGCTTTGCCATCTAAAAACATTGGTGCAAGACTAAAGTTTGCAAATGAATATCTACGCAAGGACCAGGACTTCTAGAACAATGTGCCATGAACAGACAAGTCAAAGATAAAGTTTTTTGGCCACAGCAGCAGAAGCCATGTTTGGTTAAAAACTAAAGACAGCATTTGATCAGAAGAACCTCCTACCATCTATTAAACAATGTGGTGGAAATGTTATGGTTTGGGGCTGCTTTGCTGCCTTAGGACCTGGCCAACTTGCAAATACAGAATCAACTATGAATTCTCCTTCATATTAGTTAGTGCTTAAAAAGAATGTGAGCCCCATCTGTAAAAAAAGTTGAAGCTGAAGTAGTGGACATTCTAACAGGATACAGATCCCAAACAAGTACCTGTACCAAGGAATGGCTCAAAAGGAAGAAATGAAAGATTATGGAATGGCCTAGTCAAAGCCAACATCTGAATCCCATTGAAATGCTTTGGGTGGGTTTGAAACGGGCTGTACACACAAGAAACCCCTCAAACATTGCAAAGTTGAAAGAACTCTGTATGGAGAAATGGGCAAAGATTTCTCAGAGTAGATGTCAGAAACTGGTAGACAGTTATAGGAAACACCTAATGTAAAACATACCATTTACCTATACATACTGTTCAACTGAAGGTCAAATACTGATATGTCCACATATGTCAAAAAAGGAGAAACATTTCAACATTATACAGACAGAAACATGTTTCTCTCTCTCCCTCCCTCCCTCCCTCCCTCACACACACACACACACACACTAACCACAGAGGCCTCTGGTAGAAGTGTTGTCAGGGGCTCCGTATTGAAGGACCATGATGCCGGTGCTGTGGTACCACTGTATGCTGATTCCACTAGGAGTATGGATGCTATACATGGTTCCTGTGTCATCAATCTGCAGATTCAGCCTAGTGAAGGGCAGCCGAGCAGTGATCTGGTTCACAGACACCTACATCCAGCCACACAATGCAACATTACAGGCCAATAGTCATAAATACATCACAAACAAAATTCTGTGCACTGTACACATATTTCAAGTTTGTGTACCTTGCGGTCAAAGCGATTGATCATGATCCTGTAGGCATGAGTGGTTATGTTCAACTTCTTAAAACATAAACCAGAAGTTCCACCTGTAGGAGTCTGTCGGAGAATGTGAAAGAGAAAGCAAGAAAGAGACAGAAGCAAAGAGGTGAACAAAATGAAAGAATGTTGATTATTGTTTTGATGAAAAGCGCACTATTCTCTCTGTCAGTAACATTCAGAATAGTGACTTGATGCTTGACAGTGAAAAAAACTTACGGGTCGTCTGATGTAGTTCACACTCTAAAACAGAGATTTGAAAAATAAATGAGTACTCAAGGTCAGAAAATAATACAGTTCTTGTGTAAATGTTGTGAGTATACTGATGTCAAAGTGAATGTTTGTTCACCTCACTGGTGGGGCATTTCTCAATGTGTCCAACAATGTTCTCTCTGGGTAGGTGGACCAGTATATAGGAGCCATTATCATACAGAGCAACATTATTCCCATCAAACGTGATCACACGCAGGTCTGAGATTATTGAGCAGCGACCTGAAAATGCATATACATCAGTACAGATTATCAATACCACTTTGGGGTCATTTGTACAATAATATAACTATCTGATTTGATTCTGGTGTACAGTGTGTGTGTCTTACAGGGACAACGCCACAGTGGGCAGCATGGGTCTGTGTTGATCTGTATGGGCATGCCCAGCAGGTTGCACTGAGGCTGGGTGATGTTGAATCTGCAGTGCTGCGAGGAGTTGTGCAGCATCAGCTGGCCGTTAAAGCAGATGTACTCACTGCACTCATCCACTCTCACAGAGTATGGAGGCTGAACGGGGAAAAAACATCCATAATGTCTCGCGCATCGTCTCATCTAAGAAGCTTATTCCCCTTTGTCCTTTGGGCGGAAGGCAGGATATATATATATATATATATATATATATATATATATATATATATATATAATATTTTCTATTGGAATTTAAGAAACATTACTCTCTGTGACAGGCTGTTTGTCTGCAAATTTACACCAGAGCTCATTTTGAACTGCACCACACCTCTCTAAACCCACCCTGCAGCCGTAACACTTCATTATTGACGTGGATATGCTGGCAGCAGCGCAAGAATGCCTCAAGCTACAAGGAGTTATTGGTAAGTCGCAGAAATGAGCTTTCACCACCTGTCTGGTTTAAAGATTTATAGTTACAGGCGTGCTTATGAGTATGTGTGTTAATGTTAGAGAAATTTGGTTATTACTATTGTTATTGTTATATACTGTTCAGTTTGGACACATCTTCCCAATTTTCACTATTTTTATTAGTTTTAGAATATAAGTAAAGATATAAAACTCTGGAATAATGCATATGAAATTACGTACTGACCATAGCATAGATATATATATCTTTCATGCTCCTCAAACTAGGGAGGGCTCTGCCTTGACACACTTTTGGCATTCTCTCAAGCAACCTCTTGAGGAGCCACCTAGGATGCTGAGCACTTAAAGTATTGTCTTTGGTTTTAATTGTTTTTAGGGTATGAAAAACATACATCCAATCAGCTGTGTCCTTTGACAGGTACAATATCTATACACATGTCCTGAAGTATCCAGACACCCCTTCAAGTTAGTGAAATGGATGAATAGGTGTCTACAAACATCTGGACATAATTACATGTTTATAATGTGCATATGTTTATAAGGATGACATGTGTAGGGAACAGTGCTCTCACCGTGCAGGGCCCAGTGGGCAGTAAGAATGGAGGGAGCACAGTTGTAATGCCAACCGTCTCCAGCGTGGGAGAGGGTGAGGGAGAGGTGGATGTGATCTCCGGGAGTGTTTCTGTTGTCATTACAGATGTGTAGTACTCCTCTGTCACTGTGGAGAGGGAAGTCGTCTCTGTGGTCATGGTAGTTGGGAGAGGAGTTGTTGTGGTAACCACAGGAGTGGTGGAAGGAGTTTCTGTTGTGGTTGTCTCCTCAAGTGTGGTCAGCATCTCTGTAGTTGTTGATGGAGTGGTTGTGGTGGTGGTAGGGAGTGTGGTAGGTTCTGGGGTGGTGGAGGCTGTGGTGGTGGGAGTGGTTGTGGTAACCAGAGTGGACTCTGTAGTTGGAGGAGAGGAAGTTATGGCAGGTGTAGTGAAGGAGGGTGAGGGAGAGGATGTGCTAGGTGATGTAACAGGCTCTGTGGGAAGTGTACTGGGAGCTACAGATTCTGTTGTGCTGGTAGTCCTTTGTGTAGTAGGAGGTGTAGTAGGAGCAGTAGTGGTCGTTCTGAGAGTAGTAGAAGTAGTTGTAGTTGTTGTGGTAGTAGTGGTTGTGGTAGTTGTAGTCGTAGTTGTCGGAACTGTTGTGGTAGAAACTGTGGTTGTCCTGTTGGAGCGGGTCACAAACATGTATGGTGTAGGAGTTGGTGGGAGCGTCACACCTGCAGAGGAAAACATTTCAAAAACATCTTAACAAAAAGCCATTGGACAAAAGATGGCCTTTCCTTGATGAAATTACTAGAGATCAAGTATTCCATCCGTGGCATTGACAGGAAGTTAATCAAAACACTGCCATTCTCAGAGCATGTAAAAATCATCTAGACTGATTTCTCCGTCCTTGATTTCACTACATAAAAGATGAACAAGTCTTACTTTATTTCTGGATGCACTGTGATTTTTTTTGATGATAAAATGCACAACTGAAATGTTACTTATATTCCTATTCATGCATTTTCCTGTTCATAAAGGCAGTTTGTCACACAAACTAAACAAAAATCTATGAATTTTCAGCTTTGTTAGATTAAGCTCTTTGCTGTTTTGCCATAAACGCAACAATAGCATTGAGAAATCACAGACTGACAAAAAAGAAATAGCCACATTTTTGCATCATTCATAAAGGGATAAACATAAATGTGAAGGTGATGATGGTTAAAGTGATGAAGAAGCAGAGTAGTTCAAACTTACAGTCTTCTCGATAGACACACCTCCTGGTGACTTCGTCTAGCACCATGCTCTTGGGACAGCGAGGAAAACAGCCCTCTACACTGCACACAAAAGTAAAGGAGTTTCAGACAGCAGAAGTATTCACTGTTATTTTAACAATGTGCTTTGAGAATGGAGGCTCTGAATCCATAAGCATGTTAAATGCCAAATCTTACGGAGGGAGGAAATGGCATCGTGTAGCAGTGGGGTCGCTGCATGTTTTCACACATGGGCTAGAACACGCATGGTACTTCCACTCACACATCAAACGATACGGGATCACAAAACTGCTCTCTGAAACATGAGCAAAACATGTACACTAAAACTAACCAAAGTACACACACCAAATATTTGATTAATGAAACTGTGGCAGAGAAGGTATACAGATGCTTGGACCTGTTATCATTGGAGCTGGTAACTTCTGTGGTTCAAAGGTGGTAGCACCCACATTTGGTGACATTTACCTTTTTTTCTATTTATATTTTCTATTTATTTTTAATTTTGCAAATGCAGAAGCATAGTAAAGGCACATTTCAGTAGAGAGCTGTTCAGATTGATAAGGAAAAATGACATATATCTCATTCATTTTTTTTGTTGTGATGTCAGCACTCAACACATTTAAATCCTTTAGGTGTTTAAATTAATGTTTAGGCAAAACTATTAATACCAAATCATGTCTTATGTGTGTGTTCATATGCCCAAAGAATTGGTAAATATTTGTAAAATACATCATTTTTTCGTAACTGAAAAGTGATAAATTCAAAAAGGTATCCTCAAACTTTTGACGGTAGTGTATGGTGTGAGAGATTATGAGAACTTTCTTACCCTCAATGGTAAAACTGCTGCTGGCCTTGAAGGAGTGTGAGCTGTCGTAGCTCTGTGCACGTGCATGTGTGTGTGTGAGCGTGAGGAAGACGCCCTTCTGACTATGGAGCTCAAAGGAGGATCGCCCTGGCAACCACAAGCCCTGGTGATGAATGAAGGTTGCCTGGCGACGAAAGTCCTCCCCAGGTCTCCACCGCTCCAGCCGCACTGCCCGATTTGCCATAACACACAGGAAGTAGTTTGGGCGCTCAGCAGACTCCAGTGAGACAGTGGGGAGTCCTAAACACACAATAGCAGGCTAACCAAAAGGTCTCCAATGCCACTGCATTCCAGCTTCCAAAACACCACCACCAAAGAAAAACATTTCATATTATAAACTAAATGCCAAAAGACATTTTAGGTTGAGATTTCAAACTTAGATCTGTTTTCAGAATTTAATTACTTGGGATAAAAAGTTATTAAATGATAAATCATATACTGAAATTGTCTATTTACAATAACATGTCTGGTTCTCAGCTTGAGATTCCATCGCCACTTTTGAAATATGATGCATACACTCTTGATGCTATATAGCTTTCTCAGCCGTTTATCAAGTACCATATTCATTTTCGTTTTCTACAGGGGAGACAAATTTCTTATTTTAGTTTTTGCAGCTTGCTAGCTTCTTACCAATTGTTTTAAACATGTAAATGTTGCATAGAAGTAGGATGTTAGAATCACTTTATGCAACCAAATTGGTTTAATATTATTGAAAATGGTGATTCCAAACTTTTGAAAAGTTTCAATCAAGCATGTGTATATGTGTGTGTGTGCTCTCACGTGAAGCTCTGTCTCTATAGAGTCCGCTGGTAATCATGAAGTTGAAGATGGTAGTGGGCCGGGCATTGGTCCTCAGCAAAGGAAAAACCTCTCCACTACTGACATTCGCTCCAAAGACACACACTGAGTCATTCAGCTCAATAGTGGTCAAAGTGAATGGACCATCACCCAGCTCTAAATACATGCACATTCAAACATGTACACAAAACAATAATTACCTGTAGGAGTGAGTATTCAGATATACATACATCTATACATACATTTATGTAATACGAGTCAATAAATATTTAGCAGAAGGTGGGTAGCACATACCTTGATTGTAGTATTCACAGTCATATGCTGCAAGAGAAATAAAACATATCAAAATGTGTGGCTGTGTCTAGAGTGTGGTATGTTGTGTTCTGTGTGTTTGGTAGTGGCGTGATAGTGCCCTGTTTCAGTGACAAATTGAACTGGCTGTAATGGTAGACAGTGAGAGGAGGTCAACAGGTCACCCAGATCATCATTCCATTGTTTGTGAGCTGGTGTGTGTGCTTACGACAGACAGTAGGGGATCTCCATTGTATCGTGACACCGTGCTGACAGCACTTGTGTGCATATGCAGCAATGCTAGTGCACAAGCACTCACAGTCCCCTCCACGGTTGCAGTTGCAAGTGTCTGTCAGGCAGTTTTTATAGAACCAGGTTACATCCACCTGGGGGTCAACAGAAGATTAACCACATCAGTGAGCACAGCACAATAGAGCTAGGTCAGAACACTTAATGCCCGATAAGCTTGATTTATACCCCCATTTATTCCATGCCAGTCATCATTACAAACAGAACTAATTTTACTTAAACACTGACAATGGAATATAAATACAAATATACATGCCGACATAAGGATATGACTTTTTTTGTCAATTACAAATCTGTGAAATTAGTATAAGACATGCTTCTGTTCAGTTTTCTTGTGCAACCACATCCCCTGCTGGCCACATGGTAGAGTGCTGCCAAGCATTCTCTCATTGCAGAGGAATCTTAGCCTCAGTTTCACTGCTATCAATTGGTGCATCATCAACAGATGTGTGTGTGTTTGTGGTGAAAATAGTGTGTGTGGCTGTGGGTAAGTGGTGCCCTTTTCTTTAGGGTACAGAATGCAATGTTGAACTCCTGAGGGATGCACTTACCACATTGTGGCATGGAGCGAAAACGTCACTGTAGAGGAGTCCACATTCTCGCTTAGCATACGGCTGTCTGCTCAAGTCTCCTTCACAGGGCCTGCGTACCACAAAATCACTCTCACACTACACACAACACATACACACAAACACAAAAATAAACAAGGATGCTTTAGTTTTGTTCAGTTAAAATAGTTAAAAATGATTTGTACCATGGGCTATGGATGGAACACAATCATCTACAAATTAAATAACAAATGTAACTCATCCAGTATCTAACTGTCCAAGATTATGCATGTATAACTGCTTTTATAACAGATAGTTCCGTCTCTTATTACCCCAGCTGCTTCTTACTGTCTTGTAGCATGTCCTAGAGTCTCATATACCTGGCCTAGCGCCCAGCTGTCTCCGAAGGCCTGAGCGTTGCTGACCTCCATGTGCCCTGCTGTGGTCATGTCATTCACTGTCACCATGTCAAAGTTTCCACACATGCCACTGAACTGTCCCTGAGAACAAACACACATAACAAGGGCAAGGGTTCAGCCTCATTTCTTGTGTGTTGAAAAGTGACATATTTGCAAGTCACTGAAAATTCGGGGCATCCAAGGTGAGGTTTGAGCTCCAACCTTCCATCGTGGTCCAGCACGAATGTGGATTGTTGTTTTGCGGTCCCAGAGCACAGTCAAGTCCTGGTTGGGAAAATGGACCACAGTGTAGTAGCCTGCCCCCCACAACTCAAACTCATACCCTCTTCCCACCACAGTGGAGGAGCTCTGAAAATCCACCACAAACACAACTCAGTGAACATCATACACACTTCACATCTCTAACACAGCACACACCATTGCTGACAAAAAAAATAAAACTACCAAGATTCCCAAAGAGTTATAATGGTCATGGTATTACAAAAGACAAATGCCATCCTGTCATCCCTGAGACAATAAAAGCAGTGTACAGTTTAATCCGTATTGGGAAGCTTCAGGCATGACAAAGTTCAGTGCTTTAAATTAACACTTAATGTCTGTAGACTATATAATCATAAAATCATGAACCATGCCTGCCATAAATACAGAAACGATTAATGCAGAAACGTTTTTCATTCGGCCTATAAGCATTTGCTCATCATATTTCCACCACTAGCATAATGCCAATTTCTGTTAGCACATCAGAGAGATTTCTAATGTAATGTTAGCATCAAGCAAGCAACTACACATAGTCACATGTGGTAGCATGGTCTAGCTCAGTGGTTCAAAAACTGTGGTACGCGTACTCCAAATGTTGGGGGTATGTAAAAATTCTGGTGCGTGACGTTTACACCCATTTAATCTTCATTTCAACACATTAACCAGCCATGCCACACACACAAACAGCTCTGCACTTCACTCACCAACTCCTGATCAAGAGAACATGTGAGATTTATGGATAGTGACTCTGGCGTATATAAATGAGTGATGAGTAAACGGGATATTTATATCATCTAGTACATAACCAACCCATGCTCTTTATTTATTCTTTGCATAAAAAGAAGCATTGGAAAAGAGGGTGTTTGCATGCCTTCATACAGACCACTGTGTACTTGCGAATAACATTTTAATTCAGTATTATTCAGTATATCTGCTTTGAAGTGTTATCACATCATAAACATGTTTGACAATTTAAGGGGCAATGATTTTATATGGTTAAATGTCTTACATATGCCTCATGCTAAAATGTGCATGTGTATGTATGAGAATCAAGAAAGGGTATGGCAGTAAGTGGTCCGGTGTCTGAAGGGGAGGGGACTGTAAAAAGTTTGGGAACCACTGGTCTAGCTTAAACATGGACAACTAAAGCTTGAAACAGATATTCAAGTAACAACTTTTCATTGATTTGTATGTTTTACAGTCTTTCCTTCGGTAAACATTTAAACTTAGTCTGGTTCAGTATGGTAGTACTGTTTTGTCCCATGAAAATGATTATAGCTAATCATTATTAAAATTTAAATGTAATTTCTGATCTCCATTACAATAGACATTTTATCTTTCAAGTTATGCTTTAAATATTACATACTTAGTTGTAAAATACACATCCTCTCATAATTAATCTGAAGCCCTGTTACAGCTGTTAAAGATAGTTTTTGTGAAAATCAAATGTACTCAATTTTCCCCTACACCAAATATAGTTGATCAGCCAAGACATGTTTTGTTTTCTTTTCTTTTGTGCTGGGTTGCAAGGCTAATGCAGCAAACAAGTAATACAGCATCATGTAAATTAAATAATCACACACTTGCTCTAACAACTAAAAGTAAACTATACTGAGCTGTTACATGATACAAATAGACTTGCTTATGTGTTTGTGACACTGTATCATGCACTGTTATATATAAAAATAGACAACAGTATGGACAAAATTCAGATTCCATGAAACTTTTGGCACTGCAATATAATTTTACTCATTTTTATAAGTAATAGTATATTATGCCTTCATGTCATTTTCATGTAGATAATCAAAGCAGGACTCACTGGTTTGCCTGAGTTATCACTGAAGTATAGTTTAGTGAGGCCAACATAGATGAGCAGGTTCTTCATACAGACTATTCCACTTTCATAGCAGTCTTTATTCTGTGCCGTAATGGAAATCTCTGTGTCACCAACACTCTAGATGCAGAAAAACAGAAAACAGTTCAAAGCTTTTTGAAATAGTTTTGATGAAATCATTCTTCATATTGAATGCACAAGTTAGCATCTTGAGGATGGTACACCAAACAATCTCAAAGTATGTGTGTGTACATGGTCTTTTAGTAACAGTTGAGGACTGTGTCCCTTGAGTAGATCAGTGGACTCCTCAGAGACTTAGTGCCCTTTAATAGACACCAAAGTCCATTCACTAACACTCCCCCAACACACACAGACAGACAGACACACACAGACACACACACAAGGCAGTAGCAGGTTGCAGTGCGTAGGCTGATTAGGAACAGATTGCTCTTTGTTAACTGAGGGCCTAGGCTGAGTCTGTGCGCTGTGTTAGTGTGCAGAGTTTGACATTCACCACGGCTCTGTTACAGCAATCCCGTTCTAATTAAAAATCCTCTCTGATTTTCCCAAGATTAGGAGCAGTGGGAGCCGGTCCTTTCCTGCTACTCTATCCAACCTGACAGAGAGCCGCCCAGTGAACTCACTCACTCACACACTAACACACACACACACACACACACACACACACACACTCACACCTTCTTAGCCTCTTTGTTGTTCTGAAAACGTTTTGGCAAGTTTAAAGGTGTGCCATTGTGGATGTGATAAAACATTCCATTTGTAGAAGTTGTTAAGCTCCTTACTACTATGTTTGTAATAAATCCGATTTACTCACAAATGGTCAACAATGGGTAACACTCACTGACAATTGTTCCTGATCACTGAACCTCTCTCACTCGCTAACACTCACACACACACGCATACATTTAGCAATACCTTTACTAAGTAGACCTGGCAGTCACTGACATAGTCATATTCCAGGCCATCAAAAGTGTGATAATGACGGTCGCTGTAGATGGTGCACACGGCCGGACAGGGAAAATATGTGCAGTTAAAGAACCCACGATGGCACACACTGTGGGTATAAATACACACCAAAAACGAATGAACAAACACTCAAGATGTAATAGTCACTAGACAAAAAAATGACTTTAACACACTGACCAATGGTAGCAAGGCGTGTCCACTGTCTCTCCAGGAAGATACTCCAAACCTAGCCAGGCACATGGGCAGTTTTCTGGATAATAGCAGTCTCCATTATGACCAACCAAGCTGCACAATTAAAAAAAACATATATGACATGTTTAACAATTTTTATTCTGTACTATATGATGTTGAGCAGTCCAGATGTGTCGCATCTCTCTTTACAGACAGAGATAAAGGGAGAGTACCCTGCAGGACATCCACAGCCTGGTACACAGGGGGTCATCGGAGGACAGGTGAGATTCAACATCAGGTTTCTACAGGTTAGCTCACAGGCCACGCCCACACCAGTTGGCCCTGCCCCAAGCTGGCCCCTGCAGTTGTAGTAAACTTTACCATTGGGGCAATCACCTCTCTCAGGCTCTGAAGGGAAGAGTGCAGAAGTGAATAAGAGAATGAAAAAAATGAAAGCACCACAATAATTAAAAAAACAATGAAGACATGAATGGGTTGGCAATAAACAGCATATTGCAATTTACAGTAGTTTGTGCAATGGACCTGGCAAATGAATGACATGGGTTGTAGAATGTAAAAAGCAGCATTTCAGTCTACATATACACTTTATGTCCAAAGGTTTGCAGAGACCAGAGTTCATACAGGTGTTTTAACTTGTTTAATCTTCACAGAAAAGCACTATCAGTAAAATGGGACACTCTCAAGTAGTCACACATGAGTAATGACCAATACCAAACACCAGCTAGGGTGGTATAAAACCCCTCAGCATTGGGCTGTAAATCGGTAGACTTGAGATCTGTGGAGTGATGGAGCACCATCCAATATCTCTTGGGGGTGAACTGGAGTGCCGTTTCCAGATTCAGAACTATTCGTCCAGCATGCTCTTGTGGCTGAATGAAAACAATCCTCACAGCAATGTTCAAACATTTGGAGTAAAGCTTTCCAATAGTTGAGGGTGCTACTGTAGCAAAGGGAGACTCCCTATTAATAACCTTGATTTCAGAAAACACATTAGATGAGCAGACGTCTGCAAACTTTTAGACACATAATGTATTATAATACAAAAATGGCAGAATATGAAAAACAGATTTATCAATTATATTACTTATCAGATAGTAATCACAAGTATTAGCATACCGCTGTTGTCGGAACAAAAACTTGTATCTCCAAAATGATAACTTTACAGGAGAAGGAAAAAAAACCTCTTTACTTTTAATATGTCAGTGGAACCAGACTTTTTTCCAAGTAATCTTTGGCCGTTTCTGTTGGTCCATTCATCATGAAATTTACAGACAATGTAAAGGACAACAAGCATTTTCAAATTATGTCAGAAACAAGAAAACAGAAACAGAAAACAGAAAAACAACAAAAACAGATACAAGGTTTTGTTCCGACAGCAGCGATATATTTAATCAAGAAGAAAAGACCCTTGCCAGCAACTTGAATGGCCAGGTGCTGAATGAGCTCTTTTTCCAAATCATCTCAGGAACAGCATGGTAAAAGCCTTTCATTTAGCTCTCTCTCACTCTCTCAATTTGTAGATATTACTGTTTACCACTGATACACGGCGACAAGCTAGCAAGTTTAAATCATTACACTCACCGCATTAGCTTGAGTCTGCAGACTGGACTGCTTTAAAGACAGTTCAGAACAAGCTGAAAAAATTAAAAATAAAAACCTCAGTTCAAAAAAAGAAGATGGTGACAGTTTATGATTTACCTCTTTCTTCTGGCACACACTCCATACGGGCATTTCTGCAGAGGCTGGAAAAAAATCACATGCAACATTTCAGCATCATGTAGAGATCCCTGATAGACTGCCTTACCAGTGCCTGCACACCACACTATTAAAAAAAAAACACTGTGCATTAGCCAGTACAAGCGTACAAATGTCACAATAGTCATTACTCCGCTGCGTTAATACAGCTTTAATTACAACATTGAGGCAAATTATCTATAGATTATTATTTCTTTGAAAGACATAGATTTGCATTACATACAGTATTGTTCAAACGTTTGGAATCAATCACTTAAACATTTTTGTTAATTTTATCTACCACTTAAATATGATATTTTTTCAGAATCATCTAAAGCTTTGCTCATATTCTGGACACGTCCAAACTTTTTAAATTATTTACAGCTTATTATTTGAAATTATTTGAATTATTTGAAATCTATGAAGCTGCATAGTACCAAAACCACATCAAAATAAAAATTATATGTATCTGCAATCAAATTGGTAAACATATATTTTCATTTCAGAAATTCAAGATTAACATTTATTTAAAAATAAAAACAACATGATATTCATGCACAGAAAGAGGAGGCGGATTCTGCAGAGGAATTCGGCACAACACCTGCTGTCTAAAATGGCTGCCCCCAGCACTCAGCTACACAGTGAAGTTTTGTTTAATTTTTGTTAGTTCACAGTAAGTCATACTGTGTCCTAAACCACATCAACCGGGTCTGCTTGACCTTAATGAAGACTTGGAGTTGACAGATGTTTTAGAGATGTATCTATGGAAAAGATTTGCGTGACTGCTGACTTCTAGTGTTTGTTAGCAATGTTAGCCAGCATAAAACTAAGGAAGCAAAATTTGTAACTGAAAAGTGGAAAATCATAAATTTGATTTTCACTGCACTATTCCTTTATAACTCTATGTAATGTTTCTGCCCTGAAAAAATAAACATTGTGCTTTAGTAAAAGGACCATTTTGGTGTTTTATCCTGAAAATGTATGAGAGCAACACACACACACACCCACCAAGGCCCAGAGGAGCTGAAGGAGACTTCTCCTGGCTGGAACACTGAGCCCATGAAGTAACAATGGCACTGAGAACTAGGAAAGAAAATGGCATGTGACTTTCTGACGTACACAATCCAAATGTTTGGGTATTTTTTACTTTTTAAACACATTAGCATGTGAGCATGTGCCATGTATGTGTCATTTTCAGTTTAGCTGTTTACCCATTTGATAACAAATTGTAGAAAGCTTAACTATAACATCAAGTAAACACCACTGTTTAAAACCTGAACCACAGTGTGATTATTTTTTTGAAGATAAGAGTTCTCTTCTTTCCAGTGATGTTTACAGTTTACAGATCAACTAAAAACAATGAGGTTTAAAAAGTGTTGGAGAAAGCTGTGTAAAACCTAAACATAAAATCCAGTGAACTAAATGAATGTACCTATTTGGTCATATAAATGCAGGTAATGGGGCTTACAGTGGTACACAACGCTGTCTTGCATGATCATAGAACATTCCATCCATACAGCCACATCCTTCAGCACAGTCCCGATCACACACCTCCCCAATGCTCACTGAATGGCACGTTCTCCCACACGACGATGTGCAAGGGTGGTACATCATTCCTCCCAAACACACCATGCCTACACACACACAAAAGTACAGATAGTGGTGAATGATGCTTGCTGCTACAACTTAACAATACTTGCATGGTTGAATTGCTGGACAGTGGAAGAAATTAACAAACCACAGTCAGAGACATGTGCTCTGAAGTTGATGATGACATGGTGTTTGGAGCAGATGTAGGCATAGTGGGCCAGCACAGTACACAGGCAACCACTTCCACAGCGGCATGCTTGGTAGCGGCACTGCTGGTGGTACATGCTGGGACTCACGTATGCATGGCACTGAGCAAAGACCTCTCCAGTCAGAACATCACAAATGAGGCGTAGAATGCTGCAACAAAACAGTCCACACCGTACCTGTACATAACTTTGACTATGACAATGCTACAATACAACAAATATATGCTACAAAAATATACAATTTCTTCTGAAATATAAAGCCAATTTCTGGACAGATGAGTAACAAACTAAAAGAAAAACCAACATAAAGTATCTTAGAAACATGTTGGACTATTACAGGCCACTGGAGAAATGGATCATTCATCCAAAAGACATTCCCTCAACTGGTGTTTTGATAGTGGTGGGGAGTGCTGTCTAATATGTTTGTCCAAAATCTCTCGAAGGTGTTAAGTTGGGCTGAGATCTGGTGACTGTGAAGGCAATAACCTATGATTTACCTAATTTTCATACTCATCAAACCACTCAGTGAGCACTCTCATCAGGATACAAAAGCTTCATCATAGGATCAAGGTAATCTGTCAAAATAACAGTACTAATTTGCAGTGACCTTTCCCTCTAAGGAGACAAATGGACTCCAACCATGCCAGCAAAAGCTACCCCAGAGTACAAAAGAGTCACTGGACCCCCTCACTGTAGCAGTCAAGCAATCAGGCCTGTACATGCCACAAAGCATGGCAGAATGTTAACTGGTTAATGATATCATGCAGTATACACCTAGTACGTGCCTAGAAGCACATCATCATCATCATCATCATCGTTAACCGCTTAGTCCAGATAGGGTCGCGGTCCTAGAAGCATCTGCACTTGTAAATGTTTCCTCAATAATTTATTTAGGTTTTCCTTTAATTTGCCACCTTTTGTATATAAAGAACAGTCTGAAAGAATTTGGGCACTGACACATTTTTTGTTGTTTCAGCACAAGAAGTTTCTGAATTTTGCAATTGCTATCTGGCCTCTCAATCTCTTTCTCTTGACACCTGTGTTTGTGTGCAGGGCAGGCTATGCTTACGACCACATTCTCACATTTTTGGTGTTTTTCTTTAGACCAGGGGTGCACAGTTCTGGTTCTGCAGGGCTGGTGTCCAGCATAGTTTGGTGATTTACCTGCTTAAACACACCAGTTTCCACTCATTCATTAATTGTCAGGTTTAGTGGGTGTGTTTGAGTAGGTAAACTACCAAAGTGTGCTGGACACAGGCCCTCCAAGACCGCAGTTGTGCACCCCTGGTCTAGACGCAAAACTAACGGCAGAGAGAACTAAGTGATCAAAATTGTAGTTATCTTTTAGTCGAGGTGATGATAATCATTGGGGTGCTGTGTTCATCTCCATGACAACAGTACACAGCCACATCAACGAAAAACATGTCACTGCCCATGGACTAGACTGTATAAATAGTCATCAACAACTTATGGCACATGTAAACGATACTCATAATTTTGGCCTATTATTTAGCACTAGGGTCCATATCTGTGATATATAATATATATATATATATATATTGCTTTCTTGTTAGAATAGTTAGTGTGAGAAGGTATACGATGTACAAGTATAAGGTTTAACATGCGTACTGTTCTGTTGGTTCATCTCACAGGGGTCAATGATAGGGATGTTAACAGGGCTGATGCATGCTGAAGACACTTTCCACGCATTAGCATGCAGCTGTGGTGTCCCTTCTATCATACCAGCGGGGGATCTGCAGAGAACACAACTCATTCACCAAGGCTCAGAGTATTAATGGATTAATAGATTTTAATAAACCTTTGGACAGAATTTAGTGCACTACATCACTGACTGCATCTTGTAGATAAATGTGCTATGAATATACTATTTTGTGCTTTATACATATTATTTGTTTTATTTATTTCATTTGAATCACTGTGATGTTGACAGAACTACAGTGACAATGTAAATGTTAATCAGAAAACATAAGGCATTTCTGAGTGAAATGGAGGGTCTCTGAGCTAGCTGAGTGTTTTTTCTCAATGATAGAGTGGTCAGAGGCAGAGGTGAAAGATAACGGTATTGGTCAATTTTATTTTTCATTGCCCACTGGTGCACCATGATGTAGCCAAAAATCTGAAGACATTTTAGAGGCAGGCAAAAATCATTACACTTTGATTGAAGTTTATGGGAAATCAAGAATTTTATGTTTTAAATTACAAGATATAATGAATAATGCTTAATATGGAAATGAACTAACAAGGGAAAAAAGTCAATTTGCAATAAAGTTGAGATAAAAAAAAGAGTAGCTCAAAAGGGCAGAGTAACTTACAGAAAGTCATCTCGCAGGTTGCCATTGAGAGTTCCACAGAGGCCAAGGGTGGAGCCTCTCCAGGTGCTATCCAGTTGCAGGTAGATCCGTCCACCCCGCCAGTCATAATGCAGCCTCAGGCCAAAGGCAGAACGCAGGCCCACAAACACAGACGTCAGCCTGCGCACATCCACCATATCTGACAAACACAAAAACATTCCAACAAACGACAGAAACATCCATATAGTTTATGGAATAGTGGGCCATAGGTAGGCAGTCAGTGCAGCCCATGCTGACTGAGCAAAATAAAAATTTGAACAACATTTTAGGACTTTTGAGCCATGGCCAATCACTGCATCTTTTCCATGGCCAATCAATGAACCATATCCACTTACGGCAACTCTTTGAACTGCCACTTACGCAACACTTTATGACTGATAAATGCACTTGGAAGAAAGTGCTAATCTTTCTAATTCTACACACACATCCTAAAAGACTAGCTTTGTAAATTTACCAGGGACAGAGGACTTAACCAACCAAACCTGGCCAACTGTACTCTTGTAGATAACTGGCAATTGTATTAAAATGTTGTACTTGAATGAAAGTAGAGACACACTTGGCCTTTTTTAAATCTTGTAAAAGTAAAAATCTATACATATTTCTACTTCCATTAATGCTTAAAATCACTTTATTTTAAACACACAACACATATTTGTCATATAACACAACTTTAACGCACAATACTTTTACTTTCTATACCCAAGTTTTTACCTTTACCTTTTTACCTAAATTTAAAAGCATTTTAACAAAAGTAGACATATAAATACAGTGTCTACTAAGAGTACACTAAGGATATCCCTACATTCACCCAAGTACAACAATTTTATACTAGCCAGTTGTGCTAGTCAGGACAGTATTATTGGTTATTTTTAAAAGCCTCTGTTGTTGGGCCTGACACAATGACTTTAATAGTTTATACATTTTCAAATGACAGTATTTCCCAAGCAAATACTATTGTCTTCTGAAATCTAACAGTTGCTACAGCTGCAAAACTTTGAAACCCATCCGATCTTACCATCTGTGTAAGGTAAGTTGACAGCCATGCTAGCTCCAATGATGACTTCCCCTTCTCTGGTGAGAGTGACTTGCCTGCTGACATCCTCTTCTGCCACTAGACTCACTGAGTGACAACAGGAATGTTCCTGAGACTGAGCAACACAAATAACAAAATAAAACTTAACACATGTATACACAAATGAACACACACACAAACATAACCACACACACTGGCACAACAAAGGGAAAGTTACTGACAACACATTTACCGCAATGATATCTTCATTTGAACAGATGTTTTCATTTAAACAGGTTAAATCTTTATTTGCTTTTACTTTTACTTAAAATGTACTGACATTTTTTGGATTCATGCTACACCTTTAATTGTTTTTTTCATGAAAGTTCTTTGCCTTTTCAAAGACACAAGCAGACAGCACAGCTTAGAGTTCTAGCTAGATACTTCATTATTTAAAACAGTTCCCCCCAAACAAAGGCCACTGGATTTGTGGTGCTTCATGTTTTTACAGTGGTGCGACTGTATCCCTTGGTAATTATATTTTGTTGCTGTAGTGTAAGTGTTGATTTGATTTTTCTCTGTTTTGTTCCAAGTTGTTTCCTGCAATCTATGAAATATCTTATGCAATATCAACTAGCCTCTCACTGAATGAGAATGAACACACACACACACACACACACACACACACACACATTGTCTTACCTCCCCGCAAGCTGCATACTGCAGTGTGACAGCAAACTTGTTGCTGCCACGGCTTTTCACTAGTACATACTGACATGTGCCTGTAAGCATGAAGATGCGTCCATCAAACGTAGTCACGTGTGTGTCACCCACCACCGTGCACTCCGCTGAAGATCAAACACACACAGTTAACCAAGGAGGTCATTATGAGCACATTTATGCCAAAAGCTCCACAAAACACCAACTGGCTTTGGTACAAATGAATACAGACATTCACACAGCAACATATAATAAAAAATTAAGGGGATTATATAATGAGAAAAAATACAAAGTTTTACCAGTGCAGTTGTTTTCAGTGCAGTTCCACACTCCTCCCATGCAGACGCTGAAAACAAAATGAACATCATGAGAGACTGAGACACAGTGACACAGGGGTTTATTTCTTCATCTCAGTAAAAAATTAATGTCAATGAATGTGCTTGTTAAACAATGCTAATTTTCAGTTAAGTATTTAAGTGTAACGTCTTTCGCATTAAGGTTAAGTCTTATTGATAAAATGGAAATGTTCACATTCCTAAAGACTGAAATTCCCATTTAAGGCTAGGGATCTCACAAAATGCAGTATTCAAGGCTATGCCTGAGAAATTGTTAAGTCTTGTACTTCAAGACTTTTGTGTGTTTAGTGTTTCAATGTTTAATCTCTCTAGATCAAAATGGGCTTAATTATTAAGGATAGGCTTAACGTAGCTATTAATTAAAGTCTCTTAGCATCCTCACCAGATAGTGCAGCCCTGCTCCAGAACATGACCCAAAGGATAGGCCGTGCCATGATACACACATGGACACTGAGACACTGCTATACAAGTACCATTCTGTAGAATCAGCCCTGAAATGAAAAGGGGAGGAGAGAGGAAATTAAGAATGCTGTCAATGAGCAGAAATTTTACATTTTTAAGACAACTTTGCTGGGTTGTGTGTTTGTGTAATACTAAGGGGGATAGTACTGTGATAGAATGCCACAGCACAAGGCTCACCATCAGGGCAGTAGCAGCCATCCAGACAGTGCAGGTTCGTGCCTAGGCACTCTTTTTCAAACGTGCAAGTAGGGGGGCAGCAGCTGATACAGTCTCTATGGACAAAGCTATCCTCACATTCGTCCGCTATAATATGATATACCAAAATTCAATGTAAAGTGCATACTAGAGTGCAGAAAGTAATGTTACATCATACAAGTAACTGTTATTTAACTTTGCATTCCACAGTTACTTGCACTGAAATTTGCTATCTACAGTTACGTGAGACTGGTTAAGCAAGTTAGCCAAGCTAGACTCACCACAGGTAGGAAAGCTGTCTCTCCATTCCCGGACTGGGTAGCCAACATGGGAGCAAGCTCTGGCGTATTCAACCAGTGTTCGACAAAATGTCTCCGTATCATCTGAGCTGATAAAACAGTAAGATTTAGAGATAGTAGTGTGTTTGCAGGCATCCTCAATTCATTGAAAATGAATACTGTGCAGGCTTTGTTGATGCCTGTCAAATTAAAACTTGCACTGATGACAAAACAAATGTAAAAGCACCCGCAAACACCCTTGGCTATAAATTACAAAGTTAACCTACAGCTTAAGCAATTACACCATAATCAGTGTAGCCAAAAGCAATCAAATACAGTTTAAATGTAAAAGGTAGTCAGCACACAAAGCGAAAGGAATATCATATTGCTCAACTCAGAGTGCTTCTGGAATCTAAGCCTCTCCCTGCCATCTCACTCAGCAGTTGAGCCTGAACCTCCTCATAACCCCAGCAGCGATGTCATCACTTTAATCAATCTAATCCAATCTAATTCCCCCACCCAAACACACAAACAGACCCACACAAGCACACACACAGTACTCTCACCCTGTTAGTAATTTCAAAACTTTAATTAGCATAATCCTGTTGTAATTGCATAGTGTGGAATGTTAGGGTCTAAAGCAAAAACAGTAAACTGAGTGAGAGAGAGAGAGAGAGAAAGTGACAGAGTGAGAGAGAGAAAAAGACACAGAGAGCGAGACAGAGAGACACAGAGAGACTGAGACAGTCGGAGAATCTAACTCTGTGGGACAGTACAATCAGCTTTGAGTTATTTAGCGTATGCCAACTTCGACAAACAGGTTATTTGTAATGCCAAACTCACATACACACATGTACTCACTCATTTTACTTACACACATAGGTCTGAGACACAGCTGGCAACAAATGGATTGGGATCAATGTTCTCATGGCAGGAGACGAAAGGAAAGAAGAGCAAAGCGCTACACTTCTCAATGGCATCCTGTGACATAAAATAGTTTTTAAACATGCAACACCTAAATAACTGTAGGTAAACAGACATGCTCAAATCCACATCTAGCAAATCATCTATACTTTAAAACTGCTGTAAACTATCTCCTGGGTTACAATAACATTCTAATGCCTATACTGTCCTCAGAACTATTAGGCCTAGACATACATCCATAGCTGACTCAGATGAACATGGTCCAGGGAAGTCGTCATCTACAGCAGGACAGGGACGTTCATGAGGCAGGTGCACAGCCCAGCTGTTGCCAAACCCAGCAACGTCTTCAGAGTTTACGCCTAAAAAGAACAACACAGAGCACAGGAATATTTTGCCTCTTCATCAATTACAGCTTAACCTAACAGCTTTATTTCATTTAAGGTGAAAGAGAGAGAATATGCTTAATTTCACAGCATGTCACAGTCGCCATGAAAATAAATTATGCTATAAAAATAGATTTTACAATTCACCACAGATTCTGCACCTGGAAACAACTACACTGACCACAAACATATTGCATTGCTGAAATGTTTGAATTCTCTCTTACATCTACAAGACTGGTCCAGTCACAGTATGAGTGAGCTTGATCTAATCCAGCTATGTGCAGAGTTGATATAATTAGCCTGAAATGGTTGCTGATAGATAAGATAAGTGCGTCTCAGTCTGTTTGTCTCACCACGACTGCTGCTGAGATCATCTGATCCGTCATCATTGTAGTTTCCACACAGCCCACAAGGCCGGCCTTTGTGGCCCTCTGTCAGTTTGAGGTAGACCCCGGAGCTCCCATCCCATGCCAGAGAGAAGCCAAACGTGCTCTTCACCAGGATGTAGTCAGCTAGACGCTCAATAAACACGTTATGCACCGTTTGGGGCAGGGTCAGTCTGAACAAGAAATAACAATAAGATAAATATGAAATCGAAAGTGCAACTAGACTTCATTTCCATTACAAAACACCAAAAAAAGATCTGTACATTGTATGATGTGAACGAATATGAGAATGTAGTTATTATAAAATAAAATATTTATTTGCAAAATTTGGTAATCACATCACCTTCATAATTTTTAAAAAAATATTTTCTGTAAATTTTGCTTTGAATTTTTTATACACTGATCCATCTGTCATTCAATCTTTCCTTCCTTCATCCATTCACTCTTTATTTACTATGTTCAGTTGTTTGTTAGGATGTCCAGGCTCACCTCTGTTCCCCTTTTAGCACCTGGTAGCCACTAATGTGGATTTCCTCCTCATTAGAAAAGAACAGACTGAGAGCACGAGGACAGGAATACACTGAGCCACGACATGAACGACTGTTATGGACCTGCCGTTCATAAAGAAAGAAAAAGAAAGAAGAGAAAGGAGAGAGACACCAAAAGATGGGAGGACAAGGAGGCAGGATAAGAAGAGATAATTACAGATAAAAAGCAATCAGAAAAAGAAAACATACAAAACGACTGAAATAGTTACATTTTTTTTCCCTTACTGCTAATGCAGTCTGTCAATGAGACCAAAGTATTGCACAGGAAAAAATGTATAAACATAGTTAAAAATGGACAAATGTACACTGCACAGCTCAAAACTAGAAACACCAGCTATCTTGAAGCCTGAATTTTGCCCAAAGATAAAAGCATGTCATAGTGTCAGAAACCACACAACAAGTCTATTTGAGATTACATAACAACTCAAGCGTTTCATGTATAATGTACATGCATGATCATTTAAGCATGCAGTTTGCATGATGCCAATAGGTGCTTACTTGTTAGCTAGCTTAGCCTCATAGCTCCAGGGCAAAACTACTGAAGCAAACTTCGAACACTAAATATGTTTTGCTTGATCAGCTGCTTTTGGGTTAAATTATATCCATTCATTTTTTTTTCCTTCAAACTATTCTTTTCATTTCTGCTTTACTCATCTATTTGCTACTATGATTCCACATCCAACTCAATTTTATTCAAAATCCAAACAAAATGTATGTGCCAGAAGTGGAATATTGATGGGAAAGTCTATAACAGAAATTAACAGAAAACCTGTAAAATTGATAGTCTGAATAAACAGAAAATCTGTGAAGGTGACAGGCTGAATAAACAGAAAATCTGTAAAGGTGATAGTCTGAATAAACAGAAAATCTGTAAAAGTGCCAGTCTGAAAAACAGAAGTTCTGCAGATCACCACTGTGTGAGTTAGTGGTCTACAGGCCAGCTTTGTGTACACCGATGGACACAAAGCATCTATAACTCACCCACACGGTATACTGTGGCTCCGCTGAGTGGCAGTCTTTGGCCAGAATATAGGAGCATGTTCCAGGGAAGTAGTAGTACATTCCATCGAATGTCTCAAAATGGTGCTGACCCCATGAGCGACAAATTCCATCCCTGTCCTGCCCCAGGTTGGGGACTGAGATCAACATCAAATAAAAAATAAACAAATACAACAAATTCAAAATTCGACAAGTTTATCATTGATCATTTTTGAATGTCTGTAAATAGTTATGAATGTATTAATTATCATTGATTAATTAATATAATTTGTAATTTCTTACAAAATGGGGAGATTCAAATTTAGAATTACTTTTTGTAGTGTAGTGTATATGGCATTTACTGTACAAATATCTGTATAATTTTGCATAGGGTTTGAAGTGTTTGCAGTGTATTACAGCCACAGTCAGGGACTTCAGAGTAATGAGGCAATAAGTTACCTAATGAACTAAAGAAAGAAGTTGAAGTAATTTCCTGTGAGGAAATGCATAGAACAATTTGTGAATGTAGAAATACATATTCATATAACATTAATAAGATTGCTCATACACCATTTGAAAACTGCAAAAAGTATTATTATCTGTTACATGAGTACTCATTACATTACTACATTTCAGCTCTGCATGCTGGATGATGAAAATAACCCCCTACTTTTGAAAAGAAGCTTTTAAAGAGGGTATTCATATATATTCACATATAATTTCCTGTTTCTTATTTATTCTTATTGTCAAAGAACAATGATGCGTCCCTTGATGGCCATTTCTCATGGTCTTTACTGAAAGCTGTAATTGCCCTGGACACACATGGCTGCTTTATAGTAGATCTATCTTGGCTAATTAAACAAATATACAGGGGCTCTATGTCAGGATCGGTTTGCTCCAAGCACAATGGTAACCCAATACTAGAAAAAGCATGAAACACACAAAACACACTGGTTGGCAAGAGAAACAGTACACTGTGTATTACACTTGATGTAAACGTTTAAAAATGAGCTCACTGTTTCATTATCCTGATTTAATTAAGGATATAGATACTAAATTGAGTATTAAGCACTGTGATCAGGTTCCTAGAACAGTGTTTCTCAACAGTTACACTATTAAGCCGCTTTTTTCATCCTCTGACTTGCTTGCATATCGCTTTATGTGTCTACCTGATGATATTACTCACTGATTTGGCAGCGCTCTCCCAGAGCCTGGAACTGAGCACAGTCACAGTGGCCTCCATCCTGACACCAGCCACCATTAAGACACCCGCAATACTCTATGAAAAACAGAAACACACACATTTTTTAAAGTTCAACAGGCCTCCATTAAGACACTCAGAATACTGTAAGAAAAACAGAAATACAAGCACTCACATATTTTGTGAAGTTCAACCATAAATCATTAATTTAAATCTAACCCCAAAATAGGAGATGAAAAACAGCTAAACAATATTCTACTGAAGTAGGTCTGGAAATAACTTCACTGTGTGTGTATCTCCATGTGTTACCTGAAGAGGCATCCCGAACTGTATAATTATGTAGAACACTTCGAGGGAGAGCTGAATCAGACAACACTGCACTGAAGGTCTGCAAAGTAAAGGATATTGCAAATTAGGAATTACTCTTGGTGAAGCTTTTTAGAGCATTTTTCGTTCCACTTGAAGGTGAATGGACTACACAGTTCCATGTCTGTCCTCTGAGTGTGCAGTTATGGCAGTGAGACTGGGTCAGTGGTTCTCTAAGATGACATGACAGCGTCAGATGTTTTTGAGCTGAGCTCTTAGTGCTGTAGCACTTGTGCTAACTCTACAAAGACAGCTTTGTCAACATGCAGAGTGCCTTAGTGTGTGTGGTTGCTCCACTCTCTCCCCAGACATTTTCTCTTAGGTATACTCACCTCCTCACGGAAGAGATCTCGTTTCTGGCGCAGTGCATTAACCCTCCTTTTAGAACCAGTACAAAGAGAGCAGTATTAAAAGCACAGTGATGGTAAGAGTTCAGCTTTAGACCTACTTAAGATGCCACACAGTCACATTAATGAAGGTGCATGGTGATGCTGAAGAAAGATGATTAGTGGCATTTTAGAATCGCAAATTATCATCATTATCAGCACTAGCACAGGATTTATTGTCAAACTTCAGACTAGAGGCTTTTTAACTGGCCATCAATGTGGTCTCTCTCTCTCTCTCTTCTCTCTCTTTCACTCACTTACACACCCACAGCTACACACAGAACTAAGAGCCCATTAGCCCTACACATTCCTATTGCTCAGTTAAAAAATTCAGTTTCAATTTATTCTGCGACTTCATGTGCTCCCATTGTGACAATTCATTTTCTCACAGTAAGTAATCTTCAGTCTGGGGGAAAAATACTTCTAAAACATTAAAGTTCGGATACATATAGAAATTTTCCCAAAGGCCTTCTTTTTCTCTGAGCTTTACTGCTTCCACTCACCAAACCTCACAAAATAGTCAGCCTTAACACTGCAGAAATTAATCTTCCATCATCCCTAAAACAAAAAGTAACTTATACTTAGACATGTACTACAGGAATTTGACACTTACCTATGGAAGTTGTTTTCTGGTTTTGATGCCTGGCAGAAAATTCCTATCAAACAGAAAACTCTTAAATTAACTCACATTATACGTTTGAGTGTTTGAGAGGAGAATAACACAGTTTCATTCATATATATATATATATATATACACACACACATATATATATATGTGTATATATATATGTATATATATATACATATATATATATACATATATATATATATATATGGATAGACAGATAGATAGATAGATAGATGACCTTTTAAACAAATGATTATGTACAGGTATATCAAATCTGACTTTAAAGTTTTACCATTATAATATTAATGACCATTATCGTAGCATATAATATTGTGGCAGTATCATGACAAAATGTATGTAGTTTTATTGGTAAGATCAGAAGTGCTTAGCATAGCCCGAAACTAAAAAATAAAATATTCTTTAAAAAATCATTACTCAAGTAGAAGTGAAAGCTTATAAAAAAAGGAATCCTTTCATCAAGTTCCGAACTCCCTATAGAACTGCAGTGTAACTTCTCATAACATCCAGAATTAAAACGCACAGGACGTCAAGATATTCTTTCGATTTTTGTATTTTATCAACATAACAGAATCAAATTGAACACACAAAAATGATTTAGCAACTAACTGTGATAGGTTAAAATGGAACTGGAGGCAAATGGAACTTAGTAAATGTTAATAGTTACTACATACCACCGGAAAGACAATACACTTATTGTCATGTCAATTTATATATTTTAGCTTTGGGTACAATTATGGCTATGGATTTTACATGGTAGTGTAACCCATGAATGAACTCTATGAAACCTCTAACAGGATTTGGAAGTTACACTTGAAACATAATAACAAACATAACAAATGTAGCATCACTCAGGATTACAATACCCACCTTGAAGTACGAACAGTTTGAAGATGAAAAGTGTCCAGAGAAAAAACAGTTTCACTTGCCGCTGTTCGTTCATCTCAGGGCAGAGTCCTTATGGAAATCATTTAAAACTACGAGGGCATTGTCATGGATTTAGCCTACTAGTAGTGCTGTCAATTTTCAAAATCGACTTAAACGGCTGAGTTTCTTAAAGACTGTGAAGACAAAAGGGGCTTACGCAGACTGAAACGTTTCTGTCCAAAGAAAGTTGCCTACCATTCCCATCTTCTCTCAAAAGCGCTGGAAAGACTGGGCTACCCTGCGCTGTTTCTTTCCCACCCGTATTCCGACAAACCCCGCCTCCTGTGCTTGGATTGGCTAGTAGGTCTCAATCACAAGCAGTCCGCGGGTAGCATGAACAACTACCATGAACGTCTGGCCAATCCTAGCGCAGGAGGCGAGAGTTGTCGGAATACAGGTGAGAAAACTGGCATACAGGTGGCGAAATTCTTTTCGTAGGATACGCGGGGAAGCTCATTCATATTCATTAAGCTCCGCACAGAACGCGGTCGTACTGGCTGAGCCAAACGCGGCTCTGCTGAGACAGAGTAGACGCTAATCGCAGTCACAAGCACCACAACATTATTTTACAGTTTTTATAACCACATCCAACTAATATATGGTGAAAATGACTCTAAAAACCTGTTTAATATGCACCAAAATCTGCAATCAAACTAAATAAAGAACACTATAGGTTACTAAGGAATATTGCAGAGGTACGTGGCCATTGTGATAGAACTACTTGGCCTCTCCGTGTTTTGTTAGCGCCATGCTAAGGGCAGTACACATTCAATTTTCACAGTGGTTTTAATATTAAACAGTTCTACTTTAACACTGACACCTGAAGCTTGTAAGACATGTACGTAACAAGCTGTCAAGCTGTCTCAAAGGCTGATGTAAATGCATCTTGCCTTCAAGGTTGGTTAAAAGGTGGCAGGTAATCTGTAGCAAGCATTAATGGAGTTACTTCTGAAGATGCTACAAATATGACCTGCCATCATCCTGCTAGGCAGATTAGGAAGCCAAATCCATTCCTTATGTTAAATGTGTTTATTTGATTGTCTTCAATGGCTATACACGCAGGCGTCTATATTTTAAAGCTGCCTAACAGGTACAGTTAATAGAGTTGATATTTCTGAGAATGGGAAAAATATGAATTATCTACAGTTATCTGGAATAGTAGCTAATAAAGATATTAAGGCTAGTTTCTTTAAAGGAGGATAGCATTTAGCATCTGCTTCTTAGGCTAACTGGACATTGTTTACAGCAGGAGTAGCACATCTGATTCAACTAAGTAACAAGCTTCTCATGTGCTGGATCAGGTGTGTTAGAGGGGAATTCCACCATTTTTTCTAAATTTCTGATTAAATTAGTCCTTAAATTTTTAATCTTGTATATAATTGATATACTTGGGTTTGTGAAAGGAATTGTTTAAATGTAACTTATTATTATTATTTCTTGTAAGTTACTTTCTGTAATCTCTCATTGTAGCTATCTAATAATATTTCTTGACATTATTAAAAAAAAACATGCTCCACTAAAAAAATGTCCTCAGTGACTTTCAATGACTGAATTTTGCAGGAATTCTCCTTTAACTAGTAGCCCTTAGCACAGACACCTATTAACCAGTTAGGTACTATTTTAGCTAACATATATATTTCACAGTTTTTAGATAATGCAGGAATTCATTTGACTGCAGATATTAACAAAAGCATTAGTGCCCTTATGATCAGTAGAAAAAAAAACAGCAGGCAAAGTAAAGAAATTAATTTGCTAGTGCTAAAGGTAGACCTGCCTAATGTTAAACCCACTGTGTAAAATTCATGTGTACTGCCCTTAGCATGGCGCTAACAAAACAAAGGCCAGACGTTCATGGTAGTTGTTCATGCTACCCGCGGACTGGCCAAGTAGTTTAATCACAATGGTCACATTACCTCAGCAATATTGCTTAGTAGCATATATTGTTATTTCTTTATTTTGCCTGCAAAGTTTGGTTCATATTAAACAAATTTTAGTGTCACAGTATATTGGTTAAATGTGCTTATAAAGATAGTAAAATAATGTTGTGGTACTCGTGACTGCGCCCTGCCATGGACTGGCCACCTGTTCATGGTGTATTCTGCCTTCCGCCCAATGACTGCTGGGACAGGCTCACAGTACGAAACGCTGCGTTGACATACCCGTTAAATTAACGTTACATAGCTAAATGTGAATTTTGCACACACGAGCAACCTTACGGTTTTACGTTTCTTTTTAGTGCGCTAACCAGACGCAGAGGCTCCACGTTTAACTTAATTCTCGAGCTGGTCGCTAATAATACACAACGTGTTTCAACGTTTTGCTTTATAATTAGAGAAGGCTAAAAAGCGTGTCCTTCATTACGGATGATTCTTGTTAGATAATCATTTATTGAGATGAAGATTATGGAACAGAATTGAGGTTTTAGAGCAGATAACGTATCTAACGTTAAATGTATCCTCGTGTTGGTCAGCGTTAGGGTATGAACATTTTCCCAACACATTTTACACTAGGTTAGCTAGCTAGGTTAGATAGCTAAAGAGAGTGAAGGTTCAAACGCATAAGTTAAATAAACAAAACTTACCATCCGTTTTAATTTCAGTATCGATGGCTGACTAATTTCACAAAGAAATAACGTTAATATTGCTAACCTAGGTTAGGTGACTATAATTTGACATGCATTGAGGTTATTATAGGTATTTTAATATGTTTCAGAACAGTAACTGTGAGATAATAACTAGAAACCTAGCTAACTAGCTAAAACTAAAATGTTTTAACTAATTAGCGGTAACGACTCAACCAACCGTTGACTCAGGCTCGAGCTGGTCTGTGAGGTTTCCGTTAAATTTTGAATTTGTAATGGGAAAGTGTGATCGCGCAGCTGCAGCACTGCTTTTTGTCTGGGAGGCACAAATTAGTGAGACGTTTGTTACTAAAATACTTCAAAATACAAATTTAACGAGAAAATAAGAATGTAATACATTATTTATTGCATAAAAATATGTTCTCATCAGGTGAGTAGATGGGGTTAAGGTACGTTTATGGCAGGGCAAATCAAACGTCCTTAGGGTTAATTTTTAGTGGCCTTGTTCTGGATAATCCTGCTATGGGGGAACCCCTGTTCTACACAGAACACTATTCTCTGCCCCAGCGCACCTGATCTAACTCATGAAGGGCTTAATAATTAGCTGATGAGTTGGATCAGGTGTGTTGAGGCAAGGAATAGCTGAAATGGTGTAGGGCAGTCGGTCCTCAAAAGCAGGATTAAGACTAATTTACGTGCTAATTCAAATACATATACCTAAACTATCCTTACAAATACTGCTGAGGAAATCAAATTAAACTGCATCTTGGTGTGATAGGCAAACTATCGGCCTTATCACCGTAAAATAAGCAGTGTAAAATCAACACCTAATAAGTTCACTTAACACTTCTTTGGAATATATATGATTCTGCTCTACATAGAGTACAAAACACACTGTTGTTAGTGTTACACTTTTAGCATTAACATGAAGTTAAACTGTGTTAGAAAGAACACTTGCAATGTACAATGTAACACATGCTAGTGTTACCCATAATTAACACTTTGGGGAATTTAACATCCATGGTGTGTTTGTGCTCCAGCACCAACACCAGAAGTGCCCCAACATGACTGATTGTCACTCTAAACCCACTGGAGTGAATAACATTTAACATAGAACAAAAATTACACTTTTACACTATTCAAAATAAGATCAAATCTGGGCATTTTTAATAATATGTCTATAAGATGTTTTAAATTCTTATTAGATGTCTGTGACTTTTTGCCTGTTTCTCTGCTCTGTTATAAATGCTACCATAGTAGGCCTAAATGCCAGTGTTTCCAGTGTCATTCAGAATTCTTGGCACCCTTGGTAATATTAATGGAATAAGGCTATTAAAAATGTTTTTTTTTATTTAGCAGCTTGGTACTACTAACAGCATTGTAACAATTCTGTGGAAGAGAATAGATGAATTACTCTTAAAGCATGTTACTGTATATTAATTACAGTGCCCTTCATAATTATTTATTACCACTTTAGTTAAAGACTGTGTAGTTCAAGAGTATCTAGTATCAGGATCTAATATATGATAGAAATGATGATGATGATGATGATGATGATTGTTGTTTTGTCAAGAAGTAACAAAAGGTACTAATCTAACATAATCAAGAATATTCAATAGACATACATTAACTAGGTTTAAAATATGTTAGGTTTGGAGACCATTTTTGCTTTGTGAATATGAAACCAATATAAGATATAATCACTTCTAAGCCTCTTTTTACATCTCTCCAAAACACAGTCTTGCGTGTAAATACAGTGTTTAAGGAATAACTTAATTGTTTCTTTCTGTAGTCCACGACAAATGCAGGTATCTTCTCTGTGTAAATTAAACCTTTCTAAAATACATCGAATGACACGTTTTTTATCTTTTTATTAATACTGTATTTGTTCTGTATTTTCCGTGTTTTTTGTCCATTGAATGCGATCAGATGAAGGTGACCAACAGCGTGTGCACATCAACAGTGACCTAATTAAGGCGCGACCGGTCCACTGCTTTACACGTAATAGGGGAAAATGGCGGTGTGTGTTCTGTTGCGCTGTGCTTCTGCAAACTTAACTCAGGCTCTTCCCCGACTTTCGCCTTCAAATGTTGCGTCTCCTGCTCGGCTGTTGGCGAGAACATGTTTTAAAAGGAACCTGACAGTCACTCCCCGCTTTTGTTCAGGTATCAGCAGTCTCGGTTGTGTTTAGCAGTCTGACCTCCTCAAGAGGCTCAAACTTTTCAGCCCCGGCTCGCTTTACATTAAAGAGCAGGCTTTCCCCTCAACCAGCGCAGGTAAAGTCTCAGATGACGTGACTTATTCTGCAGGTAATCGTGCGGTAAAATTAAATAACACAACGAGAAGAAATTTGGAGCTAAAGTTTGTTCGTTTCTGCGGATGTCCCTGCTAGTTCGCTAGTTTTCTGCGTAGCTAGCTGTGATATTTGTGTCATTGGCACCGAAGCAGTTGGGACATAGTAAATGTAATACATTTAGTTTATAAAAGATGCTACAATGTCTGACGCTTACAGATAAATCAGTAGCCAGTCATACTGCAGCACTAATTAGCTATTTACGTAATAAATGTAATAATAATAATAACGCTAAATAGCTGTTTATGTTGAGAGACATTATTATTTGCGTCTTAAGGCGTGAGGATATCTCAGCTAACGTTCGCTGGGTAACGTCAGCCCAAAGTCAAGCCTGTCCAGTAATTATTAAAGAGCTGAGAGACATTTCTATTGGGCAATCCCCATCTTTGGGCATAAGTTAGCTGTCTAAGTCAGAAATTCTGCTTTGTGAAATACCCCCGGTCCCTCATAAAATCAGCAGCCCCACAGTCTGATAAATGTTGTAAATAAACTTTTAAAATAAGCAATTATTTTGTTCATCTATATTCATCTTGTAGCTCTATTGCAAACCTAAAGATGCACACTTGGAACAGCTAAAATGACTTGGCTGATCGACTGTGTTTGGGGTGAGTGGAAAAGTGTGCTCATTTTGGTAAAACAAAGCAAAAGCACATTCAGCATCCTTACCAAAAGAAAAGTGAGATACAAGGACAGTACAGTGCCTTCAGCATTGAAGGTTCATGTAAAGAGGGAAAAAGAGTAGGACTGGTGTAACGAGGCATCTTTCACCTTTTGTAACTGCACACAGGCTATTGTTATGTTCTTTTTATGTTATATGGTCTGCATGCTGAGAAGGACTTCAGAATACTGGCACAGGCCAGGGTCAATGTGTCCAAGGTTAATTCATTAATACCATTGCATTAGTTTTTTTGCACAAGCCTATGTTGCACTGCGGACAGACCATGTAACCCACCTGTAAGCATTACTGCACTAATGTTACGAAAAGGTTTTCATGAAGTGTTCTTGTGGTCTCATAACAGTTGGCATCTTTTAATGATAATTTGTCTCACTCATAATGTGTTTCACTCTGCAGCATTGAAGTATACAGACAAGCATGAGTGGGTACGAGTGGAGGATGGCGTGGGCACTGTTGGCATCAGTAACTTTGCTCAGGTGTGTGGGGTAGTTAATTAGTTGGGTTGATTCATTAAAATCATGGTCATGTGAACAGTGAGTAGTACAGCTGACTTCATATGTAAACATTTAGAACCCTTAATGTAACATATCATTTACTGTGCGCTTAGAAGCAGCCACTGAGCATCATGTATTTTAGTACTGTGCTGATCCTTGTCTCATGCCTGCTAGGAGGCCTTAGGCGATGTGGTCTACTGTGGTCTGCCTGAAGTTGGCACAAAGCTCTCTCAATCAGGTAAAATTCACTAATTAATGTTTTCTTAATTGATATGTCTTTTAATTTTACTGCTGTATGTGCTTTTATTTTGCACACAACCAATTCAGTGGAATGATATAAATGTAAAAGATGCTTTATACTATTTGTAATTTGTCCTGTTTTCCATTGCTGTTAGTTCTGTAAACAAACAGTAGGGAGAAAGATACAATAGTACAAACCAAAAATGATTTTATTCATATTGCATCTATAATATAAATTAACTTATTGCATTACATCACACTACGCTTAACACATGGCATACCCATTGTGGCCTAAATAAAAGGCACCTCTTGTTTAGCACTTATTAAATGGCAAGTTATAATTAAGCAAATTCTTCATTGTCTCAGAACATCGCACTTAGTGACTTGTATTCACACAGATGATTAATTGTGCAGCTTTTACAAGGCATGTGTAGTTAAGAGTATATATGTGTTTGTGTTTAGATGAGTTTGGTGCTCTGGAGAGTGTGAAGGCAGCTAGTGAACTATATTCCCCTTTAACTGGCGAGGTGACAGAGGTCAACCATGCCCTTTCTGAGAATCCCGGACTGGTCAACAAGTCTTGCTACAAAGATGGTGAGATCAATGGTGCATTATTCCTGTCTTTTCTTAATAAAAGTTGAGTATTGAACTTTTCAACATATAGAATATTGAGAGAAAACAGCTCCAGGTTCAGAATAACTCAGACGTTATGAGAATAACTCAACATCTGTTGACAATCCATGAGTCTTTTGATGTGAATAAGGTTCTAACTTTATTACAGTGTTATCTAATGAGGGATTTACATTTTTTGTACAAGGGGGATGTGATTAGCATTAGCAGTCCTACATGTTTGTATTCCTGTAGTGTTACTAAATAACATGCTATTCTTGCAGGCTGGCTGATAAAAATGACTATATCTGTACCAGAAGAACTGGATGCCCTAATGGATGAAGCTGCTTACGAGAGATATATCAGATCTATAGAGGACTAGTGGCTGTTTAGAACAGTGTGTGCAGGAGTTTTACATGTGCATGAGTTCTCCTTTGGGTGAACAGGAAAAAGACATGGTCAATTGTGGACTGGCCATTTCGTCACTACTGATTCCTCTGATTAGACCTACTTTCTGCTTTTGTTTAGATAGTGTAGATCTAACACAGAACAACTGTCAGCCCCTACATAGTCTCGCACAGAGCATGGAGGGGACTACTGGGAAAAACTGGTGCAACTGCGCACTTTTTTTTGACTATTTAATGTTTTATTTTAGATATATTAGGGACTTTAAGGCAGCCACAATAACTGTTTATCCAATGTAGAAGGAATCAGTACAGTATTCCATTGTGTGGTCATGATCGTCAGTGGCATGTTGTGAGAGTTAAGTCTTGTGAAATGAATGGGGGTACATGACAAAGTAGAGTTGGGTATGCAGATGACCACTTTTTTGATTATTAGTTTGTCTGAAAGACAGATCCTGTTGAGGAAGAGCTATGTCTGCCATGTGTCTGTGTTGGTGACCAAAGGTTGAGCTGACCCTTGTTCATTCAGGTTTGAAGTCAGCAGCTGATAGGTGGAGATTAACACTTATTAAAAGACTACCTAATTTCTCAAACTCGTTTTGTGTCTTTTCTGTTATATGAGTGACATAAATGCACTAACCCTGTAATGGACGAGGTTCTTTGATTTGTGCGGGAAAAAAGATTGTTGACCTAGCTTGCTCCTCCTTCCTTAGAATAAGAAGGCTGATATAAGTTCACAATCATTAGCAGATTTACATAATCTAAATGTACATAAAACCTAAGAGCTTTTTATAAATGCTATAAGAAAGTAGGCCAATATGATGATAATGATATTGTCAGTCATTTTCCTACTTTAACATCAACTAAATCCTGTTAGTTTATTGATGCGTTTCATCAGGGGAGTTTGAGCAGGGTAATCATCCTGATATTGTAGGTTATTAATCAGGATATAAAATATATCCTGGTTAATTTCTCTTTGTGGTTCCTTAAAATACACAAACTTAAAGGGACACTCTAGCCAAAATGAAAAATGTAATTATTATTACATCTGTTGTAATACATGCCTGTTCGCTTCCTACAGTGGTGCCAGAACAGATTTTCCGGGCTAAAGACTAGGAAAATCCCCCTCTGTTGATGCGTTTTAAAGGTGGGAGGGACTTTTAAACAGCTTTGACTTTAGGTGGATTTTTTTTAGGGGTAGGTTGTTTAATTTTTCTTTGTCCTTTGCTGGCTGGCTTTCGCAGAAGGATGCCAAATAGCTGAAATAATAGCCAAATATATCTGCATTTCTTGGCCTCAACATCCAGTATATGGATTTCTTTGTAGCTGTAGGGGGATTCCCAATGGCTGTATGATGTATTTGCATAGTGCAGTCTGGGTATTGTAGTGAGAGAACGTTAATGGATGCAAACACAAAAATGCAAAATCAACAAACTCATGAATTCTGTCAAACCAACAATAGAACATTACATAACATGACAAATAACATATGCTAGTTTTAGGCTGGAATTCCCCTTTAAGCAAACTGCATTTCTTCACAAGTCCTAAGGGTGACAGATAATGCCAGTGATTTTTCCCAGGTACTTTAGTCTTTGTTGTACAGCCCCATTCACAGTCCTTAGTTGTCTATCAAGTGGAAAATCAAGTTGAACTACTATTAACAACACACCTATCTGCATGTTCCCTTTCTTCACAAGTCCTAAGAGTGACTGAGGTAGTGCGACTGACTTCCGTGCGTCCCAGATTCTCTCATCTTTTTTGTACAGCACCACTCGCAGGCCTGACGTTGCGATGCTGCCCTTTGCCTTTATTGGTAGGGGGGCACTGGAGCCCTTCAAGGATGCAGTGGTCCCTCTCCAACCTCTCTCTCCTCTGAGCATTCTCGTACATTACGCTGGCTGTGAAGTCACGCTCATTCAAAAAGGCAATTTTCTCATCTCGGTGGCGGCTGACATAGCCTTTTAGAACTGCACTGTATGGGTTGTCATGAGTGTCTGTATCTTCAGGTTCATGTTTGAACTCCATTCGTGTGATGACTGGGAGCAGGAACTCCTTTTCTCCATGTCTTACTATGTCGTTCCCACTGCCCATGGCATCCTGCACAAGCTTGGCAGGCAGAGGCACTAGGTCACAGCCCGTTTGCTGGCATACATACTCACTGAAACGCTTCCGCACCAATGTAACATCTTGCAGTGACTGGGCACGCCGCTCCTCAAGGTCAACTACAATACGCTCAGGGTAGTTTTGGCCAAAAACTACACCTTCATGCATGGTGAAAGATGAGAAGTGGAGAGAAACACTTATTTAAGCCCAATGACCGTAATAGAAGACCAAACACATTATTTACAGATTTGAACCAATCTATATCCACATCCTTGAAGAGCTGATGTTATCACAAGCAAAATACTAACTTACCTGCCCTACACAGTACTGAGCTTGGGCACTTCCAGGGCTTATGGATAAAGTCATCAGGCAATGCCTTTAGCTCAGGGCACCACTGCCTCACATAATTTCCGTAGGGGTCACAGGTCAGTGCTGCATCAACAGGGTGCATGACGAAGTTCCAGTGGTCCAGACCACACATGCCTCCATTCTGCCACATCATAGCGTCTATAGCAACATCAGCATCCACTAGAGTGTCCTACAGGGAAATAAAGCAGAAAAGGGAATACATAGACAACACAGCTGAGACCAAGGATGCTCCAAACCTCTGGAGAGAGTTCAAGGGGAATTCTACCAGTTATTCTGAGCTTCTGCATAATTAAACTGTTAAGATAGAAACAAAGTCTTTGAGAGTGGTTTGATGTGAAATGCTCTAGTGTAGAGAAGCTTGCAGAGTCAGAACTGTTCACAGTGATGTGGACAAATACCAAACATGTAAAACATTTAATGCCTCGAAAAATTCCCTTACATAAAGCTATTGTAAGGTAGGGTGTCCCGATTTTTGTTGAGATAGAGGGGTAAGGCAAAATGATAGGTCTACTTGGCCCTCCAAATGAAGGTTTATCAGAGGCACACTCCAAACAGAGTTATGAGAAAAAAACAAAAACTGCAAGATGGCTGTGCAAGCAAACAAAGAAACTCACAGAAAGAACAGTAAGTAAAAAAATATGATAAACATTGTATTATCTTATTTTAATGTTGTTTCAATGTATTATGGTCCTTTTCTTCAAAACAAGCATAAAATTGTTAGTAGTATGCTGATGTCCCATTTGGACAGGAAAATTTGAACAAGAAGCCAGAGGATAGCTGACTTCAACTTCATATCACTGAAGAATTAGGGGTGGGCGATAATACATAATTGTCACATCCCCCCTCTTTGACGGCATATAACGCTGAAATTTAACCTCCTCTGCTATCACTGCAGACTGGCAGGGTCACCTACAGAGGACCACTAGTCGCCTGTTAATGAAGTAATGTTCTTTTTTATTTGAGGGTTGTCCCATTTCATAGGGGAAGATTTCAACCACTGCCCATTGTAACTCGGTTCCAAGGGGCAAGGTGACACTCGAAAACAAGAGGTAGGGGTAAAAATAAGAAATGGGACTGGGCCATAATGTTAACTTTGTGACCGCTGTTAATACAGTGAACAAGTTTGTATTTAAATCATGAAACTGACTATGATAACCAGTCAAGCGCAGACACCTATCCAATTATACTGTGTTGTGTATAACTCAGTTTTGATGAGCTAATGCCACATTCAATGCCTCAGAAAGGAAAACAACCTAAAATGTGAATATCTACATCATGTCTCCTAATTTTGCATTTTTTCCCTCTGTTCTTTACCTGAAACCAGCGGTATCCCGCCTGCCAGTTAATATGGAGGTAGGCAATAAGGAAGGATGCCACCACATGCCTCATGTAGTTGTTCATCCAGCCTGTCAGCCACAATTGCCTCATTGCTGCATCAACCAGTGGGTAGCCTGTTTGTCCACGCTGCCACGCCTTCAGATGGGCACAGTCTAAACTCCAGCATAGAGCCTAAGAATGCAGAGCACAGAGAATGTGACAAAAATATGCTTTATCACAATTCCCAAAAAACAATCATAGCACAGATACAAGAAAACTATCACATGCATAGGTAGCATTAATTGCATGCATGCACACCTAAAGAATTGGGAAGTTCATCACACAGTGAGGACTTATTCCTACAATACTTATTTCTTTTAAAAAATTGAACACAAGCAGATTAGAGGCTTGCCTTGTATGGTGGCCTGAGGGACTCCCAGGGCAGGTGTGGGAACAGGCTGAGCTGCCAATATGCCAGATCTCTCCATGCCAGCTTCCGCTGGAACTTGCGAGGTCTGCAACGAGCCCCTCGAGCGTCCCACAACAGTGAACGTGCACTCAGCTGCCCAAAGTGTAGATATGGAGACAGAGAGCTGGTGTTTGGAGCATCTGCTCGGCTTGACTCTTTCTCATACCGGTACACACCTGAAATTCATGACGATTAAAATTCATGAAGTTGCTAAGAAGAGGTAAAGTCCAATTCTTGTGCTGCCATATAGATTTGTCTGAAACAATAGCTTACGAGGAGAGGTGTCTCTCACCATCTTTCAAGAAGGTCTCTAGTCGAGCACGAGCTCCCTCCTCACTGAAATCCCAGGCTTGACGAATATTCACTGCCCAGTCAATCTGTCAAGCACATTACACAACATGGGACCTCTATTATAACACTCCTCAGTAAAACTCGGCTAATTATAGCTAACAAAGAACGGAAGCTCAGTTTAGCACTGTTCAAACCGCAGGCCTAAATGATCACACACTTGCCTGCATCTGCATTGAGCTGTTGAAAGACTCATTTCTTAGATAATTATTGTTATCTTGCTTTTGTAAAAAAAGTTTGATGTAGTATGTAAACTTTGCTAAACTTTCAAAATGTACTGTTTATTCTCCTGTCCATTCAGTCATACATGGAGACTAAGCTACAAAGACAGCTCATTTCGAATTCATTGATTTTGTGAAGTCACAAAAACAGAAACATTTTCATATCCACCTATTCAGCATACAGCAGCTTAGCCCTGCCCACTTACGCTGACGTAATATCAGGAGTGGTTCGGGCTGAACTCCTTTTTTAGGCACAATACAGAGCAGCCAATCTGAACGGAGATCATTTATATATCTTAGTATTAAGGGCACAAAGCAAAAAGTCTTTTTAATTCTAAAAGATTTTTTTAAAAATAGCATGCTTCAAAAATGGTCTCGGAAAAATGAATTACATTTGTATGAGGTACATAAAACCTCATAACTGTTATGAATGGATCTCGAGTATAAAAAACTACAACAAAAATGTTGGATATGGGCCCTTTAAATAATATGAAATAGAATATGAAATATTAAATTATTTTTTGACACTAAATAGCAAACTGTCATCTATAAAGATAGATGAAAGCAGTATATGACTGTACTTGATAATTTTTATTAGCTACATTAGCATGGCAGCTCCAGTGCAAAACTAAAGCAGAAAAGTTCAGACACCAAATATGTCTTGGTTAAATCAACTACATTTTCACGTAAGGGGGAAACCATTTAAAATTAATTTTATGGCTGAACCATCGCTAGACATGTCAATAAGCTGATCAATTTGTAGTTAACTGTGACAGCTCACTTCTGTGCCATCTTTTCTGCGTGGCATGCGAGCCAGTCCCAGCTGCGTGAGGGGGCATCCCTGAGGCCAGGACAATGGAGTGGGCAGAATGCAAGGGGCATCCAGTGGTGTCCCGATTCCAGGGCCAGAGTTTTGCTGGCAACAGCTCATAAAGTGAGACACAGAACCAATACCTGCAAAAGAATGAACAATTCTTCAGGAGAAAGTATCACAAGCAAACTTATTTTCATTTTCTACATCATTTGAAAACACCGGCTGTCCTTTACATTACATAAATGTTTCATGATGAATGGAACAGACATTTTGACGACTTCAAGGTCCATTTATGATATTTGTGTGATTTTATGTACCAAAAACAGTCATGATTCATTTTTTCATGAACAAACCTCTCTTTATTGCTTAGAACTAAACAGACTTTTTTGTTATTTTGTTATTCTGTTCTGAATGCAATCAGGGCTAAAACTCCCCTTATAACTTCAGTGTGAATGGGTGGAGCTAAACTGTTTTAGGCTGAACAGTATATGTTAAAGTGCTGGTTCTCATGACAATAAAATAATGAATTCAAAATGAGCTGTTTCTATAACTTAGGTTCCATATACAGACTATATCAACTGGGAATGGTGTGTTTCTGAACTTTAACAATGTTTACATAATACATCAAACTATTTTATTTAAAAAACACAAGAAAAATGTAGTTTTCCATGACATGGGCCATTTAAGCTCTGCTATAAAGTTACTATACTAAACTAACAAGTTACTATCCTAACTTAAAGTTACCATGCTATGCTACTATGGAGAGAGGTTTTCTTAAGTAAAACTATTTTTGAGACCCACCTCGCAGGCCAACACCCTTTGTGCTGACAGTGTAGGGGTCTCTGAGGCAGTAGGAGTGATAGATGTGACATTTGACGCCCTGTTTCTCCAGCACAGCCCACACACTGTCATCCCTGTCCCTGAGCCATGGCTCATACAGAGCAGTTGCCACCACTGCTCCAGCCCCTGTCTCAGCCACCAGAGCCTGCAGGGCAGCTAGAGAGGACGGCTCTGCTCTCTGGAAGACCAAGTGGCTACTGCGTTCCTCAAGAGAGCGGTTCAGACACACCAGTGCCTGATGAAGCCAGTACTTACTGGCTCCACCTGTTGCCACAGTAACCCCTGGCCCCTCCTCCTCTGCGGCGTTCCACAGGAATACAGGTATGATCGGTGCACCTAACTCAAGACAGCCAATCAGAGCCGGGTTGTCCCACATGCGGAGGTCACGTCGGAACCACAACAGCACAGGCCGCGGGGCCGATGGATTCTGCATGAGTTGCTGTTTTTTGCGTTGCCGATGCCTCCGTGACATCTTTGGCTTCACTGAGTGGATCATGTTATCATGGTTTTTAGATTCATCATCTGCAGGACATGATGAGGAGTCTGAATTATTTTCCCTCTTTATCATAGTAGTGGTTCTCTGGGGCCTGGTGTCTTTCAGAGGGCATTCTTTCTTAATGGGTTTCTTTGGATCTCCAGCCTGACTGTCCCCCAATGCCTCTTTGGCTAACTGGTCAGAGCTGCTGCTTTGAGGAGGATCATCTCTGTAAGTGGTTTCGTGGAGAGAAAGAGCTATAGCCACCTCTAATGCTTCTTCATCACCCTAATATATCAGAACAAAACGTGTTATCAGTTTTTAAATGACAAGGGTTCCTTATGATATCATTACTTCTTCACTTCTTTTCTGTGACTGGCACCAAAGACCACGTTTTGAAACATTTATTAAAGGGGTATTCTGCCTAAAACTAGCATTTGATATGTTATGTGTGATGTTATGCAGTATTCTGTAATGCAGCACTGAATCCCTCAGCCTCATCAGTTTGACAGAATTCATGCTTTTTGTTCTTCCCATTTGTGTTTTGTCCATCAGTGCTCTCTCTCACTCCAATACCCAGCATGCATTACAAAAATACACCCTAACCTTAACCCTAAATCCCCGCTCCCCACACTGATATAAAAGCACATGTGATAATTGGCTTCCTTGTAGTAACGTTAGCAAATTTGGCTTGTTAGTGGGAAAAAAAAATCAAACAGCCCATCCCAAAAAATCAAACCCAAAATGTTTTCCAAAAGCTCTTACCACCTTCGAGACACATCATCAAAAGTTTTTCTTCTAGTTTCAAACCTGACAATCTCACTCTATAGTCTGTTGCAAGACTCTGTTGTAGGAGGCAAGCTTGTCTACAACAAATGTAGTGATGGTTATATTTTTTATTTTATCCAGAGAGTCATTTTAAGTCTAGTCTTGGACTTAATTGCAATGCCAGTTGTGATTCACAATTAAAAATCTTAGATCATCTTAGATGTCATCTAGGTTTGGGAAACGAACCAAAAGGGAAAACAAATATCTGAGGGGTGTGTTATTCAAAATCAGACGATAACACTTTTATCTGAAATCCTCTTTAGTGGTACTAGGTTTAATCTGCTCAAAATAAACTGATCCTAATTATGACAACTGCAGTGGACAGGCTACACACAAGTTTGGTCAAGCTTACCTGGGAGAAGTAGTTGAAGAAGATGGTAGTGAGCTGGCTGTACAGCTGAATGTGTCCTGAAGCAAGAGGCTTAATCAAGTCCAGAAACAGTGCTCGAGTGTCTCTCTCGCCCAGTGCAGAAAGGCAGAGACAGAAAAAACCCTCGGGGTCTTCTAGACCCAACATCAGATCTCTGAGCATTGCACTGACCTGAGAGGCTTTAGCTAGTGACATCTCTCAGAGCGAAGGAGCAAAACATTCAAAGAACCTACAAAGAAAAAGACGAACCCAAAAAGATTTATCATTACCAGATTACCCTTTAACAATGATAAAAGAGACGATATCTGCCAACAAGTTTGCACAGTGAACTGATGTTACCTGACGAGAAGTGAGGAATACAAGTTGAATCGAGAGGTGCGTTACGAAAGCTCCACCCGGCGTGTTTCGTAAGCAGTGCTCACTTAAAAGGGAATCTGTGTGCGTTTCACCACGTTCCGTTTAAAACACACTACTAAATATCCACAGTTTACATTTCACCACAGCCCTGCGTAACGTAATACACTGGACTCAATTTTTTAATGAAATTTTTGGCCGAATTGATTACATCTTTGGCTGGGCGGTGCTTAACGAAAAAACTGACCAATCATAGTCAGGAACGTCACAGGAAGCTCCTCCTCCTCCTCAGCGAAGCACGTGCTTACCAAACACAGTAGAATCACGTGTAGCATAAATACATAAAGTATTCTAAAAATGAAGTATTTTATGTATTAAAATTATACGCTTAGATTTTGTGTTTGTGCGTTCAAGAGTCAGTTTTACGCAAGTTAGAGCTCAGCACAAGTAAGTGAACATGGACTTTCTTCTTTAACTTCTTCTTCATGGAGTTTCTAACACCTTCTCACTGGTTCTCTCGCACGTCTTACTGGCGCCTTAGCATTTTATTGTCCCCAAAAAAGAGAAGAAAAGAGGCTAACACACTCCAGACCCCGTGCTCATAGATGCTGGATGTAGTAATGAATTTCATTGCCGTTCTGCAGTCAAATTAGGAGTTTTTGACTTAAAAGCTTTAGTTTCAAGATGTTTGACTATTTTTACTCCAGCTATTATTAGCCACTATTTCACTGAAGAAACGTTGTTTGTAGTGGAGGGGGATTTTATAGCTGCCTCTGTAACTGTATTCTGAGGGAATCAATGTTTTAAGGCAGTTGACTCATTGCCTTGTTTAATGCAGGCTTGTGCGAAGATTGTCATTGAGAGCTTCGGCTAATACATTTGTGACCACATTTATAGCCCTTTTGAATTTTCAGATTAACAAGGGTAGCAAAAACAACAATTCACACTCCCGCCAGTAGGTGGTGTGAATACCAAAGTAATGGATGTGTTACTAACATTACCACAACAACAACAATAATAATACAGTTATAATAATAAGTTATAATAATAATAATAATTAAAGACAATTAAGCAAGTAGGCAGCTCTTACTATTAAAGCTTAGGGGGATAAACTAGAAAAGTTAAAAGGCACAAAACTGGAGGAAGACGTGGAACAGTGTTACACTTTTCTGTCAAACACACAGCCTTTCTTTTTCATGAGTATTGACTTACAAGGGGAATCAAGTCCCTTTAAAGAGGAACAAATAGCTGGAAAATGAAAATTGAACAGGGAGCCTATACTTGAGGGAGGAGTAATCAATAATGTTTAGACAGCAGAACAAGCCTTACAGACAGCAGATCAATACAGTGGAGAAACGCCCTCTCTCTCTCTCTCTCTCTCTCTCTCTCTCTCTCTCTGTCCTACTCACCTCACAGAATCTGATCAGGTCTTTATTTAAAGCTTACTCCCTGGTGAGGTGAGTGTGCAGTAATTACACAGAGAGAAAGAGAAGGAGAGTCAACTTCAATTAAAAAAAACTGCAACAGGAGCTATTATCACATAATAATGATTATCTCTGACAAACTATATATATGAAGACAGAAAGATGACTATTTCTGCTATCATTATGCTATTTTACAGTTATTGCACATACAATATGCAGTATATACACACTGAATGAAAAATGGATATTCATTGCAAGCTAATTCAACTGATCATTCTTTTAAAACCATCCTAAATTGTAGTCATCCATTCGTATTGTAGAATCTTTATGCACATTTATTAAGTGCAAACAAATGCACCTGAGCCTTAATGTGGACCTAGGCCTCAGTGACTGAAAGCACTGAAAACAAACAGCGAATGATTAATAATAAAAAAGATCATTATATCATTAAGTAATTGTTCCCCATTGCAGCAAAGTGAATCAGTAATTCAGTGAAAGGTATTTTGTCAACAAAGCGCAAGAGGTGCACAATGAGGTGGATAGATGCAGAGATAAAAGAACTGAGCAGAGGGATCAGCGGACAAGTAGAGAGAGAAAAGAAGTAATCAAGACATATAAGAGGAGGAGTGCAAATAGGAAGGTGTTGCCATGGAAATCAGCAGGCTGATTTGGATTGGGTGCAGCACTTTGACCTCCACTTTTGCTGATTGTTCATTTAAAGGCACTTAAGGAGATACTAACAGCTCATGGCTTCATTGCAAAATATCTCTGCTTGTCTTCTCTTCTCAGATCAGATGACGGCCGTGTGTCTCTTGTTCCTCCACAAATATGTACTGAAGCTGTCATCCCTGCGTAGGTCTTCATCACAGAAACAGCATGGTATTTACCTTCATTTTTTCACCTCATCGTTTTTCCCCCTTTCCTATGAGCCTGTATCTCTCCCCTGCTCTCTCCCTGAATTCTCTTCTCCTCTTTGTCTCATTAACGCCAAGCTCAGACATGGCGTAGCAGGTGACAGGGAGAACTAATCGCTCTGCAGATTAAAAATAAATGAAGAGAAACGTGTTTTAGAAAAACGGCAGAACGCAGATCATAAATCATCCGGGCAGGAGCGAGATCCTCCCCACTGTCCACACGCACACGGCACAGACACCACAGACAAATTACATTACAGAAATCGCATTACTGCAGCCTTTCGGGGAGGACGAGTGAAGGGGAAAGAGGGACCAAAGGAGTCAGAGCAGCGGAGAGATGAGACGTGGCCTAAAATGTGACAGACAGCTAAAGAGCTGGAGAAGAATTTCACATTTATTATGAAATATTAAAACTGTACATCTTTTTGTTCAACCATGGACACATTTGAGCATTAGTCATCATTAGTGATTTAATAATAATAGTACATATGGTTATGATGATAGACGTTTTTGTGTGTTTCATTTTAGAACGTAATTATCTAGCATAATTAATCAACTCGTGAGATTTGCTGTTCTGGTGTGATAAATAATTGTCTGCGTGAAAGTCAGTTTGAAAGCGAGAGACATGTATATGAACACATCGTAAAATTACATTGTTAAAATGTAAAGTAACAAGTAGGTGAAGAGGTTTATTCAAGGCATATGCACTGATTAAAACAAAGCAAATGAAAAATAACAGTTGAGATGATAGCAGTATTTTTCCACTTGAATCTCTCAAGAGTTTCATATCACCACCCTTTTAATAAAATCACCATGCAAAATAAAATGGTGAAACAATCCTCCCCTTTAAAGGGGAATTCCACAGAATTTCCCACAAATTTCTGCATAACTCAGTCATTAATATATGTATATATACTATTGTTAAACAATGTATCAGGCATCAGGCAAACATATTCATACCATTTCATATAATAGCTTTTGGTGAGGCAGCTTTCAAAGGCATTAAACACTTTGGACATCTGGTTCTTATCACCACCACTGTGAGTAATTCTGATTATGTACGTTTCTGAGAATGGCATATTTCACATCAAACCACTTTGAATGACTATGTTTATATCTTAATGGTTTAATTATGAGGAAATTTTGAAAAAAAAATCTAAAATTCTCATTTAATAAGGGAAATTCCACAGATATTTCACAAATTCTGCATTATTTGTTCATAATATGAAGCACTTTATTGTGGAGAAAGTTACTGATTTCTTTGCAGTAGTGGTAATAGGAACCAAGGGGGTTATAATCTCAAATCTCAATGCAAATAAAGTCATCGTATTTACTCTCCAAAACAATCAGTTAACCTACACATGTGTTCTTGGCAAAATAGTGGTAAATGTAAAAAAAAAAGAAAGAAAAGGGTAGTGTTTTGCCTTTGGCAGTTGAATGGCTGTGGTTAACAGAGCAGATCAATGAATACAGACTGCAGTTCAGTATATGAACCCATAGGGGTCATTATTTGCCCATGAGTGCAGAACCATGTGTACTTACAGGCAGCTACTGATCATCCTGGTCTTTACCCATATCTCACACTGAGAAGGTGGAGAGGAGAAAATGCCAGACATTATATATGACTTTTTCCTAGACAGTGACTGCTGTGTATGTGTTAGCGGGTGCGTTTTTTTTAACCGGGTGTGTTTCTGCATTTTGAAAAATAGCTGTTAGAAATGTGTTAAAGAGGAGAGATGTAGAGAGAGAGAGGGGGAGAGAGAGTGAAAATAGCTTGCAAAAAGAACAGAGCGGCACAGAGATAGGGAGAAGAGGATGAACAAGAAACAGCATGTTCCTTTGTTCTCCTTTCTTCACTTGGAGGGTGCACTCACAATAGGACTGAATTTGGTTTTGCAGCACACGCACGCAAGCGGTTTGCCCTCTGGGGACAACATCATTTGTGGCTGTGTGAATAAGTGTGCCTGAAAGTGTGTTTTCTGCAACAGCCTCTTTTTCCTATTTCCTTTTTTTCTCTTTATGAGTAATCATTCAGCATATTTTCTGCCTGTTTTGATGTGAGTGGTATGTGTGAGATAAACAGTAAGCCACAGTATTACAATATGAATTTTAAATAATTCTTAAGGCAAAAAAATGTATGCATGTATAATTTCTATTTCCATAACATGGATTGGTTTGCTTTTGCTATTTAAACCCAGTTTAATCACTCAGTCCATGAACAAACACCCATAGAGACATTCATCTGCCCATATACACACACACTGCTCAAGCACCATCTCCATAGATCTCTCTGCAATCCTCATGAATGTCCACTCATCCTGTAATAATTCCTTTAATTCAGATAATCCATGAATTTCCTTTTCTGTTATACGCTCCTGATCCCCATCGTCTCAGTGCACATTTATAGCATTACCTGTACAGCTCTGTGGGAAATGGAGAGAGAAAAGGATTACCAGTGATGAACATGCGCAATCATTTTTTTCTGCTTTGAAGAAAAATCTTTGAAATTTTTGTAATCGTTATACTTAGTATATCATCGCAGTTGGAACACCTCATATCTTCATATTTGTCGTTTCTTGTTTTTTTTTAATATATATATAATTTGAAATTGCCAGCTGCCTTTTTCTTCAAAATTTCATTATGATTGGACAAATGACATAGAAAACATATTATTACATTAACTTACATTTAAAGAAAGTTTTCTCTTTCTGTAAAGTTAATTTTTTGGAGATATGAGCTTTCATTCTGACAGCAGTGATGTGTATACATTTAGAAAAGTATATACACTTATAGTATATTTACAATTGTATTATGTTTTAAAAGTACACACACACATACATTTGTATTTATACAAAGGTACATATATTTAGAAAGTGCATAGCTACTAATTAGTTAGTTTCAATAAGTTTCAAACTATTATTATTATTATTATTACTGTTTAGACAATATCCGAATGTGTGTGTGTGTAAAATATTATATGATATGATGTGTGTATGTTTTTGATGAATCTGGGTAAAAGATGAATCAAGTAATATTTTACTGTACTGTGCAAAGTTCAGAGACCACCTTTCTTTTGACCACAAAGTAGAAGAGCAAATATTAGCATGAAATTCTCTTAATATATTTCATGACATCTTTAGAATGTTTTTGATGAATCTCTGCATACAAACTTCAAAAAGATGAACTCGTTTGACAGGAGGATATGGATTTTCTCTCATTGTTTTCCTTAAAAGGCTTAGTGGTAACACTGCGTTACAACTAACCCCACCATGTGGAGGCCGGACTGCTAGCTCACACTATGAGTTGTTGAAATGCTTCAAAATGGAGCAATATTATAACAACCAGGAAAGTGATTAAAACAATTTTACACACAACTTATAAACACTTTTACAGACAACGCAGCAACCGGAAAATACTAATGATAATAAAGTTACTTTTACTCATGGTCTTCAGGGTGACTGACAAAATTCACAGAAGGCATAAAATATTCATGTTACATTTTAACCTTCCTACGTATAAAAAACAAGGATTTGTAAAGGAGTTCTCACTGAATTTGTGGCAGTGAATGAAACGGAAAAGATAAGACAGTGGTTATCATTTATGCAGAGGAATACGGAGGATGATTTATGCCATAAAGCGTACCGGAGAGAATTCCTATTCACAGGTGCACATATGTATTTATGCCTGTGTGTATATATATATATATATATATACTCGCACACACACACATACACATATACATATCGTCTTGCAAGAGCCAGCATCCCTGTCAAATATGATACCTTCACACACCTCCATCTGTAGATCTCCATGGCAACACTACCTGAAGGCCCCGTGACATGCATGGCAATTGTAATTCCATGCTGTTCTTAATATTTCCGATGCGCTCTCTTGCTCCCTCTCTCTCTCTCTGTCTCTCTCTCCCTTTTCTCTCTATCCCTCTCTCTCTCTCTGCATGTGTGAGAGATGGAGAAAGTGAGGGAGAGAGAGAGGCAGTGAGAGTGAGAAAGAGAGAGAGAGATTTACTCTCTCTGCCCCGCTAATGGACAGATGTGAGAATAATATGGTGTCGAGGAGCAGAGACCTTGTAACTATCGACCAGGTCATGCACACCTTCCTGAAAACCATACAACTCTTCAGGTCAAAGGTCAGACCAGGAGCTGATGGGAAATGTGATTTATACACCGCTGCGTCCTGTTACTGCCCCCTTACTGTAACTCACTGAGTGTGAGTGTGTGTGAGAGTGCATGTACATGCAGAAAAGCTGAAAGAGTAAAAGTGAATAAAGATGATGATCTAATCTGGGTGCTGCCAGTGTCGGTTTAGAGGTAAAACTATCACCTGATCCACCAAACACTGTCCATTGGCTTTCTCCTTTAAGAGACGGAATATTGTTCACACAGTAGTCAGGAAGCTCTTACAGGCCACCTCAGAAATGACTAGACATACTTTCTAGAAGTGTAATCAAAGGTGACAATTCAACTGCATCATGCTAGAATAAAGACAACTCAGTTATAAAAATATTTTATAAAATACAGTTCTGTGCACAAGTTGGAGTCCACCTTTCTTTTATTTCCAGTCAAAACAGCCATTAAGCTCAATTTACTTATTTTTAAGTGTCAGTAAAAAACAGAAGACATATTTAACAGAAAATTACACAGTATATATATATATATATATATAGTATCAGACTTTAAGTATTTAGCATGTTTGCCTTTATTACAGCTTCTATTCTTTTTTGTTAGGCTTTCAGTTTTTCAAAGATATCTGCAGGGATATTTTATCCAAAGTTCAGTCTTAGAAGTTGGTTGCATTTTCTACATTACAATCCAAGAAATCCCAAATACAATGAAGTGGAGGTCTGGACACTGGGGTGGTCAGTCCACTGTTCTGAGAAACGCCAGCAGCTTCTTAGTTAGATTTGCAAATTTTCCTCTGTTTTATCAGTCACATTGCTTCTTTATCTCAGTAACAGCTTCTTGACAGCTACACATCCTGTTATACTCTTATCTATCTTCTCACAGTGAAAGGATGGACTAATGGAACAAAACCTTGTATTTCCAAAATGTTGACTTTACAAGAGAAGGAAAAAAACCTTCCTTTTGTGAATTAATGTAATGAGATTTTCACCAAATAATTTTGGACCATTTCTATTGGTCCATTCATTGTGAAATTTTGACACAATGCAAATATCAAAAAATGTAAAAAAAAGTTGAGATGTAAGGTTTGGTTCTGACCGTGACATTATGAAAGAGGAATATCTTATATTTAATCTTCTCATAAATATCCCCTGAAAAAGAGTAACTTGTACCAATGGTACTTTTGACTGGAAATGAAATAAATGAAAATTGGATCTCTGGACTCTGGGCAGCTCTGTGTGCTCTTTTATGGCCATAATAAAATTCTCAACCTATTTCTTGCCATAAAAACCCTAACGAAATAGGTAATTTGTTTCATTGTCTATATTTAGCAACCATGTAAATAATAACTACAGTCACATTTGTGTATTTAGAGTATTTTTAAAAATAATTCTGAATTGTCTGATTGAATCATGGTGAAATTGAAATTTCATGGTGCATTGTTTCCTAAAGAACTGTAATCAACTTGAATTGTTGAATCACAGTATTGATCATGATGTGGCTCACTGAGTCATGTTCAGAGGGCAAAAAGGTGAATACGTGGCAGTGCTAAACAGCACGCAGAGTTTTGTTAATTCAGCAGTTTGGGATCATATTGCATGACAGTGCTCATCAGATCCATTTAGATTCCAGCTAGCAGAGCCAGACATCTAACAGTGTTTGAGATACATTTTCACCTTTCTGAAAGGTGTTTCTGTAAGAAGTCTCATAATTGTGATTAGAAATGAGAAGATATTTGGTGTGATTAATTCAGATTTCTTTGCCTTACTTAATTTGAGGATTAAATAACACATTTGTCTCTTCTTTAACACCTTTCTGCATTGTTTCTGTAGTTTAGTTTAAAATAGTGCTGTCAAAATTAACAGGGTAATAACATGTTAGCGTGATAAATGATCATCGACACAAAAGACAAAACGCTGTTAATGCATTTTTCTAGTTTGACTTTTCAGATCACCTGTGTTTTAACCTTTAGCTGCTCGTACGCTGCATACTGCTATGACTGACTCTGGGACTGTAGCTTTCTGGTTAAAATGCAGCTTGTAAATGGCAAGTTCCATTGATGGCTCTCCTCACTCAGCTGCTGCAATGTCGTGAATGTGTTAATTACAGTGACATTGATTATGACATCTCATTTACAAGATAAATGCGCCGCAGTGTTGGCAATATCAGTAACTGTTCTGGACAGTGCTCGCGGGAGAAGTATAGAGCGATCAACAAGGAGCAAACTAACAAAAGCAAAGAAGGCTCCGGTTCTCCTCAAAACAAGACATAATGTAGTGGTGTAAGAATGAAAGGGCTACAGTCGTGAAGGAAGTGATGCAGCCACTCTTGCTCTCCGTGATGAAAATTGGAAACTGCATTCACCTTTTTTATGTTCAGGTTCAAACTTGCAATCATACAATTAAAATAATGAAATATTGAAAACATGAATATGTTCTGATGAAGCTTATTTTATCCACTCATATACAGTTGCATGCAAAGTTTGGGCACCATGGTCAAATTCTGTTTTGTTGATTTTCTAAGTGAAAATGAGTACACGCCCTTCACAGAGCTTTATTGTGCAAATTTTAATTCGCAATTATTGTTTATTTGCAAAATTTTACAAACATATTTCAGTGTGTTCTCTGTAGAGGATGTGTTCAGTTAGACCAGAGATGTACCTATAAAAATGCACTGCGTTTTAAATGAAAACAGTCTCTCTTGTGAGAAAATAAGACAAATGTGATTGATCATACTTAACTACACAAAAATAATGTGATTAATTGTGATAATTGTTTGACAATTTTTTAGACTTAATTTAGAGTTTATCATTCAACACTGTTCAAAATCCTACCAGGCAGTATCTTCTACAGTGACCCCTCTTGTCTTCCAGCTGTTAATTCTGGACCTGGTTCCTGTTTATTTCTTTTGAACAGGTCTTCCATACACAAAGATACTGAATAAGAGAGAGCGAAGATGAAGAAGAAGAAGAAGAAGAAGAAAGGAAGAAAGGAAGGAAATTGGAGGAGGAATAAAGTAAGAGATTAAGACAGAGGACTGCAGAAGAGTTTAGAATAGAAACTCATAAATTAGACATCCCGTTTGCATATTCATGGAATTAGATGATATGCTAATACAGTTAATTTCCATTGTGGTTACCTCCTGTTGCGGCATGCTTCACGCTCAGTTTGTTTGAATGAAGTGGGAAGAGAAAAGGAAAAAAGAGGACAGAAGGGGAAAACAACTTGTTGGGGCCCACTTGACAGGATTGGAGAATCAAGAATGCGTGTGTCTTAAAGGATGGACTAAACACATTGATAGCTAAGGCCATCTGTTCACACAGAGAGAAAAAAGAATGCTGAGTGCTGAGAGGGTTTTTTTGTGCGTGCAGATGAGTGGGTTTGTGCTTTCACACGTGCTTTTGTTTGATATGTCTTTGGTGTGATCACTAGAAATCTGAAATTCTATGTTGTAATCAAGAAAGAGAGAGGACTGCAGATCAAAAGTAGAAAGGAGAGTAGTGGAGACAGAGAGAGATGTGGGAAGCTAGAGGGGGAGGCTGTGGGGGAAGGGCCTGATGCAGAGTGGCGAATGAGCTAGGTGGTCGTGCGAGGTTGGCACAGTGCCATCCACTCAGCGCGGGCGCTAGCGAGGGAGTGTAGGCACGCGGGCATCAGCAAGAGGAAGAGAGGAGAGACAGAAAGAGTCATCACCCAGCTGCCATCCAGCACGGACAAGTGATTTGTAGGGGCGAGCAATGCGAGCAAGTTGGCAAAAGTTGGAGACCATTTCGGATTCCATCAGACCCTGAGGATCTCCACTGCGTAAGTTTGAATGTTTGCGCCATATGTGTTCACACCGCACTGATGAAAATTTGGGTCTGAGTGCGTTAACGAAGATGTTTTCTCTCTTTTTCTTCAGCGATGGAACAGATCGTGCCCGACTGCTCCACAACACCAGATATGGAACATACAGAGGAGAGGATAAGATGCTCAGACCTTCCTGTTCTACCTGTCATGGTCTGTGTGCCACCATGGTTCTCCTCCACATGCCCTCTTGTGAGAGAAGGACAAAGTGGTCCTTATAGGAGGACCCTGCCTGGTATAGCTGCCATGCTTCGAGGGTGCGTCCATGGGTATTTCACCGCACCGGGGATTCGTGGCGTATCTCTGTGTTGGCACTCCGCATTACCGCTTACTAATGTTCGGCGGTGTGCCAGGATCTCCGCTGTGCCGTCTGGTAGCTGGAGTCATGGCTCCGCTTCAAGAATGGCACGGTGCCAACGTGTCTCTGCGGCAGCAGCTCCCGCCGCGTGCCACTTGGCAAAGACAAAGAGCCCGGGGGACAAAAAACACAAAACAAAAGAGCGACAAACACTCTGATCCGACAGCTTAATTAACACCAGCAGAGTTTGTTGGGTTAATTAGTGTGACAGATTTGGTCACAGAGGAGGAATGTGGCAGCAACGCGTGTGATGAACAAAAGCGATGGGCGGGTATGGCTAACTGAAGGAATGCCTGTGAATGCCAAGACAGCAAGAGAGCCCGGTGCCAACCATGCAAAGTCTTCTGGGCTTGCTGCTGATAAGGATTTGACTAAGGCAGGATGCTGAAGAAGACAAGACCACATCTCATGCAACCTTCTGCAACTCTGGATCCATCTTAACGCATAGATGCTGGAATATATAGCACTGTTCAACTAGATAACAGGTGAGGGGATTAGAGGAGGAGAAGAACAAGAAGGTGCAGAGAGGAACTGAAGAGGGAGCCAAGGAGGCCTTGGACAAGCCAGCAATGACTCAACACAAGGGAGCTGCTGATTGGACCACTTTTGGCAACTTGTTGTTGATGACTGGTTTCTTCTTCTGTACTGACAAGTATCTGTGAGGGGTTTTGAAATGTGTGAAACCAAATGAACATCAATATCTAACTATCTGAGGTACCTTGAAAGATCGCCTCTCGGACAAGGTGCCCCAACAAATGGACAGTCAGAATTCTTTCAGGGCACATGGAGTGACTTTTGTACCTCCTCCAAGTTCCAGTACCGTTTCATTTTCATAAACAGTGTGCCTTCCACCATGGAGAGAGCAAGGAGCGCACGGGAGATCAGAAGCCTTTGAGCACCTGCAGAATTTAACCTGCGCTCAGGGAAAAAATATGAAACTTGCAGCTTTGAGAGAACTGAGATCCTCGCTGGATGTTTGACATGGATATGAATAATGCACATTTTTTTCTTCCCTGTCTCTCCGTCATTCTCTCCTCTTTGTTTTCTCTCTCTCAGAAGGGAGGGATTTACAGACCTTTGTGCTTCAGATGTTGCGTTGGCATCACCTCGCCAATTTCGCATGTGAGGGCAACGATGGCTAGAGGCTAACGATTCCAGCCCCCCGAAAGAAACATTGTTTATCAGGGGAACCCTCCGTATGACAACGCGAAAATAGACATTAACGACCTAGCGAAATTAGCGAATTCATTTGTCATGCCTGAATTTTCATTCAATTTTTTTAACAGCAGTAGAGGAGGATTACGTGTGGATATGCTAATCTCATCGTGTTAATGAGGTTTGGATCGTCGGCCTTCTCATCTCGACTCTGCTGGGGATCTTAATTTCACCTCATCTTCATTATGCAAATGGATAAAAAAAGACCGAAATGGGTGCTGTCAAAAGAAAAAGACAACAGATATGGGAGGGAGACATGGAGGAAGAAAATGGTGGCTTGGATCTCCCATGTCCTTGCTTCAGGCTCAAATGAAGCTCAAATATTTCTGCTCAGCATGCATGCTAACAAGGAGGATACATCGGAAGAATTCTGGTCTTTTTCTTCGTTTTCTTTCGGATATCACTGTCGCACCAGTTCTGTAATGAAGTGACAGAACAGAAGATGGAATTAACAAAATGAAAAAAGGACAGAGAGGGAGGGGGAGAGAGAGAGAGAATGGTTAATATCCTTTGCTTAATCATGGCACATGAGATTGGCTGTATGCATATCTCATTTGCATCTCATTAAATTGCACCTGCAGAAAGGGGGAGGAGAGAGTGGAGCTGGTTTGGAATAGAAATAAGGGAGAGCTGTTTCATGGCTTTAGCTACAATGCATCATCTAGTTGCGTTCTTATCATGATGTACTCTAACATCAAACAGGTTTTTGTTTGTTTGTTTGTTTTTTTGTTTTTTTTTGCTTGAGTGACAACAACATTAAGGAAATTTTAGCCTAGTTGAAAAATGTGCCTGCCTGTAAGTTCTGATCAGATCTTTCACTAGTCTTCCTGCATTACATTTGTTGAGGTGCCGTATGTGATATTCGGTGGGCTTTATATGTATCTGGGCCTTATCAGTGATGTGATTTTGGGAAGACTTTCCATTTACAGGGCCTATTACATTAGATCTGTTCAAGGACAACTAGAGGAAAAGTGTGATCATCATACATAAAAACACACATGAATTCAACAATTCTGGAGTGCAAGGGAGAATATCCCATTTCTGATTTTATGTTAAGGAGGATATAAAACCCTTCATGTGTGGCTTTCACTGGCCACTGCTTTAATGTATGCATGATTAGTATGCAGCTCTGTGCGTTCTTTAATAGAACTCTGGGTGAACACTATTGTCTCTAATTCTAAAATGTACCATCTGCCTGGCTGCTTAGACTGGCCTTTCTCTTTGTGATCAACACAATGGGCTATTCTGCACTGGACGTCCACACATAACTAAAATAAATCATGCCTCAGTCTGCAGGCCACTACATAGCCCCGGCTATATCTGCCATGAAACGCAGGAGGGGACAGCCACCGAGAAGAAGAGAGATGAGGAAAATTTGGAATTGTGTTTCACAATGATGGTGGTAATAAGAAAAGGGAATATGATTCATTGCTCGCTAGTAATTATACAATAAGAGAGAAGTGCAATATCTCGCATTCTGAAATGTATGCCTTTCCTTACTATGTTTCTATGTAAATATAATAGTGATCCTTCATTATAAGTAAGCTAAAAGGGAGTATAAGGTCTAAACAAAAGAATGACTGAGCACCAGTGTGACTTTAATGTAATTACTCCCTGACGGATGTATTTAAATGTGTATGTAAACACTGGGGCAGCAAGGTCTACGTATGATAGAAATGTCTGCATCGATTACCCGCTATGAATGTGAAATGTTTAATCTCGTTAAAAATCTCATGCCTAAATTAGACTCCCTCAGCAGCTTTTTAAATTGGGCTATCCATCATGCATAATGAAGAAGTGACAGTACGTGTATGTGTATGGGGGTGCTAATATAAAATTTTATTAAAATATTCTTGTATTAGCTCTGTTATGGTGACTAGCATGTGTGATATTATGTGGCTGTTTTCTCTCTCTCCTTCACAGAAACAATTAGAAAGAAACATGGAGCAGCCTGTTGTAAGCTATGCTAATCTACTCTTGAAGCATAGCATGTTTGTAAATGTCTAATAACGAACTCTAATGACGGTCTTATCTATTATTGCAAACACTCATTCCTCCTAGTCCAATCCTGATGCCAACCACAAGTTAATGAGTCTCTCTCTGTCTCTGATATGGGTCTGTATGAGTTGGTCACAAGCAACAAACCGTGCTTCAGGGATTTACTCTCTTCAGAAAAGAAAAGAAAGGGGGAAAACCATAGAAAGTAGGAAAAGACATGTGGTGCCTGGCTGCCACCTGGTGAGATGTCATGTATCATTAAGTTTGTGCTAGTCTGGCACGCTTCTTGCTGTTATCAACCCCGGACAGAGCAGCATAACTACTATGCAGCGTTCTTTTCTCATGCTAATGAGTTGCAGAAATGCTACACCCAGCCAGACGCCCTACACCCTCCCCAGCGCCCTACATCATGCTGCCCATCCTACACCACCACTCTAATGCTAAGCCTACCTGTAATAGGTAGGTACGCTACCTCCCACTTCTCTGCCTTCTCAGGTCTTTATGCTGCTCTAACCACACGGCTAATCTTCCCACCACGCCATCCTTCCAAAAACCATCCATCTTAGCTCCCCACACTGCCGTCCTAACAGCATCTCAGCTCTTTACACCAGCCTCCCCAAGGTCACACAGGGTCAGAGATTTAGCATAATTTATCATATCAGTGTGAGATATTCACGGTGGCCACGCGTAGCCTGTTCATGCTCCTGCTGCTTCTGATTAGCATCTCATTTCACAGGCCTGACTTCTAAAAAGCCCTCATTCTCCCCACACCCTTCACTCCCCTTCCAAACCTGCACCCCCAACCCTCCACCCCTGCCACTGAACCCCAATATTATGAAGATGAACAGTATTGCCAAATGGACACTGAAGATTTTACAGGTTGATTAGTTTGTACAACAGCATTTGTAATTGTTGTTTAGCACTTTAAATGAACAGTTTACTGAAAAATTCTATATGCATTTTTTTACAGTTATTCCCTTACTTTAAACAGTCAATTGGCCACATGTTTAGTGTCCAAATCTTGCTTCTGTAGGTTTGGACTGGAGCTATTAGGCTGATATAAGAGAAGTTTATGTCACAAGACTTTGGGTGACATAAACTTCCATTACTTGTTAGCTATATTAGCCTCATAACTCCAGTGCAAAACTAAAGAAGACGACTTTGGACATCAAAAATATTTTGCCAGTCAACTGTGTTTGAAGTAAGGAGGAAATGGTGTAAATTTGAAAGGAACCATTCCTTTACACAGTTAAGCAAAAGCACCCCAATTTTCTCCCTTATGGAAAAAACCTGAAATATTTTTACGCTATTTAATTTTGATATTGTAAAGGACAGTTTTCCTGCAAGGGATTGGATTAAGGTGCTTTGTGCTCACTACATCAAAGGAATGGTTTACTAAAAAAATCACATCTACACAATTTCACCCTCACTCTAAATGCAAGCGGTGAAAATATTACAGGTTATTATATAAATAGTTGTATGTACAACTCTGTTTCTAAAAAAGTTGAGATACTGTGCAAAATGTAAATAAAAACTGAATGCAGTGTTGTGCAAATCATTCAAACCTAAATTTAATATAGTATAAAGACGACATATTAAATGTTAAAACTGAGAATTTTTTTGTGATTTTTAAAAAAAATATATGGCCATTTTAAATTTGATACCAGAAACACGTTTAAAAAAAGTTGGGACAGGGCAACAAAAGACTGGTAAAGTTTTATAGTATTAAAAAAACATGTGCTGGAACATCTCACAACTAAATAGGTTTATTGGCAACAGATCAGTAACATGATTGGTTATAAAAAGAGCATCTCAGAGAGGCTGAGTCAGAAGTAAATGACAGGGAGGGGTTCACTATTCTGTGCAAGACTGAGTGGGCAAATAGTGCAACAATTCAAGAATAAAGTTTCTCAACAAAAAATAGCAAAGAACTTGGGGATTTCATAATTTATGGTACATAATAACATTAAAAGATTCAGAGAATCTGGAGAAATCTCTCTTTATGTAAGGAACAAGGCCGAAAACCAATACTGCCTGGCCGTGATCTTTGGGTCCTCACTGCATTAAAAACAGACACAATTCTGTGGTGGAAATCACTGCATGGGCTCAAGAACACTTCTGTAAACCACTGTCTGTGAACACATTGCATTGCTGCATCCATGAATGCAACTTAAAACTCTACCATGCAAAGAAGACTGTTAAATAAACAGGATCCAGAAACACTGCCACCTTCTCTGGGCCCAAGCTCATTTAAGATGGAATCAGACAAAGTGGAAAAGTCCTGTGGTCTCACAAATCAAAATCTGAAATTCTTTTTGCAAATCATGGACGCTGCATCCTCTAAATAGGAGGATAAAGACTAAAGAGGAGAGGGACCATCCAGCTTATTATAAGCGCACAGTTCAAAGTCAGCATCCATGATGGTATAAGGGTGCATTAGTGCACCTCCATACCATTAATGGCCCCATTAATGCTGAACAATACACGGTTTTGGAGCAACATAAGCTGTCATCTAGACGACGTCTTTTTCAGGGAAGGCCTTGCTTATTTAAACAAGACAATACCAAACCACATTTTTCATGTGCTACAACAGCATGAGTCCTTAGTAAAACAGTCCAGATGCTAAACTGGCTTGTCTGCAGCCACCAATTGAAAACATTTGGCAAATTATGAAATGAAAAATGCGACAAAGGAGAGCCCAAATCATTATGTAGTTGAAATATCAAACAAGTATGAGGAAACATTTCACTTTCAAAGCTACAACAGATGGTCTCCTCAGTTCTTAAATGCTTACAGAGTGTTGAGAAAAGAAGAGGTGATGAAACACAGTGGTAAACATGCCCCTGTTCCAACTTTTTTGAAATGTGTTGCTGGTATCAAATTCAAAATGGGCATATTCATGGGCATTTTTCAAAAAACAAAATATCCCTGTTTCAACA